ACATTTCGCCTGTCCATACTGGTTCTTCAAAGTTGGGTTTCCTTTTTATTGAAACACCCTGTATAGTGCTCAGTCTCCTTTTAATTTTATGGAAATTGGCACACGCGCAGTGTGTACGTACTGTGCCATGTGGCGCTGCGGTGTTTTCTCGACCAATAGGAATTAGAAAACTGTCTTATGTATACATTGTAAATGACTTTTCGTATTTCAACATACACAATGTACAGACACGTTTGTTTATGGTGTAAATCGAGGATTTTCTTTTGTTCCTCTTCCCTTTTCCTTTGTTTGTACTCTTAACTTTTTTTTGTAACAGCTCTCATTTGTTTTGTACACGTTTTCCAACCGAGGAGTCCTCGATTTAGTTTCTGTCCTCGATTCATCGATGATGTTGCACGTGTGTGTCCTCGATTTACACCATAAACACGTGCAATGAGAAATACAGATTATGGGTATTGGCGAAAACGTCGTTATACATGTACGCGTACATGTACCGGTAAGTGTACATCATGTACATGTACATTTGTATAATGACCATTAGTGCTTGTGGATGGTTGGGAATGCATGTTGCGAAATATTCAACTGAATATTCCTGAAATGAAACTTTTACATTTTACCTTTAACTTTTAATTTGAGACGGAACTGGGCACAGGTACTATAGTGGAGAAAAATGTCAAAAACTGAACGGGGCGATTTTGTTTCTTCGCTTTTAAAATTGATAGGATCACATGTACAGGTACCAGCATGTCTATACATGTAGTTTAAAGAAACTATAAAAAGCATGGAATAAAAGTGTTTTCAATGAAAAGAAAGGCATATTTCATTTTCACGACCACAAAAACAGTCGAAACTTTAAAGGCCTTTTTCTCAGTACAGGTATTTTGCTTTTTTGACATGTTGTTGATAAGGGGTCCGCTCATAAGTCCGACGCCTCATAAGTCCGACAAAATCGCATCCACTAACCAAATAAAGGCCCATAAGTCCGACGCCTCATAGGTCCGACGCCTCATAAGTTCGACGCTTCATAGGTCCGATGCCTCATAGCTCCGACGCCTCGTAAGTCCGACAAATTAAACGCCTCGTTTTTCCGTTGTCGGACTTATGAGGCGTCGGACTTATGAGGCGTCGGACCTATGATGCGGAATAAATAAATGTTATGTCTCATAAGTCCGAAGCCTCATAAGTCCGAAATTTCGGACTTATGAGGCGTCGGACTTATGATACGGCCCCGTTGATAAATGCGAACTTTAAAGGACGTGTTATCGCTCTCTGATGGCTGATAAATATACATGTAGGTCACTGCCTGTGACTACTGGGAAAAATTAGTGATGTCCATGTACCTATGGAATTCTTCCCCAGTCGGATTTTGCCAGAATGCCACACATATAATGTGTTCAAATTGTAATTCTAACCATTGATTGCATATACACGTATATATTAATGTTATTGGTGATTGTTAATTTCTGCATTTCCAAAGGATGAAAAGAAGGACACAATATCATATTACAATGACTACGCGCCCCAGTTATAATACAATACCGAAGTCTTATAGCGCACGTATCTACCAACAATTAGGTACCCAAGGCGCTGGAAATCATGTCTATTATTAGAGACAGGTAAATGACGCACATGAGAAATATGAGAACCATTATGTTGCACCTTTATAATGGTTTACAAGGTGCTGCGGCGCATTAAGCAGCCACTGCCAAAAACACCGGGGCAAACCCCTTCTCTTGGCGATAAGTGTTACTGGGTTCTTTAACGTGCATTACACAACACACGGGACCTACGGCTTTACGTCCCATCCGAAGGACGAAGCAATAATGGTAAAGTGCCTTGCTCAAGAGCACAAGCACCAGGTTCCCACAGTCAGGATTCAAACCCATTTACCATGGTACATAAGTCGAACAACAGTAGAAATACCGGGTAGTGCAAACATGTAATGTAAGCCACGTATACAACAATACAATTGTTGGAGGATCACTTGCAACTACTCTGAAAAATACATTGTACATGTAGCGCGGTACCTACGTGTACCAATTAAATGCCATGATACACCTCGCTCAAAGTGAAGATAGGACTGGTATCAAATACCTTGTGAAAATGATTGTTCGGGAGAAATAATAATGTGGTGATTGGTATGTACAGGTGTGTAAGGTTTCAAAGTGCTTTTATTTAGCCCTGTTCATCAGGAATGAGACCATTCGTTCTGCAGCAGCACGAGATCGGTGCAATTTGGTCTCTACTTTTTATTATTATTATTATTTTATTATTATTTTATTAAAAACCACAAATCGTGACCCAAAGGTCAAATTGCATGTGATCATAACAATTAAAACTTTAAAATATAAATTAAGAGTGTACATGTATGTACATTTAAAAACTGTAACACAAAAAGAAAAAAGAAAAAGAGTAAAGAAATACTCATTCACAGAACTCATACAAACCGAAGACACAGACATGATTAAGCTAAATACCATCACACCCCCCCCCCCCCCAACAGGTGAATTCCATCTTGCTTAATTGTTTAAAATTCTAGTAAAAAAGAGGATGGGGCTGTTATGAAAGCGACTGGTTCGAGTTGGCAAGGATGAAAAATTATGGCTATTACGAAGGGTTCTCCCATGACTCTCCTGTCTGGTAGGAGGCATAATTGAATCTGTACGGATGTTAAGTACCAAGCTGTATGTTATGTACCAAGCTGGTACTTTCACAGATATCCATTTATACTCCTGGGTGGAGAGAGGCAATCATAGTAAAATGTCTTGCTCAAGAACACAGTAACCATGTTCACCGTCATGGGCACACTTTGTGACGTGCGTTACCAATGGAATCCAGTTACTAGACAAAAAAATGTGCATGTTTTCTCTGTTTTCTCAAAATGTATATTTGCCCCTGAACTAAAACTGCAAAAAAAGTTAAGTGCATACACTGTACACCCTGCTTCAGAGTTTTAATACTTTTGTTGCTTCAAATGTACAAAAAGCAAATGATCCAACTTGCTCTTTTAAGTGCTCAGCAATTAAAAAAAAAAATTCAATTTGACTGCTGATGACACAATTTATGTACAGAGTGCTTAAAAGAAACCTTTTTTGGGAGGGGGGGGGGGGAGGGGGTGTTTTATTACATTTGTTTCATTGTCACAAAAGTTGCAGGGATTTTTCCCCGAAGTAAATGATTGAGTTTTTGACCAAAGTGCATTCTGCCGGTTGCCACAAAAAAACAAAAACAAACAAACAGAGACTTTGTGTGGTCGTCAAGTGCAGAAGTCGATATCCCACCGATAGAGAGCAGTAACTGAGACAAAAAGATGACTTTTTGGTGCCTTCCGTTTCGTGGCCGGGTTTTAGTTTGACCAATCCCAATCAAAAGTACCTTTTGCTAAAAAAAACCTCATCCACGCAAAGAGGAGTTTTCTGAGAAAATAATTATCTTGGGAAGACGGCCGTACGTGGCCAGGAGGAATTTGATCGACATGAAAGATTCTTTGTGATGACCAACTGACATTTAGCGGGCTAAATTCAGTCCATGCCAAGTTGTTGTTTCACACTGCGATGGGGATATTAGAGCAAGAGATTAGCGTGGCGTGACCTTATCAAATTTGCCGAAGGGACAGACGGTCGACTTAAACCCCTTTTTCTCTGCAGTAATGTCAGGGCTATTCAAAGACTAATTTAAAGTACATGTTTATCAGATTACAGGGGCTTTCAAAGTCTGAAATTCACAGAAAATCAAATTTGTTTTTAACGTTACATGGTTATTTTTGTACCTTAACACCCCCCCCCCAAAAAAAAAGTTGTTAAAAAGAAAATATGGTTTTGCAGTTTGCTAGAAAAAAACACACACCTGGGAATTCATTGTTATCTTGGTACCGGGGTACATTACAAAACATAGGAACTAGGGGTTACAAGCAGAGATTTGATATTTCCTGGAAAAAAATGAAATCCCTCCGGAATCGATGTTCAAAATTCCGCGATATTTTGTGCGTGATGCACTCAGGGAAATGTCATTTCGCATCCTTTGGGACAATGATTAAAAGGAATTTACATTTTGATAAACATTTCCTGAAAATGAATAATCTTGGTCCAACCAGAGAGTATCAAATTTCAAATTCCAATTTTTTCAACTTAATTTGAAAACAACTGTTTTTCCCATCAAAATGGTACGAGCATATCTTTGAATAAACGTGTTACACGTTTGATCTGCCCATTATCCTATTAGAGATATGGTACACTGTATGGCAGACACAATAGCAGGGCGCTGTTTGATTTGGGTAAAGTCTTTTGTATGTATATGTACACTCCAATCAAATAGCACACTCCTATGTGTTGACCATCTCTAAAACAGGCTAGTTGCAGAAAACAGTGCTAGGCGATACACAGAAGCTAGCGTGTGCAAAAAACTACAACATTCAGAAAACAAATTTGAAGGGAAAATACAACATTTGCAAATATCGAAAAATAAAACTAATAAGTTTTTACGAAATACCTGACTAGGATGTTGGTAAATGACAGTCTAAAGCATCCTGTAAAATTATGGCACCTGGTGTGAAGTCATTTTCAAGAAAATGGTATTTTTGTATACATTTCCAACGGTGGTCGGCCGACCACCGTTGGAAAAACCTAACTATTTTCACTTACTACTCCAAATTACCATTTTTTTCAGTCCAAATTTTGTTTGCTATTGGTTACATGTTCATGAACGGGTGCAGGCCAGCTAGACTGGTTCCCTTTCCGTACAATTTTCCGGCATCAATACATTGATCCATTTCATCTTTAGTGGAGTCAGGGAACCAGACTTCTTGAACATTTTTGTTTTTCTTGGTTTTTCCAGCGTTTTCAAACACAAAACTTCAAACATGTCAGTGTAACAATATTTGATCTATTACATGTATATTAACCCGGCTCAAATACCGGTAGTTCATTTCTGAAAATTACAGCAAAAGCTTTGAGACTTTCATTTAAAGCAGTATAATATGAATATCTTGTCTGGTTTTCCAGGGAAATTTCCCCTGAGCTGGAGCAAAGAGGAAGTGGAAGACTGGCTGAAGTGGTGCGTGCAGGAATTCTCCCTTGGGGGAGTGGAACTGCGAAGGTTTTCCATGAACGGCAAAGCGCTCTGCCTACTGACTAAGGAAGGATTCCAGCATCGGGCACCGTACGCCGGGGATGTGCTGCACGACTTGCTGCAGAAACTGCTCAGAAAAGGTGCAATGTTACAGGACGTTTGCGGGTTTTGCCCTTTCACCGACATTTTTTCCCTTTTTTCTAAACACTGATTAGGGTTTGTGAACAAAAAAAAATCACAAAATTACTTGGGTGGGACTCGAACCCATGAACTCCTGCTTACTATTGCAGATGTCTTACCACACAAGACTATTGAGCTTGCTGTGGTCGGCTCAAGGGCGGATCCAGAACACAATTTTGGAGGGGGCCAAAAAAATTTTTGGTCCCCCCAAAAAGTTGGATTCAAATTTTTTGGATTCTAGAAGCTCTGTGGTGCGATCTGAGGCAATTTCTGACCACTTTAACCAATGTTTTTTTGAGGAAAAGATGGTGGTGTACTCATTGCCTGCCTTTATTGCGATGTCACATAAAAAAAAAAAAAAAATATTGGTTTCGTTTTTGGGGGGGGGGGCCATGGCCCCCTTTGGCCCCCCCCTGGATCCGCCCTTGGGTCGGCTGGCTGGTTCAAATCTGATAATAGCAGCGGGTATCAAACTATTTATAAGATGGAATTTGCACCCGGAAATAGGCTACTGGGTTTTGCCTAGTTACCAGAGTTGAACCTCACATGCTGACGTTGCAAACTTAGCAAGTTCTTCTTCAGAGGCTAAAACAGAAATGACAGAGGTACATACATTAACATGGGGGTGCACACAAACATGCAGGGCTGAAAGAAGAAACACAGCAGTTTGCAGCAGTCTTACTTTTTTTCAAAACAAAATCAGGCCAACTTAACTCACTCTTTGGCTGACAAAAGTCTCCAAGATTTTTAGGAGGCAAAGACAAGGTCCTCAGTATTCCATCAGCAAAGTTTGAGGTCTCAATTCAATTTTGAAAGGATAGTTTTCTTCAATATTTGTTTCAGGTGCCAGTCTACTTTCTTGTATCGCATGTTTTCAATACCGTAAGTTTTGGGAGTCTCATACAAAGTATTGAGAGTCCCAAATTTTTGGACTAACATAGTTAGCATGATTACAAACACAAATACTTTTTTATAAACAATATATTCAGCGTTGTCTAAAGGCTAAAGAGAAACAAATCACAAGCTTACTCGGGTTGGACTCGAACCCAGGACCACAATTCTGCCCACCTTCCCATTCTGCCCAGCTGTCCATTCTTGGGAGTCGGAAGTGCTGATAATTACCCATCCAGACTCCGACCTGTCTCAAACAGAGTTTTTAATACCTCCCAAATAAACATTTATTCCCTTATTAAAGGGAATGTACAACATTTGCTTTTGCTGCAAGTTTCAGAAATAAATGGATTTGGAGGATTAGTATGTTATAGCAAATATTGTTAAAATGACCAATCATGTTCTTGTAGTCTGGTTCCCTGACCCCACTTATAAGATGAAACAGAGCAATGTACAACCTTTGCGGAATTGTAAGGTCAGAGAATCAGTCTAGCAGGCTTGTACCCCTTCACAGGTGTGTAATCAATTGCAAAGAAAACGCGGAATAACTAATTATGAAAAATTAGAAGCACTATTTAAAAAAAGCCAGTTTTCTCCAACGCTGGTCGGCCGACCAGCGTTGGAAAAATCCCATTTTTCTTGAAAATGACAGCACACTAGGAGCCACGATTTTACAGAATGTTTTAGACTGTCATTCCCTAACAATCCAGTAAGGTATTTCATGATAATTTGATCATTTCGTTTTGTGATGTTTGTAAATGTTGTATCTTCCCTTTAACTCCCAGGGGGCGGGAAAAAAAACCCTTTAAAATTGGAGGATTCAGGACTAATTAAAAGGGTTTATTTAACTTTACACGGTACATGTTGCAGACCTCATTAAAGCTACACTTTTCTTTTTGAAACCACATTGGCCTAAACCAGCCAGACCATATCCTTTTCCCCCCGAGTAACGAGCACGTTCCGGTACATATGTATCAAATAACTTTGGAGATCCAGACATATCGGGTCAGTGAACTATACATGTGTACACGTGTTCCATGAAAGAAAATCAAATGAATACACCGAAAAACTCTGGAGTTGACTGTTGACATTAAAGGGAATATACAACATTTGCAAGCATCGAAAAATAAAACTACCAAGTTTTTACGAAATACCTTACAGGATGTTGGTAAATGACAGTCTAAAGCATCCTGTAAAATTATGGCACCATGTGTGAAGCCATTTTCAAGAAAAGTGGTATTTTGTATAAATTTCCAACGGTGGTCGGCCGACCAGTGTAGGAAAAAACCTAACTATTTTTCAACTACTGCTCCAAATTTACCAATTTTTTTCAGTCCAAATTTTGTTTGCTATTGGTTACATGTTCATGAACGGGTGCAGGCCAGCTAGATTGGTTTCCTTACCTTACAATTTTCCGGCATCTATAAATGATCCATTTTATCTTTAGTGGAGTCAGGGAACCAGACTACTTGAACATTTTTGTTTTTCTTCGTTTTTCCAGTATTTTTGAACACAAAACTTCAAACATGTCAGTGTAACAATATTTGATCTATTATATACTAACCCCTCAAAATAGTTTATTTCTGAAAATTACAGCAAAAGCCAATGATGTACATTCCCTTTAACTAGTACCAGTAGGTTAAAAAAATTATAAATCTAAGTAAAGTACTGACAAGATCTTATTGACATGTCACTTTTGTGATACTTTGACCAGGTGTATGAACAGAGCCTGAAGGCCCTAAGATGCAAAACAGGTTTTTTGTTAAATGCAGCCTTTAAAAATGCACCTTTCTGTCCCATTTAACCTTATTTTAAATTTTCGTTTTGCCATTTTCCAGGGTATTTTGCTGCCTTTTGGAGTTTTTATGCTAACATTAATTTCCATATATTCAATGTGTAAAAAAAGCAGATTTTAAGAATTGTGAAATTCAAAGTAAGTGTTGCACATTAAAAAATAAGTCACAAAAAAAACTACCTTTAGGCCGAAAAAAAAGTCTCCGGTTTCTGGTATGGAGCTTGCCCAAAAAGTGGTGCGGCGACGCGGCTTTTATTCTTTTTTTACCTGAGTTTTTGCTTTAAATGTCGGCTGATGACTGCAAATGGTGTCCGACCTAACTTAGTGCAAATATACATGTATGGGAGTCCAGAGAGGCCACATCAAGCTTATTCTCCACCATAACCCAATCTAAAAACACATTAAAATTGTGCAGCAGCAGGATTCCAGTCAAACCAGTGAGTTTGGCGGTTTTGAGACATCATCTTTCATTGAAAAAAAAAACTTTTTCATTTTGCCGATGCGCATGGCTACGGCGACGCGCACGCATACCAGAAACCGGAGACTTTTTTTGTTTGGCCTTAGGCCTAAATCACAAACGTTGATTCTGACAGACATACATGTATGACAAAGCTATTTTGTCATAAAAAGCACCCTCGTCTTGAAACCTAGAAGATAACCCGTACTCAGTGTAAATGTACATTTACATACATTGCACATGTACATTGTACAAAGACGATACTGTACAATCTTTTTAGCACCTTTACCGGGTACACTTTACAATCTTTTAACACCTTTACACTTTTACAGTTCATGGGCGTCAATCGGTGGGGGGTGGGGGAGACAAGTTCCCACTTTTTAAAGTGGGGAATATCATCGGTTGTTCCCCCACTGTTTGCGTCCCTGAAAAAACGTGTAGCCCACTATGATTCCATACTGGTAGCTCGGACTAGCTGATTCAATAACTCAAAACAGGATGATATTTTGCTAAAAAAAAAAAATTGGTTTTATAATGTAGTGGTCAGAAATTGCCTCAGATCGCACCACAGAGCATCTAGAATCCATTCCCCCCCCCCCCCCCCGGGCCCTTAAGTGGGCCCAGAACAAGGTATATCCCCCCCCCCACTTTTGAGTGGGGAATATCATCGGTTGTTCCCCCACTGTTTGCGTCCCTGAAAAAAATTGTAGCCCACTATGATTCCATACTTGTAGCTCGGACTAGCTGATTCAATAACTCCAAACTCCAACAAGGATCAAGGATGATATTTTGCTAAACAAAAAATTGCTTTTATAATGTAGTGGTCAGAAATTGCCTCAGATCGCACCACAGAGCATCTAGAATCCATTTTTCCCCCAGGGCCCTTAAGTGGGCCCAGAACAAGGTTTCCCCCCACCCACTTTTAAGAAGCTATTCACGCCCTTGAGTTAAGTATGTGTGCAGTGCAAAACCCATTTTATCTGATCCAATCACGGTTCAGTGGTCTCTCATAGCAAAAAAAAAGACCCCCAGCAATGCCAGCATTGATCACCAATAGTAAAAACCTCTTTTTCCCCAGGTACAGCCAACCTTGTTCAATTCACCAGGGTACCGGTACGTGACCATGTTGGCACTGAGTCAATAGGGAAATGATCTTATTATTTTCATATATAGGGTGTGCACTAGTGTACGTGGAACAAACAACGCTGGTGTCACCTTGTTCCAGTCAGAGCAACCATCAACAAAGAAATGCAAAGCGGAAAAAAAGTAGATCGTTGGCCAAAAGGGACTGTCCCAATCGAGTCTGAGTTCCAAGAACTTGCTCAGGTTGCCAGAAACAAAGAACTTTGACCTAGCTCTGCCAATCTGGGGGGAAAGAGTTGACTTGCAATTGCTTTCTGTTCAATTCAAATTATTCATTGAATAACACTTCATTCATTGATTTGAATCCTGTTTCGTGGGAATTGGGCATTGGTCCATCAACTTTCTACTCTGTTGGAAAGAATGCAACTGATTTTTTTTTCCTGTGTTCTTAAAGGCGATGCATGTATGCAACATTTGCAAACATCAAAAAAGAAAACTGCCAAATTATTGTGAAAAACATGTGCCTTAGGCCAAATTTTTTTTTTGGTTCTGCTTCTGGTTACCCTACCGGTTCAGGCCTACCCTAATTTTTTGAGGGGGAAAATTAGGAAAAAACCCTGAAAACTATCAATTATACTACCTTTTACCCTTGACTACACGCAATTGCACCTCCATATGATCGTACACAAAAAAATTGCCTTAGCCCCCCAAAAATGATAGGTCTGCTTCCGATTACCCTATCGGTACCCACCCTATTTTGACAGCCCCTACCCTAATTTTTTGAGGGGAAAAAACAAAAACCATCAATTACTACCTTATACCCTTGACCATGTTGACTACACGCAATTGCACTTCCTATGATCGCACAAAAAATATATTCCCCCCCCCCCCCAATGAGTTCCCTACCTACATGTACCGTACCTAACCTATTTTCAAATGCCATGAAATCGGAAACAGAATTTTTAATTTTTTTGGCCTTACTTGACTGTATTAGTGAGTGTAGCCTCAAGCATCCCTTGGTGTGCTGTCATTTTTTAAGAAAAGTACAATTGTTTTAGAATCAATTTCCGACAATGGCCGACCATTATTGGCTGTCAGACAAAAATTCCGTTCTCGCTGGGTAAGCTTGTTCCCCCCCCCCCCCCCAGCAATCAGTATCGATAATGTACGGACAGGGAGCCAGTCTGCTTGCAAAGCAGATCTGTTTGTACCTGAAAAAAAAAACCCAAAAAATGTAATCCCTTGTATTGGAATTCCTTAAAGCTACAGTCCATCATTTGTAATTTGTGCATTTTGTTCGTTGGAAGCAACAAAAGAGTTCAAAATCTAATGAAGGATACTGAGCAACTAACCTGATGAAGTTTCAGCTAAGCTTCAGCTGTACATTCCAAGAAAAACAGCATTCTAAGATCTCAATTTCAAATCAAAAGTTACTGAATCATGTTTTGAATTGTTTTGAATTGCAGCTATACGCGACGTCGCGCACTGATCCGACAAATTACAACAACCGCGCGCGTGTGTGCGTCGTTCCAATACTTGTGCGCGCTTCGCTGAATAACAAAACGAACTACTACTTTAAATTTTCCTACGGTGCTTCTTAAGAATCACCGTTGGAAATGCCTTCTTTCGTTGATTATTTCAAAATGACAGCTTCCCAGAAAGAATAATTTCACAGGGAGTTTAGTTCCCTTACTATCTTTCAACCAAGTTTGTTTTTCAACAATAATTACGCCAGTTACTTTTCGGATGGCTGCAAATGATGGACTATAGCTTTAAAGGAAGAGTCCCTGTACTATTGGGGTGTGGTGGCACTCGAACAAATTTTAAAATTGAATACATGTACCGGTAGTTCATTTGTTAGCATTAGTAGAAACATTTAGTAGAAACATTGATTTCAATGTTGCCATTTCCACACAATAAAATGTTACAATGCCGTGTAAACATATTATACACAGAGCAAAATGCAATGAATTATGTAATTGTGTATAATAATGTACATGGATCAATACTAGAACAAATTTACGACAACATTTAGGTATAAGGTGAAGCGTCACGCTTTTGTACCCTAACCTATCGACAGACAAGTGGACATGACCGAGGAAAACAGAGACAGTGACAAAGGACAAAATGGACAACAGTGAGACACACAAAGACACAACCTAGAAAAACACAAACTGGTATGAGACGAGGGCATACATCTAGATTCACAAATTATAACTAGTTATTCGAATAAATGTAGAAAAAAACACAAACTGGTATGAGACGAGAGCATACATGTACATCTAGATACAAAAGTTATTAACATTCCAATGAGACGAAATTTTCCAATGAGACAAAAAGCAGTCCTCGCTAAAACTTATACTTTTATGGCTTTCAAATAAGCTTTTCAATTAGGAGCAGGACGTTCCTACGTGTATTTAAACTTAGCCTTGGTAAAGGCATTTGGCAATAGTGTCAGATGATCGGCCAGTAACATACACAGCAGCCCCACACCATGCACTTACATGCGTATATGTACTGTGCGAAGCGCGAACAGCGACCTCAGACGGCTAGGCTACAATATGCAAATCGGGTGGGGCTGAATTTTGTTCGCTCAAGAACATAAAATTATTTACAAGTTCATTCGGGAAAAAAATTGAACATTTCAAAAATCACTGGAATATTTACTTTAACTACTTTTGTATTTGATCTTTAATTACAAACATTTATTCATTAACTCTGTATTGTGTCATCGCAGGCGGGATCCACTTCTGCCAATCAGTGCCCAGTATGCAAATGAAGTCCACATCATCATCAGCCAATGAGGCAATAACCCTGGCCAGGCACCTGTGTAACGAAACTACCGCCTTAAATGGAAAAGGATTCCAGGAAATCCCGGACTATACGCAAGGTATAATTTCTCAGAAAAAAAAAAACCAAGCCATGCGCAGTAGTATACAAATAATGAATGTTTATGAGTGCAATGGTAAGAATAATTTCATGAGGCGACAGATGGACTGTTCCATTTCATAAGGCGAAGCCGAGTGGAATGGAACATTTCATCTGTCACCGAATGATTCAATGACCCTTGATCAATGACCCATGATAATTCAGTGATGAAACTTTTCAGATTTTAATCTGAAATCAGATTTTTTTTTTTACTTTTCCAATGAAATATCATCTTGTAACGATCCCACAAAAATGATTATTTAATGATTTTTCCACAAAATGTTGTTTTTTTCTTCATTATAATTTCCAAAAAAAAAAGTCCATGAAAAGTCCATGAAAACTGCACGTACAAATTTTCACAAGTGTGGTAGTTTTAATCTCTTTTACCAGTCGTGCATGGAGTGATTCTACGGTAGAAACACCTAGGCCAATGCTGATCAGATCCTTTTCCGGCTGGAGAAAAGGTTAAATACTGACTTATCACATGGAAAAATTAACTGGGTCCCATGTTGACGTGCTGCGCTGCACTGCGCGACACTGTGGCAGCTCGGACCCAAGGTCCAATTTCAGATTTTTGTTGCCAAGGCCAGTTTCACCTATGCATCACACATGTACATGTACTGGTAAAGAATGGACATTGTGGACAATGGACTAGTAAACTTCAAATCTATTTTTATGCAGTCCAGATTGCATTCAACCATGTGAATACATGGATGTACATGAAGTTTTAACAGCTCTGCTCTCATCACAGGTTTCTGTGAGAACTTAGACGAACCAAGACAGCAGTTGTTTCAAGAATTACATGTACATGTATATAAACCATTATAGTCCCCCTGCAAACCAACAGTCTGAAAGACTGAACCACACAGAAGATGAATGTAACCCCCGTCTTTTTATCTTGCAACCAGACGTGGCTTCTATCCCAAGATGCACCCCGTCTCCAAGCAGCAAGATGCCAAGCTCCAAATATAACTCCGACGAGCACTCCAATGCCCACTCCGTCAACAGAAACTATCGGGAAAATGATGGGGAGGAAAACATGCCATTGAACCTCAAAATAACAGGTAGCTTTACATAAATGGTTCCCGAAGAGCTTGTGTTTTCTTGCGAGATCAGTACCTTTTATAGAAGCTGTTGTACAAACAAATTATATCAAGTGATCTTGTTTTTCCAACAGAAGCTGCTAGTGAGAGCTCAAGCGATTCTGGGATTTCCGCATGCAGCTCCCAGGAACTTGCTGAGGAGAGGGAATCACACCCTGCTCATCCCCTCTCTGCCGTTAACATCTATGCATGCCACCCAGATCGCTCAGAAGTGAGCTGCCCCACAAGGCCGTCACAAGGTCACAGGTCACCACCAGTGGAAGGTCACAGCAAGAGGTCATCACCGGCTGAAGTTCGTGTCAGGAGGTCGTCCCTCACGGTAGAAAGCAATTACAAGAGGGGTCCACAGTCCTACGTTGGTTATCCCGCTTCTGACACCACGTTTTCCACTTATCCCACTCCTGACACCGGTTCAGATACACTCCATGTTTCCCATATCCAATCCTCTGCTGTACCTGAACAAACTGATTATAAGAATAGATGGGCTAGGTGGAATCGATACCCCGACGTGAGTTACTTCACAAATTACAAAATAAACAAAGAAGGCAAGCTTGCTGACGTTGATGCCGCAAGACATCAGCAGGGGGTGAAGCACGTTGTTTGGAAGGAGGATCATCTGAGCTTGAAGGAAGAGCGCGACCGATCACCTGTTAGATCTCGTACACATGCTAAAGAAGAACAGCTCTTTAATGGGAGTCCAGGCATTCCGTCTCCCCGACACTCTATCCCTGATAACCACTCTCGTCATTATAACTCTCATGGACAGATAATGCTAAGTGCATGTGAGGTACCAGTTATCAGGACAACAGAAAAGTTGCGACGTCATTCTTCTGACAGTGCAGCTAGTCGGAGCTTAGCTGCCTATCGCATGGAGTCCATCCCTGCTGCGCACCATAATTCATATGCATGCAAATCTCCTCAACAGAAGAGGAATTGTGCGGGGGATGGCTTTCCCAAAGTTCAGAGTGCTTTTTTCAGCCAGCAGTCCAGAAGAGATTCGTTGATGGCATCGAGAATAGGTAACCAGACAGAAGGAGAGGGCTCCTGCAAGCAGAAAGGAGGTGGGCAATGGAATTGTTTGGTGTAGATTTATCATCCAGGTTCATTTACAACATCATTGCAGAGCAGGGAATGACCTACACTGGCAAACAGTGTTAACATTTGCTAAAATTGGCAAATTTTATGCAAGTGGGATGGACTGTTTGCCACCAACGTTGGCGAACAATTAGCAATAAAGACAAACAGGCTTCTTGAGTTGTTAACTGCATTTTCCAAAATGGCCAACACAGACAACAAACATAATGATTCTATCGGGGGCCAAATTTTTCCGTTTTCCACATCCCCAGTAAGTTCATATATTTGACATTTCACTTCCAGCCACAAATCTTTCATATCCCAACACTGACACTTGTAGGATTGGCATGTTCAGGGCGACACCATGCATTCGGCAAAAAAGTGGCAGAAGCGCGGCAGTTGCTCTAAACGCCGCTTTTCTGCCGAACGTAAGTCGGTTATTCAAGATGAATGACCTCAGACAGAACATCCTGGTCACTCCACGAAATGTCCATGGGCGCCGCCATCTTGTTTTAATGCTGAACTGTAAACAGCTGGCCCGGAGGGGGGGGGGGGGGGGGGGGGTGGGGGGCTATGCGCATGTGCGTTTTAAAATGGGACCACTGTGTTGATTGAATTGCAAATTGAATTCGGCACGGCAGAAATTCGACGTTAAGAACACTGCCGCTCTTCTGCCGTTTTGAGCGGCAAGCCTTACCAAATTTACGGCAGAAGTGTGGCAGTTGGTCTAAACATCGAATTCTTGCCGCGTCGATTCAAATAGTGTCAATTTTTGAGCCATCAATTGAATTCGACACGGCAGAAGTTCGACGTTTAGAGCGGGCCTTTGTCGTTCCATTTGTGGTTGGCAAACTCAAGGGACCTAGCTACCGGGTTTACATGGTCGCAAATGTGTGAGTGGGAAGCCCTGTCTCTGCAACAATGTTGCCAATTGTTTGAAGAAATCTGTCTTGTGTTGCAATTTCAGAGTGCCGTCTTCTGTGGGATTTTCTGGCCCAGCTGCTCAACGATGACAGGTACACCCCTTACATCAGCTGGGAAGAGAAGGACAAACTCATCTTTCGCATCGTCGACCCGACCGCCGTGGCCAAAATGTGGGGGCGCCAGAAGAACCGCGACAACATGACGTACGAGAAGTTGTCGCGCGCCCTTCGCTACTACTACAGGACAAATATTATCGCCAAGGTGCCTGGACAGAAGCTGACGTACAGGTAGGAAACAGACAGTTAACTGCAAACACGCAGGCACAATTGATTCATTGATTTTTTCCCCCTAATTTTTGTGGAACTATTTGAAAATGAGGATTATCTGAAGAGAGTTCTTGTAAATACAATTGTCATCAGGGTTGTAATGACTCAAGTCGTAATTTTTGGTGACTAGACTGAGTCCCTACGGGTAAATGACTTTACTGGAGTCACTGCGAGCAAATGACTTGACTCAACTCGAGTCCCTCATCAGAAGATTTGACTTGACTGCAGTGAAGGCTAATAAGACTCGAGTCAAAAACATGAAAGCAAAACATTGCAAAAAGATATATATTCGATGACTTACGGTTCAAGGATTTTGTTCACATCACTTTGCTAATATCGTACGGTATAGCAGCTGCTTGTCATGTACAAAGATACAATGTGTCACAGACTCCCACCTCATGGTTCTGGAATGTACAAAATACTATCCAGTATAACCGGATGTTAAAACACATTTTCCAATTCGTTGTTTTATCATTGGCTCTGGGCGATTTCTTATGCAGCTCTTGGATTCGAAAGCCAGCTAAATTGACGCCCTCCTTTAAAAATTAAAACCAGATAGCCTATATGATCGAAGTTTCACTTCCGCCTCTCTGACCTAATGACTCGACTCGAGTCACTTCTTGAAAATGACTCGACTCACTTCTTTAAAATGACTCGACTCGAGTCACAAAAATCAGTGACTCGTTACAAGTCTGATTGTCATTCTTCGTACCCCAGATTTCTGCAAGATCCAAAGGACATTGCCAATGCTCCTCGCTTCTCCAAAGCTAAGAAGGTGCAGACTGCAACTCAGGACGGAGCCCTAACTGCAGATGGCGCGTCATCAAGAGAGGGCGCCATCACTCCAGGGAGTGTTCACTCGGACTCGTCGGACTCCGGTTCTGAAAGCACATCCTCCGAATCCACAGTGGTTGCCATGCCTACGGATGCAGTGGAAACCACTGCCATGGAAACAGATTTCAAGGAACAGGAAATCGTGGAAGTTAGCATAAAAGAAGAACCGGTTCAAACCGGCGATTAAGGAAACTAAGGCTTGACTACATGTAGATATGCCCATGCTATGCACATTTGTAATACTTTTTCTTGTACATATATACAAACGTAAGATGCTCTCAAATTGTATCGGGGTACGTTCCACTTACGCGAACAATGTTAACATTTGCCAACATTGGCAACATTTGAGCGCTTGGGTCTACTTGTTTGCCACCAATGTTTGCAATCGTTTACAGCAAAGGCGTATGTTTTTCCTAAGTTGTTGGTTGTGTTTCCCAAAATGGCCGACACAGACAATGAATGTAATCATTTTGTCATGGATGAAATTTTCCATTTTCCACTTTCAGTTAAAAAAAAAGAGAAGATTTTAAAAGTTGCTGTCTATACAGTAACACATGTAGGATATAGAGTGCACCGTCATTTTGACGAATTTTTGTTCAACGACATCATTCCATTTGAAGTTGGCACGTCCGTATGGTTAAGCTAAGGAACGCAAACTCGTTCACGTGACTGGAACACACGTGTTAAGTGACTTATACTTTTTACATAATTTACGATTTAATACCAATGAGTAACACCTAAAACTTTGTTCTTATTGGAAGATATGTAATTGATAAAAGTTCCATTGGATAAAAAGTTGCATCACCCGTGCTTCTCAACAAATTGGATTTTTTTTCTCTCATAAATGTTCAATTTCTACGTTTTCTTTTCCAACCCAAAAGTCCTATTTTATTTTTGTTGAGTGTCTGCAACCCTCTGGAAAAAAATGTTCCTCAGGCAAAAAAAAAAAATAGTCGGTCTCTGGTCAGACCGAAGTTCCGGAATTGACGTGGCGACGCTTTTTTTTTTTTTTGGTGGCTTTTTTTTTTTTTCAAGCTTGTATTGTACAGACAAGGTGGGTACTATTTTGCTTTTCTGTGTCCTCATTATACATTGGTGTCCTCCATAATTTGCCTTGGTGCCCTTTATCATTTGCCTTGGTGCAATTTCCACATTCCTTGGTACAAAAATTTGAGGAGACGCAGCAATAGAGGGCGCTGTTGTAGCTTCCGTGTTAATTTGAAAAAGAAAAAAAGGTTGACGCGCATGATTAAAATCGACGCGCGCGCTGACCAGAGACCGGGTATTTTTTTTTTTGGCCTTATTTATACCAGCAGGCTGGTTCCCAGTCAATACACTATGGTTACTGATTGTGGGCTGGAGTGGGAACCAGCCTACCCCGCGAGAACGTAATAATTGTGGGGCCTCAAGTAATTCAAAATTTGTAAAGTAATCGTTGAATAATTAAACATGGGCCGGATTTTTCGGTCAATGTCTCATTCAAAAGTGAATAAGTTTTGTATTGGTAGAAAAATAGCTAGCCAGAAAAGGAATCTATTTTTTCAGAATGAAACTCAAAAATAGCACGGGGAATGCATTTTTAAATCAAATCTTTCGGGAGTCTCCACAAATGTTGTGTACTTCACTGTTCGTAACAGTGATGTTTATAATTTGGGCGATTCACAATGCAGTGAGCCACCAAGAGTTTGCCAGGGAGAGTTCTTTTTACGGGTGCATTGTGGGAGATGGTCGACAAATGCGCAGTGCGGAACATTTGAAATTGTTAGTTTTTCCGTATAATTCCAATATCTGTTTGCCCTTATTGTTTCTTTTTATCAATATGGTGGCTTTTTTTTTGTGAGGCGGCAGAACGCTATGCCCCAATAATCTACAACAAATTAGCTCAAGTTGTCTACTGACACTCATTCAAATGGGCCATGTTTTGTCGCCCTTAAGCCAAGCTCCCTAGCATGATTTACTAGGAACCATACCCATCCTGGCAAATTCCAACACCATATGGGAACTGTGCACACCTATTTTTGCCTTAGTTTCTGGAGGTGTGCCAACCCAATGTAAAAGACTGTCAGTTTAGGGGTACTGCACCCATCCAGACAGATTCCAACAATACATGCTGTTGGGGTTTGATGGGTTGAGTTCTGTTAGGGTTAACCTTGAAAAATGGACTCTCCATGGCAAACTCTTTGTGGCACGCTGCATTGTGAATCGCCCGAATTGGTGTGTTATTTGTTTGAATGCTTTGTATTTACTGCTACAAGCTTTTGTGTGTGTGCTGTAAAATTCAAAATTGGCCAATAGTGGTCAGGGTTTCTAATCCTGAGCTGCTGGCCATATGTTGTGTCCTTGGGCAAGCCACTTTACCCCCACTTGACTCTCCATCCAGCAGTATATAAATGGGTACCGGCATTAGCTGGGGAGTAGCCTGCGATGGACTAGCATCCCATCCAGGGAGGATAAAACAATTCTCAGTTGTTTCATTCTTCTGAAACCGGAGATAAACGCCGGCCTAACCCAGGCCACATTTGCTCGTGACTTTACTTACTTACTGTACATGTACTTAATATAAACACTTACTATACTCAGCATTGTTTTTATGGCAGTATATTGCATAAGACCACAACTGTACTGTAGATATTAACTTAATATGAAACAAAAAGTTGGTTTTATCTTTCTTAATACATGTGTTTGTTCATTATGTGATTGTTTTTGTTGAAAGTTGATTTAATCAGAACAAAATGAACCAGGAAGTTGAGTTCACTGTTGTATTTTCTTTTCAAAGGTAAATCTGGAACGTAAAGGGTACTGGATGCCATTTGCACAATGAAAAACAAATGTGTTTTTGTCAAATTAAGTAACAATACAGTTAATCTGAAGTGGGTTATTAAAAAAAAAATGTCGACATTTCAGATTAATAGAAATACTTTTTGAGAAAACTGTGAAAGTCAATGCTATTTTTTATCGTCACGAAATGTCGGTTTCTGTTGACAGCGCGATGGCTTGGTCCATCATGAGGAAATGATGGCAATTCCTCTTTTCTCGAAAACGACAGCCTGCTGAGCGCAGTGATTCAAAGGATGCTTGATACTATTACATGTATTAACTTACAATGAAGTAGGACATTTCATGCTGTTTATGGCAGTTTCATTTTTAATTGAGAATGGTGACTATTACACCTTTAATAATAATGATCAAAACTGATGTTTATATGCTGTCATGATGTTAAAGTGAGGCTTGCTTCAAGACCAGGGGCCAATTTCATAGAGCTGCTTAAGCACAAAATTTGCTTAAGCACAAAAACGTATTGCTTAATAAAATCAGGTTACCGGCCAAAACTCCATGCGATTGTTATGCTAAGTAAACAACAGCTAAATACCAGTCACAAGCAATGTACATCACATGGAGTTTTGGCCGGTAACCTAATTTTACTAAGCAATGTTTTTTCGTGCTTAAGCAAAATTTCTGCTTTTAAGCAGCTCTATGAAATTGGGCCCAGTAACAAATAGCCGAGTGATTTATACATGTAGTGCCATTTTCACTATGAGATCCCCCCCCCCCCCGGCAGTAACCTCTGGATCCGCCCTTGCCCTTACTTCTGCTAACCCATAAGCACAACTTATAAATCATATGTACAAATTAATATAACTTATAACTCGTATGTACGACTTCATACGTTTCACTTATAAATTATAACGCGTACTTACGGCATATAGCTCATACCGGTACATACGGTATGTCTTATAACTCATAGATACATGTACGGCTTGTTACTCGTAAGTACGCCTTGTGATAATAACTGGCCCAATTTCATAGAGCTGCTTAAGCAGAAACTTTGCTTAAGCACGAAAAAACATTGCTTAGTAAAATTAGGTTACCGGCCAAAACTCCATGTGATGTACATTGCTTGTGACTGGTATTTAGCTGTTGTTTACTTAGCATAACAATCGCATGGAGTTTTGGCCGGTAACCTGGGCCCAATTTCATAGAGCTGCTTAAGCAGAAAATTTGCTTTAGGACAAAAAAACATTGCTTAGTAAAATTAGGTTACCGGCCAAAACTCCATGTGATGTACATTGCTTGTGACTGGTATTTAGCTGTTGTTTACTTAGCATAACAATCGCATGGAGTTTTGGCCGGTAACCTGATTTTATTAAGCAAGACGTTTTTGTGCTTAAGCAAATTTTGTGCTTAAGCAGCTCTATGAAATTGGCCCCTGTACTTTATGCAGTTCACAGTAAAGAAGAGGACACCCCCAACCCTCTCTTTGCAACTGGGTACTTACTATGTGCATGCAGTTCATAGTAAAGAAGAGGACACCCCCCAACCCTCTCTTTGCAACTGGGTACTTACTGGTACATGTATGTGCATGCAGTTCATAGTAAAGAAGAGGACACCCCCAACCCTCTCTTTGTAACTGGGTACTTACTGGTACATGTATGTGCATGCAGTTCATAGTAAAGAAGAGGACACCCCCAACCCTCTCTTTGTAACTGGGTACTTACTGGTACATGTATGTGCATGCAGTTCATAGTAAAGAAGAAGTACATTGTTACAGAATTCTGTATCAGATAACTGTAGCTGTATCTTGAGATACTGTATTGGGTTTTGCGCTTCATGTAGTAGGAGCCTATCTGTTGTTTCTTCTAAAGTGTTCTTGATTAACCAGTTCGCGCCGAATGAGGTGTATTACCCGCAAAGGTTTTTGCAGTACTCGGAATAGATGACGAATAAACACGCACGGAGCGAGGCCGGAAATAATCCGTCAGTGACCCGCTCGCAGCGAGCAAGGCTGGAAACATGAGTGTGCTGCCACGAGGGTGATGGCTTCAATCCGTCTGACATGAGGTCGAGTGAAAAGTAATCCCGCGCAGCCTCACCTTGTTTATGACTTGTCAAATAGTCCCGGCGTGAACTGGTTAACATGCATTACCAAGAAATAAAGACAACAATGTCAATGTAAAAAGGTTGTCTTTTTGACAGATATAATTGTTTAGACACTTCCAAATTTCACAAGGCACAGCAAAATAAGTCGTCAACATAGTACCGGTAATGTAATTGTAAATATAACACCAAAAAAAATTCTATTTTTTTCCTCCTTAAAATCTATAACTAGAGTACTGGAGTTGTAAAGATCTAGCTAAATTAATTGTTCTTTAATCATATATGCTATAATCTATTGCAAATTTCTCTATCAATGCTACAAAGAAAAATCGCAGCTAATGTTGATTAAAAAAAAGAGAGTTTATTTAAATTAATAAAATCAAGGCAGAAATCAACGAGGCACTTTTAGTTCTCTAGTCTGATTATTCTTCTGTTTTGTCCGCATTTTTTTTTTTGCCATCTGGCGCATGATCCTATCTTCTACAATTTTAATGAAAAACTTGTCTGAATTGACATTTGAAAATAGTTTTCTTTTTAAAGAGGTTGTGGAATGCTCGAAGACATTTCCGTCATTTTCCGGGTATATGTAGCCTAAGGTGTGATGAAATAAAAACGACTATTGTTTCTGTCATAAAATGAGTACAAAAGGTACATTTGAGAGCTGTTTTTCAATTCCTGTCATGCCTGTTTCGACCCGAACATGCAATTTGTGTAAAAGTCGTCGTTGCGGGCAGCAAACAAAACACAGTAAATCGTGACATAATAAACAGGACTCCCGATGCAGAGTAGCATAAACGAGTCCTGTTTATTACGTCACGATTTACTGTGTTTTGTTTGCTGCCCGCAACGACGACTTTTACACAAATTGCACGTTCGGGTCGAAACAGGACCTGAAAAATAGCTCTCAAAAGTACCCTTTGTACTCATTTCATGACAGAAACAATAGTCGTTTTTATTTCATCACACCTTAGGCTACATATACCCCAAAAATGACGGAAATGTCTTCGAGCATTCCACAACCTCTTTAATATTTTGGCACATTAATATAAATACACGCAAGTTTGGACACATTTTTGCAATATACAGTATTATTAATGTTGCGGGATGAGGTATCTTTGTGCTGTGTGACAATAATGGTCAGGGGTGGCATATACAATATCTCTGCACTATCGGTGTTCATGCAGCCATGGGTCGATTGCGCAGCCATCGGCCAATCGCCTTTTATCTGTAATTCAGCCATCAGCCTCGGTCCAAAATTTGGGCCACCGGTATCAAATGAGGGGAATAATCGTCAGCGATTTTTGGCGAGGTACAATGTATTACACCTCCAGAGTTGGAAAATATGTGACAGCATTGCAGCGGTGGCAGCTTTTTGGGTGTTATCACCCTTTTTTTTGAAAATGTCCATCATAATGCTTGTTACCACTCTAGGGGCGGTATACCTTGCACATGCGCACTATAATCATTTCTGCCCTGATTTGATACTGGCCAAACCCCTAGGCTGATGGCTAGCTAAATTCAAGGTTTTCACGGACTGTGATTAGAACGAGCATGAAACTCCCGAGATTTCCTACAAAATCGACCGATTGCATTTCTGCGTGATCAAGTGATAGCGCAGTTCCAATGATCACACCCAACATCAGCATTTCACACGCATTATAAAACATTTATGCACCTATATATATTGTTTCCCATTCTCCCTACCAAAGAGACTGTTACTATATGATTCTGGGCAAGCCTTATGCTACGGGTAGTAACCACCAGCTCCGGCATGGTCTGGTGTCTTAGTGCCATTCTCAACCATTATGAACAAAGTATTGGTACTGAGTGTCTCTTACGTAACTATACAAGAGCTTGCCCCGAATCATGTGATTAGCAACAGTGTCTTTGGTCTGGAGAATTCAAAGTTAAAGTGTGCCAAGCATTCTGAGCAAGTCAGTGTACCAGAGGTTTTTCAAATTTAAATCCCAACGGGTATAGGTCACTCGTAAATGGCTTATTGGTATCTGCGCAATAAAACGGAAGTTAAGGTCAAAACTGTTCATTTGATTGTAGCCATCAAATCGCAATCTTTTCAATATATTGTAAAGTGAAATGCTTTTCTTTTTTCGAAAATTGTCCTTGTTAGGATGGGTCTAGCCCGGACACATAATAAATTTTAGGATGTTACGCGTTGTAGATCACTATACTGTGCATGGTGCACGGATACATGCGCTGTATTCTCATGAAATCTCTGAAAAAAACGCTCTACATGTATTCCTGAGATGTTACTGTAAATGCAAAGAGATCTCCTTACGTCTTTTTCAATTGCAGATATATACATAGTTTTGTAGGTAAAAACACATTTTACTATACCTCATGAATATTCATCTGGCAGCCGCGGCATTTCATTGGTCTATTCCAGCAACTCAACCGTGTGAACGTTTTTACTATTTCCCCGCGTCTCTGCACGCGCATGTGACGTGAAAAACCAGGGAGGTACTATCATACACCTGGGTCGCAGCCTTAGACTTGTTGCAGTCTAGTACTGTGTTATCTTTCTACCAACTGGAGATCACCGAAATCCAGCTGTGCCAGTCTAGTCCAAAAATCCTATAGCGCCGTAGGCGCTGTCTAGTCTATTTCGGGCATACATCAACATGGCCACCGGTGGTGCTCGCTTCGCAATTTCAACCGAGGAAGAACTGGGGGACATTTTGCACAATAATAATAAATCCAGTGTTTTGTGTGAATGTTAAAAGTTATTAGATGACGCAACATTTCGATTCTGTTTGTCTCCTTAAATTAAAATTAATGTTTCAGTTTATCCAAGTACTGCCCAATCAAAAACATGGTGGAACTGGCATGGACCAATGACATACCACAGCTGCCTGATGAATATTTATGAGGTACATGTATAGTAAAACAAATACAACATTTTTTTTGCGTGCAAATAGTGAAAACAAGTGACCCCTCGGTGTTGGATGATTGGGATTATAACACCTCACCCACAGATTCTGTGTCTTGATTGGCCTAGAGCGAGTCACATGATACTTTCTAATTTTGCTATCTTTCTGTGCACGGCCAAAAGTACTATACCCGTAGCAACCAAAGTACTATACCATTAGCAACCAAAGTCCTATTTCCGCGGCGCGGTATTTGTGTGCAAAATGGATGCTGGTGTGCGCGTTGTGCGTATTGTTCCAAAGAGAGCGCGCCGCAGACTTGGGTTCAAACATTTCACAAAGGGGTAGTTTGGAAGAGAGAAATACATTTTCCACCAATTTTGTATTGAAATTGAAGTTTATTTCAACTGTGTTCAGATTTAAATAATTTAAAATATTAAAATCAAGCAGAATCTGTGGGTGAAGTGTTATAAAACAAATATTGAATGCTTTATCTCGTGGTGAAGTAAAACTAGCCTCCCTCGGTGATCCATGGACCATTCTATTTTCCCTCGGCTTCGCCTCGGGAAAATAGAATGTCCATGGATCACCTCGGGAGGCTAGTTTAACTACACCACTCGAAGCATTCAATATTTGTATACTATCTCCCTCAGGAGATAGTCCCAATCATCCAACAGCTCGGGGTCGATTAGTTTTCACTATTCCCCCACAAACCATGTTGTATTCGTATAATATAAAACTGAATTTATAAGCACTCTTCCTTCAGAAGCCTCAAGCTGTATTGCGATATAAAGGGACAACTATTAATAAAAGTAAAAATTCAGCGAGTACTATAAAAGTTAAAATCTACCTACATATATAGTAAGCGGCATTATTTTAAAAGTACTGATACAGGCACAACAAAACTTCAAAGATTTATTCAGAGTGCTATTCAAACCAGTAAAATCTAGTCACTTCAGCCTCAAAACTAGCCTTGGTCAATGCTCTCATCGTTATTCGTCCCCTACGCGGTCAATCGTCGCGCTATGCACATGCATACAAAACCTCACATGGACGATTGAACCAAGGCGCTAGATCGGGTCCAACTGATTTGCATAAAAATACCGGTAGTGGCCGTGTGAGGTCGCTGTTCGCGCTGGGGACGATCGAGAGCCTTGGTTCAATAATCGGCAAAAGCTTATGTTTTTCTTTACTTTGCGCTAGATTTCCAGTGCACGACCTCGTTTGCGAATACAGATAATGTAGGCGGGGCTACTATATGGAGAGTCCAATCACACCTTGGTAAATCCGGACGTCATCAAATTCTTTGCAGCTATTCCGCCTTTTGCGGACGTGACAGGAACCACAGTTTTTGTGCATTGGTGCCGTGTGCAGAGACACACAATGTCTACGTGTATGGATTATGTACGGTGCCACGTTTCACTATGCAAGTTTCCACGCAACGATCGACCAATAAGAAAACAACATTCAAGGTCAGCTAAGGCTATTAACATAATGAGCACCACCCCCAAAACCTCACAAGGACGATTGAACCAAGGCGCTAAATCGGGTCCAACTGATTTGCATAAAAATAGTGGCCGCGTGAGGTCGCTGTTCGCGCTGTATTTTTAATGCACTGCATGCATAGACTTATGACTGCATGCATAGCGCTAGCGAAGATATCGTTTACCGCGCTACGGCCGGATGAATAACAACTAGCGCCTTGACCAAGGCTACCTCAAAACACACTCCCTAAAATTGCATTTGTTTGCAGTGCAAATTTAAACAATCGTTAATCATTCTAATTGCACTATCATCTGGATATGTACATGTACATGTAGATGCCAGATTCCATTTGTGCAATAAATACGTTATTTCTCGACAACAGATATCTTATAGACTAGCCCACAGACCCCTTGCAAACAGCGCCCTCTCTGTTCATCTGTCATGCACATGGGTAGGCATTTTGTGCTTTACGGTCCGTTTCAATTCATATCCGGGATGATGTCCGGAACTTGTCCGGATATAAGGCATCGGGTATAAGGGATATAAGGCATTGGGTATAAGGGATATAAGGCATCGGGTATAAGGGATATAAGGCATCGGGTATAAGGGGTATAAGGGATATAAGGCATCGGGTATAAGGGATATAAGGCATTGGGTATAAGGGATATAAGGCATCGGGTATAAGGGACATAATGCATCGGGTGTAAGGGATATAAGGCATCGGGTATAAGGTGCATGATTCTGAACAACTTCTCTGCTATCTGTATGCAATGAAGTTATCAGCATTGGTGAGTCAAGCAGTTTCTACCGGCAATGCAAATTTTCCCAGAATATGTCCTGGACAAATGTAGAGCTTTTTCCCACACAAAGCATGCGTTCGAGTAGCTCATCCGGATCGACTCGGGTAAAGGCAGACGGGTAAGCCACGACAGCTGGGTTAATCGAACGCTCATCCGCGGGCCATCATGATCCTCACGTGATGCCCGTAGCCACGGCCGTAGCCACTGACAAAACGCCTGATTTTCGAACTGGGTCTTACTTTGAGATTTACTGCTTTTCAGTCAATTGCAGAACCAAAAAAAGTTGGACTGGAATTACAATTCAACAAATAATTACCTTAAGACTTCAAATACGTTAGATTTTTGTGTCCACTTGAGATTTCCGCTGTCCGGCTGCCACATTTGTCCGTTTCTAGGAATGAATAACCCCTGCGTGTGTCGTATTTCCACCACTGACTCTGCTCCAGGAGCAGGGTCTGTAGTGGCCGACCCGGGTTAGCCCTGAGAACGACGTCAGAGCTAATCGAGCTAATCCGGGTGAGCTACTCGAATGCACCCAAAGTGAATGATTCTACCCGCAACTTGTCCGTAAGTCATCTTTGATATGAATTGAGAGGGGCCCTAACTGAATCAAAATCACACCTGTCCCCAGTGAAGGGGCTCTGTGCAAGGGATAAGATTTCACCTCGCCCACCACCCAAAGATTTACAACAATCCCGTTAAAATCATTCTCAAGTCCTAGTACAGTAATACACCTCAGATATTATGATGTCACGCTTTGTTAACATGTGTGCTTTCATATGGGAGCTTGTGGCCCTTGTCCCCCACCTTGCTCCAACGAAAAAGTGCACACATGTAAACAAAGCGTCACGTCACGAGGCTTTACTTATTTCGTCTTTTTGTTGTTGTCGCCCGATGCGCCGTTGCGGACGGTTTCCCCGTTCTTAATGTCCATCGTCATTGACGAACGCTGCGACTTGGGGAGACGCTCTTTGCGGATGTAAGCGTGGATGTAAAAGTTGATGAATAGCGCGAAGATGGTGATGCCGTAGACAATCACCGCATATTGCATCCACAGCGGGAACTCGCACTCAAAATAGAGGGACTGGAAGGCGTGGATTAGGCCAATGATGAACTGAGCCTGCAAAGGGGGAAATACAAATTGTTGACTTGATAAGTTGACTTGCTAACAGCGGACCCATGGCGGCGCTTGGTTTTACACTGATACCAAGGAGGTCACGCAGCTACCCTGCAGTAGCCCTGACCGAGCTCGACTTTGCTGATGACATCGGTATCCTCTCTGACACCACCTCCCAAGAGTTTTCTAAAGTGGAGAATGTAGCCGAGCGGGACTATCACCTAATGCCACGAAGATAGAGCTACCGGTAGGTGATCACTTAACATTTCCCAGACCACACACCCCTAACAATCCTAGAGGAGGAGTCATCTAGTATCTAGAGTCATGGCTCGACTCCAACGAGCAAGACATCCGCATTCGCAACGGCCTAGCCTGGAAGGCTCTAAACAGAGTGAAAACCATGTGGAGCTTAAACCTCAAGGGATGTCAAGCTCAGTTTCTTCCAGGCCACAGTGAAATTCATCCTGCTATACTATCATTAGTGCTGGACCTTAACCCCATCCCTCCAGAAGTCCCTCGACGGGTGTTACACCAAAATGTTGAGGATGGTGCTCAATGTCGACTGGAGAGAGTACTCCTCCAACGAAACCCTCTGCGACAAGCTACCGCGATTCTCACAGAAGATCGCATACAGACGGACGGGCCTGGCAGGACACTGCCACAGGCATCCCCAGCTGCCGGCAAGAAGGCTGGTGCTGTGGGAACCGACTCATGAGGCCAAAATTAGGGAGGATGAGCTACGTTGGGGTCCTAAAGAGGGATGCTGGGGTGGAGAAAATGGCAAAGCTGGCTGCCTGCATAATGAATTAGAGAGACTGGAGCTGCCATAGGAGATCCTTCCTGTGAGCGACATGTACATGTAGTAGCGTTAGACGACTAGTTGAGTGTGGCATAGTGCTTAGGGATAGTGACCCCTTATCAGACGGCTAGGGGTTCAAATCCAGCTGCTGACATTATGTTGTATGTGTCCTTGGGCAAGCTACTTCACTCTAACTTGCCTCTTTTCATCAATGATTTTAAGACTAGCCGAGTGTGGCTTGTGGTACAGGTTTGATGTAACCCCTCATCAGACAGTTAGGGGTGTGAATCCAGCTGTTGACATTATGTTGTATGTGCCCTTGGGCATGCCACTTTACCCTAAATTGCCTCTGTCCATCCATAAGTATAAATGGGTTAAAGTTGTTAGTTCATTTATGAGATGACTAGTTGAGTGCGGCCTAACGATAAGAGTTTGTGACTTGTGATCAGAGGGCCAGGGGTTCAAATCAGATGCTCACCACGTATTGTGTCCTTGGGTAAGCCACTTTACCCTATTAGCCTCTCGCATCCATAAACTTGTATCAAGGAGTTAAAAGTGTTTTCGACTTGTGATCAGAGGGTGAGGGGTATGAATCCAGCTGCTGGCCAGGCCATGTGTTGTGTCCTTGGGCAAGCCACTTTACCCCACTTGTCCCTCTCCACCTGAATGGCTCCTGGCGTTAGCTTGTGAGTAACCTACTAGGGATTGGTATCAAAGCCATGGAGGATAGGAATATTCTGCCACATTGTACCGCGTCAATAAAAAATGGTTATTACAACTTTGTGACAACTTTGACTTTTAAGTGATGACTTTTGTGATTACACTAGTTGGTGGAAGACTGGGAAACAGTTTTGTAGTTCTTGTACTCGGTATTTGAGGACAACTCTAGATCTTTGAATACTCATACTCTCACTGGTACTCAAATATCAAAATACTCAAGACTCGAATTCACGATACTGGTACTCGAGAAGCAGAGTACTTGGACTTGACTGTTCGATATCGTACTCCATCATCAGAGTACTCATACTCCACTATAAGGACTCGGGGTAACGTGGAGTCATTTAGTTATGATGAAAAAAAAACCATCCTTACTTAAAGAATTGGCTTTCAATAAGTCTCAAAAGTCGTCCGTAACATCCATGTTGCTGAATTGGTGGTTTCAGTTTCCGCTCATTACTTCAGATTTAATTGTTTTCACTTGAGTACCGCACTAGTACTCGTACTCAAAGGTCCAAGTACTTGTACATATGTACTTGGAGGTCCAAATACTCAGACTCGGTTTCACAAAACCTGGACTCAAAAGTAAAAGTATCTGGACTCGGGTACCTGTACTCTTTTTCAAGGGTCAAAGTACTTGGATGCGATTGGTACTCAATATCTTGGTACTCGATATCTTGGTACTCGATATCTTGGTACTCGATATCTTGGTACTTGATATCTTGGTACTCGATATCTTGGTACTCGATATCTTGGTACTCGATATCTTGGTACTCGATATCTTGGTACTCGATATCTTGGTACTCGATATCTTGGTACTCGATATCTTGGTATTTGATATCGTGGTACTCGATATCTTGGTACTCGATATCTTGGTACTCAATATCTTGGTACTTGATATCTTGGTACTCGATATCTTGGTACTCGATATCTTGGTACTCGATATCTTGGTACTCGATATCTTGGTACTCGATATCTTGGTACTCGATATCTTGGTACTCTGCAGTACTTTGTACTTTAGTACTCAACCACAACACTGCTGGGTACTTACAAATTGCAGCTGAGTGAGGTAGCGTTTCCACCAGAGATATTTCTGCATGCGTGGACCCATAGCCGCCAGTAGATAGTAGGAATACATGACTAAATGAATGAAGGAGTTCAGCGTCGCTCCAAACCAGGCTGTGAAATGAAGAAAATGAATAACATGCAAATGTATCAATCCATAATGCTACAAATAGGGAACGGAAGGCAGCTTTGCTGTCGACTCTATGACAAGTCAATTACATATAACATGTGCATATATGTAAGTATTCAGTCGCAATTAAAGGCTGGTTGTTACCCGCACGTTGTGCAATTCGGGCGATTCACAATGCAGTGCGCCACCAAGAGTTTGCCACGGAGGGTTTCTTTTTCCCAGTGCATTGTGGGAGATGGTCGACAAATTCGCAGCGCGGGACATTTGCAATTGTAAGTTTTTCCAGTCAGTAAGTTTCGTAAGTGTATGATTCGAGTATCTGTTTGCCCTTTTGTTTTCTTTTAATCAATATGGTGTTTTTTTGTAAGGTGGCAGAACGCTATGCCCCAATCTATCACAAATTAAGTTGTCTATACTTAAGCTCAAGTTGTCTATACTGACACTCATTCAAATTGTTCATGTTTTGTCGACCGTAAACTTGAAAAAATAGACTCTCCATGGCAAACTCTTGGCGGTGCACTGCATTGTGAATCGCCCGAACTGCAACGCAACATTCGCATTGCAATTTACTTATGTTGAAATGTGCTGGAAGTCATGTTCTTGGGGCGACATCATAAATTTGCATTTGCGTTCAGTTTTGCACCAAGAATGACAGACTAACTGACTGACGCACTCACTCAAGGAGTAAACTGCGACTTTCAGTTCAAGCTCAACTAGACAAGCCATAATCTTGGTTCTTGGTTGGTTCATCTCCTAAATACTCCACATGGGAGTTTATACAGGAGACCAGAAACACCGGGGCAAACCCCTTCTCTTAGCGATAAGTGTCACTGGGTTCTTTTACGTACATTGGATTACACAACACACGGGACCTACGGCTTTACGTCCCATCCGAAGGACGGAGCAATAATGGTTAAGTGCCTTGCTCAAGAGCACAAGTGTCCACCCGGCAGGCTCGAACCCACGCCACTGTTGCCTCTGAAACACCAGAGCATGAGTCCGGTGTTCTTAACCGCTAGGCCATATGACACTCCTAGTACTTTATTACAATTGATGAGCACTCCCTCCTCCTGCTCCAACTCCACCCCTAACTTACACTGCCCTCCAGCCACCCATTTGATTCCGATCCACCACCAAGCAAACATGCTAGCATGATGGTAGACGTGAAGGAACGTCAGTTGACTGTTTTTCTTCCTGCAGATGAAGAACACGGTGTCTAACATCTCGATCAACTTGGAGATGTAGAACCACCAGAGCGACTTGGCGATCTGTGGGAGATATCAGAAGATTGTTTACTAAACAATGCATATAGGAACACTCCCCACAAAAAAAAACTGCCAAAATATTCTGTAATAGCCCACTTGATTGTCGTATGAAATATCTGGTGAAATGGTTGAGCCTGGTATGCTGTCATTCTCAAGATAAGAGGATTTGTTTTGTATCAGTACTTAAATGATGGTTAGGACCTAACTCGCTGAGACCAAACAGTTTACTCAAATGCTACATCCGTTAAATGGCCGCAAGCCAGCTGTTAACTTCATGCGTACGCTTGGTCATCGACAAGCTGAATTAAATCCAGCTTTGAGAACTTTGGCAGTGCTTCCCAGAAAATTCCGAGCATACCTCATGTATTCAATCTATGACATGCGTGTGAGGTACTGGTGTGCATGAAATTTCCTGGGTAGTGCTGCCTAAGTTGCCAAGACTGAGAAGCTAGTGATGCCATTGAACCGATGGAGGTCGCTATCAACAAGATGAATTAAATCCAGCTTTGGGAACTTTGGCAGCACCAACCAGAAAATTTCGAGCATACCTCATGTGTTTTAGTCATTCTAATGCGGGCATGTGAGGTATGCATAGAATTTCCAGGGTAGTGCTGCCCAAGTTACCAAGACTGACAAGTAGGTAGAAGTTGTTATCACATGCGTGTGAGGTATGCATGAAATTTCCTGGGTAGTGCTGCCCAAGTTCCTGAGACTGACAAGCTAGTAAAGCCATTACACCGGTACAGGTTGCTATCAACAAGATTAATTAAATGCAGCTTTGGGAACTTTGGCAGTGCTACCCTGAAAATTTTGAGCATACGTCATGTGTGTTTTATTCATTCTAATGCAGGCGTGCGAGGCATGCATGGAATTTCCTGGACAATTAGCTTCATCTTCGATGACTTGCGGTGTCATTTCAAATATTCCAATGGTGGTATGAATTTTGGGCACATAGGTAGTCCCTTTATTTTTTTGAGCGTGTGATTTGGTAATTCCTCCTTAAGGAGTTAAATCCTTTTTGCTATTTGTGACCGGCTCAACAAAAAAAGGGTATAAAGTCGCGCTGAGCATTATTGTGTAATGGCTGGCTCAACGTTTAGAGGATGAACATTTTGTCAAAATGTGCCTTTTTTTGTCATGAAGGACATCTGTAATACCTATAGTTTCAGGTTACATTCACAGAAATGTTGATTTTGATGAACAAAGTGGTAAAAACAACGATTTCATGTGCATCATTTTGTTGTTCTACAACAAAGCCAGCTCTTTCTAAGCCTGTTTTCTCAGTTGTAAAATTTGAACTCCAAGGAAACTAAAACATCATATCTCCAGAACGGGAGGGGCTATGGAGCTCTATTATACACCAAATGGAAGCTTACATTGTGGGTTTCCAACCATATATATATAACTCCATTTCACTTTTTTTGTGACATAATACTCTTTTTTGTGGAGCCGGTCACATTAACTTGATAGAGGGCGCTATTTTACCCGGAGCTCATACTCGTTGTAGCTAAAGACCACCTGTTGGCAAGTGAGGCTGTAGCCCAGCTGGTACCCGCATATCACATTCTGAAAGAAAAAGAATCGACCCAAAAATATTGCTTTGAATGCAGTGGACAACATTTGGCAAAAACAAATTTTTTAAATGAAATTGTTGATTTACTATGAACGAGCTTATATGGTTGCAAGTAAATAATAGATGATCAAGCATACTGTGAAATGGTAGCACCAGGTACGGTAGGATGTCATTTTAAGGAAAGAACATTTGATATCATTTTCTTAACGATCACCCGGCCCAACGATTGTTAGGAAAATGGCTTTTTTCCCCCCTTGAATACCACATCTATTAACCCTCCTGCTATTAAAACAGTCACATACAGTCAAAATTCACTTCCAATTCCCCTGCGATACTTTTAACAAAGGCTAGTCACCAGCAGTCAGATCATATGTCAAGCAAGCGCTGTGACTAGTCAAACATGGTCAACAGACAAAGCAGGCAAGTTGTGGTCACAGCTGTTTTATCACTCACCTGAGTCAAAGCATAGCTGTATCAAATTATTTCAACAGTCCCAGTCAATCCTGCTGTTTGTACCCTGGGAATTCTTAACTGTTGAAAACAGTCACTTGTTTGATTCTGACTGAAAGGACTACTTGGCACAGAATGCATGTTTGCATAGGAGGGCTATTAGGAAGTATGTGGGTTTGAACCCTTACGTGGAGCACTGTGCTTGTGTTCTCGGGCAAGACACTTTTACTACAACTGCCTCTACAAAAATTCTGGCATAACCAACCTCTTTGACGATGTGGAACGATATCGCCATGCACAGGAAGTTATACATAATCATGGGCCATTTCAGGGTCAAGGGGTCGCGATTGGCCATGACCTTTGGCCCCAACCACACGATGAGTAGATACAGCAGAGCGATGGCGATTGTCCATCGCGGCGAGTCCATAAAAAGCCAGGTCTCAACCCGGGGATCTGCGGCGAAAATATCGATAAAAGATTGTCACCATGATTTACTCAATTCACATCATAAAAAAACAGCAGTAATTACAGAAATTATGGTTTTAACTCTTTGAGTAAAGAATCAGGTTGGCATAGTGGTATTTTCCTCGTCTTCCCACCACTGTGACCCGGGTTCGAATCCCACCTGGGTCAATATGTGGATTGGGTATTCAGTCCCAGCCTGGTTCCATGGGTTTTCCCCAGGATATCATTCTCAGGGGTTTTCCTCCCAACATTAAAACTGTAATTTCCTTCCACATTTTCAACTAAAGGACCCCATATGAAATATGTCTTAAGAAGACTTAATAATCACAGACAAAAGCCGAATAATCGCAGACAATTAAAAGCGTCAATTTGATAAAACATTTTTTTTACAACTTTCAAGGTGTTAAATAGTCTGATGTTTTAATAGTCTCAAGCATCCTGTGAAATCATGGCGCCTGGTATGCTGTCATTTTCAATAAAAGTAGACTTTTGCATCGTTTTCCAATGATGGTTTGGCCAAACCAGACTTGTACGACTCGTGACTCGTGACTCGGACTCGAGTCCAACTCGAGTCACATTTTTAATGACTCGGACTCGGACTCGAGTCACTTTGACTTACGACTCGGACTCGGACTCGGGGCTACGGACTCGGACTCGAACTCACTTGGGACTCGACGGAAATTACCGCAAAGCACACGCGCACATACGTAAGTCGATCGTTTTCTTTACTGTGCAATACATGTACAGGGCGCTCGATGTGGTGCGTGCGTGGCCGTGGCCGGTTACCAATATATTGATTACAGAAATCAATGTACTGAAACTTGTACCCGCCGTCCGCACTTAATAGATTGATAGGGTAAGGTACCAGACTTTTCTTGTCAGACGTCCTGTCGTTCACACGTGTATTGCTGTCGCATCGTGATAACGCGATATGAATAGTCTGCTGATCTGCCCGTTTCGGTAACGTTACATGCAAGTTGCAACGTAGATCATGATGGCATCCACTCCAAAAATTGTGGGTATACCTTAACTTCAAGAGAAATGCCAATGGAAGATCAAGTGCAGATGCAGAATGCAAGTCAGGCCAATACCAGTTTTGTCTGAATTGCCTTTATAACTGTTTTTGCAAATGAACTCCTCTTTTCCAGAGAAAATTAGAGAAAAGCTGTGGGGGAAAATGGAAATTTACAGCACCTGAAATGTACGTATTTCCAATACTATAGGCCTATCAAAGGTGACTCTGAATCTCAGAATTCCCTAAAATGTACATTTTTCCAATACAACGTTAGAGATGACTCGTGACTCGGACTCGACCTTTGTGACTCGCGACTCGGACTCGACCTGGAAGACTCGGGACTCGGACTTGGACTCAAGAAATGTGACTCGGACTCGGACTTGGACTCGATGTTTCGTGACTCGAATACAAGTCTGCTCTGGGCCAAACCATCATTGGAAAAAAAATTTCCAGCTTTTTATCAAATACTGCCCCAATTGACTGAATTTAGTTAGTCCACACTTTGCAATCGGTTCGATACACATCCTTGGTGTAAGTCATTAGCCTGGTTCCCTGATCTGACAATTATAAACTGTTCCCTTTCATTCCGAAGCATCAGGTCAGGACACCAGACTACAAAAACAGCACTCTTTCTTGTTTTTGTTTTTGTTTGTTTTGTTTTGTTTTTTTGACAGCCATGGGCTACTAGTGAATGGTTTTGACTAACCCGCAGCTTTTTGGACGCTTTGGGCTAGCTGAATTGTAGCCTTTAGTCAAGTCCCACGCGCCTCTATACCCGGACCATCCGGACACGTAACGCACCCGGATGCTGGCACGTAAAAAGACTAGCACGAGTGGCAAAGCCGCGAGGGCCTTTAGTATCTCGTGGAACTAATCACTTATTCATTTATTCATGTAATATAAATCAAGCAATATAAACCAATCATCTAACGGTGGTTTGCGGTTACTTGCAACAGCACACGCGCCATGGCGCACATGCTGTCTGACGCCAGACGACGGCTGATTTACGTTAGTAATTCTGCATTTTCATTGGTCAATTCACAACGGGTGATGCATTATAGATGTCTACCAAATCGGTAGACAAATGTCAAGAAAAACATAAGCGTTTTCCACGAGATGGTAAAGGCCCTCGCGGCTTCGCCGCTCGTGCTAGTCTTTTTACGTGTCAGCATCCGGGGTGTGTCACGTGTCACTGCCAGGGTAAGCGCGTGGGACTTGAAAGCTAGCTGAATTGATGCACCTCTCTCAAACATGCAGTAAGAAGTGGTACAGTGGGTGAGGCCGAATAAATCAGTTCATTAGGCACAGGGTAGAACAAGACGCCTCGGTATGTACGGTCAGGGAACAACTGTATAGTTGTTCCCTGACTGTACATACCGAGGCCTTTTTTCCAGAACTGTAAGGCTCTCCACATGTAGGAGGTTGTATAGAGCCTTACAATTCTGGAGGTGTAGGTATTGACGTACCACTAAACGTGAGCGTATGAAGGTAAAACTTATACAGATGGTCAATCTTGTCTGTGATGAGTTCCAGCGTCGCCATGGTTACAGCTGCTGGGGGAAAGCCGTCGCTATGACAACAATGCTAGGAGGTTCGCCTGAAATGTGGAAGGGTCAAGTTGCAGACAGCTAATACGATCTGTGGGGGAAAAACAGTAAAAAGTAAAGTGAAGTCTGTCCCGAGCCAATATGGCCCATCAGGCCGGCGTTTATCTCTGGTTCCAGTAGCAAGAAGCGACTGAGAATATTTCTATTTCCCAGCTGGATGGGATGCCAGTTCATCGCAGGTTACTCCGTAGCTAATGCCGGTACCCATTTGCACTCCTGGCTTGAGAGAGGCAAGTGGGTATGAATTGGCTTGCCCAAGGAAACAACGTATGGCCAGCAGCTGGAGTCGAACCCCTGACCCTCTGATCACGAGTCACGAACCCTAACCACTGGCACTAGGCCACACCACCCCATATGCAGAAACATACTGAAATTAGAAATACTGATACTATTCTTTGGACTTTGATAGGCACACATAGTGGAATCCAAAGCAAACGTTTTAAGATGCTCAAATAATATCTTCAGACTTTATAGGCTCTGATTTTCTCCTTTTTTTTTAACAAGGTTCAGTGCATGGTCAGCGCAGCAAGCCAACATTGACCAGGGCTGGAACCCTGCTCAATCCAACAGAATCCAACTATTTGACATACATTGTACCCACTGGGTCCTGTTGGATTGAGCGGTAAACTCCTTGTATATTCCTGTCTCAACTGTCGAGCTGTCTCAACGGTCGAGTTGTCTGACATTCTCCGCTGAATTCCGCTTAGCCCCATAAATGTGGCCTATTTACTGGACTGCCTCCGTAAACATAGGCCACACATCCACATGTACAAAAATCGTGTCGACTTTGCCAAATTTTGATTTTCACATTTAGGCTTAGTTTGTAGGGTTTTTTTGCTTGAGAAGCATACTCACCCTCTTTATAGGCTAATCAGAAAGTGCTGCCTTTTTCAGATGTTTATTTTTCGTGAAATTTCCAGTTTCATTTTTACACGTTTGCGTATCAAAATTTCAACATGAAATTTCACAAAAATTAGACATCTGAAAAAGGCAGCACTTTCTGATTAGCCTATAAAGCAGGTGAGTATGCTTCTAAAGCAAAAAAACCTACAAACTAAGCCTAAATGTGAAAATCAAAATTTGGCAAAGTCGACACGATTTTTGTACATGTGGATGTGTGGCCTATGTTTACGGAGGCAGTCCAGTAAATAGGCCACATTTATGGGGCTAAATTCCGCTAAGCTCCATAGTTAGGGTAAAATTTATTGTAACATTTAACATTGGTTTATATCGTGCACGATTTGAGACAGAAACCCCTCCCCCCTCTCCCCCCGGGGCAATGGCAATGCCGGACATTTTTTTGCCGGGCAGATTATGATAATTTGATATGTCTGTACCATGGAGGAATTTCTTCCATGTCTGTACGTACACAGCTGAACTCTACACTAAAAAAAACACACTGACCAACACAAAGATCGAGGGGCCGGGCGCGGGGTGGAGTCCCCTCGCCGCGCGCCGGCCCTGTTTGTGTGTACGTACATACGTGTGTGTGCGTGCACATTATGATCACAGCTTCAGCAAAAATAACACAGCAATTTCATCTTATTTCGGAAAGAAACATAACCTTCAAAAGCTCATAATATGCTTACCTATTTTCTGCCAGCAATGTTTACTTGTGCTTTCGAAATTTACGGTTAAATATTCTAATTTTCAAACCTGAAATTAAAAATATTACAATGTTCTTATTCCTTCATGCAATAACGAAGGGACTTTTCTAGGCCGGGTTAGATTCATCAAGCGTAAAAAAACTGCACCTGCGCTGCAGCTGCTAAGTTACCGCGCGTATATATTGTATGCATGCAGCATCGATGCATCATGCAATTCACAAAATTGCACCCTGGAAAATACCAGCCTAATTGATCAACCAATCAATGAGCGTGTTATTTGGCCGAAGTGGCATGATTTACATGCACAGCGTGTGATACCAATTTCACCATTGGTCATTTTTTTTTTACAAGCCCCCCATATAACACGCCCATTCTTGTTTCATTTTTGAAGATAGGGGTGGATTCCGTTCATTGTTTTAGTTCAAAGTAACTTGTGAAGCAATACGTGTGCATTTTTTTCTGAATTATCCATAAATTAAATATATATTTAATCCTTATGAATGATTATTGAATTCCCAAATCTCATGTTTCTTGTTATACATGTCTAGGCATTGTTATTACTACAATTACCCCCCTAAAAAATAATCGAATATATTAAGGCAGTTACCTTTGACCTATAGGCAGCGTGTTTTTGATCGACCGTGACCGGACGTTGTTTGGTTACTACACGAAGCAGCCGCCAAAAATGGTAAAAAAATTGTGGCAAAGAAACAGAAACACATGTTTCGACTTTTAGAAGTTTGATCTTATGGTTTCATTGTGATTGCTAGTTTTCATGCACAGTAAGGATCGGACGTTTTTATTGCATATTGTGTTTTGTAGCTCATCAAAATAATATCGGACGAAACCGGCACGGCCACGGCAGTATTGAGTAGCCGCCCGTATACCGGACGAATCCCCTACCGGACGAACCGTAGCGGTATGCGTTAGCCGGGGTAAACCTTAGCCGGTACGGCCGCGCCGGCCGGCATCCACGGTCTTGCTATCTGTTGGCCACTAGTGGTAGGCCGCTCATGTGATCATGAGGTGTACAAAGTCCATAACATAACCATGATATTGATAACCACCCAAGAAGATCTTTTTTTGGCACTAAATAAATGCGCCTATCATTACATTAGTATCAACAAACGTTTGTCATGCCCCAGGGTGGGGATTTTGGTCACTTAAATTACATTGTTAAACATTGCCGTACTACTACTAGAATTTAGAAAGGCAATCACTAGTGCGCCCCATGTATATGTGATTATGTCAGGGCATGGTCGGGGCCGGGGATCGTCACTAAATTTTGTCTGAGCCCAGTGAGGGGTGGGGATTTTGTCACATCAAAAGTGACAATCCCCACGTCTTGGGTGGGGCATTGGGGGGGGGGGGATTGATAGGCGCATAACGTATGGTTAAGCAGCCTGGACTATATTGTATGGCCTGCACATGCACTGGCATGACTGGATGGAGTAGACTGCCAGCCACAGAGTTTGTTCCAGTATGCAGGTCATATAGACTAGGGCTAGGGCCTAGGTCTGGAGGAAGGACGACAAGCCTTAAGTTCCTCCATGAAGACAGAATGATAATTTATGACAAAACTGAAAACTACTACACACTAGTACTACTAGTTATTATCAGGGGTTTAACATTATTATCAGGCCTGCAATTTTTCTGGTAATGAAACCAAGAATTCCTCAAAAATAGAGTGCCCTAGACTTAGGAGAAATAATGTTGCATCCCGACGCCGCTTTATTCATTAATATCTCAGTGAATTTCAATCATTGCAGAAATGTTGAAAAGACATGAATCTGAGACTGAGATTGAAAAACATTTCCAATTTTGTTAGAAAACACTTTGAAAATGCACTCGACTCTCCATACATGTAGACTGTGTACACAACGAAAGAAGTGGCGTCTGGATACTACATTCTTCCCACCCTAGGCACTGTAGCTCGCAAGCCTGAAGAAACCTGTAGAGAGGAGACTGTGACTGTGAGAAGAAATTACAGTTTTAGAGGTGGGAGGAAAACCCCAGAAGAATATTAAGGGGAAAATTTGGGACTCTCAATACTGTGTATGAGAGTCCCAAAACTTAAGAATAAGGTACTGAAAACATGCAAAACAAGAAAATAGACTGGCACCTAAAACAACCAGTCCAACAGAGCTTCAGTACTGCATCAATCAACCATGCCAAAAGAATTTAAGAAACACGTGTCATAAAGCGGGAACTAGTCTCAATTTACTACACATTTCTCCATAGTCAAGCCACCAGACTATTGACACTGTATAAGAGGTCAGTCTTTTCAAATAGTTGGACCATGGTTGGACATGTACCAGTCTAGTATTTAGCCCCATTTTGAAATCACTTGAGTTCCCTCTCATGTGCAGAATATTGAAGAAAAGTCTCCTTTAAAAATTGAATTGAGTCTGCAAACTTTGTCGGTGAAATACTGAGGACATTTTCTTTACCCCAGTGGAATTTTTTGGAGAAATGTGCTGGCTAAACTGTGAGTAAAGTTGGCCTGATTTAGTTTTGCACATTTCAGAGCACTCCAGAGCCCTGTCTGGGGGAAACCCACGGAATCAGGTAGGGACCGAAAACCCAATCCACATGTTGGCCCAGGCGGGATTCGAACCCGGTCACAGCGGTGGAAGGTGAGGATACTGTGCTAGGACATGTACATTTACGCCAACCTGACTCCATGAATGGCATGTATAGGCTATAAACTCGACGTTCCGGTCAGTATGCTCTGACCGTCTTCAGGAGAGTGCCTAAACTCTAAGAAAGTGAATACTTAAGTAGCAAAAGGCGAAGTCAATGAAGTGAGAAGTTGCATCCTGTGAGGATGCCAAGTAGACAGGATCCTAGAACAAGCTACCTGAAGTTTGTAGTTTTTACTACTAGTACGTTTTTGTGTTCTTCTTTTCTATTTACAGAAATAAATCTCCTATGACTACAGAATTTTAAAATTTGAAGTGTATTAAATTTGGCCAGAAATCACCCATCAGTATGTCGGGCGTGGTAGAGTACATCAAAGGGGTGGCGGCCTGGGCGGAGAGTGTGGCAGGTAAGTTGAGCCGTGACCGATTTACTTGCATGGCTGCGGCTTGCAGTGGTGCACGTGTCTATGGGAAATGGCTGCGGCCACTGCCATAGGCGTGTGTGTAACTGCAGCCTCAGCCAAGTCATTCCAACGCAGCCTTAGGCCTAGTCCTAAAATTTGGGACTCTCAATACTTTGTATGACTGTGAGAGTCCCAAAACTTAAGGTCTCTAATGGCACAACAGTTAGACCAGCGGGCCTACGTAAAAAATCGTAGTAATGGGTGGCATGGATGGCTTGTGCGTACAGCGCTCGCCTCTCACCAAGGTGACCACGGTTCGAAACCTGGCCGCGGATCGCATGTGGGTAGAGTTGTGCCTTGGTTCTCTCCTGTGCCACGTGGGTTTTTCTCCGGGCCCTCCGGTTTTCCTCCCTCCGGGAAAATCAACACTTTCGATCTCAGGCTGTGCTCCGTGGTCATATATGGGTCGATGTGGCCGGCAGCCATAGGCGCCTTTACGTGCCAGCGGCCCGACCACGTTGTAGCCGCGTCCTTCGCAATTCAGCATACCAGCTGCGAGTAAGGATGATTAGCCTCCCAAATTATTATTATTATATTATAATTATGCAAGGGCGTTACAGAACATTGCTGCTGTCGCCTTTGATCACTGACGTCGTGGGCCATGACTAGGTCCCAGTGTGCCTTGGGCCTAGTCTTGGGTCACAATGTTGGCGGTTGTATTGGATCTATAGCTATCAACCGCCGAAAGATGGCGTCAAAAGGAACCGCGGTCACTCACGAATCGCTATCACAACAACGTCTTGGGAATCTTGTAGTGGTTGCGTCACGCGCACGCGCACGCACCTGTTCTGCCTAATTTAGGCAGCGCGCTTTCGTAACCTTTCATATTTAGCTCTGAACCAAACTCCGAAATTTCAGCCAGCAGCGTACAAAATGCTACCAGACTTTTGTGCTAGCTACTTCATGTAGTAATGAAATTGATTTTCAGATAAATTAGTGATATTTTTGGTAAACTTTGTTAATATGTCTACAACACATACTATATATCGTGTAAAAATCATGGAATAAAAGTTCTTTTACGGAAACACAATTGGCATCTTTCATGACTACACAACAAAACTTTAAAGCCCTTTTTTTTCTCAGTATATATATTTTTTCACATGTCAGTCAATCTTAACCAGCCATAACTTGTCAATGGAATGTCCGATTTGAAGTGCAACAAACAGTATTGTAAGGAGAATTGTATTCTCTTTCCTAATACTTGCAAACCCCTCATTTCGACCTCTGCCCATTACCACTTCTGTCTCAATTTGCCAAAAAGCCTCACATATTTGGTTTTAAAAACTGTTACATTTGTAAGCTTTTCTTTGTAAGTAAGATTTGAGGCTTTGCATGGTGGAGATACTAAATAATTAAAGGTTTGCGGAAACACCATGTGCGAATAACTTCTCAACTAAGAGAATGGTTCTGAAAAGAACCAGAGGTTTAAACTCAACGTTCCGGTCAGTATGCTCTGACCGTCTTCAGGAGAGTTCTTCAGGAAAAATATTTGTAATTTTTTTTTTTCAGACCCAAGAACTAAAGACTGGTTCCTTATCGACAGTCCAGTGCCCTCCTATAGCCTTGTCATGCTTTATCTCTTGGTGGTGTGGTGGGGACCACGCTACATGGCCGACCGGAAGCCCTTTGACCTCAAATATATCATGATGGCCTACAATTTGTCGCTGGTCGTTCTGTCGGTGTACATGTTTAAGGAGGTATGTACATTTCCTCAACTCTGTCTGGACTGGGGTATTGACTGTGTGCACGAACAAGAGGGCGCTTTTTGACCATTTTGGACGCGAACCCGCATGTGCATACTGGGCCAAGTTCGCGCAAGGACTATAGTTGACCAATGGTTAACTGACGTTTGCCCGAACTCTGTCTAGTCGACGGTGGTTGACTACGCTAGTCGACTATTTGGAACCAGCCTACTGGGGCTGGTTGCATCGCTGGTAACCAATAGCCGCGCGCTTTCACAACGCTAGCAGAGAGCCAGGATCCAGAAGTTTTGCGATGACATTTTGACCAGCGTTTGACTAGAGACGTTTGCACGTTGCTATCAGTGCGCAGGCGTAAGGTACGTCACAAATCAACCACTAGTCGACTAATGGTCCTTGCCCGAACTTGGCCCCGGTTTGCATGCGCATGGCGCAAAAGTACACACTACCAATTCTATTTGGAATGTACACAAAGCCAAAACGACTTTGCGTGAGCGTCAGGCGTTGTCGGCAATGCGTTTGAATGTCTCTCCCGGTGGTGTCCCCCAACTCTACCTTTCTTACCATTGAGGGGTACTTGTGCACCGAGCCCATTGTGGATCATCTTGGGTTTTTTTGGGAGGAAACATCATAATTTTGTTATACTTGGGATGATTTTTCTAGAATTTGGCAGAAATGTTGATTGGCCAGTATTCTGTAGACACGGAACACAAGTACCCCCTGTACAGTTAGAAAGGAAGAGTTTAGGGAGACCACTGAAAGAGACACTGGAAGGGGTACATGTACCACTGTTGTTCGACCCTAATTCCCTTCTTTTGTTCTCCTTTGTTCCCTTAGAAATCTCAAAACCCATAGCGTTAGGGCTATGGGATACTTCCATTTCTAAAGACAGACTTGCGGGGTACCATTGTCCCTATTGTTGCCCTTTGTTCCAGGTACCCCATAAGTGCCAATATGTAGCACTATGATCTTGTACACATTGACGTACTTGGCACCATGCGTGTAAACCACTACCCGCATTTAGTGTGTCCCTTCCATTGTAGCTCTCCAAAGAGGTCAAAAAGGGCTATTCATGCACGAAGTTCACAGAATAGTGCTTCCACAACCAAAAAAGGACTCAGTGTTTTGTTTTTGGTCCCCCCCCCCTTTTTTTTTAGCGTTCACTCAGTCTTTAAAACTGATTTCTGACTCGCTGTGTGACGTCTGGTTCCCGAAGATCACAAGGTGTTAACCATAGGGATATATTGAACATGGATTGGCCAGGCCTAGTATGGTACATGTACATCAAAGGCAAGGACGTGTGAGTAGTTGTGGGTTTTACACTGAAATAATATAATCTAGTCAACTGGACTTGAACTATCAACCATTTGCCGCCAGAAGATCAGTCGGCCTGAAGAAGCATCCAGGATAGGACGTGAAAGCATCCCAAGTTTAAATAGTAAGTCCAGTTGACCAGATTATATTATTACAGTGTAATATGCAACTACCTGGATGATTGAGAACATTCATCACTATAGTTGTGGGTTTGGTTTCAGCCTTTTAGTGTGTGTCCTCAGGCAAGACACATTGTAACAATTGAAGTATTGTATTTTTTTCTCTCTGTGTTTTAGTTCTTTGTGACGACAATTCTGAACCCCAACTTTAACTCTGTCTGCCAGCCTGTGGACTACTCCAATGATCCTATGGCAGTCAGGGTAGGTAGCGGCTCTGTTATTTGTAATTATTAGATAATCTTTATTCCAGGGAATGACGTGAAGGATTCCATTAGAGAGACCTGTGGAGAAACGACAATGAAGGAAAAGGTCCGGTTTAGGAGTGAGAAGTTTGGGAGGAAAAGCGGAGAAAACTGTTCAAGGGGGAAAAAACTAAAGATGTGAAGATACAAGGGCCATGCAATTAAGCTATAAACGAATCCGGGTTACGTGATCACTGGACACTAAAATTTGAGCAGTTTTGTTGCTTCAAATGAAAGCAAGCGATCTGCGGATCACACATGACGCCTTTTTTCGCGGTCGACCCCTATGTTTTGTGTTCATAAAAAAGTCATATTTTGTGCATTTTCAAACAATGACCTCAGTTTACCCCTAGATGACATTTGATATCCATCCAAGTTACATTAAAATCCATCAAATTCTGTAGACGAAGAAACATTTGAAGCATATTTGAACATAGCCCGACTGCGTCTGGCCGTACGGTACTATCGCAAGCTTTGTAGTACGGCCAGACGCTCAATGCTTCTCCACAGACTGAATTTTTGTTCACTCTGATGTAGCGTTTTTTGCTACAGATTTTGATCGAGATTATCTTTTCGTCCAGGACAAAAATTTCCAAAGTTAAGGTTATTAATCGTAGAGCAACTCATACCTTTTCGAAAAAACGTTCTTTGTTCTCAATATTTTCATCCATCTGGCCAAAAGACGACTTTCAGTCATCATCTTCCACAAATATCGTCCCGAAAATGTCCTCCATGTGATTTCAAAATGGCGGCCGCGTTGTAATGTATGCATTATGCAAGATAATGAATATGCATTATTTAGTTCATGACCTTGTGTTTGTATGGCCAGCTGCGCCGCGCGCCCGACAAACGTCATAAACTATGATGCATATTCATTATCTTGCCCAAGCACACCCGCATAAATGCATACATTACAACGCGGCCGCCATTTTGAAATCGCATGGAGGACATTTTCAGGACGATATTTGTGGAAGATGATGACTGAAAGTCGTCTTTTGGCCAGATGGATGAAAATATTGGGACCAAAGAATGCTTTTTCAAAAAGGTATGAGTTCCTCTACGACTAGGAACCTTAACTTTGGATATTTCTGTCCTGGACGAGAAGATAATCTCGATCAAAATCTGCAGCAAAATCGCTACATCAGCGGGAAAAAAAATTCAGTCTGTGGGGAAGCATTGAGCGTCTGGCCGTACTACAAAGCTTGCGATAGTACTTTACTGCGTCTGGCCTAATTTGAACAATGACCACTAATAACCCCTATATGACCTTCGACTTCAGTAATCCGATGAGGAATTGTGTCTTCCCACCCAAGGGTCGATCATTGCATCCAAGTTTCATCAAAATCCATAAAAGCATGTAGAAGTTATACATTTTTTTCAAAAACTTAACCTACATGTAAACTTTACATACATACGGGGATACGGTCATACGGGGACACAGTACCGGTATTTAGGACATGTGTCGCCCAAAACTTCGTTTAGGCAATATAAAAAACTGAACAAAAAACAAACGATCTTACATAACTGTAACTTTCATATCTGTGTATCCATTTTGCATGTAGTTGGCAGCCGTTTGTTGGTGGTTCTACTTCTCCAAGATCATTGAACTCCTGGACACGGTGAGTATTTATTTTGAGCCAAATATACTGAAGTTTTGTTTATTCACCGAATATCCAAATAGCATTGTGCTTCTGTGAGGAAAATTGACTCAAATGTGCCTCTGTAAACTTTCAAATATTCCCGAACTGCACGTGCAATTTAGGTTTATAGTGCACTTCAAACTTGGTTGGTGCGTGCGCATCAAACATCTGATCAGATCCAAGTTTGAATAATCGAATACTAAATTATTCAAATACGCACAACCCTAACTTATTTGAATGTGGAGTGCTGTGGCCTCGTGGTTAAGGGCACTGATTCGTGGTCTGTGGGTAAAGCTGCAGGTCGTGGGTTCGAGTCCTGGCGGGGTCCTGGTGCGTGTGCCCTTGGGCAAGGCACTTTGTCACTCATTGCCTCTCTCCACCCAGGAGTAGATGGGTACCTATGAGGGCAGTGATGGTTATTGTGATTGAATTAGCTTCCTTGCGCCTAACAGGCAGCATCGAGCTGTATACTCCCCAGGGAGCTGAGATTGTATATGAAATGTTTAATTGGCCCAATGATTAGGGGTAATAATAATGTAAAGCGCTTTGGTCTTAGTTAAAAGCGCTATATAAGAACCTGTTATTATTATTATTATTATTTGTAAAATACAACATGAGACATTTTTTAGAAAATTCCAATTATAATTTTTAATTGTGCAATGTTTTTGTGTTATTTTTTATCTGGAAATAAATTGTCCGACTTGACTTTCCAATTCAGGTCATCTTTATCCTCCGGAAAAAGAACAGCCAGATATCCTTTCTGCATGTGTACCATCATTCCACCATGGTCCTGCTGTGGTGGATTGGAGTCCGCTGGGTCGCCGGGGGAAACTGTACGTTTTAGGGTGTTTTTTTTTCCTAATTAATGTTGTCAATTTGAAAAGCTTGAAACTGCAAATTCAGGGCACTTGGCATTATTTATTCTGAATTTGTAGGACTGTGGAAATAATAGTTTTCATTTCGGGCGATTCACAATGCGGTGCGCGACCAAGTTTGCCATGGAGAGTCCATTTTTCAAGTTTACGGTCGACAAAACATGGCCCATTTGAATGAGTGTCATTAGACGACTTGAGCTAATTTGTTAAAGATTGGGGCATGGCATTTTGCCGCCCTACAAAAAACACAAAAGAAAAGGGCAAACAAATACTCGAATCATACGCTTACGAAACTATTCACCAGAAAAAAACTAACAATTTCATATGTCCCGTGCTGCCACCTTGTCGACCGCCTCCTACAATGCACTGGGAAAAATGAACTCTCCGTGGCAAACTCTTGGTGGCGCACTTCATTGTGAATCATCCGAAGTAATCGGGTTCTAAACTATTTGAAAAAGCACAATCCTTATAGATACAGGTGTAACTTCCATCCCAAGCAAAATAGTTTGGATATGGCTTAAAGCTACAGTCCATCCCTTGCAGCTATCCAAAAAAGTAACTGACGAAATTACTGTTGAAAAGCATACTTGGTTTAAAGAAAGTAATGGGACTATGAAATTGTTCTTTCTGACAAGCTTTCGTTTTGAAGAAAACAATGAAAGAAGGCAATTTCCAATGATGCGTCAAAAGACGCACACTTCGAAATTTCCGTTAGTAGTTTTTTATCTTGGCGAAGCGCTCGCAAGCATTGACACGATGCACACATGCGGGCGGTTGCTATACTTCTTTGGTTTTAGTGCGCGATATCACGTTGCTGCAACTGGCTGATTGAGAACATGTCTCAGACAATGAATTCGGGCGCAATTCAAAACATGACTTTGCAACTTTCGATTTGAAATCGAAATCCTTGATCAACAGCATTCACTGCAAGCTGAAACTTCATCAGGTTAGTTGTTAAGCACCTGTCTTTAGATTTTGAGCACTTTGGTTGCTTCAAACAAACATAATGCACAAATTACAAATGATGTACTCTACCTTTAAAGGGAATGTACAGCACTGGCTTTTGCTGTAATTTTCAGAAATGAACTATTTGAGGGGTTAGTATAATAGATCAAATATTGTTACACTGACATGTTTGAAGTTTTGTGTTCGAAAATGCTGGAAAAACCAAGAAAAACAAAAATGTTCAAGTAGTCTGGTTCCTTGACTCCACTAAAGATAAAATCGATCAATTTACATGTAAGGTAATTAAAATTTAAATTGTAAGGTAAGGCAACCAGTCTAGCTGGCCTGCACCCGTTCATGAACATGTAACCAATAGCAAACAAAATTTGGACTGAAAAAAGTGTAAAGTTGGAGCAGTAGTTGAAAAATAGTTAGGTTTTTCCAACGGTGGTCGGCCGACCACCGTTGGAAATGTATACAAAAATACCATTTTCTTGAAAATGACTTCACACCAGGTGCCATAATTTTACAGGATGCTTTAGACTGTCATTTACCAACATCCTAGTAAGGTATTTCTTACAAACTTGGTAGTTTTATTTTTCGATGTTTGCAAATGTTGTATATTCCCTTTAAGATCTACTTATTTATTTTACTCTTACAGCCTACTCGGCCGGTATGGTGAATTGTCTCATTCACACACTGATGTACTCATACTACTTCCTGTCAGCCCTGGGACCGAGAGTACAGCCATTCCTATGGTGGAAGAAATACTTAACCTCCCTCCAGCTGGTAAGGCCCCCCTCAAATCCCTCAACCCTCCCCCCCCCACCCACCCCCCAAGAATCCTCACTATCACCTACTTTACATGAACATATCACACTAAATATCTCTTATCCTGCAGGGGTGTGAAATCTTCGCTTTTCAGCGGATTTTCTGCTTTAATTATTGAGCGGGCCAGATTTTGTTTTCTGCTTTTTTTTTCTTCAGATTTTTCCCGCGCGCTGAAAAGATTGGGAAAGATTCGCAAAACTAGTAAAGATGTACACAACTACGATACAGTTCAAAAATACAACCATGACAAGTTTCTTCTCTTATTTTATATTTTGAGCAGAGGTGTGTTATAAAACACATATGGACTGGCATAATTCTGTGAGTGACCAGAAGAGGGCCCTTCACTCACAGCCCCTTTGGGCGCATAAATGTTTACTAGGGACCTCATTGCCAGTCAATATACGTACTATTCCACGTGTCTCTATATTAACCCTCCAAGCAGCGTGACGGTAGTTTAATAGTCCAGATTGTCCAAATATGGTCATAATTTTTTTTCCAATGGGCCAAAAATAATGCCAAGCTTCCATGTAATCCTCACCCCTACTATGTACCACAAGCCTGTAGACTCCCATTGGCCATACCCTAGCCACTCCGGAGTAAGGAGTGTTGAAAGACAGAAGCCGAGATGGCGCCTACAGTGCGTGAAATTACAGTCGGACATCGGACATTTTCCGACCACTTTCATGGTTTGTCCGACCAAATGCAGATGTGCTCGGACAAAATGTCCGAGCGATTTATGTATTCTTTGTGGAGTTGTCTTTTTCAGAAGTATGAAATAAACGCTTGCACTCAAAAGTATTTTGTTGTTTATTTCCGATGATCCGGTCTGTAATACTTACCGCACGCTGAGCGGCTGCTAACTACATGTACGTGTTGTCTTATATTCACGCAATAGATGCAACGCGTTTACACCCCAATCATTACACAGTCTAGTACAGCGCGGCGTGCACAGCGATAGATTAACGTACGTGCCGTTTGCCAAAAAATAGACGTGAAATCAAGTCGATAAATTGTGTTTCGATCAGCAGTCTTCGTGTTTCTTCTACAAATCAGTTAATACAACTTTTTGTACTGTTCAAGACATTTTATGGAAATAAGCAGTGGCCGTTTGTGGAATTCCCAGTTAATTTCTATTGGGCAAAAGTGTTAAATTGGACCTGATTCAACCTCTATTCCTTGCTATAATGATTCGATCGAGCCTCTTTGGACATTCAGAACTGCAATTTCACCCAGTTTAAGTTATGTGTTCTGCAGACTTGAATCGAGTCTGTATAGTGACGAGTCGAAATATAGAGTATTATAAGGACATTGACGCGCATACATGTAATGAGAATTTAGCAAGATCAAAGTACGTTGTGTTGCGCGGTATGCTTTAAGTGCGTGATTGTTACTAAATTCTCACAACGTGGCTTACTACAGAACGAGCGGGTGAATCAAATTTGGAACGCTAAATGGCAGATCAAAACTTGACAATGGCAGAACACTTTTGATTGTGCTCGGACATTTTGTCTGACCACTTTTTTTGTCTAATTTCACGCACTGCGCCTATATCACCATATATCTGGTGCATGTACAGGCATGCCAGGGTTATTGACCTATAAACACATGTGGTGATAAAATTCTCCACGTGGTTTCACGGTGTGATATATTTTTCCATACAGATTCAGTTCTTCGGCATCATGATTCACAGCTTTGTCACACTGTACATGGACTGCGGTTTTCCCAGCCCCTACGTCTACGCCCTGGTGGCCTACCTCATCTCCCATATCATTCTGTTCTCCAACTTCTACCGCAAGAGCTACAGCGGTAAGGACAAGAAGAAGAAAACGACCAACGGCGCTACCTCTGAGCAGGAGCAAACTGGGGCGCGGCGGTACAACCTACGCCAGAGATCTGGTAAAAACTAACCCTGCAAAGACTAGCATCTATGTAAAACACCAGCAATTGTCGACCCCTATAGACCATTATCATGTTGCAGCCATTTTTTTGATATTTTCCCATTCAAATCAATGTAATGAAAGCGAGGCTGGAAGGAAAAATAGTCTGGTTCCATTTTGAACAAAAAACATTATCATTCAGTACTGCTATTGGATACAGGGGACATGACTGAAATGGTGGCAGCATGATAAAAGTCTATTTTCCCTAATCCTCATTCCTTTGTTTGTACTCGTTAACATTTTAACAACAGCTCTCATTGGTTTTGTACACGAATTTCAATCAGGGACGTTCGGTCAATCGTGGACAAATTGTTTGTGCCCTAACCCTTTTGTCCTACCGGTAGGTTCACGATTGCCGGTGTTTACATACTCTACACAACAGGTAGGAGTTAAGCTAGTCTTGATCCAAGTTTGCATTTGAATTTTGATGCAGCTGGTCAATGAAAAGTGTGTATGGAGTGCCATTTGATCATGTGGCGAAATGACTTTCAGTTTGATAACGAGACCAGATCAACAAACATACATTTTTCTTGGCACATACATGTATATATATGGCCTTGAATTTTACATCATAATAGAACAGTAAGATTCACGCAACAAATTTTATACACCCAACACTTTTGATTTTAATTACTTCTTTGCAGTGAAAATCTGGGTTAAAATTTTTTTTTTTTCAAGTTGTGGTCCGTTGTTCATGCTCAAGTGATTTCCGCATGACTCGGCAAACAATTATTGGTTCTGGGGAGAGCCAAGTCAATAAACAGTGTGTGGAAAGGCAAGTATTATGGAGCATTTACCACAAGATTTAAATCCAAATTATGGTGCATGTACTCATTAGCACGGGGTTTTGAAATCACAGTTCTGGTAGTTATCAGAAATTATTGTTCATTTGAGACTACTACTGTTTCAGGGACACACTTTGTACTGTATATATATTTTTAATTGTGATTTTGTTTTTTTTTAGTGAATTTGTGTATAAGCAGTGCCAGTGATTTTTTTTTATGTATGATACATAATTTGCCAAGTTTGAAATGTGTGGATTTGTTTTGGAGTGGACATCAATGAAATAGAATTTGATCCTTTTCTATGACTAAATATTTTCGTTCAACATTCCAATCGAATACTGGGTTTTTTGTTTGTTAAATTACTGAAATTTAAATTAATTTAATATTTACATTGTAAATGAAGTCAAGTACGTCCTGCCCTATTTTAACCAACCTCCAAACATGTCTTTAAAACTAATGGCGGTATAATTTCATTTGACGAATAATGGAAACAGAGTAATGTTTATTACAAAGACATGTTTAACTTTTATTGACAAATGTCAGGTTTACCTCAGGAATATCAAAAAAAAATCAGGACAAAATTTTAAGCAACACTCAAATCTGCAATATCTTTTACAAGTCTCATTTTTTTTCAAGAGTGTCTTTAGCCTGTTTACAGGGTAGGGTGTTATTAAATGGAGACTTTCCATATTTTTATACACTATGTATAAGGTTGACAACCTACATTGTAAAATATCTTTTCAAATAAATGAATGGCTGAAGAATGACATTTTAAGAATTTTCTAAATAAAATTGGAATTTAAAGTTTTTAATTTTTTTGTCCTTGAATTTTTTTATAGAAAAAACAGCAGGAAATTTAATAATGTATCTGGCGTGTGCCTTGTTGTAGTTGAACGATGCATTCATGTGTGCCCAAATCACAAACACAAAGTGTATAGTGTGTGCTTATTACCACTTGGCGAGTAACTCGTTTACTCGAGTACTGGCGAGTAGGTTATGCTACTCGTTCTACTCGTGGTTTGTTGTTGAACGGCGCATTCATGTGCGCCAAAATCACAAAATGTATGGTGTTTTTTTAATTACTGCTGGGCGGGTAACTCAATTGTTCGAGCACTGGCGAGTAGTTTATGCTACTCATTGTTCTACTTGTGGTTTTTCATCTACTCGAGTACTCGTCCCGGTGCGAGTAGAAGCAAGTATAAGATTTGAGGCTTTGCATGGTGGGGTATCGGTATCGTTTCGGTTTTGCGGTAACACCATGTGGTAATAACTACTGCTTAGAAGATATTAGTTCTGAGAAGAAGTTGTCCTGCTTATTATCAACTTGCTAAGTAGTTTTTGTTCTGTTTAGAACAGTCCTGCTGTAAGTTCTAAAAGAACTTGTCTTTGGTCTCAACGTTTCGACTAGCCTGCTCTAGTCATCGTCAGGAGACTGAAGATAGTTGGAGATGCTACTCCTTAAGTAGGGTTTGTTAGGATTAGGAGTGCTTGCTGGGCATGTCCTGCTCGCTCGGGTGTGTCAGTTGGTACAAGTAGAAGCAAGTACTCAAGAGAAGCAACTTAGGTTTTAGGCTTAATACGTCCCCTACAAACAGGGAATCACTCCCTCCACCTCTCTCTCCGTAGGATTCCATTCCTCAAAAAAAAAATTCAAGTAAACCACTCAAAACGTTGCACAGTAAGGATATCTCAGTGTTGAAGAATGTGGTGTGACGTGCAAGCTATTTATTTGTAGGTACTTCACGTCATACGGTTACTAATGTATGTACAGTAAACTCAGGCTAAGACGGCACTCTCGGGACCAGAGAGTTTGTGACGGCTTACGCGAATGTCGGCTTCTGCTGCAAGTCGTCATTTTGCCGACTTACGCAAATACAATGTACACACATTGAATCACGGAGTGGAAAAATTAGATTGAATCAATGGCCTATGCGCATCTGTATCTGGATCATGCAAACAAGATTCATGGCTAAAATTCAAAGGCTTTGATTTACCCTGGTTTATTTCTACATCCATGGTTGATTCCAGCAAATATATATCCTCAATGTTTATCATCACAAACAGGCTGTGGTATTGATCACAGAAAGTCATGCATGTACGTGTACGTACGTACGAAGCAAGGACGGCGACTTATACAGAGGAATTTGTGTGGTTTTGAGGAAATGGGACTGAAAGTAACACGCCGATATAGGCAAAATGGCAGCTTACAAAGGCCGGCTTAGAAATGAAAATGTCAATGGGAATGCATTAGAGACAATCGGGACTTTCGTCAGACGGCCGATTTAAGCGATATGACAGTTTATACGATGTCAGTTTAGCCGGAGTTTACTGTTTGTCATTTTTTTCTGCTTTTATGTGAATTCGGTTAACTACTCGCGACTTGACTACTTGCGAGTAATTTCTTTGCGAGTACTCGAGTGGAAAAATCCACTGCTCGCCCAGGCCTAGTTTTGATTATTAACAATTACTAACAGCCCACATATGAGCAACGTTACAACCAAAATTTGTAAAATACGTAAATGCATGAAATGAATGCGTCTGTTGATTATTAAAATTCACAGTACTTAAATCTGTATTACACTTCTTCTGAAGAGTCCATTGTAGATTTCTGTTGCATTTTGTAACAGCTTTTTTATTACTTTCAGGTAGCAGCTGTAAATTTTGCAGATTTTGTTTTGTTTTTGATTGTCTGAAATAACTGATTGAAATGTAATTTTTACATTGGTTTTTGATTGATGAATTACAATGTAGATGTTTTATTATTAGATATAGATATGTGTGCTGCATTGGGCTATACTATGCTCTGCACTACAAAATCAGGGATTAGTAAGTTGTGCCGTTAAATTGTAATACATTTTAAGCTTTGTGTTATCGGCTTGATATCTGTACTTTAAATAACGTTTGAAGTTTTGAGCTTTTGCAGTACATGTACATTTTTGATTGAAGTGCCTTTAGAAATAAAGCGAGTAGATATATGATTGCTATATCGGGTCTCTGTTCATGTGTTTTATCCCTTCAAGGGTTACACCTCTATGTTCCGACACCCCAACGTTTCGACACCCCAACGTTTCGACAATTCAACCTATGTTTCGACACCCCTATGTTCCAACACCCCTATGTTCCGACACCTCTTTGTTCCGACTGCATATACATTTGTACTCTTATCCCTATCCCTAACCCTCACCTGTAGTAACACAATCTTATGAGCAGGGTGTCGTAACATAGGGGTATCGTAACATAGAAGTGTTGGAACTAGGGGTGTTCGAACATACTGAGTTGTCGGAATATACTATTATTATTATTATTAATCATTTCTGGTAATGAAACCAAGGATTCCTCAAAAGCGCCCTAGGCACTGTAGCTCGCAAGCCTGAAGAAACCTGTGGAGAGAAGACAATGAGAAGAAGTTACAGTTTAAGAGGTGCAGGCATGCAACTGGGAAGTCACTAAAAAAGAGGAAATTCTAATTTTTTTCCAGCATTTGTACAGTGTTTTTCTATTTTTAATGGAACACTTGGAAAGCAAAAAAAGAGGAAATCAGCTGATCCGAGGAAACGTTGCATGCCTGGAGGTGGGAGGAAAAGCCCAGAAGAATATTCTGGGGAAAACCCACGGAATCAGGCAGGGACTGAAAACCCAATCCACATATTGGCCCAGGCAGGAATCGAACCTGGGTCACAGCGGTGGAAGGCAAGGAAAGTACCACTACGCCAACCTGACTCCCCATGTCGGAACAGAGAGCATTCACCCTTTCAAGAACTTAATGTTTTATTTCCTCATTCATTGATCATACACAATCTTCTGAAAAACATGCAAGGTAGTAATGGGAACGTCAGAACACGTTCAAATGTGGAGCACTGTGGTCCAATGGTTACGGTGTTTAACCATGTGCCATGGTACGCGGTGTACGTGTCCTTGGGCAAGACACTTTACTACAATCACTTCACTCCGCTCAAGAGTATAAATTGGTACCAGGGCCCAATTTCATAGAGCTGCTTAAGCAGAAAATTTGCTTAAGCACGAAAAAACATTGCTTAGTAAAATTAGGTTACTGGCCAAAGCTCCATGTGATGTACATTGCTTGTGACTGGTATTTAGCTGTTGTTTACTTAGCATAACAATCGCATGGAGTTTTGGCCGGTAACCTGATTTTATTAAGCAAGACGTTTTTGTGCTTAAGCAAATTTTCCGCTTAAGCAGCTCTATGAAATAAGCCATTTGCGAGTTAAATTTGAATAAAATCTGGAACGCTGACTTAATACAATGCTTTGCACGTTTTAACCTAGCATTCTCCCGACCAAAGAGACTGTTACTATATCACGTGATTCGGGGCAAGCCTTATGCTAGCAACCCCCAGCTCCGGCATGGTTTGGTGTCTTTGTGCCATTCTCACCCATTGTGAACGATGTATTGGTGCTGAGCGTCTCTTACGTAAATATGCAAGAGCTTGCCCCGAATCTTGTGATTAGCAACAGTGTCTTTGGACTGGAGAATTCAAAGTTAAAATGTGCCAAGCATTCTGAGCAAGTCATTGTACCAGACGTTTTTCAAATGTAAATCCCAAAGGGTATAGGTTACTCGCAAATGGCTTATTGGCCCCTGTTCGAACAGAAACCAGATTGTGCTGACCTCGAGCTACCGCAGAAAACTGCTCTCTTGGCCTGATGAATACGGGTAATATTGTGAACTGCTTTGGAAATGAAGTATTACCGCTGGGTGAGTAACTTGATTACTCGAATACTGGCGAGTAGTTTATGCTACTCATTGTTCTACTTGTGGTTTTTCATCTACTCGAGTACTCGTCCTGGTGTGAGTAGAAGCAGGTATTCGTATCAATTTGGGGTTTTGGGTTCACAGCTTAATACATTCCCTGCAAGCAGGGAATCACTCCCTCCAACTTCCTTGGGATTCCATTCCTCAAAAAAAGAAGAAAAAGCATTAAGTAAATGACTTAATGGCTCAAAACGTCACACAGGATGTATCTCAGTGTTAAAATGTGGTGTGATTTACACACTATTTTTTTTTTGTAGTTGCTTCTACAGACAAGATGGTTTTCGAACCATGCATTTCGCCTGCTTTCGTGATTGTCTGTAAAGAGTGACCTTTGACCTTGGTGTGTGATCTATTACTTGCAGGTTCCCATGTTGCATCTATGACCAAAGTTTGGTTCCAATTGGACTGAAACTTTTCAAATGAGACCAATTTTACATGTGCAGCCTATTTTACAGCCTACATACATGTGTACATACGTACAACATATGGAAAGACAGTGTTTACAGTCTTTTTCCTGAACAAAGTTCAGGCGAGACAAAGGACGGTATCATGACCTGATGAACAGGGTAAATAATTGTGAAGTGCTTAGGAATAATGGTTGTGTTCTAGGGCAAGACACTTTACTAGAATCGCTTCACTCCACCCAGGATTATAAATGGGTACCTGTGAGGGTAGCATCGAAAACAAAGACCCCTAAAACGAAAACGAAGACCAGTTTTCGAGTGGGTCTTCGTTTTGAGTGGGTCTTCGGTCTTCATTTTAGGGGTCTTCGTTTTCAATACTACCCTGTGAGGGCAGAGACCAGATTGCGCCGACCTTCAGCTGCTGCAGAAAACTGGTGACTCATGGCCTGATGAACAGGGATAATAACTGCCAAGTGCTTCGGAAAATGGTGTTTGTGTTCTAGGGCAAGACACTTTACTACAATTACTTTTCTCTACTCGGCAGTATATGTGGGTTTCGAGAAGAAATTCGGGGGGAAATAAATGGCATCAGTTCTGAAAGGTATCGGGCATGGTCTCCTGAATCCTTTGCGTGCAAAATGGACCTGCCCTCCGCGAGGTACCCGTCAAGTAGTAGTGAATTAATTGTAACTGGTACCACGTTTCGAGCAAACCCGTGATCACCAAGGAGATCATTAAAGCGGAACCATTGAAGACTGAGCAGTTCAGGCCGACCACAACCGGGAGGCTCGTTGGAAACAGCCAATCAGACACGTTGCAACGCGGCTGTTCAGGAGACATATAATCTGCGTAATCTGGCGACCTGCTCGACCATCCATTACCGATGATACAATATGTGGAGTCACCCGACCAAAAGTGATGCACTTTTCCAAGATGGGGTTGTTCAAATCCAAGATGGCGTGAGACAGGGGCAAAATTAGGATGTTCATAGTATAGATTAATGACCCTAACCTTCCCAAATCCTCCAAAACCCTCTTTGCAAAATGGAGGATATTGCAGGATTGAGGCTATATGGCAAAAAAAGTGTGGCTGATTTTGGAGGATGCACTGTGTCAAGGGTCTTAGGCCGGACTTTGTGTTGTTTATGCTCAGTCATGCATACATTCAGGCCAGATGTACTTAAAATCCTCCACACTGCTCCAGGATTTCACTGGCTCTGCCTCAACATATTGACAGTGATTGCTGGAGGATTTTGCAGGATTGAGGCAGTGGTCACCCCTCCAAGGACCATATTCAAGAAATGCACATGTAACTGAGGATTTTTGGAGGATTGAGGATGTATGCAATTTTTACATGGAGGCAGTTCAAGGATTTTGCAGGATTGAGGTTGCATCAGGAAGTTGAGGGTTTTAATAACAAAAAGTTTTCAGAAGACAGTGGAACGGGTTTACTGATCCAAGCCAAACCGCTAAAAAAAAAATCAAGTTCACTCCTTTGTTTTGTCGTCAATTTGAATTGTTTTAATTTACAAAAGCATCAGTGGCAATACAAGCATCTGTATAAAAACGAGAACAAAAATTGAGCTGTTAAACGTGTTAAATGCGATATGCTTGCTGTTAATACAAGTAGTTCACAAAATGAATTTTACAAAACGGACTGGAAACTACTATGATGTATGTTACAAAGCGCACAAGTTAATACTATTTAAAACAATACTAACCAGGTTAATACAGATAAATTTTGTACTACTAGTTAAACTAAGCTACATGTACATTTGCAATATGTGACCTGTTCTGTCAAAATCAGACTTTTCTGGGCATAAGGTCGAAAATGATATCTTTACATATTGTTAACATATGTTCTTTTTCCTTTCAATTGGTGGCTTAATTTTTGAAACCGGTCATTCCTGGGCAGAGTTATGCTATTTTGAAGTTCATTGTGTCGAAAAGTAGAAAACGAAGAAAATGGCCACGAACGTCACAAAACAGTTATTTCTTTTAACTGATATACCTTATCAAAATCATCAAAAATAGTATATGTAGAGTTCAAATTAGGGTTTCAAACTTTTATAATATATTTTAGACATGTTCAGGATTACAAATATGCAAAAATTTGAAAATCGGAAAAAAAATCACCCCCACAGCGTTTTTTGGCCCTATCTCAATTTCAACCTCTGCCCAGAAGCGTCTGCTTTTGACAGAACAGGTCACATATATGACTGTTAAAAGCAAACGTTCCAAACTAAAAAATTGTAATTCTACACTTTGAATGTTTTATTACTCCCTTCATGATACACACTCAAAACAACACTGTTGCATAATTCGTAGCACCACAATCTTATACCTGTTGCAAAACAACAAAAAGTCCATAATGGTGTTTAAAATGTGTCAATTTATGGTTGATCAACTCACTCTTTGTTGTTTATTGCTCTGAATTCTGTGGATCACTAAAAAGAAAACTCCTGTCTTCATGTACTATTTCTACAAACTACCACTATCTAAGACTTAGGTCCGACATGTACTTTTTCAGGATGTGTTTGGCACCGACGTGATTAGTTACCAACAGCAAGTGGGTGTATGGTAGACAGGCTACCCTGCTTAGAACTCGTCATGTCTCTGCAGGCTCTCGCCATAGTTGGTAGCCTGGCTGCCAACAAACAGGTCGTAGTTGTCGATAATCTCCTGTTTGGTCAACTTCTTGTCCTGAAAGCAAACCAAGAGAATAGAGTGAAGGAGGGTCAAGTCAAGGAGTGTTGAGCCGTGATGTTCCCCAGCAGGAACCATGACTTTCAAGGGCGCATGAAAAATAGAATTTTAAATTAATAATTATTATTAATCTTCATATTGCCATTTCAAGGAGTGTTCCGCTGCCTTTGAGTTGTTGGTTTTATGCCCAATGCAAATTTCCATATTCATGAGCAAAACTGCGACGTTATTTGTGGCAGAAATTTCGGCACAATTGCAGAATACCCCGCCACTCGATCTATCCACCTCGTAGCCGGCTACGAGGCCAGGGTTGGTTGACCTCAATAAACATTCTCAGCGCTACTTGTATGTACTATGCATCATGCTCCATTGCACTCCCACTTCGTAACCGCGTAGCCGCCAACAGAGTGGTTGGTTTGGACTTAGAATTTTTTTCAGCAACTCCCATTCCTTTTGTGTTGTTTTGTTCTCAAGCATATTCAAGGGGACTCCCACTCCGTATCCGCGTAGCCGCCAACAGGGTGGTTGGTTTGGACTTAGAATTTTTTCCAGCAACTCCCATTCCTTTTGTGTTGCTTCGTTCTCAAATAATGGACCCCCACTCAGTATCCGCGTAGCTGGCAATGGACTTGAATTGATTCTTTTCCAGTGATTCCAACCTCGTAGCCAGATAATTTAGGGGTGTATTTCCGAGTGGCGGGGTATTCTGCAATTACTCCGAAATTTCAGTGTTACAGCCGCTTCAGCACCAGGAGTTGCCAGAATTTTGGATTTTTTTTTTTTTTTGGTGATTCATTGTTGTTTCAGTATATATGACAGTAAGTCAATGAGTAAACTTTGTGCAAAGATGTTTTCAGTGAGCAAATTTTCCAGCCAACTTCTGATATACAGCCAAAGGCCACAATACTGATTCGCAAGGGTAATTTCAACAGTATTTGTATGATATATGTCTTGCCGAAACCTAATATGTTTCACTGGAGCGTAAATTGTAACAATAGGCCATGCACAACGGCCAATCCAAGATCAACACATGATCCGCCTCCAGATTTCACGGACTCTGTGTGTGTGTACAAAAGGCACGAGGGATTAGCGTGTTTAGACGTCACCCGGAGGTGGTTCGAGGCAATCTTGACGTCGTAACCCGTCAGCCGTGCCTGTGTATAAAAACAGCCAGTGCGTGTTATCACGTCCTCCAACGCGAACCGGTTAAAATAATTCCCGACATTAAAAACCCACCTTATCTTTATCAGAGTCAAATATGAGATGTTTAGCCTCGGCTTCTACGTGGTCGTATTCCGTCGGTAGGATCCACTCGCCTACTTCTTGCAGGTCCATGAAACCGTCGTGATTCTTGTCGCGGAACTGGGAGAACTGCTCGCGCTCAGTCTTCACCCATTCCGGCTCCTCGGCGCCATCATTGTTCTCTCTGTACATATCGCCTATAGCAATCGTAAAAGTAAACAATCATGAGATGTCATTTGTACAAACACAAAGTTGAACGAAAGAAAGAATCAGTAAAACATATTAACTCTCCCGAATGCTCCTCAACACATCAGCAGCTGATTTAAAGAAACAGTGCCTAAAGTACGCTGCGCATAGGATATACGCAACAATTTGCTGCGCGCCCTGCGCAATAAACTTACTCTCCAATCTCCATTATGCAAAATTTGACGTGCAGCTGGCTGCGCAATGTTTTAAATAATATATATTTTGGACGTTTGTGGACGATTTCTGTTTAGTCACAAAACAGTTATTTGATCAGCTGTATATTGTACATTTTGAAAACAATTTGTCCGACTTTCCTCGGAATCATGCGACACCTTTTTCAAATCTGTGAAGGGTTTAAAATACATGTAGCTTCAAATGTACATGACTTCAAAACACAAAGCTGTGAGTTTCCCGTGATTTTGCAAATTGGAACATTTTGGAGGATTTGTGGGAAGATGTCAGCCTAGGCTGTTTGCCCCTTGCCAAGGTATTTTATAAACACCGTTGTCTCACTCAGTGTTGTGCTGAGTGATGGTGAGAAAACAAAAATCCAGAAATCACTAGGGTGGGACTCGAACCCACTTTATGACTAGTTTGGTATAAACTTCAATCTCCCACCGCCACGGTAACTGTACCCAGAAACCCACCGATGTATTCCTCCAAGGAAATCTGCCCGTCTCCATTTTTATCCACGTCTTCCAGGGTTTCCAGCACGACGACCTCCCGCATCCTGTCATAGTTCTCCGGATGGAGGAAGGCGGTGAACTCCTCCCGGGACAGCACGCCGTCTTTGTTCTCGTCGGCGCTGGCCCATCGCGCCTTGTCGCGTCGCACCATCTTGGCAAAATCCATGCGTTCGTTCTCGGGCAGTTTGACTAGTTCCTCCTCTGGGTGGGCAAAAGGTGGGATCAAGGGATTAGGTGGGATTAAGGGATTAAGTCTATGAATGACAGATTGACCCCAAGGCCTGTATGCTGTTTTATAATTGTAATTATATAATAAGGCACGTTCTAGACGCCGTGCTACTGCCGTGCCAAACTCAATTAATTTGACTTGTTTTGAAAATTTGGCACGGTGATAGCACGGCCTTTAGAACCATTTGGCTTTGCATATTGAGTTCCGCATGGCACCATCCTTTGGCAGGGCTGCTGCGCTATCGTCGTTCCGAACAGCAGTGGCACGGCACTGCTCTAAACGCTGTGCCACTGCCGTGCCGAACTCAATTCCATTCTGAGTCGGGGAAAACATTTTATGAATGCGCAAGCTCACAAGCCCTCTCTTGCATCTGCATCACGGGAAGTAAAATTGGCGCAATTGTTTTGACCGCGCTGAAAGTTCATTTAACTGCTTGAACTTCCTGTATTTATTTAAACTTTGAAACGTTTCAAGGTGCATTTTGATTTTGGAATTGGTAGAAACAGTTGTTAGTATATGTATACACTTGACAAAGAGTGTATTTAGAAGGGAATACAAATGGGGAGTTGCTTATGAAATTCCTGGGTTCCCGTCTTTTGTCCCATGACCAAGATGTCAAGGTCACATTCTGTATCTTTCATTATCGGATTTTTTCCCCTACAGAGCAGCAGTATACCGAGTTTCGAAAAAATAGATACATTTTTTTTGTACATGAAATTCAATCATCTCACATTTCATATAAAGGTTTAAAACAGGATCCCGGAAATTTGTAGTGATGCATATCCTTGACAATATTCACAGATTAGTAGTAAAAAAATAAAATAAAATAATTGTACAGTTGGCTTACATAAATTTAAGTTTGAATTTAAAATTGGGTTACATGTAGGTCTACACTGTACACTTATTAATTGTGTGCACGCAGTACATGCCTACATTGTATCCTATAGCTGTTATTAGCAGGTCACTTTTTTTCAGTACATACCGGGTAGCGGTACTTTTCAAGTACTGTTAAAGAGGTTGTGGAATGCTCTAAGACATTTCCCTCATTTTTCGGGTATATGTAGCCTAAGGTGTGATGAAATAAAAACGACTATTGTTTCTGTCATAAAATGAGTACAAAAGGTACTTTTGAGAGCTGTTTTTCAAGTCCTGTCATGCCTGTTTCGACCCGAACGTGCAATTTGTGTGAAAGTCGTCGTTGCGTGCAGCAAACAAAACACAGTAAATCGTGATGTAATAAACTGGACTCCCGATGCAGAGAGTAGCATAAACGAGTCCTGTTTATTACGTCACGATTTACTGTGTTTTGTTTGCTGCCCGCAACGACGGCTTTTACACAAATTGCACGTTCGGGTCGAAACAGGACCTGGAAAACAGCTCTCAAAAGTACCCTTTGTACTCATTTCATGACAGAAACAATAGTCGTTTTTATTTCATCACACCTTAGGCTACATATACCCAAAAAATGACGGAAATGTCTTCGAGCATTCCACAACCTCTTTAATGAGTAGCACGTTCAAAAGCTCAAGTAGGTATTTATCATGCATGGGAGTTTCTTTTCATTTGGGGGGGGGGGGGTGGCATGCAAGGGAAGGGAGTGCAGAGACACCTGGACACACTTTATTTTGTCAGTGTTTGATAGCAATGGTGACACTAATACACTTTATAAAACTCAGTTGAATTTTTATCAACTGTACATATTTCACTTTAATAAAAACATCACCTTGAAGTTTTACGCAGGATTTCATCTGGCTCAGGGAGAATACTTTCACTGCAAACTGGACCGACTCCAACGATATTCCCGGTCATCTTTAGTTTCGATTGCATTTCTCACAGTGCTTGTGACCGAGCTTGACCGGGCTATCGTGAATGTCAACAAGATTATTAACCCCCATTTAGAAATGGACGTTGCGGTTGGCTGACCAAAAGTCATGAACACTTGACCAAAATTCACGATCTGATTGGTTGATGCCCACTGTTTGATCGCCAGGCAGGATTGGTCAATACCGAATCGAGGGGACGTGGACTCGTCAGGCCACTTTTTAATAACAACTTTTCTTAAAACATGTTTATTGCAATCCCTCACCAACTTCTCCGAATGTACTTTGAAGATACTCGTCCCACTCAATGGTTGTTTGAAACTTGTTTGACGCCCATGTCTGTTGAGTGTGCTCTTCTAGGTACTGACTCTGCGAGTTCAAACCATATTAACAGCAATCATTCTCTCACAAGAAGTCTGGATGATACAGGAGAACAAGTGCTCATGCATAGAAAATCCCCTGAGATTTTTTTTGGTTGTTTTTCTACACGCTATTGATTCTGTGTTTTCGTGCTCCTCATCTTTGTTTAAAGACATAGTCCATCATTTGTAATTTGTGCATTTTGTTCGTTTGAAGCAACAAAAGTGCTCAAAATCTAAAGAAGGGTACTGAACAACTAACCTGATGAAGTTTCAGCTCAGCTTCAGCTGTATATTTCAAGATAAAAAGCATTCTAGGATCTCGATTTCAAATCAAAAGTTGCTGAATCATGTTTTGAATTGGGCCTGAATTCAGCGCCCAAGACACGTTCTCACAGAGCCGATTGCAGCTACATGTGTACGCGATGTGGCGCACTGATCCGACGAATTATAGCAACTGCGCGCGCGTGTGCGTCGTGTCAACGCTGGCGCGCGCTTTGCCGAATACAAAAAACGAATTACTAACGGAAATTTCCAACGGTGCGTCTTAAGACGCACCGTTGGAAAGGCCTTCTTTCGTTGATTACTTCAAAACGACAGCTTCCCAGAAAGAATAATTCACAGGGAGTTTAGTCCCCTTACTATCTTTCAACCAAGTATGTTTTTCAACAATAATTACGCCAGCTACTTTTCGGATAGCTGCAAATGATGGACTATAGCTTTAACAAGGAGAGTTGGGAAGGACCAAAGGGAGGGACATTCAAACGCTTGAGTATGGCGCCTGACGCTCAGGGACTTATGTTGATTCAGAAGCAGTTCTGCATTTTTCACGCCATACGTGCGCACGCCATACGTGCGCATGCCATACGTGCGCATGCCAGTATACGCAGGCGGTCTGTTCGACTGTTCCTCCAACTGGAGCTGTGAAAAGTCCCCACAAAGCCCCATTCCATGTGCATACACGGAGTTATGTGTGCAGATTTTTCTAAGGGACTACAATGTATGAGATCAAATGCTATGGATCAACAATTTTCCAAATAGTAAGAAATCCAAAATAATGTTGTTTTTTTTTTAAGGGGGGGGGGGGTTTCCTTGTTTTTTTCCCAATTTTCAAGTTTTCTTTTGTTTGGGGGGCCCTTATTTTTAAAAGTTGCACACTTTTTTGGGTTTTTTGTGTTTTTTTTAGGGGGGGGTTCACTTGCTAAAATTTGTCACTAATTTCACATTTTTTTGGGGGGGTGCCTTGTTTGTCACAAGTTGCACATTTTTTTGGGGGGGGGTACTTGCTAAAACTTGTCACTAGTTTCACATATTTTTTTTGGGGGGGGGGTGGGCTTGTTGGCACAAGTTTCACATTTTTTGGGGGGTACTTGCTAAAACCTGTCACCAGTTTTACATTTTTGTTGGGGGGGGGGGCCTTGTTTGTCACAAGTTGCACATTTTTTTGGCGGGGGGGGGGGGGGGGGACATGCTAAAACTTGTCACTAGTTTTACATTTTTGTTGGGGGGGGGCCCTTGTTTAATTTGTCACAAGTTTAACTTTTGGGGGGGGGGGGGCCTCACTTGTCACTCGTTTCACATGTAAGGCCAAAAAAAAGAATAGTTCTGCTTCCAGTTACCCGACTGACCCTATTTTTAGGCTGCGACCCTAAAATTTAATTGGCAATTCCAAAAAAAAAATTGAATAAATAAAAATAAAATCTTGTTGTCTTTTCTGTCTTCACAAAATACCTCTCAACAACCCGTTTGCATCAAAAAATGCTTGTATTTATTTGTTTTCTTACTTACATTCGCTTTTTATCAAAAGAAAGCTCCGTTATTTTTACAAATTCGCTTCGCGATATAACTACTTCGCAATTCGATGTCGCGGTGACTATAATCACGTGGCGACGACTGGTTCCTGCCGCGCCGCGCAGGGGCCAATTTAGAAGACATGATGAAAATATGCGGTAACCAGTCCATAGCTATGCGACCGATAGCCCGCTAGCTAGCAGTGCAGTGCAGGTCACTGTCAACTGGTCGGATTCGACATCGTAAAAATGCCAAGAAAACACCGATGGAGAAAGAGCATTTTTGCAAGTTAATTTACAGAATTGATCTAGCTTGTCTGTGTATGTAATTTCTGTGTTCAAGAGTTCATTTTGAGATCGCACTACTCGTATTTGGAGTGATACATGCCGCGTGTTTCCCAAAATTTTTGACCGTAAAAACAGGTCTGTCGGCCCATGGTGGGCCACTCGCCACACGTGCACGCATCACACACCTCGGAGTTTTAGGCAGCTCCCCGCATCTTGACTAGCGTTGTCCATATGGTGCGAACGACCTGAATTTTCCATTATTTTTTGAAATTTATCGAACGTAAATATATTGACAATAATTAAAGGGTAAGTTTTATTCACTTTTTGTTGCCTTTTCGTGTACATGTATAGCTTTCGTAGTGCAATGGAAAAAGTTCAGGCTAAAACTTCGCATATAATTGAATACCCCATTCAATCTGCATAAAAAAATTGGCCAAAAAAAAAAAGAAAATTCGACCGACCGACCCTATTTTTGAAAGGCATGTAATCGGAAGCAGAACTATTTTTTTTTGGCCTAAGGTAAGGTTTGGGAAGATATTGTGAGACAGTTACATTTATGTATACCACTCATTTTTTTCTTTTCAGATACCGGTAGTAAATTTGTAGTTGACTTTTATCCAAAAAAGGAAATATTTGTTTGTAAAGCATTAGGAAATGATCTCCACTCACAGCTATGAAGTTTCAGCGTCTTGAGTAAACATTCAACACTTCCCCCAGAATTAATAAATAAATAAATAAATAAATGGCTTGGTGACAGACAATGGGACAGGTATGTCCATGAAACAAACAGACCAGCGTAAACAGAAAGGCAAACAGCCTACCCACACACTGTGAAAGAAAGACACCAGAGTGAAGATGACGGGGATGCAGTCCAGTCCAGTTGCAAATTATGCCAGATTTCAAGTCTTTGGAATTTGTTTTTGAAAAAAAATAAAGTTTCATAATTTTAGAGAGCGTTAAATGACCGACTGCACTTTGCAGGGGCAGACAGGCAAACCTGTTAGGGGCCCAAATGCAACAGGCTGTCCAATTAAGAATGCAGGTGTCAGGGTGTTGCTTAAGCAGGTGGTTGGCATGGATTAGAGCAATGATGGGTAAGCAGACCAATTTGGGATGACAGCCCAAGTGATGATCAAACGTGTGATAATTATTAGCAAGTGTGGTGGACAATACAGCAGCATACATGTACAGCAACACGGCAGTGTGTACTAAACTAATCTACTGTCACTACTAATAAATGATGTCGCCCTCTATTTACAAACCCAATTTTTGTTTCTCAACTTACTCCCCAAGGGTTAGTGTTAACTCTTTCCTAAAGAACGAGCGCCATTCCAAGACGATCTTTACAGCTTGACAGCAATCTCTAAAGTTACACAAGAGCTGCCCCTCCCAGAATTTTAAAAAAGCTTAAGATTACTTCATTATTCCACAGTTATTTGTTTTTGGGGTTTTTTTGGGGGGGGGGGGATTGAAAGCACATGCAGGCCTACCGTTTTTCCCCCCTTTTTTTGATGGTGATGCTTTGTGGTGAAAATAGTTCACATGCGCTTTTTTCCTTGTTTTGCTACTCATCTGGGTGGCCCTTACAAAGAGTGCAAACAATTGTGAACTTTGCAGGCCTAAAATTTACTGAAAATGGCAAACCAAATAAGGCCTGTTACCATGGCAACCTGGGTTTAAAAAAACACTATTTTTGTCACTTACTCCCCACGTACATACTAGTACCTTTATCCCACAAAAGAAAAAGTCAACTTTTGGACAGAAGACACCAATGTTAAATAGAAATGACTCATTAATTTAAGAAAAAAAATCTACATATTTTTGGTGAATTTATCAAAACATACAATAAACTAAACAACTAGAAAATAAGAATGAATCCCAAAGAAAGTTAGGCGCTGTGTGTTCTACAGTTAATCTAAAAGAAACATCAAAAAGCTTTCGGAAAACTGGGATGCTGGTGAAACCCTACAAGATTAGTTGCATCACTACCGGAAAACGATTAGTAAGGGACGTAAACATAAAGGGCTCCCTCTGTTGTCAGTACTAATGCCAACACCAGCAGTCATTTGATGGTGGTTGCACGTGGCAACGCCCTCACCAGGTAAACTGCTGTAGGTGGTGGAATTGTACTCATCCCAGGTCATTTGGCCGTTGAGATCGGGGTTGTGGCTTTTCCAGAGGGCACCAGCATCGTCGAAAAAGTACTGCTCCTGTATATAGTGGCGTAAATGGAGCATTTATAGGGCCATTTTTTTGGAGCCAAATCATCATGATTGTGGTGAGAGAATAATAAATAATGTACTAGGTTAAGTTGTTTAAAATCCTAGTTATGACCCCCAATGATGGACATTCGCTGGTACCCACTACTGCACAATCCAATGGCACTGGTGACTGCTAATCTCTCATAAAATTTGGTGAAGGTACATTTATATACAGAGACTTTGAAAAGCATTTTGAGTATACTTTGTATGAAATCAATGCCTATTTAACATGGGAATGCACGTAAAACGTAAAGTTTTCAACCAAAGTTCACCAGTCGGACAAAATCCATTCAACATGTTCAAAAACTATTTTGCATTGATTTAACTCAGTTGTGCCCATGGATAGGGCAGTACCGGTACATGTACGAGCGAATCACAAACAGAGAGCGCCCTCTATGTCTACAATGTAATTCATGCCAACCACCCTAAGCACCAGAAGGGGGATGGTACGCCGAGTCTAAAAAACAAAGCCTCACCGGCCAGGTTACTATAGGTCGTCGCATTGTACTCCTCCCACGACATTTTGTCGTCGAGGTCTGGGTTACGATTTTTCCAATGCATTGCCGAATCGTCATAGTCGTACTTATGCTGCAATGGAATTGCACATTGTAGGGGAAGGAAAAACAAAAACAAAGTGCAAATGCTGGCAAAAATTGTTGATGAAAAGAGCAACAATAAGAGAATAGAAAAAGAGGAACAAAGCTACACGTAATGAGACAACTGTGTGACTGTTGCCAAAACTATCAACAATTTCCAACACATAAATGTATACAAAATATTATCATTCGCTCAAAGTTGACAGTTACAATGTATGACCCAACAGAATATTTGAAGTAATCGGTTGAGTAGATCATTTGTCATTTGCGCATACATGTATATGTTTTTCGTTTGAAGCAACAAAAGTGCTCAAAAACTAAAGACGGGTGATTTGATAACAATTAACCTGAGGAAGTTTTAGCTCTGCGAATGTTGTATATTCCGAAAATTCTAGGATCTAAATTTCAATTCAAAAGTTGCCGAGTCAGAATTTGAATTGCGCCCGAAATCAGCATCCAGAACAATTGTCATTCAGCTGATTGCACATTTGTATGCGATGTTACGCACTTAACTGACGACTAAATAGCAACCGTGCGTGCGTGCGTCGTGTCAACGCTTGCGCGCACCCATTCACGGATTTGCCAAATTACAAACCAACTACAAACGGAAACTTCCAAAAATGCGTCACTTGACTCATCTTTGGAAACGACCTTCATTTATTGTTTTCTTCAATATGACAGCATGCCAGAAGGAATAGTTTCACAGGGAGTTTAGTGCCATTACTATCTTTAAGTTTAAACCAAGTAAGATTTTTAACAATAATTTGATCAGTTACTTTTTGGATAGCTGCAAATGATATACTCTACCTTTACATAAAGTAAGTACTACATTGTATATCAGATGAAACAATGAATTGAATTCTTCTAAAATCAAAGTCAGAAAGAAAATTTCAATTTTGTTTTGACAAAAAAGAAAGAATTTACTGGTTAACCTAAGTTAAATCTTTCCAATGTTCTAGCAAACAATTCCAAAGTGGAAAAACAATTGAACCATGTTAACAAGGTAGCTGGGACCATCCGAACTACAATGTGTATGTACAGTGTATAGTGCTGCAATTGGGCCAGGCCAACTTTAGTTGGGACGCTGCGACTTCACGCTCATAAAATCCAAATGTGGCAATATGATATCATGTAATTTCATTGTTCTTTCATTTTTTTTTGCTGCATAAAATAGAGAGAACAAAAGCTTCTACTGGCACATGCCTACAAATGCTTACAACCTACCTGTTGGTGTTCGATCCATTTCTTCAATTCATCCTCAGTGACAAAGCCGTCTTTATCTTCATCAATTTTGTCTACAATCATTCTGAAAAAAAGTAAAAATAAGGGACATAATATACACCATGGAAAACCATGAAAACCAAATCCTCCCTCAAAAAAAATATCTTAAAACACAGTTGATCAGTTGACTATCTAGCCCAGTGTTTCCCCTGCCCATTCAAACGTTAGGTGGCCCACCTCGCTACTTTCACTGACCACCTCGCTCAATTTTTGCCAATATCACCACCTCGCTGTGAAGATTGGCAAAAAAGGAAATATCAATTGAAAATTTTTCGTTTTGTGTAACATATGAGCGTTTTCCTTTACCTCCATGTATCAAGAACTCACAATTTCGATGTGTTTTTGGAATCATCGCGCATTTTTGTGAGCGCTGCATTCCTTTCAGTTTGCAGACTGCGTAAATTTTGTTTCAATCATCAGCTTGAATTGTTACCACCTCGCTCAGTTCATTAGCCAGGGGAAACACTGATCTAGCCCCATGGTTTGAACATGTCGAACACTGGACTTCCTCCATTTTGTGAGCCACACGTCAATCATCATCATGCTCAGTCTCCAAATCAAGCTACGAGAAGTTGGGCTACCCACACCAACTGGTCAGTCGAGGTGCGCCACAGGTCAGGGGCTGACGGAGCATGGTCGGCCACCCAGGTACATGTATTTCGGGGTCGGCCAAGCCGTCCTGACCAACTAGGAGCCCTAACCCACCTCACTCCTCCAAAATCCTCCTGGCGGTTTTGGAGGATTCTAGAGGATTGAGGATGAATGGTGATTGAATCAAATGAGGATTCTGGAGGATAAAGGATGAATGGTGATTGAAGCACATGAGGATTTTGGAGGATTGAGGATGAATGGTGAATGAAGCACAAGAGGATTTTGGAGGATTGAGGATGAATGCATTTTGAGGCAGGACTGTCTGATGATTTTGAAGGATTTGGCGTTGGTTATCCTTCATTTAAACATGAGTGCAAAGTTTTGGGATGAGGAGGATTTTGGAGGATTGAGGATGAATGCATTTTGAGGCAGGACTGTCTGACAATTTTGAAAAATTTAGGCGGAGTTGAAAAATTTTGGAGGATTTTGGAGGATTGAGGATGGTTGTAAGCAACAAGGGCCTAGGGGGTTAGGGTTAGGCTTGACTCATGTAGATATATAAACGGCCAGCATGAGGGAAGCATGTGCTTGGATGTTGCTAACAATCATGAATGCTTAAAAGTGTTTCCTGAAATTGAAATCTAGACATTTTGCCATTCGATATTCGTTATGACAGGGGAAATTGGAAGGTCAAAGGTGGATGACCCATGACCTCATCAAGAGTCATTTTAGGACAAACTCTCGGCAAATTTTGCCTGAAAATTAACAGGATAACTAGACAACTTAGAGATACAAAATTTAAGTTTTCTTGGTTATTAAAGGAACACTGCATCCCGGAAAGCACCCAATTGGGCTACAAATGCATTTTTGACGCAATGATAATTGATATATGAATTCATTTGGAAAAAAAAACATTTAAAAATAGAATATAAACGTCCACACATTAATAATTGGCAGTTTTGTGTCATTCTTGCGAGAGCAAATCTCGGCCCTGGTCAAAAGGTTGCCTCTTAAAAAGTGAGCGGATTGAATCATCCAGTTGCACATTCCTTAAAAAAAAATATGTTAATTTGTGCTGGGAGAAATCAGAAATTTAAAATTTGGTTACATGTATACTAATTTTTGTTCATGCCGAATAACCTTTATTCAATTTTACCACAAGCTCCCACCCAACTCATGTCAACAAAAAGCATGAAAAGTGACAAGAGTGGTGTTGCATTCACAACATGATCTTTGGTTTAATTTGTAGGATTCAATGACCACTGATGAACCCAGACTGGGACCGCGAGTGCATAAAAACGTGCAAAATTACTACTGACGTTTTTTTACTCACCATCAGGCTAATTAATGCTCACACAACACATACATCAAAATGATATAGTTGCAAGCATGTCACCTGCGAAATTTGAGACCTTAAATCCAATTTTAAGGCAAGTTTTTGGCAGTTCAAAAACCATCCACGTCAATCTCCATGCTCTGGAAATGTGTGTGTGATTCACAATGTATTCTGGGTAGGTGTACTAGGAAGAGCCTTGCAGCTTACTTGTTTTTTTAATCGATGGCCAAATGAACATAGCGCCCTCTGTTAAAAAATGAAACATTTTGCATTTACTCAGATCAACAAGAGGGCGCTGTTTTATCTACACGATGAAAATGTTATAGCTGAGGAGTCTTTTTGCACAATGCATTGCAGTACACATCAACATGATGTCTCACGTTTGGATTTCGATAACTCTCTGTAAAATTAGATTTAAAAGCTGAATTTTTGGTGATGCAATGCTCACAACAGCAACTTTGCGAGGCAAAAGTTTCGGGGATTATTGAAGAAACTGTAGTGAGTAAGAAGCTTGCACATTTGATTCACACTGGTTTTATTATGCAGCACAAACTTTTGCACGATATGGATACCTTAAGTTTTGGGACTCTCATACACAGTATTGAGAGTCCCAAATTTTCGGACTATGATGAACCTTACACAAAAATACTAGTCTCTACTCTGATAAATTGAGCATGTTGAGTGGGCAAGCACTAGCACTTCATACATGTACTCCTTACCAACAACCATCATGACTGAAGCACTGAAGCATGACAAGCAAGTGATTGCTGTCACAATCTGAGACATGGTCATTTAATGGAGAACATTTCAATTTTCGTCTGGCATGTCTGGTGCGTTGTCTTGCTTTCCACGACTGCTTTTCACGACAACACACCAGACGAAAATTGAACCCACCAGTAGCGGCGCTTGAAAGCGGTGTGGTACCCACATACATCCCGCAATTTTTTTTTGGTAATCATCACGTGATGCATTTCATTTCCTAATCATGCTAATTAACTTAACACATTTGCGTATCAAAATCTCAACATGAAATTTCACAAAAAATAGACATCTGAAAAAGGCAGCACTCTCTGATTAGCCTAAAAAGTAAAAGTATTGTTGGTGTACCCTAACGTGGCGCGCCCCCTAACGTGGCGCACTTTGGTTTTTCTCCTCTCTTGACGAAATGAACAATCCATTTTTCTTACAATTAACACTCAATAAAGGTCACACAATCCTTCGCAAATATACATACTAGATTCAAATTTCTGACGTCACGATTGCGCGTAGAAGGTCAAAGGTTACACAGAAAGCCAGACGATCCCATAGCAAAAAGTATCAAGATGCCGTCGACGTCCAGAAACAATGGCCAAAAAAAGGTAACAAGCAGACGTTTTCTTTTAATTCAAGATTCCAAAACAATTAAACTAATTAAAAAGTAATATTATTCGTCAACGTTATCAGTATTAATGAAAAGTAAGCAGAATAATCCGAAGTTTACTGGAAATTTACCGGAACGTAAAAATAGTGTCGTCTGCTCTCGGTTGTCATGACGTCATGTACGGTAGCCTGTAATAGACATATAAAGTGAATACAATTAGGCCTAGTTTTTATGTGGCTTGGCATCACCGGTACCGTGTGGGTGCACTTTTGATTAGATATTATAATCGAGTAAATGTAGCGGATATGCAAAACGTAGAGGTAATTGACATTATATGAATATTGTTGAAATTGTTATGTATTTAAAACGTCTAGGATGCCTTTTAAATATCGTGTCAGAAATAAATTTATTATTGAAACATAACTGCTGATTTTTCTATTCTCTTAACTTGAGCTAGAGTTGTATATTTAATCATGTATTAAATTGTCTGTATTGTCATTTGTTGGTATTGTAGGCTCTACTTCTTTTTAAAAAACATTTATTCAAGTTACTGGATATTTTTATTTTTATTTTTTTTAAATATTGGACGAGCGTACGTTTTTGTAACTGTTTATTTTTTTCTAAAAATCAATGTGGCCTGACGTTGCAAGTTCTTTTTCAGAGGCTAAAACAGAAATGACCATGTTTATTTTTTTATTTAGGGGTCATGTCTTTTTGCATTGCTATATTTTCTGATTTCGAGGTTCAAGAGATTTGCTTTACTTTTCAACTGTTTTAATGTTGTAGCCGTTTGTTAACTTGTAAACACCTAAAGATCCATATTGTTTCCTGCATAACATAAAATGCAATAAAATGAAACTTTTTTTTTCACGGCAAATTGTCGTCAGGGCAAATGATCGTCATAGGCCGCCGTAGCATGGTACCAAACCATTTCAGCCAATCAGCGGCGTGCACCACGTTAGGGGACAGTTCGATAGTTTTGCGTAAGTAACTTCTCGACAATTCTGTCGTACTCTCTGAATTTTTTTTGTCATTTGTACTAAACCAAAATGAATGACAGATAGTTTTTCTGGAGGGTGTTCAATCCGGCACTAACGTGTGTAAGTCTGAACAGAATCGGCTCTTGGATTTTGAAGCAATTTGAACGGATGTCCAGTGAGTTGTCGAAGTGCGCCACGTTAGAGTACACCACCATATAAAGAGGGTGAGTATGCTTCTACACTACAGCCAAAAAAACCTAGGGGGCCTACAATTAAGCCTAAATGTGAAAATCAAAATTTGGCAAAGTGCGACACGTTTTTGTACATTTGGATGTGTGGCCTATGTTTACGGAGGTAGTCCAGTAAATAGGCCACATTTAATGGGCTAATCATTCATGGCCATGGAATCTGGGCAGCTGGGGTGGGATCGACATAGAGGTGAAAATGGACCATTTTGGGGAGGCCTTTTTTTACGGTCTCTTACGACCACACTCTCACGCCGTGGTTATGTCTCCAGCGTTCCATGTGAATTCCTGTGATGAGCTTGTTATAAGCTGGAGTTACTCGAGCTATTAAATTTAAAGTACAATGTACACGACTACGAGTACGAGTACGAGTGCCACGTTGACGCGTCAAACAGCATGAACAGCGGACTTACCCGAGCCTTTTTCTGCTCTCATCCGGACTCAAATTCTGAAATGTTTTCGCCTCCTCTTCTCCAAGAAAAGCATCGTGATCGTAGTCAACGTTGTGTTCCTTCCCTTCAAAATGTTCTTCGTCGCTGAGCTTTACTTCTTTCACTCGTTTGCTCTGGTTTTCGTCTTGCTTTTCAGCCGGTTTGGCGAAAGTCACCACCAGCAACAAACACACGAGAGATGCGTATGCGAGACACTTCATTTTTTCAGTCTGTTTACGGCAAGTTATGGCGTGAATAAATACAAAACGGAACCTGAGTTGCAGCTATTAATTCTCTTAAAAGATGCCTGCACCTTTTAGAAATGTAATAAGCAAAATGTTACGTGAGTACAGCAAGTGAAGATTGCATGAATTTACTGACGATTTCGCGAGAGGCGGTTCTGGAATTTATACCTCGCCGACGTGCAGACGTGGATAGTTGACAGGTCATGTTTCATGACCCCGGTCAGGGGTTACCGTGGGCCAATCAAAACGTATGATTCTGGCCTTAAGAAATTACAGCAAATCGCAGATCTCGATCTTTAGGTCTTGGAAAATGCCATTATTTTTACAACAATGATTTTGATTGGGTTATGTTTGCCAAGTTGGCAGCTTGGTTCGAGATGATTGGACAAAACTTGCCACGTCTTTTCCTGTAGTTTATGTGACATTTGGCCGTGTGCATAATATGCATGCCACGCGTGGCTATGCAACGTGTCGCTCTCAGAAATTTCGAGATATTTTGAGAGAGAAAAAAGGGAAATTTAAAACTAAGAAACACAAAGAAAGGTGCGCGTGTAAGAAGCGTAGAAGTTTCATCATACAACATCTTTTGTACAAATTAAACGAGAAGTTTTGAGGGGTACGTGTATGGACAACGTTTACTTCTGTCAAGAATTGTAGTTGTACATTGAATGTAATAAAATTAAACATAGTTCGTTTGATTTCCGTTTTTCTTTCGTAACGATTATTACTTAGAGCTGATTTCATGCGGTCCCTTAAAAAAGTGTATGATGCATATTCAAAACGTCATAATTATCCTCTGTGAAAAATTAAGAAATACTTAAAACCCCACATTGATAGCTAATTAATTTTCCTCAAGTAGTTTAGAAAAAAATCATTGTCAGTATTTTGTAATTTTGTATGCGGTGGTTTAATTATGTGTTGTTATTTATACAAGACAACAATTTGCACCCCCCCTCAAAAAAAATTAATAAGAGATTCTAAAATTCTCCCAAAACCCATCCTGAATTACTAGTAAATGAAGGAAATCTATTGTTCAAACAATAAAAACGTTTGTGCTTTCAGTTTAAATTTGTAAGGCCCAGAGTCATCCTGCACGCAGACGACACGCATAAGAAATGGCGGGAAAAAGTTTGTCTACATTTTGGCGGGAAGATTTAAATGCCCCAAAAAGTGAAGCAGCTGACGTACACTTTTTGTACACAACGCATCACACTCGCGTAAAACTGCACGTAGGACGGGTGCGCAGTAAATAGTCGATGGGATACTTGCTGTTCATCTCGACGTTTCTGTTTTATTTTAGTCGTCATTTGTTTCGTGTTAAATTGCAGTCCCGGCTGTGTTCATTTGCGGTGACATTTTAGTGCTTTTCCTGGCGATTCCTGTGTTTCCCTGGTCGTATTTTGCGATGCATCGGTGAGTCACTGAGCATGCTGAGAACGTTCCTATGGCTATGCGTGAGAAACTACGGTTATTCACGTAGCCTAGCCCTAGGCCTATGCTGTAGTATTCCCATGTTACTGGTTCATTCATTGTACAGAAATTGTACATGTTCAACGTACGTACTTGACTGTCATGACTGTAGGCTACTACTACTAGGCATACCACTAGCAACTAGTAGTAGTAGTAGGCCCCCTAGGCCTAGGGCCTAGGCCTATATTCAGAGTATGACGCGGCTTGGAAGTTTCGTTGGGCATGTTGAGTGTATGGGGGGGGGGGGCACTTGGTTTTGTGTTCAGTAGGCCTAAACATTCATGACGTCATTGTAGGCCTAAACATAACTTAGACATGTTAGGAAATCATTTGTAAATGAAGCATTGCCATTGGAATTAACATTGGATTTAGCAGGCATAGCCATAGGCTCTCGTCGGCCAAGTAGGCTAATATTTTGATATCATCAAATTAGTTACTCGGCCGAGATTTGTTCTAGGCAAAATAATGGCCCACATGTTGTCATGCAATATGCATGATACGCATTTGTTTTGTAGGATTTGTAAAGTTAGGCCGGCTAAGGTAACACAGTAACAGATGACAGAGTTGGGTCTATTATAATTAGGCCTAAAAAAAAGAAGTAATAGTTATATAGGCCTACATCATGCTTGTTCAGCCTGTTGAAATGGGCATGTTTAGGCCCTTACATGTAAATGAGACATTTTGAACAACATGACAAAGCAAACTTTTCCTAACATTTCTATTTTCTTACTTTCTGATTCATGGCTCTGGAAGATTTTTTTCAGGGAAATAAAGTTCAGAGAATCATTGGGTTGACTATTTGACCATCATGACCATAGCATTAGCAACAACACTAAAACAGAAATGGTGCTAAGGCCTACTCTTTCTTTGGCCAAAATACCTCTGCTGCTTATATAAGTTAAAGTAACTGCCATTTGGGAGAGGCCTACTTTTAATTTAAAGACTAAATCATTAAACCATCGTATGATCTTTGTTTTATTTACAGTAACGCAACTTCCACACAAATAACAACTCGGGCATGCAGAAGGAGCGTCCGTCTTGAGAACAAGGACTACCATAGCCGTATGTCATGGTGTGTTCAGTCCGACCCCCTTGGCTTTTTTGCACTTCTTCCGACTGAGTTGATGTATCATATTTTAAACACCTTGAGAAGTAAGTGATTGTTTTTCTTTTTTTCACAACTTAATACTAGGCATTTTGTTTTTACTAGGACAGATTCTAATGTCAGTTGAATTTTTCCCATTATTATGTTGATATTGAATGCCCTGTCCCCTGTAAACAGTGTTTTATAAGGCCAAGCAAATAAATATTGTTTCTTATCTGGGCTTCTAGAAAAAAGAGAGGAGGCAGCCTTTTTTGTTTTGTTTTTATTCTTCAAGGTGGCGGATTGACCAAGATGATTTTTCCATTTTTTTGACTGTAAAAGGCCAATAAAACAGAGTTCTGCTTCCAGTTTCCCTATTCTGAGAGCCCCTACCATGGGCGTCGCGAGGGAGGGGGACAAGGGAGCATTTCTCCCCTGTAAAGCACAAAAAAAGAAGAAAAAAAGAAAGAAAAGGAGGCGCGAAGTCATATTGCTTTTAGTTTAATGGGTTTTTTGGGGGGTTCTTGCCCACCCCTGAAAAATTAAAATCGAGAATATGAATAGCCCCCCACCCCTCTAGAAAAAATGCTGGCCACGCCCATGGCCCCTACCTTAATTTTTTGCCTGGGAAAATTGAGGAAAAAAACACCCAAAACCATTAGTTAGGCTACTACATTTTTTCTCTTGACTACACGCAGACGCCTCCATATGAACGTACACAAAAATAATTGCCCCCAAAAAAGAAATTCCCTATCTACCTACCCTACTTTCAAATGCCATGTAATCGGAAGCAGATTTTTCTGTTCAAATGAGTTGTTACGCTCGCTGACAGAAATTTGCTGGAAGATCATAAAAAGACAAAATGTTTGACTAAAAAAAAAGAGACTTAAGGCCAAAAAAAAAAGTCTCCGGTTTCCGGTATGGAGCTTGCCCAAAAAGTGGTGCGACGACGCGGCTTTTTTTTTTTACCTGATTTTTTTTGCCTCAAATGTCGCCTGATGACTGCAAATGGTGCCCGCCTAAACTTAGTGCAAATATATGGGAGTCCAGAGAGGCCATAGAGCTTATTCTCGATCATAACCCCATCCAAAAACACGTTAAAATTGTGCAGCAGCAGGATTCCAGTCAAACCAGTGAGTTTGGCGGTTTTGAGACATCATCTTTCATTGAAAAAAAAACCTTTTTCATTTTGCCGACGCGCATGGCTACGGCGACGCGCGCGCATACCAGAAACCGGAGACTTTTTTTTTTTGGCCTAATTCGTGTCACTCTCAGGTGTAAAATATTGAAGAAAAGTCTCCTTTAAAAATGAAAATTCAGACCTCAAGCTTGGCCGATGTTGAAATACTCAGGGCCTTGTCTTTGCCTCATGAACATTTTGGAGAATTTAGGCAGCTAAAGAGTGCGTAAAGTTGGCCTGAATTTGTTTTGCATGTTGTTTTCTGCACTCAAGGCCCCAGTCTGGCGCTGACCTACTCCTTCAATCGTTATTTTGACTTTTCCCACCAGTTGAGGATCTTGGTTTCCTGAGCGTCACATCCAAAGCTTTCCGCGACGTCATAATTGAGTACACCCAGAGCACATCTGGACTGAAGAGACTGCAGTTGAGGCAAACAGCGCCCTCCAGGAGGACTGCCTCCAAGCGAGCCGTCTGCAACAATCTAGTGAACCACTTCAAGAATGTTGGTAAGTCCAAAAAAATCATCGTCCTTTCGGCTTGACAATTTTCCCCAAACAAAGACAGAATATACTCTACATCACCCGGGCTACATAAAATTAAATAAAAAAGGGGGGGGGGGGGCTGTACACCATCTTTCCATGGGTGGTGCGCTCTTCAAAGCAGACACTATCAGACAAAAGGTGCGGCTCTTCAATTAAAGATGTCCACGCAGCGTTAAAAAAAGGGTCACTCGTGAAAACACTCCACTCATGAATAAGGACTAGTTAGCAAACTTTCGGGGGGGAGGGGGCGAAATTTCTTATTGTGGTTTGTGAATTAACGTAATAGTTTTAGTTGCCAGGAAAAAAAGGATTAGGTGTTTTGCATTGAAGTTTATTAATTGTCTGAAGAATCAACTCTTTGTTAAAATAGATTTGAGGATGCTAACGATTTAGACCATAATTTAGTCACATTTTGGTCGACCATCGTTGACAAAAAAACCTGACTTTTTTTCAAATACTGCCCCCAATGTACCAAATTTATTTAGTCCACATTTTATTTGGAATCAGTTTCAATCTGTGAACGGGTGCAATTATACCAGCTAGTCTGGTTCCCTGACCTGACAATTCCCCGACGTCAATAAAGTGGTCCGTTTGAAGTAGCATCAGGGAACCACGCAGACTACAAGAACCGCATTTTGTCTTAGTTTTTCCAGAAGCTATGAACACAAAACTTTAAACAGATCATTTTGCTATAGGCCCTAAAATACAAATCCCCAGTTCCAATTCTATTTCTGAAAATTACAGCAAAAGCAAATAAAGTGTTATTACCTTTGAGCTTAAAATCATAGAGCATCAAACACAAACCTACAATTCTATGAAAAATCAGTTTTTGAATGCAACAAATAAAAATTCAGATCTTCCGTTGTTAACTACAATTAGGTCTGTTGCTGAAGAGAACTACTTGCCTATTCCCGACCAGGGAGCGACTGAAAACTGTGGAGTTCATCGTATCTCAGGTGAACAAGAGCTTTTACTGTCAACCTCTGTTTTAGCTTTTTTAAAGCCAGAGTCCATCATTTGCAGCTATCCAAAAAAGTAACTGGCGTAATTATTGTTGAAAAACATACTGGTTGAAAGATAGTAAGGGTACTAAACTCTCTGTGAAATTATTCTTTCTGGCAAGCTCTCATTTTGAAGAAATCAACGAAAGAAGGCATTTCCAACGGTGCGTCTTAAGAAGCACCGTAGGAAAATTTAAATTAGTAGTTCGTTTTGTTGTTCGGCGCAGCGCGCGCAAGCATTGGCACGACGCACAGGCGCGCGCGGTTGCTTTAATTCGTCGCGCGACGAATCAGTGCGCGACATTGCGTAAAGCTGCAATTCAAAACAATTCAAAACATGATTTAGCAACTTTTGATTTGAAACTGAGATCCTAGAATGCTGTTTTTCTCGGAATATACAGCTGAAGCTGAGCTGAAACTTCATCAGGTTAGTTGTTCAGTATCCTTCATTAGATTTTGAACACTTTTGTTGCTTCAAACGAACAAAATGCACAAATTACAAATGATGGACTATGTCTTTAAACAAATTTCTAACAAGTTTTTGGAGGTAGAATTTGAATCAACTGAACTGAAATATTTAATCACAGATCAAAAATACTCAAAACTTTAAGGGTTCTGAATATGACGATTACCTGAATTCTCGATCATATACCAAATATTTGAATAGCTTTTGCCAGTTTGAATATTAAAAAAAAAAAATACGTTCAGAAACACACGACTGTGATGCTATCATAAAGTTGCTGCGCTTTATTGTCTAGGTGCCACCCTGATTTTTTTGTTGATGGTAACTTTTTTGTGTCAATGGAACTTCATCGTTCACATCCTTTATAGAGGTTAAAGGGAAAATACAACATTTGCAAACATCAAAAAATAAAACTACCAAATCATTTTGAAATACCTTGCTGGACTGTTAGTGAATGACAGTGTAAAGCATCCTGTAAAATCATGGCATCTGGTATACTGTCATTTTCAAGAAAAGTGCTATTTTTGTACCAATTTCCAACGCTGATCGGCCGATCAGCGTTGGAAAAAACTGGCTTTTTTTTCAAATACTGGCCCCAATTGACCATCGCACTTGTTTGCAATCAATTACACACACTATGAACGGGTACAAGCCAGCTAGACTGGTTCCCTGACCTTACAATTCCCCAATGTATATACTGCTCCGTTTCTTCTTCAATGGAGTCAGGGAACCAGATTACAGGAAAATGATTGTTTTTCTTGGTTTTTATAGCATTTTTGAACCCAAAACCTCAAAAAAGTCAGTGTAACTATATTTGCTATATATTTCCAACCCCCCAAGTCCATCCATTTCTGAAAATTACAGCAAAAGCAAATGATGTATATTCCCTTTAAAGCCATTTACACTTTTAACTAGCGCCGTCTTCGTGCAAATTTTCACCAGTGCAGCATGCAGTTGCAGAGAGTTTTGAATATGCGCATATTCGGTGAAAGCCAGTGTTGTAGTTGAGCCCTGCAAAACCTTGACAAGACCATCACAACAAGACCATCACAAGACGCCCAGTCTCAGTTCAATTAGTCACAAGCAAATGAATTCCAACAAAGGCATTCGTTTGTTATTGTTCGTGCCCTGTTACTTGTGGCTGGTCTTTGTGAATGGTCTTGAGCTGGTCATGTGGGGCGCTGTGGTCCAATGGTTACGGTGTTCGACTCGTGTGCCGTGGTACACGGGTTCAAATCCTGACCGTGGGAACATGGTGCTTGCGCTCCTGAGCAAGGCACTTTACCATTATTGCTTCGTCCTTCGGATGGGACGTAAAGCCGTAGGTCCCGTGTGTTGTGTAATGCACGTTAAAGAACCCAGTAACACTTGTCACTAAGAGGAGGGGTTTGCCCCGGTGTTTCTGGCAGTGGCAGCAATTATGCGCCGCGGCACCTAGCAAAAAGGTGCTACATAATGGGTCTCATATGTTCATATACTTCATATATCTGGCTTTGGTTGCATTCTCCCCCAGCGCTTTGTATCCTCTGGCAAAAAGCGCTATATAAATACAGTTATTATTATTATTATTATTATTGAGCTGGTCTTGTGATGGTCTCGACTACAACTCTGGGTGACGACTACAACTCTAGGTGAAATGCAGATTCGAGTAGTGGAATACTAAATTATTGGAAAATGGACAGCCGTAAAAACTGTAGCAAAAAAGCACTGAATCATAAAGAAAATGACTTGCCTGTTTGGCCACACAAAAAAAGTCTCCGGTTTCTGGTATGGAGCTTGCCCTAAAAGTGGTGCGGCAACGCGGCTTTTTTTTTTTTTTTACCTGATTTTTTTTGCTTCAAATGTCGGCTGATGACTGCAAATGGTGCCCGACTAAACTTAGTTCAAATATATGGGAGTCCAGAGAGGCCACATAAAGCTTATTCTCGACCATAACCCAATCTAAAAACACGTTACAATTGTGCAGCAGCAGGATTCAAGTCACACCAGTGAGTTTGGCAGTTTTGAGACATCATCTTTCATTTAAAAAACAACTTTTTCATTTTGCCGACGCGCATGGCTACGGCGACGCGCGCGCATACCAGAAACCGGAGACTTTTTTTTTTGCCTGTTTGATTCCTTTTTTTTTTTTTTGAATACAGCTGCAGTGTGTCCACAGGTCATTCACCTGTCAGGCGCTAAGCTGCTATGGCAACCTGCTGAGCACATTCACGCGGGGATGGGAGGAGCGAGAGTGTCTGAGGGCGTACATCACCATCAGCGAGAACCAGAGCATGATCAGCAAAATATGTAAGTACGGCCGGAAAACCCCCGTTGATCTGCACTTTGTTGCAAGTTGGTAATTGGTTTTGTTCAAGCCATGATATAAGGTCAGTTCTTTGAAATGTGAATGCGTAAGAAATGTGACGTCATTTTAACTCTCTCAGTGCCCGCGAAATTTGAAAAGTTTAACTCTAAAGTGCCCAACTTCGAGCATTTTTGTTAATTGTTCAAAATTCTGTAAAAAAAAAAAAGTAAATAAGTTTTACTCACTAAATTTGTTGTTGTTGCTCTCTGGTATGTAATCCTTGATATATTGGAAAGTCAAAATAAGTCACAAACATAGTGATACACCCTGAAACACTGGCCTGAACACAGGGGAATTGCGCACTTTTTGCAGAAAATACGAGATTTAGTGCTGCGCCCTCTCGCAAGAACTCGAATGAAAAAATAAATACAGGTCGTACATGCATGAAAATGGTACCATTAGAAAGAGCGAAGGGCGCCCCCTTTTGATAACGTATTTACTCTACCTCGTACATGTGCGAGGTTTGGCAATTTTAAGTACGAACATTTACGAACATTACCTCGCACATGTACGAGGTTAGCGCTTTTGTACTAACAAATATACCTCGTACATGTACGAGTTTGGCACTGAAAGAGTTAAAAACATTCGCTTCGAAATTCACTTATAAATGCAAATTTTCAGCACACAGACTTGACATGACATGCCTGCCCACCTTTGAATGCTAAAGAAATTGTGTCCACCACTTTCTGAAACGTTCTCCCGTTGTTGCCCTCAACATAAATCTAATGCTGTCCTGATAGCAACTTTCTCCAAAACCACACAGAGTGATCTTTCATCACCTGCTCAAGTTATTCTAATCAAAACCTGGGCTCTGTACAAACACAAGGAGATCAAAATTATTACCATGCCTCTGGTGATTATACAAAATAAAAATGTTGAAAATATTTCACATTTTTTGATATTTGTCATTTTTTTGCCAGTGATAATGCTGTCCGGCAATCCAGGCTCCAACCCAGCCGTCGAGATCAAAACTCGGCGATTCTTCCGCCACGTTCTCCTGGACCAGTGCAAGACCATGGAAGACTTGTCCATGTGGCTGCATTTTATCCTGAAACCGTTTCCCATGGTGCACCAGGCTAGGTTGCTGTATTTGTTGTATGGACCTCTCTGCCCGGGTACTGGTGAGTATATATTTAACCAGGGGGAGGGGTAAGCTTCACTACAGTGCTTGAGACAATTTTGCTTCTGGGTTCGGACTTGGTCATCTTGAGCTTATGGGCGGCACGCGTAATTTTTATTCCTAGGAGGGTTAGGGGCAATGTCATGAATAATTCTTGTTTATCAATGAGAACGGACAATGACATCAACAGCATTGTTACTCAACTAGTTACAATACATTAAAGCATTTTAAAGAACGGTTGTCGTCGAGCTACCACACAGTAGCCTAGTGGATAGCGAGATGAGCTATGGATACAAAGATCCCTGGTTCGAATCCACGTCGTCGCTGCTCATTTTCATCAGCTATTTCTCTTCTCCAAATTTATTGCTGAGATAATTTTAAATTAAGGGGAAAATAGAACGAGAACCTAAGTCTTGCAATGATTCAAAGGAAAAACTGAATTATTAATGACATTGCCCCTAACCCTCCTAGGAAAAAAAAATTACGTGGGCGGCACAAGGGTGTGTGGGGGGCGAAAGAGCATAAAAAGGAAGATAAAAGAAAGACCAAAAAAAAAAAAAAAAAAAAGAACAGGGTCAAAGTCAATATTTACTGTTATTTTAACATAATTATGCGGAACAATAGAGCTGATGGAAAGAGGCCTAAAGTAGAGCTTTATGTACACATTATGTGAATACAGTACAGATGTAAATATAGCACAAATACAGGTCTTGAACAGTGTCACCAGGCATCAAAGGATGTCCAGCCCCCAGCCATGCTTTTTTAATTTGTCCAGGGCTGGGGTGTGCTTCGCCCCTCCACAAAAATCCCAGCTAGGGCCTAATCCTAAATGGTACAATAAGCCTGTGTTCTAATGACGTCACATTTTGTTAATACACATGCACTTTCCTATGTGGGGGCCCACTAGTCCACTGAGCACCATTGAAAAATTAGCACACACGTAAACAAAGTGTGACGTCATTAGTACAGAGGCTTATCTTCTCAAATGTCCTGCCTGCAATGCCCTCCAGCCAGAGTCGCGATGAATCAAATACATTGTATTGTGAACAACTCAGTGCAGTCAGACGGGTAAAAATTATGCAATGAATTTCCATTGACAAGAGATGGAGATATATTACCACAACAGTCAAGTTTATAATGAAACCAGGCGCGGTTCTAGAACCAATATTTTGGGGGGGGGGCTAGCACGGTGGATCCAGAATTTTTTCAGGGAGGCGTGCTGAAATGTTGACCGGTTATTTTTTCCAGACACTTAGGCCTCCGAAAATCAAAGGGGGGGGGGGGGGGGGGGCTCATGCCATATTTTCAATGGGGAGCGCCAATAAAATCCTAAAATCATTAACACTATATTAACTAATGCACCCTTGTCACGGCTATTTCTTCTTTAGGGGGAGACCGTTCGCATGTACATCACAATCCTTCTTTTTGCCAATGCAAATTTTTTTTTAAGGAATTTATTTTGGGGGGGCTAGACAAAAATTTTGGGGGGCTACAGCCCCCCCTAGCCCCCCCATAGAACCGCGCCTGAATGAAACGTTGCTCCAAACATTGAACTTCTCATGTACCAAATTCAAAGTCTTTGAAATAATTTGGTTAACAAATCGAAGCCCTGCCTGAAGCTGTCATATCCTTTTTTGGTTTCAGATGCCGTGTTCTGGGATTGTATGCGGGAGACGTCCGTCGGTGACAGGCAGACCCGATCTAGCACCATCGCTCCTCTGGGTGAGATTGCCATGGCTCTCAAAGCTCTGGTCAACCACAGAGAGTGGAGTGATGATGATGTCATCAGCGTGCTAGAAGAACTAACAGGTAGGAATGTTTAAAGGTAGAGTCCATCATTTGCAGCCATCCGAAAAGTAACTGGCGTAATTATTGTTGAAAAACAAACTTGGTTGAAAGATAGTAAGGGAACTAAACTCCCTGTGAAATTATTCTTTCTGGGAAGCTGCCATTTTGAAGTAATCAACGAAAGAAGGCATTTCCAACAGTGATTCTTAAGAAGCACCGTAGGAAATTTAAATTAGTAGTTCGTTTTGTTATTCAGCGCAGCGCGCACAAGTATTGGAACGACGCACACGCGCGCGCGGTTGTTATAATTCGTCGGATCAGTGCGCGACGTCGCGTATAGCTGCAATTCAAAACATGATTCAGTAACTTTTGATTTGAAATTGAGATCTTAGAATGCTGTTTTTCTCGGAATGTACATCTGAAGCTTAGCTGAAACTTTATCAGGTTAGTTGCTTAGTATCCTTCATTGGATTTTGAACTCTTTTGTTGCTTCAAACGAACAAAATGCACAAATTACAAATGATGGACTGTAGCTTTAAGTTGATAAAGTTGAAAGCAGTGGCATAGCCAAGGGGGATATTTGTAGGGACCTGTGTGCAATATGTCCCCCACAAATTCTCAATGCCCCCCAGGTGCCTCCCCCCCCCCCAAAAAAAAAACCCCGAAATTTGCCGCTTGTCAAGCATTTGTCTTTTGAATGAATCCTTTTAAGTTTAATATACAAAACAGAAGAGGAATGAAGATGACTTGTTTATTTCCATTGACCCTCTGGCTTTACGGAAATGTGAATAACTTGATACGAAAAAGGGCAAATTCTGTCATCTATAAAATAAAAAAAAACGTCTGGCATCAATACAGGTCCAGCCCCACCCCCAGCCCCTCTTCATTTTAAAGAGGTTGTGGAATGCTCGAAGACATTTCCGTCAGTTTTTTTGGTATATGTAGCCTAAGGTGTGATGAAATAAAAACGACTATTGTTTCTGTCATGAAATGAGTACAAAGGTTACTTTTGAATTTTTCAGGTCCTGTTTCGACCCGAACGTGCAATTTGTGTAAAAGTCGTCGTTGCGGGCAGCAAACAAAACACAGTAAATCGTGACGTAATAAACAGGACTCGTTTATGCTACTCTGCATCGGGAGTCCTGTTTATTACGTCACGATTTACTGTGTTTTGTTTGCTGCCCGCAACAACGACTTTTACACAAATTGCACGTTCGGGTCAAAACAGGCATGACAGGACTTGAAAAACAGCTCTCAAAAGTACCTTTTGTACTCAGTGGCATAGCCAAGGGGGATATTTGTAGGGACCTGTGTGCAATATGTCCCCCACAAATTCTCAATGCCCCCCAGGTGCCTCCCCCCCCAAAAAAAAAACCCCGAAATTTGCCGCTTGTCAAGCATTTGTCTTTTGAATGAATCCTTTTAAGTTTAATATACAAAACAGAAGATGAATGAAGATGACTTGTTTATTTCCATTGACCCTCTGGCTTTACGGAAATGTGAATAACTTGATACGAAAAAGGGCAAATTCTGTCATCTATAAAATAAAAAAAAACGTCTGGCATCAATACAGGTCCAGCCCCACCCCCAGCCCCTCTTCATTTTAAAGAGGTTGTGGAATGCTCGAAGACATTTCCGTCAGTTTTTTTGGTATATGTAGCCTAAGGTGTGATGAAATAAAAACGACTATTGTTTCTGTCATGAAATGAGTACAAAGGTTACTTTTGAATTTTTCAGGTCCTGTTTCGACCCGAGCGTGCAATTTGTGTAAAAGTCGTCGTTGCGGGCAGCAAACAAAACACAGTAAATCGTGACGTAATAAACAGGACTCGTTTATGCTACTCTGCATCGGGAGTCCTGTTTATTACGTCACGATTTACTGTGTTTTGTTAGCTGCCCGCAACAACGACTTTTACACAAATTGCACGTTCGGGTCAAAACAGGCATGACAGGACTTGAAAAACAGCTCTCAAAAGTACCTTTTGTACTCATTTTATGACAGAAACAATAGTCGTTTTTATTTCATCACACCTTAGGCTACATATACCCGAAAAATGACGGGAATGTCTTCGAGCATTCCACAACCTCTTTAAATTTGTAGCACTTGCCTGGCCAGTCAGTGCCCTTGAAATTAAGGGGAAATGTTGTTGGGTCCGCCCTTGGTGCCCCAGCATAACAAGCTGGTTACCCCTGGCCCCTGTAATAAAAAAAATTGTAGCTACGCCACTGCCCTAAAGGTGGGCTGTAAGGCTACAACCATGGGCGTCGTGAGGGGGGGGGGGCAAGGGGGGCATTTGCCCCCCCCCCCCCCCTGGAAAAGCAAAAAAAAAAAAAAAAAAAGGAAGCAAAAAAAAGAAAGAAAAGAAAAGAAAAAGAGGCGCGAAGACAAAGTGGTGTAAATTTAATGAGTTGGGGGGGGGGCAAAATGTCCCTGCCCCCCTCTAAAACTGATAAATCGAGAATGTGTTTTGCCCCCCCTCTAGAAAAAATCCTGGCTACATGGCTACAACAACCAGTTCCACAACTTTCAAGTATTCCTAGTCTTTTCCTCAGTTTTTTTCACCTTGCTCCTACTTTTCCTACTTTTTTCCTTGAAATTCCTACCTTTTTCTACTTTTTTGTTCCACAACTCAGAGAAATGAAATCTCATTTTTCATAGCCAGTGTATATATACACTGTCATTATGTATCACACAATGAAGGGCTTGGTCGCAGGAGTACTGCAACTGAAAGTACAACCTTTAATTGTTTTAAAGCTACAGTCCATCATTTGTAATTTGAGTATTTTGTTCGTTTGAAGCAACAGAAGAGTTCAAAAACTAATGAAGGATACTGAGCAACTAACCTGATGAAGTTTCAGCTCAGCTTCAGCTGTATATTCCGAGAAAAACAGCATTCTAAGATCTCAATTTCAAATCAAAAGTTACTGAATCATGTTTTGAATTGTTTTGAATTGCAGCTATACGCGACGTCGCGCACTGATCCGACGAATTATAGCAACCGCGCGCGCGTGTGCGTCGTTCCAATACTTGTGCACGCTGCACTGAATAACAAAACGAACTACTAATTTAAATTTTCCTACAGTGCTTCTTAAGAATCACCGTTGGAAATGCCTTCTTTCGTTGATTACTTCAAAATGACAGCTTCCCAGAAAGAATTATTTCACAGGGAGTTTAGTCCCCTTACTATCTTTCAACCAAGTTTGTTTTTCAACAATAATTACGCCAGTTACTTTTCGGATGGCTGCAAATGATGGACTATAGCTTTAAATCATTGCCTAGTTTTTGCCAGAAAATTCTCACGGCATTTGTGCAGACATTTTCACACAGAGCAGCCAAACTTGCTTTCTATGCATGCACAATATTGTAATTGGCTGAAAGTTTTACTTCAGTTTTGGGATGCAAATGGCGCCCTCTATTGACATTTTGGTACGAATGTCTCTGGGTTTGTAAACATTGACAATTTATTTTTTTGCATTGTCACAGAAATTCAATGAAATGAATTTCTTCAAAAGTACTTTTTCAAAGGTTGAGGTTCTGTTGTTCATTTTTATCATGATTAGAACTTGATCTGCGTTTAGAATCTAAAAAAAAGTTTAAATAACAAGAATATGAGGGCATTTAGTGTGAAAGTTTTTATTTTGGGGGTTCCCAATGGTTTAAGTTGAATTTAAAATGTGTGGTTAATTTTGTCCAGTTTGTGGAATAAAATAAATAATTGCCAATTTCTGTTAATTTTAGGAATACTGAAGTGACAATCTTATTCATTCAAAAAATTATCAACAACAAAAAAGGTTGGAAAAGAACAAGGGGTATTACTCCTAGAACCATTTCTTACAGAAGTATCTTTCATTTGTGACCGGCTCCACAAAAAAGGGTAAAAAAAAGTCGCACTGAGCATTATTGTGTAATGGCTGGCTCAACATTGAGAGGGTGAACATTTCATCAAAATTTGATTTTCATTTTTTGTCTTGAATGACATCTTTAATACCTACAGCTTCAGGTTTCATTCACAGAAATGTTGATTTTGATGAACAAACTGGGAAAAAACAACCATTTTGTGTGCATCGTTCTGTTCTTCTACAACAAAGCCAGCTATTTCAACGTCTGTTTTCTCAGTTGTGTAATTTCAACTCAAAGGAAATAATTAATATATGCAAATATGTCATATATTTTCCAGAACGGGCGGGACTATGGAATTCTATTATATACCAAATGAAAGCTTAAATTGTGGGCTTTCCAACCATGTATATAACTCAATTTCACTTTTTGCGACATAATACCCTTTTTTGTGGAGCCGGTCACATTTGATATGGCCATCTACAATGTCCATTCTTTATGTCTATGCACATAGGGTGTCCAGATGAGTGGCTGATAGAGAACGTTGCCCGATTGCTGATCCTGTGTGGTGAGCCCATGGCGCTGAAGGTGCTTGGTAGCAAGGCCATCAACGGCAAGATGAATGAACTAGGAAGCATTGTTGTAGCCTTCTCTGTGGTAATTACAAACTCATCTTGAATCATTAATTAACATTCATAAATACCTAAGACAGTTTACGCATTCCTATTGGTCGAGAGCCCGTCACGTGGCCGGTCTTAAACGGATGATAAAGACATGGCTAGCTGGTCTTAAACACTTTTCCAGTGTCACAATAAAATGTGGACTCCTAAAAATCCAGTGCCTCTTATCGTTTCATTGGTTGAACGTTCACAATCCTCACGTAGGCATGCGCAACACTACCAGGGAGTCAGAATTTTATAGTTCTAAATTCAAAACGCAACGCCCCAGGTGCGTTCTGCGCGACATCGCGCAGAACATGATACGCGCGCGTCAATCTCCATAAAAGGGTTGTTTACATCTTACTCGCCAGCTGAACACTCCATTATTTTGCAAGAGGGATGTTTCAAAAAGCATAAAGTGAATTTGTTGAACAAAATCGGGATGTTTTGAACGAATTATATGATTTTTTTTTACCGAAAAGGTATTTATGAATGGGAATAAATATGTGCTCCGTCGGTATTTATCACTCTGTTTAAGACCACTTAGAGTCTGGGTGCTGATAATTACCCTCGCCTTCGGCTCGGGTAATTATCAGCACCCAGACTCTAAGTGGTCTTAAACAGAGTGATAAAAACCTCCGCAGCACACATTTATTCCCTTATTATTGAACAAGCAAAGGTAAACCACTTAAGCCCTCAAGACCAGCAGTTGAGATTGTACGTATGTTTGCAACTAGGTCTTGTATGATGAAGGCTTGCACATGTCATGGCTCATCAAGGTGGTCCAGCAGCTGTGTGGTATGATGAAGACGGCTCAAGACATCAAGAGCTTCCTGGCTTCCGTCACCGCAACGTATAAAGACTTCATCATTGCTTTGATGTATTCACCGGAAGAGGAAGGTACAGTAGAAGGGAGGGATGTTTAATTGATTCCACAGGCAGACCACATGAAGGGGGTGTTTATGACAGCACCCCCCCCCCCCCCCAATCGATCTCCATAAATTATAAAGGGACAAAAGGGACTGAACAAATGTGTTTTTTCTTCAAAAAAATTCTGATTTGTTCTACGAAACACTGTGTACTTTTACGTAGGGGGTTGAGCGAAATGTTTTCTAAAGCCAATTAAAATAATACATTTAGTTTCTCGTCTGTTTTTTTTTTTTTCTAAAATAAGGGAGGAGGCCCCCCCCCCCCACTCCATTTGTTTTCCCAAGATGGACTACCATTTCCGCAACTCTTTTGCTGACACTGTTGTTTCCAAATGGGCCATAATTATCCTTTCTACCAGATTTTGAACTTGCATAAATAGTATTTATGAATTATGGATTTATTTATAAAACTGCGTAGGGGCCTGGTCGCGGAAAATAGCAATTGCCTTCGGCTCGCGTCATTATCCTCTTTCAGGCCCCTTGCCGGTTGGAAACGTACTTGTTTAAAGAGGTTGTGGAATGCTCGAAAACATTTCCGTCATTTTTTGGGTATATGTAGCCTAAGGTGTGATTAAAATAAAATAAAAACGACTATTGTTTCTGTCATGAAATGAGTACAAAGGGTACTTTTGAGAGCTATTTTTCAGGTCCTGTTTCGACCCGAACGTGCAATTTGTGTAAAAGTCGTCGTTGCGGGCAGCAAACAAAACACAGTCAATCGTGACGTAATAAACAGGACTCGTTTATGCTACTCTGCATCGGGAGTCCTGTTTATTACGTCACGATTTACTGTGTTTTGTTTGCTGCCCGCAACGACGACTTTTACACAAATTGTACGTTCGGGTCGAAACAGGCATGACAGGACTTGAAAAACAGCTCTCACAAGTACCTTTTGTACTCATTTTATGACAGAAACAATAGTCGTTTTGATTTCAACACACCTTAGGCTACATATACCCGAAAAATGACGGAAATGTCTTCGAGCATTCCACAACCTCTTTAAAACCCGGCAAAGCCCACATGTATAATTGCCTTGTCCACCCTGCAGTGACTCGCATGCAGTTTCAGCTACACCACGTAGCCATGGCTCAGGCTGACTTCATGCAGGCAATGATGCAGCAGTTGTTCAACACCCAAACGGCACAGCACTCCTGAACTCTTGGAATGTAAGATCCAATTTCATATTTGTTTTTCGTTTCAGGGATTTTAGTTTACTGCAAACCTGTCCTACAAAGGACGAACTAATGCAATAGTATCTCATGGAGGCCCAGTGGACTTAATTATATTGCAGACTTATCTATGTGTTTTAATTATTATTTTTTTTAATTTGTATTTTATTTTTATATTATATTGTTTTTCTTTTATTCTATTTTATTCTACTTGATTTTATTTTACTTTTTTTTTACTTGACTTTATTTTAATTTGTTTTTATTTTGTTTTGTTTTAGTTTAGTTCTTTTTGTTTTATTTTATTTTATTTTATTTTCTTATTTAATTTAATTCAATTTTTTTAATTATTTTTTTTTGGGAGGGGGGATCTGGCCAGGGTGAAAAGATGATATGATGGGTTAGTGGGAAAAGTCAAATCGAGAGAAAGAAAGCTATATCTTTGTGTTGAAGAAAACCCTTTGTGTTGAAGATAACCTGAGGCCTTTTCCCCTCAAAGGGCATACATTTACAAGTGCTAGTACTTCTACTCTTTTATTTGTCCCCAAGTTAAACTATTTTAAATAAACGATCTTGAAATATATAATATATAATATATTGATGGCTTGAGATACATCACATCATAATAATAAGTTGGACACAATAGCCATCTTACTCTATTAATTACTTTCTCCCAAGTCTCTTTTTTCCTTTTGTGGGCCAAGTATGTCTTCAAAACCTGGAATAAAGGGTGTTAATATCTGTAAGTCAGTAAAAGTTCTATTGTTTCATAGTTTATTCACAAGTGAGGTTGAATTTTAAGAAACTTTACCCCATTAAACTCTCAAGACGATATATTTATTGAAAACAACGTTGAGTGCGACATCAGTAGCACTGATGGGTAAAAAAAAAAAATTAAATTCATATTGAAATTATTGCATATTCATAATAGATTATCTATTAAATATTTTTAATCTATCGTTCAAATAATATATACTTGCACCATTCCTGTATGCCATGGTTATTTATTAAAGTAATAATAGTAAAGTTGGAAATATGGTGGTTGTTTTTTTCAGAGTCTTAAGCTAACTGAATAGTTTCCGACAAAATTTAAGAAGTGGGTTCCTTGTTAAAGTGAATTCTCTGATGAGAAACGTGAAGGGATTTTGGAAGCATCAACGGTTGTTGGTTTCTTTCTCTCCTTTAAAAAACAAAACATAAAAGACATTTTCATAGATTTTTAGGATACATTACTTATACAGGGTTAGTCAAAAAGAAATTGACCTGCATCACTATTTTTCCTACAAAAGCAATCACATGTGATACACCAATGAAGTATGCCTCAAAAGAGCATGTTCTTCCACTCATCTGAATTATATTTTACAAAATGCACCCATGCCATCAGAAGTTATGCATGCCATATACATTTTTAAAGCTATAGTCCATCATTTACAGCCATCCGAAAAGTAACTGGCGTAATTATTGTTGAAAAACAAACTTGGTTGAAAGATAGTAAGGGAACTAAACTCCCTGTGAAATTATTCTTTCTGGGAAGCTGTCATTTTGAAGTAATCAACGAAAGAAGGCATTTCCAACGGTGATTCTTAAGAAGCACCGTAGGAAAATTTAAATTAGTAGTTCGTTTTGTTATTCAGCGCAGCGCGCACAAGTATTGGAACGACGCACACGCGCGCGCGGTTGTTATAATTCGTCGGATCAGTGCGCTACGTCGCGTATTCAAAACAATTCAAAACATGATTCAGTAACTTTTGATTTGAAATTGAGATCTTAGAATGCTGTTTTTCTCGGAATGTACAGCTGAAGCTTAGCTGAAACTTCATCAGGTTAGTTGCTCAGTATCCTTCATTAGATTTTGAACTCTTTTGTTGCTTCAAACGAACAAAATGCACACATTACAAATGATGGACTATAGCTTTAATGCTGTCCAAGGAATGCTATTGGGTAAGTGAGTAAAAATCACAGATTGCACACAGACATTCAAATACAAATGAGATTTTATTCATTTGAGTCAAACAGTTTTACTGCCAGATCTTGTGTTTTGAAATGAGGAACGTCATCAACTTTTTTTTTTTAAACATTGATGGCAATTTCTGACTCTTTTTCCTTGCAAGTTTTGTTCATTCGTAGAGGTGGGAAAACGTCCATGTTTCATTGCATTTAATCGGTATTCATCAGTTCGTGCAGGGTGAGTAAAAACAAAAAAGTGGAACCCGAACCCCAAAAATAAATTTCATATATATATATAAAAAAAAAAAACATGTAGCACCAAAAATAATTATGACTGGAAAGCCAAATTCAGAAATAACTTTTAGATGCAAAAAAAATACTGAAATTGCTCAATCCGTTTAAAGAATATCACCACATAAACGCCAGCCCATGACCCTAAAACATGTTCCTTCAAAAAAAAAATTCAGTTTGTATTCTGATTGTTTGGAACAACAATAAAATGACACAGAATAATTCTATCTACAACTGTCAACAACTGTAGTACAAACTAATTATTAACAAGCCTGCTTAGGCAAACAATATGATTTATAAAATCCCCTTTTTTTTGGCAAAAGACGGACCTTCCAAAGCACGTTGTTGAATATTTAAAACTTTTAGAACTGATTTTTTTCTCGCTTGTGATGTTGGAAGACAATTGTGATGATGATTCTTAAAATCGCATTTTTTTTTTTTGCAAAAAAAGATGTTTTTTTAAAGGGTCGTTGCATTTAAATGATGATGGATTGAGCAGTTAAAGCATTTTTTTTTCATATAAAAGTAGTTTATGAAATTGGCTTTCCAGTCGTTATATTGGTGTTACTTTTTAAAAAAATATGAAATATATGTGTTGAGGTTTGGGTTTCGCTTTTTTGTACTCGCCCTGTAGAACGTTGAATGATCTGTGGTGGACAATTGAATTTCGTGAACTTGTTATCAAAATCATAACCTGGGAATAGAGTACGCAAATTTAGTGAAATGCTCACGGTTGCTAGTCCATAACATCATATTTATCCCTCGGAATTTTTTTGCCATTGAGTGAGCCGCATATTTTTCTAATGCTGTCACTTTCTTTTTGATTCGCTCTATATAAAAAAAAATTGCAGTTAGTACTGAGCAAGTTGAGATATGTAGCTAATCTATGTTTAACACGTTATTTTGGTAAAGTGTAGTAGGCAAAATAAGTGTTATGACCAGTTTCCACCATAATTTGCTGCCCGAGGGATAACAAGTAAGATTCTTTCGTTTTATTTCTGGATCCTTATTGTTTTCATCATCATCACCATCATTAATAGTTGCAGTATCCAAGTTTCGCCACAAAACAAGTAGATTTTGTTTCTGAATTGCAATTTCTGTAGCATAACAACATGTATTTACTTTTGGAAGGGACATCCAGCAAAACATATTCCACCAACGTTGCGAATTCGCGAAAGTTGACCACATTCGGCTCCGACGAAATTCGCAGCGAATGTTTCGCGACATCAAATTCGCTTCAAAATCGCATTCGCGTGACGTATATGAGCCGACGTTTTATTTTTAGGTGGAATTTGCGGTGACACCATGGGGAATAACTCTTTTGTAGAGTTTGCCTACAGTGAAGTCTTAATAAGTCAAACCTTAAGGAACGGGTTCAAAATTTGACTTAAGCAGAGTTTTGAGTTAAGCAGGGTTGTTTATGTATATCATTACTGAAGGCAATGGATTCTTTGTTTGACTAAACGGTTGTGTTGACTAGTCAGAGTTCGACTTATCGAGTTTACTGTATGTGGTTCTGAAAACTTGACCTGCGGCCTCGATGTTTCGACCATTACGCTCTGGTTGTCTTAGAATGACCAGCGCATACTGCATTGTCGAGGAAACTTTCAGAACCACACGACAACGAAAGAGTTTTATTCTTCACGGAGTCACCGCAAATTCCGGCTTATTCAATCATTATTATATTATCATTAACGTAAGTATTACAGGTTTTGAGAAATCATTTGAATCAACTAAAAGTTGATTTTTGTTTTATATTATTTAATTTATTTATTGTGAGTCGTAATAATTGTAATTTTTATAACTTCGTGCTTTGCGCTTAATTTATTTGAATCCGTTAATAAAGAAAAAGTCTGAATAATCATTGGTTATTTTCATCAATTCTTGATAATAATATTCACAATTATGTTTCATTTAAATAATTTTTCGGGCTTGGGGTCCCCTCTTTTGTTTGTGTGATTGTGCCCCTTTTTTGGTGTGTGGTTTTGTGTTTTTCCTTTCTTTTTAAAAAAAGATGGAAGCTTTCCACGTATATTATTACGTGGAATCCACTGCAAATATATTTAGTGTCCAAAATAAAATTCTTCTTACTCAAAGCAAAAAGGGTTCGGACCCCACCCCCACCCCACCCCCATCCGCTTGCTGGTACATAAAAGTATACGTGTTGTTGCGGTTGACACAGCTATTTACCGGGTAATTTTCACCAGGGCCTATGTCTTGTGTGCACTTATGGCTCATACGTACTTTGTAAACACCACTGATCATGCATGGACTATATAGGGTGCAACCCTGTATTAAAATGCCCATAATACACCAATGGCAAATGCCCACTCTTCACAATTCTTTTTAAAAATACTCGGAACTCTCACCGGTCATCAGATTCTACAGATAAAAATGATGATCAATATGTCATTTTTTCATTTTCTTTTCAATTTTTGGTGGGTGGATCATTGACTTTTTGAGAAATTCTCACCCAAAGAAGAATTAATACCCCTAAAAACGACCGATGTTTCCCAAACTGGAAAAGTAGCCATTTTCAAAAAGAGTCCCTCCACAACTTAACATGCTTAAATAGCGCCACTTTTGGGCCCGATTGCATCCAAAATGCTCAGAATTGGAAACTCCAAGTCCAGGCCAGAGGTTCAGTACCACTTGTCTTCAATTCCACGGCTCTCAATACTCTCTAATATAGAATATCTGTTATTCAAGAGCTCGGCGGACGGATTTTTGGACTATTTACAGGCGTGCACCCCTAAAAGTACAACTTGCGCAAGCGGACGGAAAGTGTCTTTCCTCACCTTTTTTGTGTTAGAAATTAAACCGGAAGAGGTGAGTGAAGATGATTGTGAAATATAGAGTGCATAATTTGCAGCCATTTCAAAAGGTAACCGGTAAAATTACTGTTGAGAAGGTTAGTTTGTTTAAAGATAGTTAAGACACTATACTCCCTGTGAAATTATTCTATCAGACGTGCTATCATTTCGAAGAAAATAACAGAAGGCCATATTTCCAAGAATGCGTCTAAAGACGCATTCAATTCGGGGATGGTTTGGTAGCTTTTGAGTTGAAATCGAAATCGTACAAACAGGTTTTCTCGGAATACCCAATATTCGCCGAGCTAAAACTTCATCAGGTTAGTTGGTAAGCATATACCTTCTTTAGATTTTGAGCACTTTTGTTGTTTTAAATGGAAAAACAAATGTACAAATTACAAATGACGTACGCTACCGTACTTTTAATCGATGCTACATTTTCTCATTGCGCGTGCGCTGGGTGAAATATTGTTCATAAAATATTTTTTTGAAGAAGCGGGGGTGAGGTGGGGGGGGGGGGGGAGCGCCCCAAGCGTCCACTGAAAACCAGCTCCCTAAACCCTTTTCCAAAGTTCAATGGCCGATTTGGCGGTTATCCCCTACCTCAGTGTCGCAAGGGCGAGGATCCAGAACTATTTTTTTGGGGTGGGGGGGGGGGGGCAAACAAAATGTTGGTCCCCCAAAAGTACCGGTAGGTTTATAACATACCATTACGGCGAAGGGTACGGGGGCCACTTAAGGGCCCTTGAACAAAAATTGGATTCTAGATGCTCTGTGGTACAATCTGAGGACATTTCTGACCACTTTAACCATTTTGTTTTTAGGAAAAGATAGCGGTGTACGCAGTGCCTGCCCTTATGGCGACGTCACTTGACAAAATGAAATTGGTTCCGGGTGTTTGGGACATGTGACCCCCATTGGCCCCCTTGATCGGTCGTTGCAGTGGCGCATCCCAGTGTCCATGGATTTTTTAGTCCCACGATTTGACCTTGGTGATAATGTATGTGACCTATTTTCGAGTAGTACAAAAAGGGGGTAAATGGCGTCACCAACCTCAAAGTAATCCGTCGTCCTGCCCTCCCCTGCCCCCGAAAAAAAAAATATGCAGCCAAACATTTTTGGCAACATCTTTAAAAGAAAATAATCAAACTGCTAAAAAAGTATATTTGAACATAAAATTGTGAGCCCGCCCCCAAGCCGAATCCTGGGTGCGCCACTGCCCTACCTTTAAAAAAAAAATCAGTTTTAGATTCAGTTAGATAAGGAAATTTTTTTTTTTTAAAATAGCCTATCCGAAACGAAATAATGTGGTTTAAAAAAACACGGCCTCATCAAAATTTGTCTAGAGGGCGCTGTTCACACAAACATTCTGGTGTGCTGATTTTTGACAACTGTTGCACGCACGAGGTCCTTGCTTACTAACCGAGCTGTGCACGCGTGAGCTCATGGAGAGTTATGTTGACATTGACAGCAAGAGAGATTGTATTTTACAGCCGTCAAAAAGAGAAAACTGCTCTGGTTTTGACTCATGGTCAGCTGAAACGGTAGTGTCGCAAGTGTACACAATCCTGGACTGAGGGTGTGATGGATTATGTAGCCGCAAAAGGGGGAGACCAGCAGAAAATGTGGGCAGACAACATCAAGGAGTTACTCAAGACCGAAGCAACGCCACTACTACGTACGCCGTTACGCTATGGGACAGAAGGAAGGAATGCACGTGGTGAGTCCTGTGACATTCATTCCCCAGGGTAGCATAATAAAGATGACCTCAATTATTGTGTTGTTGTCGAAATGATCCAAGTAATGGGGATGGAAAGATTCCCATATATTTTCGGTGTGAAATACCATGACGAAATATTACAGGAAATTTCATTGCAACACAATGTGTCTATTTTGAGTTCCCAATTTCACAATAATTGTGTTGACATGACGAGAAAATACAGAGTGTCTTTTGTACTTCAATTTCCTTCAAATATATTACATTCATTCTTCGGCGGTGCCTGTCAAGATTCTAGATTTTCGTGTCAAATACCATGACGAAATATTACAGGAAATGTCATTGCAATACAATGTGTTTATCTTGAGTTCCCAATAATTTCACAATAACTGTGTTTGCATCTCGAACGGCCAGACGTCGGAGCGCAGTCAGCAGTGTTTGTGAAGCGCGCCCTCTTTTGTAAGAAATTGTTGCATAAGGATATAATGCGGAGTGTCCTTCACACTGCATTTTCCTTAAATCATATTACATTCATTCTTCGGTGGATCCTGTCAAGCCGGTTCTAGATTTCTGTGTATAAATACCATGACGAAATATTACAGGAAATTTCATTGCAACACAATGTGTCTATTTTGAGTTCCCAATTTCACAATAACTTTGTTGACATGACGAGAAAATACAGAGGGTCTTTTGTACTGCAATTTCCTTCAATTACATTACATTCATTCTTCGGCGGTTCCTGTCAAGATTCTAGATTTTGGTGTCAAATACCATGACGAAATATTACAGAATATTTCATTGCAATACAATGTGTTTATCTTGAGTTCCCAATTTCACAATAACTGTGTTGACATGACGAGAAAATACGGAGTTTCTTTTGTACTGCAAATACTCTGACGAAATATCATGAAATTTTATTGCAATACAATGTGTTTATCTTGAGTTCCCAATTTCACAAAAACTGTGTTTAGGGTCTATTTAGAATTTTCAATGTTTGAAAATTTTGACTAGTTTTCCAAATGGGTGGGTCAAGCTAAATATTTGAAAATCAAACTTCACTTTTCATGGAAAAAAAGAACAAAAAAAAAAGATCGTTTGACTTGCCTGAACTACGCGCAAGCGTTCCGATATTGCAATGCGTGTTTCTTTTCCAACCTCGTCCCCTGCATGTACTGAACAGGCCCGCCAGTGGGATGTAATGATGTAGTACATGCAAGTGCATGCACACATGTTTTGTTTTTTAATGCTGCGTAACAAATCAGTTTTTTATTAATCGAAATTAGAGGATGGGTGGGTGGGTCAAAATAATTTGGAAAAAAAAGTCGAGATTTTAAAACAGTGAAAATTCTGAATTGCCCCTAATATACTTTGCTCTGAAATACTATTCAACTACATACGGTTACACATGTAACTATATACATACAATATGTGCAGGCCTACCAAACTGACATGTCAACATGCGCAAACAAAATTTCAAATGGAGTAGCTTTGTTTCCCCAAACGGCACCAAAGTGCCGAAGGAATCTCAACAATTATGGTCTATAAAAGTCCTTGGCAGCCTAATGCGGAAGCGTGGAGCAATGCTTCTCTATATTATTTATGTATATTATTCCTGCAATAGGCACAATGCAAGAAGTCGTCTTAGTGCATAATGATCTCCACTTAGAAAAAAAAACGTTCGACTTTTGAATAGACAAGACAACTTCCTAAATACCGTATACATGCAGTATATACACCAATCCGAGCACGCTGTCAATTCTATCACGAAGGCCCCCTTCAATGGCGAAAACACTGAGCATGCTAACTAATGTTTAGATAATCTGTTACATGGCAGTTGCCTTGTATGACTCATGGACGTGCCCAGATTCATCTCCAGCCCTACTTCGTCCGATCTCTGTTGGGGGCGCTAGTCAGAAACCTGACATTCCGAAGGGCAGGTTCAAAAATCAACCCTTTCTTCGGTTATCTTTAGTAAACCACAAGGTATACTGACTAGTTATTCCTGGATCTTTCTCGTTCAATTATATGGTCAATCCATCCGACATGCTGGGTGAGATCAATGAACATACTCTGACCTTTGTCTATTCGAGTGCCTAAACCTACTAAAACCCAATCGCCACGCCCCCTTTTCATAACCAGAGCCCCGCCCATATTTCCATCGATTGAATATTCAATGGACTTTCCTCTTGCCCTGACCCCACATAACATTCCCTCATTGATGACATCATTGGCTATGCCACAGTGTCCAAGTGACATCCGGGAGCTTTGCAGGGCTACCTTACGTGGAGTCCCCTTCCGTTTCTGGCCCCACCCTAGGGCAATCGCACTTTGAACTTTGACTGAAGAATCTGCAATGCATGCTGGGAAGACCTGTTCAGTCAGAGCTGCTAAGGAACCAAACTGGAGCAGAACGGGCCGGTCTAAACCGGCTCCGCGGTCGTTGGCAGGTATGTGAATATTCATGATCCCGTAGGCCTGTTCGTCAGCTTCAAACTCGCCTATGTGTTTGCGCTTACCGAGTCGGGCTACCAGACCTGGCGGTGCCATGAGCAGACTGTCTTGTTCCCGCCTCACAATGTCTCTGAAGATGTTCGGCACGGAGCTGGATAAGTCGTGCTGTATCTGCTCCAGACAGCGAAGTGTCGTGACTGCCCAGTCCACGCCGATGAGGGCGGCATTGCAAAGCGCTGACTTGTTCTTTGCGTTCCACACAACGGCGTACATCGGCCACGTGTTGTTAGCTTTAGACACACTTCTGGACGGAGGTAAATGAGAAGCATTAGCATGTCCATTTAGCTAAAAAATATTGTTAGCATACCTAAAACTGTGACACGTAAGCAACTTTGCACCTCTTGGCTCTACTGCCATCACAAAAATGCTACACGGTTACCTATACCGCTGGCAGACTGTGCAGTGAACGTTGCACTGGACTTGACATTGACTCACCGAACATTGTGCAGAAACTTAAAGTGAAATAACTTTATTTTTAACATAAATACTCTGTCTATGCAGTCTGATTTTAATATTCATGACAGTTTAGTATTTTTCAAAGTTTGGTTATATTTTGTTTAAGTGCTTCAAAGACTGTGCATGCCCTGTGCCCTTTGAGGAGTCCTGAATAATTCATATTGGCGGCTGCGCCCTCAAGCGGCCGTAGATGGTCTTTCGATATGTTTGCAGGGTGACTGATCACATGAACATAAAATCAACAACTTACAAAGCATGTTTCTTGCAGTGAGACTTTCCTTGTGCTGTCTTGCTCGACTTGACCAGTCCGTCGCTTTGCGAGAGGGCAGGAAGCTCCTGCAGACCACAGAGGGTGCTGTCTTCATGAACTGCAGTCATCAACTCCTGCATTCGGGTGATCAGGGAAAATGGACATAAAACTTGTAGCTTTGAAATAAGGCTAGAGTCAATTCCACCATTAAAAAAAATCAAGCAATTCGTCAAAAGTAAAGGATATGATTCTCCTGTCTTTAACAAACAATGGATCTGGGTTCTCATACCTGTTGATTAGTTTCTTGTCCCGGGATTCTGCAAAGCGTTTCATCCACATTCTCTAGCTGAGTGCCCTCTGACGTCATCTCTCTTACGTCAGACACCAGTGCGCAGTCACAGAGCCAAGGATTGCCAGAGAGATCCACTGAGCTCCCAGGGGCCAAGATGACCGGTAGCCCGCCCTCAATTGTCTGGAGATTGTTATCTGCGATGTCCAGGCGGGAGAGCCCCCTCGTGCGGTCGTGCTCGGGAATGCGGAACGTGTCCAAAATGTTCCGCTTCAGAGATAGCTGAGTCAAGTCTGGTAGGGAGGTTAGCAGCGCAGCCGGCACACGCGCGAAGCGATTCCCTCTCAGATTCAGCACGTTAAGTGACGTCAGAACATCCAGCCAATCACAGGTGGTCTCGTCCAACTCGTTGTCCGCCATGTTGAGTTCGAGGAGTGAGTCGAATCCCAGGAAGGCGCCATAATCAACCTGATGGAGAAAGTTTCCACTCAGATCTAAGCTCTGGACGTTAGATGCGTCTGAGAATGCTCTCTCCTGTAGGCTTGCGAGTCTGTTTCCGTGTAAAGACAGGGCTACTAATCTTCTCAATCCTCTTAGAAAAGAAGCTTGGATGACAGAAATCTTATTTTCTGCCAGATTCAGCATCTTCACAAAGGGTGCTCCCTTAAACATATCAGGTGTCAATTCCCTCAGATGATTACCCCTCAGGAATAACCAGGTTAGTTTCGACATGCTGTAAGCTGGACCGACGCTGAAGGCACCTGGTTCAATTTCTGAAATTTCATTATTGTCAAGCCGCAGCGAGGTCAATCTCTCGAGTCCGTAGAACGTGTGTGCTTGGAGGCGCCGCAATGCATTGTTGGTAAGATCTAGAATCTCCAGGCCTGTCAAACCACGTAAAGAACCTGGAGGCAATACTGATATTTCGTTACCGTCCAGGACGAGTTCTTGAAGAGAGGGGAGCTGGCCAAAAGTATTGCCTGTAATTTCACTCAGCTTATTAGAGCTGGCGATCAGTATTCTGAGATCGGTGCAGTTCTCGAATGACTGCTTATTCAGCTCTGTCAGGGAATTGTGGGATACGTTCAAGTACTGCAGAACAGATACTGGTGAGAACATGGATTCGCCCAGCGCGATCAGGTTACTACCGGATAGATCCAGCTCCAACAGGTTCGTCAGGTAGATAAAGACCGACTGAGGAAGCTGTTGCAGTCTGTTGTTCTTCAGTGAAACAACTTTGAGGTTGGAGTTCATTGCAAAGAAATTTTCAGGAAGACTTTCAATTTTGTTGTCGTCAAGAATCAGCTGTTGGAGCCCTACTAGGTCAACCAAGAGTTCTTCGGGAAGATGGTCCAGACGATTGTGAGACATATTCAGAAAGCGAAGATGAGAGAGGTCTTTCAGCGATCTCGGCGAGAGAGACTCCAGCAAATTGGCACCAAGGTCCAAGTCCAGCAAGTTGGTGTTGTTGATGAAGCTTCCTTCTGGCAAAGTTCGGATGTGATTGCCTGATAGGTACAATCTCATGAGACTCTGTACATTGTGCAGAGCGTCTTGAGGTAGCGCTCTCAATCGGTTAGCCTTAATGGAGAGTATCTCCAGATCTTCTAATCCCACGAAGCTATCGGGCTCGAGGTCTGTGATCTTATTGCCGCGTATGTCCAGATGCACCAGCCCCGCCCCATTCGCGAATGTCCCAGGCGGGATTCGTTTGATGCGTGATTCTTCTTCAACGTCTGGTTCTACAGTCACCTCTCCAAAGCTAGTCATGTCATAATCAATAATGCCCATTCGCGAATCGTCCCCGATCAAGAGCAGATAGCTGACTCCTGCACAGGAAAAGAACACCATGATTACGTCACTTTGAGAATTGACGTTTTTGTCGATCTTTGTGACCTTTGAACCGAATCACATCTCGGGTAAAGAAGCCAATTGAAACGCACTTTTTCCTTTGTTTTGGGGTTAAAATAATTATCAAGTACACGAGGAAATAAAGCTGGTTTTCCCGATCCTGCTTCAGAAAGGGTGGGAAGGGCGGTAGGGTTAAACTATTGGGTAAATTTATTCACAATAGCTCTGGCGCATGCGCATAGCAGTCCTATTCAAATTGGCATGTTGAATTTGCCACTGCTTTGCTTACTAGGCAAAATCGGAGGCAGTAAATTGAGGCATCGTTAGGAAGTCATTAAGGAGTATTCAAGTTACTCAACCGTTTTTCGGTGTTCGAGACAATTGAAGAGTTGACGGGCGATTTAAAATGTTGCCCCCAAATAGGCATAAGGTTTGAACTCGAGCTTGAACGCAAGTTCGAACTGCCAAATCGGCGGCAATATTGTGGGGAGGAGCTTATCTACCCCCATCCCCGAATTGTCTCTAATAAAATAAATTAATACCTGACAGGAGCTCTGTGGGTACCTCCCTCTTCCCCCAACACACCGCTGCCCCCGCCCCCTCCTTCCAGTCAAACATCGCCGCGTAATTCTGCAGCCGACGGGACACGGCGAGTAGGCGCTTGGACACCGTGACGCAGCGGCACTTCATGGGGCAGCTGCGGGGTTGGGCCCCGGGGAGAGGACGGCTCTGGACGCGCTGGGTGAGACTGATGACGGAGAGCACGAAGCACAAGAAGATTGCTGATGTGGTGATACGCATTGCTGCACCAGATTCGTGATAATCCTGTATGAAAACCAAAAAAATTAAGGAAGAAAAAACATAACAGAAAGATGATCATGATACACATAGAAGGAGTTGCACGTTACATCACATGCAGTGATGTACATTGAAACGCCGCTATAACGAACATCGTGGGATCCACAGAAAGTGTTCGTAATAACGATCGTTCGGTAAAGTGAATTTTAAACCGCCGGCTCATCCCTCTTTTGAACATTTCCCACATCCCGCGGCCGCACGAGGAGTCGTCACGAAACTTAAGCAATGGTTTTCGCTTTTATTCCTTGGGGAAATAATAGCCATCTTTCGCTGTTCAACATTTCAAAAAAAGATGTAACTATGGGTCGTTTGATGTTCGGGAATTAAAAGTGGCCCAAAAAGTGTTTAATACATGTACAACCGGTAGATTGTTTTGTATCTGTTACCTTTTTTTCAAAAACGATGTTCGGTACGTGTTGTACATTAAAATCGGGAGCCAAGGATGATGTTCGGTATAGCCGAATGTTCCGTATAGCGGTGTTCAGTATAGCAGCGTTCCACTGTATCAATTGATATTGTAAAAACCCAGCGAATGTATTGCAGACTATTTTTCTTGCCGCAGATCTGAGGACGGAAACTGGTCGTAGGTTCGAGTCCCATCCAAGACAAATTGGGATTGCTGTCTTGTGTGCAAGCCCCGCCCTCACAGCGTGTGACCAACCCCCTCTCCTTATGGGAGGGGCCAAGTATCTCGGAAACACATTAAATGCCGATTACCACTCCCAAAAGCAATATGGTGATACAATTGGTACAAGCCGTGGATAACAAAATCATTCCAGAACGTAATGACTTCATAATTGGTTAATAATAAATGGATAATAAGCTTTATCTTATCTTAATCCGCAACACCTGATAATCTTTTATAAGTGTATCGTAATCCATAATTTATTAATCGGCAATGTGTATTAATTAGACCATCGCATCGAGTCATCAACTCATCATCACGAACATAAAGTTTCACTAGTCTCAGAGTTTTGTAAATACATGTATTTCATATCTGTCAAGTTTTTTTTTAATGGAAAATCGCCCTTAGCAAGGTTATAAAACCCCCTCTTGACAGAGGGCTAGAAAGAAGAAAGAATAATGAAAAGAAAAATGATAATCAGTAAAATTGGAGGTAGGATTTGATATTCCTCTTATAAGAGGCTAGATCATAGAATGGAGGGAAACATCCACTAATGAAGAAGTCCCAAAGAGATACAGAACATGGGAAAGGCTATTAGAGTAGTTCTTTTTTCTATATCTCGGCACAGCTAGAGTGGATGGGGGAGAGGAAGCAGAGAGCCTGGTTGCACGCTCACAGTGACCGAGAAGGAACCAAGTCAAACAAAGTACATGTAGAACATGTTTAGTTTCTATGTATACTCCTTCAGAGATTACTGTCAGTGAAAGAAAACCAAGACAAGGCAAGCCTAGTAAAGTTGGTCCCAGAGCGAACAAAATTGTATTCCGTTGATTCGGAATGGCTTTCACTGGAAGTGTTTCCATGCATGTGATCTACACAAATTTAGCCCATTCATTGGCTGTGCGGTCATCCTATTGCAGACTTTTGGACCAAAGTGAGACTAAAGCTAGTCTCATTCACAAGTGACAGACAGTCAGTTAGTCAGTCAGTCAGTGAGTCAGGCTGCATCCGAATCAACTGTCTAGAGCGACAGTCCTGGCCAAATCTCGCTGGGCCCCCAACCCCCCGGCCCCCGCTCAATGTTGTCTCTCATTGCGCGGTGTGTGCTCTATCAGCTGAAGAGAACAACACTGACCGGGGGAGCGGGGGAGTTGGTGACCGTGGCAGGCTCAGGAAGTGTCCAACCACTTTGGCCGGCATTGTAGGTCTAGGTCCGCGCCCATTGAAAATACGCGGGGACGCGCTGACAACTGACGTATTGCTGTAGCTCTGGAAGCCCGTTTTGGACACAGCCTCAGTCAAGTGCAAAGACGTGGGATACGTCCCCTCTTGCATCAGTAAAAATCAAAGCCAACTCTTATTGTATACCCAGAGAAGCTTAATGTTCACATAATGAGTTTTGCAAATAAATTTGCCTAGCCTGCGTGCCTTGTTGTACATCCCATATCTACACTGCATGAGAACATGTTAATTACCTGTGACGTCCCGCACACAGACATCAGCCGGGCAACCCAAATATTAAAGTATCTTTGGCATGTTATTTGGCCCATTTTAAACAGATGAATCAATACTGTTAAACCATTCATATTTCAAGAGATATTCATGCGGTGCAGAAGGGAACAGTTTGCTGAACACTGACATCACCATGATGACCACAACATCCAACTTTGCACTAAGTCATTATGTGTGAACAGTGGTGACTTTCCAACTACATGCATACGTGCATTCCCTCTACCTCACGATAAGCAACTTCCTGAATGAGCTAGATCTACTTCCGAGGCAATCTCTAATCTCTTTATTAGTCAGAACCCGATGTGTTCACCTCCGATTCACAGTCTCTGGATTGAATTCTACTTTCCAACTTGAAAGGTTTCTTTCTCCCTGCACGGGCGCCTGTTTATTCACCGAAGGATTAACTGAACAGTGAAAGTCCTTCAATTGTTGCATGAATAAACATTTCCATTGACACACAATTTGCACAGGTAGTTCTTGGATTACTGGAAGTCACACATACAGTGTGGGGATGAGGTGGCTTGCAGTCGGATGAGTAAAGAGGTTGCAGCAATCATGGTGAGTTTTTTGTTCCAAGATGACTTGATTCGATGGATTTTGGATTGGGAAGAGGGACAGCTATAGCAAATGTGATAATGTGGCTACAATGGTTCTGTATTCATATAGCCCATTATTACTTGTTTATTCCAAAGTTTCTTCATGGCGTAGTGAGTCTATTTAAAAAAAAATATAGAATAACATATGCAATGGCCGCCATTTTGAAAATGTTGAAAATGTCTTGTTACCCTATGATATTTTGTGCAAAGGACAAATCTGCGATGGCCCTATGATTGTGACCGGCTCCACAAAAAGGGTATTAAGTTGCGCTGGCCCGCTCAACATTAAGAGGGTGAAAATTTTGTCCAAATGTGATTTTCATTTTTTATCATGACTGATATCTTCCCTACAGTTTAAGGTTTCATTCACAGCATTTCATGCCTTTATCATCAAACTGAACAATCTTATCACCAATCTGCAGCAGAACCAGTAACTTTTCCCTTCAAGTCGGTTGAATTGGACATTGCTCACCGACGTATTTTAGACCTGGCGTTAATTCATTCATACTTTACTGCTGGCTTGATCTTGCAAAATCATCTGTTGGTAACGACTGTGATACCATGAGATACAATTTAAATTTTCGTAAACTCACCAGCAGATGTCCTGGCAATTAACCAATAATATCTGGTGACAGAAATCTGATCCAAACTCAACCAGGAAATGAGTTGACATGTTTTTGCTCCCGGATTCATTTGAAGAGTCCAAATTCTTTACGAATTCCGGTGTGACAGCAGGAATCGTATAGGCAGTATAGGGTCGTTTGCATTTATTCCAAAAGTAACCTACCAAATTATTATCAACAACCTTACTTGAATGAAGATCGTACTGGTTCTAAACACCCCGTGAAATTATTCCGTCTGGCTTGCTGTCATGTATAGTCAGGTGGCATATGGTCGGAATCGTGACCGACTGGTCCAAAGCACCAAACTTGGCAGATAGATTCTTATAGCCCTAGAGAAGATATTTAGAAGGGGTGACACCTGAAATTCTTTTGGGAAGGGTGCCTAATTTGCATAAATCGTTAATCCCTGCCGTGTAATATATTTATTCCCATATTTGGGTAAATTTTTATTTTTTTATTTTTTTGAAAAGTGTATTTTGGTGATTCTACTTGCATATTCTTACTTCAATAACATTTTGAAAAACATATAAGTGACTGAATAATTAGGAGGACATAGTAAAGAACCACAATTGCTACTATTTTACCCTAAAGTTACGCGCATTTACCTTTTCCTCAGATATCATCAACTAGTCTCGCCAAACGTGGGTATTGATGAGCTTCAAATTAACAAAGTTACTTACTGGCATAGTTACCCTAACAAAAATAAGTGGGAAATCAAGTGAAAATTGATAACATCTTGATGCTTAGCCCAAAAGACCAAAAAAGGGGAGAAAATGTGGTGTCCGTAAATTGGGCTAGTACGGGAAGGGTAACGTGGGAACTTAAACAAGTTCAACAAAATCCCCCTAAATAAGAGATTATTGTTGTTTACAATAATTTTGTCTACGCCAAAACGTTTTCTCAACAATAATTAGGGGAATTTTCTTGAACTTGTTCCAGTGTTCCATGTTAGGCAAGCATTCACCTACTTGTTAGCCTAATTTATAGACACCTCGTTTTTCCCCAGTTTTTGTTTTCTGGGCTTAATATCACAATGTTATCATAGTTCACATGATTTTGCATAAGGTTTTAATAGGGTAGCTGTACCAGTAAGCTACTTGGTGAATTTGAAGTTCATCAATGCTAATGTTTGGCAAGACTAATTGATGATATCTGGAGACAAGGTAAATGCGCGCAATTTTAGGTCATAATAGTAGCCATTTTGGATCGTTACTATGTCCTCATAATTATTCAGTCACTTATATGCTTTGGAAAATGTTATTTAAGTAAAGATATGTAAGTAGAATCCCCAAAATACACTTTTCAAAAAAATAAAAAAATGGAAATATACCCAAATATGGGAATAAATATATTACACGTCAGGGATTAACGATTTATGCAAATTAGGCACCCTTCCCAAAAGAATTTCAGGTGTCACCCCTTCTAAATATCTTCTCTAGGTCTATAAGAATATATCTGCCAAGTTTGGTGCTTTGGACCAGTCGGTCACGATCTTGACGAAAATTAGATCTAAGCCACCTGACTAGTAGAAGAAATCAAGAAATGTAGGTCATTTTCAACGATCAGTAAATTGACTGGTCGTTGGAAATAAAGATATCTGTAGACCAATTCATGTTTAGTGATCCAAAGGTTGTGCGCTGGTTTTACACTGTAGTCTCGAAAAGTGTAATATCCACTGAGCTGAAACTTTAACAGGTTAGGTTTTGAACATTCTTCTGTGGATTTTGAGAGGTGTTATTATTGGAAACGAACAAAATGCATGAAGAGCAAATTAGATTTGTGTTTTGTATGCCTTTACCCTGTGCAATTCCGTGTACCATCGGCGCACGGCTTCAACTTGAAGTTCAATTCAATATTTCAGTACGGACTATGCATGATATTTACTTTTGATCATATTCGGAATAACTGGAATACCAAACATTCTTCATTGCTGACATCCGTACTGCGATATATGGGATTTCCGAGCTTGGTACGAGCGTGAAAGAGTCGAGTCGGCGAAATGAATTGTGAGCACATCAAGAAAATACAATATGTTTTGAAATGGCTGGGTGTAATTGGATAAAAGTTGAGGTACATGACACAATCTAAATCCTTGCTCAAATTATTCATTTCGTTTTAACAGAGTAACGGTTTCTCAGAAGACCAGTTTTCAGGTATGTAACTATTGAAAAGTTACCACAACATTTTTATCATAATGCACAATGGGTCCTTATTCATTTTTGTTTATACGCAACCATCCCGCCAGCCACGGTCAATCATGACAAACATCGCTGGTGGGTAATCAAAAATCACATGAAAAGAACAACAGGCAAGGAGCACGCACATCAGCATTAATAGGACTTTAAAGAAGAAAAAGCCTAGAAACGTGCTTGGGCTAATCTGAACTATAATCCATGAAGCCGGGGACTATGGCTAATCACAAAAAAACCGGTGCACAGCTAAAACACTGAGCCCCTCCTTTGAAGGCTGCCCGATGAAATCAGGGGAAGCCTATTCCACATGTTTACATCGACTGGTATAGGAAGCTCCTGTCATAAAATCCAGCAGGGTCTGGGCTCTTATAACGCCAGGAGGGAGGGGATGCTGTAGGGAGAAGGCAATGGTTTTAAAGTAAATGTTATCCTAAGTCTTGTTTTGCCCGACCATTCCCCAAAGTAGTTTTTAACAACATGGTTCACGATTTTATCTTTTACTGTGTGTCTTCCGTTTCCGGGTCAGAGTTCAAGGCTGCGTTCTCGCTCTTCGACAAAGATGGCGACGGGACAGTGACCAGCGATGAACTGGCGGTGGTGCTGAGGTCAATTGGCCTCAACCCGACGAAGAGGGAGCTAGACAAGATCATCAAAGAAGCTGACGCAGACGGTTCGAACATTTTATTATGGCTCAATTGTTTTGATTTACCGGTGACCCATAAGGTCACGCGTGCGCATGAAATTGGATCTACAATGATAATTTCAGTAACCTTCCAACAATGCTTTGCGTTTCCTTCACAACGTTTCGTGAAAGGGATTATATAGCAGTCAACGGGCAACCTTTATGCTTTTCTGCAACAAAGTAAAGTCAGTGACCATAATGCGCATGCGTCAGTTGCAAACGGAATGATTCTTGGACTTAATTTCCTTTTTAAAAAATGATCGAGAGTCATGCATCAGAAAAAAAAGTGGAATTAATGTCATCGGTCAACAGAACTTAAGTAAACACAATTTAGGGAAGAAAATGAATTTTTGGGAAAAAAATTAAGAATAATGTAATTATTTTAGCAAAATGAACCCCTAACACGTACATGGCAACATTGTGACCACTGGCCCAACGTAGCTGGAAATCTAAACTAATGACAAATACAAAGTTATTTGAAATCACGTGATAATTCAATCACGCAATATACTTCACGCATGCGCATTGAGGTAAATAGCTTTACTAGCCTGCTGAAGAAAATAAAGCCCCCAGGCACACATCATGGAAAGGACGGTGGGGGCCTGAGTTAGTGATATATTTTGGAGTCCTTGGTCCACGGGACTCTAGGCTGAGCATGCGCATTACTGTTAAGAAAGTAAATAACACTTGAAGTGGTAAAACCTGTACAATGTAAATGTATTTAATATATACATTTATTATGACTTGTGCACATTACCGATTGATGCTAAATTAAGTGATCTTTGACCTTTGGTTTCCTAGGTAACAACACGATCGAGCTGAATGAGTTCCTAGCAACCATCAGTCAAAAGATGGTGCAAGAGGAGAAAGGTCGAGCCGATGACGACATCATGACGGAACAGGAAATCAAGAAAACCTACGATATTTTCGACAGCAATGGGAATGGTTACATAAGGTTAGACTACAGAAAAGCTGCTGGTGAAATTCGGAACAAGTAAAATATTAACATCGTTTCATACGATTTGAGTTGCTCACGTATAATCATCCAAACCACCGCCATTTTGATTGAGCGGGTATTGTCTATTCTTATCTTGAGGGCGCACTATTATAGCTACTTTTACTGGGAGAAGCCAAGTTGAAGGCTTTCTTATACCGTGTGCGACCTGTAGAAAACTCTAAAAAGGCTCATTCAGCCATTGTTAAATATAAATCACAATTAAGTACTTATTATTCGAAATTGCGTACGTTTTGTTTTATCCTTTCAGCGCCTGTGATATCCGTCGGGTTGGCGCCCTCTACGGTGAGTGTTTCACAGACGAAGTGGCCAATCAGATGATCGGAGAGGCCGACACAGATGCCGATGGGCGTGTCACGTATCGAGGTAGGCCTTTATTTCAATAACAACTGATCTAATATCCATGAAGTTTCTAATCATTTTGTAACAAATGATTTAATATTCACGAAGTTTATATTTATTTTCTAAAATTAGAAGTTCATTTTTTTGAGTTAATTTGATGTGTGGGCCTAGGACGATTACGTTTTTGACATCATGAAATAATGCAGCCTTTTTTAAAAGATCTTACAAAATTTACAATAACTTTTAAATACAGGTTTCAAATCTGACACAAAATATCCATAAATCATTTATCGAATTAGTATGCAGAGGAAACAAATACATATATTTTTATTTCCCCCCTATTGGCCTAGACTTCCTGAAAATGATGAGGTCAACGTAGAGCGGAATACATCCAGCACTGTCCCCAAGGGAGGAAACGGCAATACTAAATGTCTCAAATAGACCAGCTGTGGTTGCAGGAAACTGAACCACACGTATAGCACTAATTGTATATTTCTAGAAGTTGTACAGTGAATGTGAAACATAGATTAGACATTTTAACGAACTCATATTTATTTTATTCTATAAAGTTCTTAATAATGATGACGATTAAAAGGCCACTTTATGGTATTTGTATAAAGACATCAGAGTTTTTAGAAATGTGTTAAGGATATTTTTTTCTAACGGCAACGCTCTAGGATGTTAGTATTTTTGTATTTATGGAAAACAATGTATATTGGTACACTGACGAATAATATAATTGGAATGGTGCTTGTAATTAAAATAAGCGTGTGTAACGAAATTATCTTCAATGGTTGTCTTTGAATTGTGCTTTAATTTTACATCCTAAAACTTGAACACACACACACACAAACACTTATTATAACGATTGGTTGGTTGATGTGTGTTTTGAGATGTGTTGTTTCGTAAGATAGAAGAATTTATGAAAGTGACGTGAAGTACCGTTTCTTAAAGGAACAGACTCATCAACTGAACTCAATCAGTTGGCAAGCCAACTATAATGCTTGTAACAGAGCACAAAGAATTTTATTTCATCGATTCAAAGTGGCTGTTTACTGCATCTTTTCATGCATGTGGACTACAGGGATTTAGCCCATTCAATAAAGACAGATTAACATAACCAATCATTGGTTAAAATAACCAACAATTGGTTAACATGTGTCCAACCAATCGGTTGGTTGGACACATATTAACCAATTGATGGTTATTTCAACCAATGATTGGTTATGTTAACCAATGTTGTTTTTAGAGTGCGGGGTAAACCTAATTCAAACTTTGGGCTGACGTGAGACTTCTATAAGCAAGTCTAATCATGGAGGAATAAGAACACATTCCTCCATGGTCTAATTAACATCGGGCAAGAAGAGGATAATGCTGGCCCCTATATGTGACCAGCATTTTTTTCTCGTACACATGAAAGTTTTGTTTATCCACTGAGCTTTTATAGGTCTATGACATACCCAGACAGGATGACACTAGCGGGGACACGGTGATTCCAGCAGGCAGAGAGGCGGGCAACATGGGTGGCTTAGCTCTAGTTTCGATCTATCAATGCCCGCTATTGTATTAGGAGAAGAACCTGATGGTAGAATAATGCGACAGTTGTGCAGCAGTTAGCGCGGGATCACACGCGTTTATTGACATGTCAACAAGCTGTGGCAGGCTGGGTGCTTTACTTTTACTTCAAGGTAAATGGAAAGACTACTTCCTTTGGTTTATGACCGCGAGTCGGACAAGAATCCTGTTTTTATGGAAAGAACATTTTAATCTACGCTTTGCCTATAAATACACATGGTTTTCTAGTGAGCTGTTTGGCATGCGAATGGGATTTGCACTTTGCACTACCGGACCTGCGTGCATGCCTTGCTCGCAGTGCTAACCGTTTATGGTGCGTTGAGTAAGGGGGTGCAGCATGGGGGCGGGGCAGGGGCGTGGGCGTACTAGGTCAGTGCCCAACCCACTTAGAATTTGAAGAAGGGAAAATAAGCTTTCGATTGTGAAATTCGCATAGTGCCCCTCCAAAATTGAGCCTACAAGTCCCCCCCCCCCTCCTCCGAGTCTGTCAATCACCTATTTTTGCCATAGTCATTAATTTTCAAACTGGGAGAGAATCGAAAAAGGTGCACAAAGTACATGAACATTGTTGTGTACACTGAAGAATTGTGGGCCATATATATTTTTTTCAGAGACGATGGTAAGCACATATATTTATATAGACCCATAATTAAAAATAAATTCGATGGAACGGCAGTATTCTTCCTTCATGAGCGCAAGCCTCAATTTTTCAAACGTAGAATTTTTTTGTTTAGATAGATAGAAGTATAATGGGTTATTGCTTTTTTATTTTTTTGCCGCCAGCAGCGGAATTGTAGAAAACTCACGTTACAATTATAACAATAACACAGAACAATATACTAACAAAGTCAAACTACAAATTAACACATGATTAATGAACAGCTACGGATTCAACTAAGGCATCTTCGAATCCCTTTTTTTCCCCTTAACGTTTTACGAAGTTAAATGATAAATTGAAAGATGCTTGTTCTGCACACAACTGCATCATTTCCACACCAACTATTTTATGGAGTCCCTCTGCCCAACCCAAACCATGAAATTGGGGAAATTCCTGCAGAGTTCATATTCAAGAAAGCTTAACAATTAAAATGCATGAAAAGAAACTTACCTTTTTTGTGGAAAAGTTTCAAACACTGTCTCGCCTTGCAGAACAACTCGAGGAAGATGTGCTTCCTTAAATCATAGAGCAAGTAATTCCAACTGAGGTGTGAAGACAGTCGAAGACAACTACGGAATCTCCTGCTGTGACTCCAAGTCCCAGAAAACTAGACAATGCTGTCAGTGTTCGAGTTGTTTGACAGGGTGCAGTGTACGGGTGGGAAGCAACTTGTTTTCCCGCGATTCTTCCGACAACAAGACCACCAGTAGTGCGTCCGAGCCCAAGATACGTCCGATACGTAAGTGAGAACACAAACTTGTCAAGCTCGTTTAAAGGACTAGCTTGTTTGTATCGGAAATGCAATTGAAAACACATTGCGCCCATCAAGGACGTTATGTGGTTCCTGACATTAATTTTGGTATCCCATTAACTTGTTTTTGGTTTGCTTTGTGGAGGGATACACACGAACCATAACAAACTAACAAACACCCATTTGTAACTCGTGATACGAAACCTGAAACATTTTGAAAGGAAAAAGATGTAAGTCAATGTTGAAAAGGTGGCCTTATTGAGACATTCAAAATCCTGAATGGGCTAGAACAGACCAAGACAGATTGTTCAAGCTGGCATCCACAGACACAAGTAAAGAGGACACAGTCTTAAGTTGTACAAACCCAGGCTATGTAAAGCACTAAAGATGCATGTATACAGGATTTCTCCTCACAGAGAGTGGTTAATGCATATAGAACAGTCTCCCACCGTATATCAAAACGCAAAGAATGTAAATTCTTTCAAGTCGGAGCTAGACAGGCATCAATTTGGGTTTCAAAATGCCGAGGCCTTATCTACTGCCCATCAAACTGTAAGTGTATAAGTGTAAGTGTAAGTGTAAGTGAAAAATAATAAATATAGGCCTAAACAAAATTCTAACAAAACATTTCAATTGAATTAGTTTAATCATAAACATACGAAGAAAAAAAAAGAACCTACGGGAACATGGAACCTAGGCTCCATAATGGGAATAAGCTGGTATTTTTCACCCATCAGAGGGGCCAGCCTATAGTCTTCTTTGTACCAGACTGACTGACTTGCCGCCTGATCCACTGACTGTCACTTGTGAATTAGACTTGCTAAATAAGTCTCTCCGGGTTTTTTTGGCCCAAAAGTTTAGATTACCCGTATAACTTGATTAAATCCGACCCATTTTGAAGACCACATGCAAGAATTGACTTCCAGTGTGTACACTCTAAAAACTGAAGTGTTGAATTCAAGACTTACATGTGTTCGGTCAGTGCAACACTTTGAGAGTGTTAAATCCAGCATTTTAAATGTTAAAGCCAACACTTACAATGTTAATTCAACATTTTGAATGTTGTAAAGAGTTGATTCAACATTTTTCAACTTTAACACTTTGAAAGTGTTGAATCAACATAATCAACATTTAAAATGTTGAATTAACATTTTAAGTGTTGGATTTAACATTTAAAATGCTGGATTTTAACACTTAAATTGTTGCACTGACTGAACACATTTAAGTGTTGAATTCAACACTTCAGTTTTTAGAGTGTAATATCCATTCTTAATCGATCGAAGAAACAAAATATGCACTCTGGGACCAGCTTTACTAGGCTTGCAGTTGTCTTCTTTGACATATTTATTTGTTATGGGTAGATGCTCTATTTTATAATATAAACACGTGGAATTGGGCCTATAGGACAGCTCGGGGGAAAAAAAGTTGCATTATGCAAACTAATGCCCGCGTGGCGTCATTTAGTTATCTGTTCGAATTTCTTTCGAAAACACGGGGAAGACAATCTTACAAGAGAAGACTGTCACAATAATCCACGAGGGGGCGCTGTTGCTGTGTGATGTGTGCAAAAAAAAAAAACAGCCCGTGAGAAGACAGCGCCTTTAAAGCCCGTATTTGGGGGAAAATGCATTTTCAATCGGTGAGACCCGATTGCAAAACCATCTGGTTCCTCCGTACTCCTAGATCTGGAAATGCCGTCAGGATGCCAGACCAGCGACAGGGTTACATCCGGGTCACGCTCAAGGCTTGGTTACCAGACCAAAGGGATGTTAGAGTGCAAAATGTCCGATTATTCTGTGACCCTGCAGCGATCCTTGTAGAATTTGACCCAGAAAACCAGGGGTTGAAGTTTGCTAAGGTTAAGGGGCGTGACTTGGGCTAGCCAGTGGAGGGGCGGGGATTGGCTACGTAGTTCTACAATCTTGACGCCAAGTATGATATGCTCATACACTTTGACATAGAACACTGAGTCTGAGGTCAAACCAGAGTCATTTTCAAGGGATAACTGAGTCAACGATACTCATTCCAGGCGAGTCAATCCCCACTTGACTCGCTTATTATTAAGTTTCGGTGAGTCTGATGCGACGCATGCCATTCCAAATTCGAGTCAAATTTAATATGACTCACGAAAATTGTCCAAAAGTGAGTCGCGCGACACAACAATTTTTGTGTGTGTACATGTATATGCTTATATCAATGTTCTGAGTTGTTCTAGTTGTCGATGATGAATCCTAAACACCGCCAGCAAAAAAAGGGGTTGTTTCAGACAACCGGAACCCTGGAGAAAATGTTGCCGTGTGTACCGTACCACATGTCGATGTCCATTTCCCTATACTCCATCATCATTGGCCACCTGGTCATCTGTGATTCTTGACCGGACTTCGACCAGCTAAACCACCCCCTAAGCCAAGGCAGCAGCTAAATACTAGGGCCGCACCCTTTCCGTTGATTCTTGTTGCGTCTGATGATTGAATTGTAAATCTCTTCATAAGCCTTTATGATGGGGAGAAAGCCGGGAGTGCCACTTTAAAGGCATTGGGGAGCATTGACTGCACTGAAAAATTGCCTGGGTTAACTTTACCAAAGAAAGGGTGAAAACTGGAACGACCCAAACTTGGGTTGTTCTATAACCATGTTTGGGTTATAATTTATGTTAAATTCAACCAAAAGTTGAAGTCATACAAGACCAAATTAACAAGTTTTGGTTGAATTTAACAGAAATTCTAACCCAAACAATTGGTTATAGAACAACCCAAGTTTGGGTAGTTCCAGTTTTCACCCTTTCTTTGGTAAAATTAACCCATGCAATTTTTCAGTGTAACAGATTTTCACAACTATGTCCATTGCTTCACAGGAAGTTTTTGCTATTTTAAGTTTTTAATAATTGCGGTCGACTCAAGGCCCTATGTTATAATTTATGTTAAAAATGTTGAACAGACTTGATTAACTATATTTGTTATAAACTTGCTATTTGTTTCAAGAATATAATTAGCATTATAATTGTATTTTTTTTGAGTGGCCGGGATGTGCCCCCACCACTCACCAGTAACAGTTAAGATTGAGTTGGAGAAAAAAAATCTGCTTTAGACTATTGGGCTATCGGGGTCTACTTGATGCATGTTGCATTTTCACAATGTGTCACTGATTGTTTTACCACATTTCCTCCGAATCATTCGATGTTGCTGTCAGCAAGATGTTATGTCAAGAATGCAACTACAAGCTCCACTGCACATTTTTAGAAAGGCGCTGTAGTGATTAGTGTTTCAGTCGTCGGGTTTTTGCCATATTGTGGCATATCTCCAATAATAGAACATGAAAGTACGCCATTTTGTTTTTCTTTCATTTTGACCCTGGGCATTTTACGTACCGCACGGGGTTGCCCTTGGTCTTGCTTTAATGTTTGACTCAACGATTTCTAACCGTATAGAAGTCGTGTTGGAATTTTATCTTGGCGTCGCGTTCCACAAGAAAAAAGGATGAGAAACCATTTTGAGTCGATGGGTAACAACGAATTTTACTTACGACCTAGCTTTCGCATCAATTTTTGAAGTCAATTTTTTCTTTCAGTTTCACGTACGTCATGCACATCTTTCACGTGCAGGTTCAATAAATTGAGATCCTAGTACACATTTTCAAAGGCCTTTTCCGAGGGTGATTTTCCTAAGAAATCAATGTAAAGTTGAAAAAAAACCTTCGACTTTTACTCTCAAATTGTCCTAATCGAGGGGTCCGGATGTGCGCCACCAGGGGCCACGCTTTGTGGTATGTTCTTTTTGTTCAACAGGGAGTAGACCTCTAGTACATTCTGAAATAAGGCAAAAAAAAAACAACATTCAGTCTCTGGTCAGACCAAAGTTCCGGAATTGACGCGGCGACGCGGCTTTTTTTTTCTTCAGGCTTGGATTGTACAGACAAGGTGGGGTACTATTTTGCTTTTTTGGTGTCCTCATGTACATTGGTGTCCTCCATAATTTGCCTTGGTGCTTTCGATCATTTGCCTTGGTGCAATTTCCCATTCCTTGGTGCTCTTTGGAGCTACCGCGGAACATTTTGGAAAAAAAAAAGATTCACGCGCATCATTAAAATCGACGCGCGCGCTGACCGGAGACCGACTTATTTTTTTTTTTTGGCCTAACCTCAAAGATGGCTGCTGAATGAAAACGATCTATAGAACCGAACTGCCTTCCACTTCATTTGTTTCTTTGTTTGTTTATTTACATTTGGCAGCAAAATATACAAAAAAACCAGGACCTTATTTTTGTTTGTTACTTAAAATCATACAAAGCAAACGATGCCAAAAAGTCACGACCTACCTTCAATGTTTTTAAATTTCCATTCATACGTACACAGCAAAGATTATATAAGTACTATTAGAATAATTTAAATGATATACATTAAAATGAAATAATGTACAAATTGAATCTAATGCCTCGGTGACATAATATATATTTTTTCACACTAAATCCACTAGACAAACCCTTGAACTCAAATGCTACCATCGTGCATTCCCCCCGCCCACTAAAAACAAATAGTGCTCCGTCTTTATAAATCTTGCCGTTTGATAACAAAAATGATCCCATCCAAGTATTTAGCAACTGAAAGTGCGATCGTCATTATGCTGCCGATTTAGTTTTTGCTTGGTGGCGCCCTCCATTTATATTTTCGCGCCCTCATCAGGTCAAAGGTAGAACATCGCGCATATGCATGACCTTTGACATATTCCAGATCGTCGGAAAGTGTGGCGCACAAAAGATTGAGGATACTTGAGCTACATTTCAACTTCAAAATGGCCTATAACTACGTAGTTACAGCGCATAAACCTACATCTGTCAATGCGTGTGTTACAGGTAAGTGGATTTTGTAAGAGAGACATTGTCCAGATTGGGAGTTATTCAAGCACGCATATGTCGACGGAAGTGCGTTTATTTCCGACATCACAAGATGTTTATTTTTTTTTTTGGATAGTGGATATTTTGCCGGAGGTAATGACGGCAAACTAACGATTACTAAAGGTTTGCTGGCGGCAATCCAAATCAACAGAGGGCGCTGTACTCTTTAAAATAGGGCTGAATTATAAGAAAGATGTATTAAATTTCCATCAAAAGTTGTGTAGCACGTTTGGTGTAATGCCTGGTTAAGCAAAGGCTCTAGTAAGCGGGATGACTCGCGCTCGATTCCGACCGCACCACATTTTTAAGTTTTTTTTTCTCATCCCCAAATAAATAAGAATATTCTACTTTTATTAGGCGAAGTAAAAAAAAAACATGTTTAGCGTCCCCGCCCGCTTCCTTTTTAGAGGCCGCCTCCTTTCTTTTTTTTTTTTTTTTTTTTTTTTAAAAGACAAAAATTGATAAATTTTAACGATCTCTGACGAAAGAAATTGTATTTTTAGACTTTTATACCGTGTATAAAGCTGTGGAAATAGTCAATGAGTCCAAGTGGCGGCCATTTTGAAAAAAGCTGGTAACCATCTTGAAAAATAGCCTGGCCGCGTTGTCTTGAAAAATGTGTAGGGCGGCCATTTTGAAAAAAAAAAAAAAAAAAAAAAGGGCCTCCTCCTTCCTTTTTGTCAAAGAGGCAGGACGCTAAACATGTTTTTTTTTTATTTTGCCTTATTTAAACATGTCTCAAACATTTTTTGCAGAGTAGGGCCTATTACATTTTCTTTTTCAGATTTGTGGCTCTGGAGGATTTTTTTTAAAAGGGAAATAAAATCCGAAATTATAAAATGGTCTGAATCCCATCTTGTGAATACGAGGTAACAACGATAATTTTGGCATGGAGCCAGACTAAAACTTGTCACCGGAAAATCTTTAAGTACAAAAAAACAGTAACTGCGCATGTTCAGTGCATATCCGGCAAACTAACGTTTACTAAAGGTTTGCCGTCTCCGGCAAAATATACACTGCCTTTTTTTTCCAAATTATTTTTAACATGTTTAATGTTAGCTATTGCACATCTCTATTTCACAACTTGTGAGATTTTTTTTTTGTCAAGCGCCAAGATTTATAAAGAGTTTTTATATGGGCTAAGCCTAGGCCTAGAATAGATGCAACAGATAAAGAGACCAAAATGATGTCACTGTTGAAAATAGTTTTTTGTTTTTAACCAAAAAAAGAAAAGAAAAGGAAAAGGAGGGGGCCTCCAAAAAGGAAGCAAACGAGGACACCCACATTTTTTTTTTTTAGATTTTGCCTTAGTATTGCATTCAACTGTGTCAAAAGAAACGTCTGGTAAGTGGTAGGCCTACCTAGCTCTATGTCTACACATTCTCTATGGTCATGCCAACAGACTACTGAAAGCTCAATTTTCGCAAAAGGTTGGACATGCACCAGTCTAGTCTTTAGCTTCAAACTGAAATACTTGGCTTCACGCCAAGGTCAAAAATGTTACACTTAAGACAAGCCCCCTTTACAAATAGAATTGAGGGAAAGATTTTCATATACGAAGTTCACTCAACACTCTGTGTACAAACCCTATGAGATTGGACTGAAAAATTCTAAGTGTTTTCTAAGAAAATGCTTGTATTTTTTCACTGCTCGAATTGACTTTGATGACATGAAATTGCCATCTGGGGGCTTGTCAGTCAATACAGAGGAAAATTAGTGAACTTCGCATATGGTAATCTTGCCGAATTGAGACCTCAAACTTGGCTGGTGAAATACTGATGACCTTTAATTGTCTTCGCCTCTTGAAAATTTTGGAGAATGTTGTTTGCTAAAGTGATCTGATATTGTTTTGCATGTTTTGTGCACTCACGATCCCAGTCTGACATACACCATGCATGCATGTCCTATGGGGACATCAAAATCAAATTCAAAGTAAAATATTCCCATGACGATATTTTTTTTTACCCAGGCAACTTCACATCACCGGATGATCTGAATCTGATCGTTGCTAAGAACACTCGTCTGGAGATCTACGTAGTGACGCCCGAGGGCCTGCGTCCTGTTAAAGAGATCGGCATCAATGGCCGGATTGAGGTCATGGAGCTCTTTAAACCTCAGGTACGTAAAACATCGAGATTTGTAAGAGTTGAAGAAATATGGCATCTTAAAACTCCAACCCTCCAGGGTATTTTGATTAGACACCCTGACAAACGCAGCAACATGCAACACTTGTCTAAGTGACAAGCCTGCCCAGCGCAGCAAGATCCATCAGGTCAAAAGTCTCAAGGCCAAAGTGCCTCAGAGTTTGTGGTCACCGCACGCAGCAGGATACAACTGTGGCATTGTTCAATGGTACTAGCTCTCATTGCTTCAGAACTGGCCGTTTATGCACTGGTGTTGGTAGCTGAATGCATCAAAGTGCACCACACTTCTACACCTGATGCGCTGTGTTGTGTTTGGCAGGCTTAAGGTTTTAAAGGCATATCCAGTTCATGTAGAATCATTTGAATTTATCCAAAAGTAGCCGACCAAAGAATGATCAAAATGCTTACTTAGATTCAGATCGTAGTGGTTCATGTACACTGTGAAATTATTCCGTCTGGCTTGCTGTTATTTATGTCAAGAAAAAGGTCCTATAGGTGATTTCCAATGATCCGTCAATGGGAGTCTTTTAAAGGGAATATACAACATTTGCAAACATCGAAAAATAAAACTACCAAGTTTTTACGAAATACCTTACTAGGATGTTGGTAGATGACAGTCTCAAGCATCTTGTAAAATTATGGCACCTGGTGTGAAGTCATTTTCAAGAAAATGGTATTTTTGTAAACATTTCCAACGGTGGTCGGCCAACCAGCGTTGGAAATACCTAACTATTTTTCAACTACTGCTCCAAATTTACCATTTTTTTCAGTCCAAATTTTGTTTGCTATTGGTTACATGTTCATGAACGGGTGCAGGCCAGCTAGACTGGTTCCCTAGCCTTACAATTTTCCATCATCTATAAATTGATCCATTTTATCTTTTGTGGAGTCAGGGAACCAGACTACTTGAACATTTTTGTTTTTCTTGGTTTTTCCAACCTTTTCGAACACCAAACTTCAAAAATGTCAGTGTAACAATATTTGATCTATTATACTAACCCCTCAAATAGTTCATTTCTGAAAATTACAGCAAAAGCCAATGATGTACATTCCCTTTAAGATCTTCGTGGCAGCAACACACCAGTCCTTTTCCCACTGTTTGCGTCATAGCGAGTCATGCACGCTTTATCTTCAACGACGCAAACAATTGAAAAGGACTGGTATGTTTGCTGCCACAAACATCTCAAAAGTCTCCCATTGATTGAATTTTGGAAGTAAAGAGTAATATAAACAAAATCCCTTCCTGCTATTTAAGCAGTCACAGAGAGTCAAAATTCATTTCCAATTCCCCTGTTATACTTTTAACTAAGGCCAGTTACCAGCAGTCAGATCATAAGTCAGGCAAGCGCTGTGACTAATCAAACTGGGTCAACAGACAAAGCAGGCAAGTTGTGGGACTCACAGCTGTTATATCACTCACCCGGAGTCAATGCATAGCTGTATCAAATTGGGCAGTGCAAGGCAGTCCATCCTGCTTTATGTGGGCTGGGAATTCTTAAGGGTTGAAAACAGTCACTTGATTGATTCTGACTGCAAGGACAACTTGGCACAGAATGTATGTTTGCATACATGGAATAAGGAGAGTTAGTGATCAAAAGGTTAGTAAGATTTGAGGCTTTGCATGGTGAAGATACTAAATAATGAAAGGTTTGCGGAAACACCATGTGCGAATAATTTCTCAACTAAGAGAATGGTTCTGAAAAGAACCAGAGGTATAAACTCGACGTTCCGGTCAGTATGCTCTGACCGTCTTCAGGAGAGTGCCTAAACTCTAAGAAAGGGAATACTTAAGTAGCAAAAGGTGAAATCAATGGAGTGTGAAGTTGCATCCTGTGAGGATGCCAAGTAGACAGGATCCCTGAGCAAGCTAAGTGCCCACTGAAGTGGAACAGTAGGGTTCAAGTGTCAGTGGAGGGAGGACCTAGGGTATAGGAGACCCATCAGTCTAAGGTAGTAGCTGAGGACCTAGGGTATAGGAGACCCATCAGTCTGGAGAAGTGGGAGCCAGATGTCGTTGAGATGAAACCCGATGTCTTGCGGAACTGTGTTGTGCTTGCGGATCTCGATGGCTTCCCGTATGCGTCTTGGATGCCAGAACTGGATCGGTGCGATGAGTTCGGCCGCATCCCAATCAACTTTGTGGTCGTTGATGTGGGAATGTTTGACAATGGCCGATTTGTCAAAATCCCCTCGCCGTCCATGTGCTCTGTGTTCCTTGAGCCTAGTGGGAAGGTTCCGACCGGTTTCGCCGATGTAGACTTTGCCGCATTCGCATGGAATGCGGTAGACTCCCGGCTTGGAAGAGGAGTCCTGCTTGTCCTTGTGAGTATGGAGGCTGCCTTGGAGCTTGTTGCCAGATGAGTGGTACACCTTGACGCCGGCTTGTCGGAGGATGCGTTGCAGATGATGAGAAGCTGGACCTATGTAAGGAAGAGTGACTGAGGGAGATACAGTGGGAGGACCTTGGGTATAGGGGACCCGTTGGTCAGGTTTGCTGATCTTGATGCGGTTGGGTTTGTAGCCGTTCCGTTGTAGTGACGTCTGGATGTGCTTGAGTTCACGCTTGAGGTTGTCTTGGTCGCAGACCTCGAAGGCTCTCTGTACTAGGGTGCGGTTGACCGATGACTTGATGCTGGGGTGATGGAACGACCGCTGGTGGAGATAGCGGTCGGTGTGGGTGGGTTTCCTGTAGACGCTGTGTCCCAGGGTGCCATCCGGATTCCTGGAGATCTTGACGTCCAGGAAAGGAATGGTGCCATGCTGTTCTTGTTCCATGGTGAAGCTGATGCTGGTGTGTTGCTTGTTGAGGTACTGGAGGAAGTCTTGGAGTGTGTCCGGGCCATGGGGCCACACTACGAAGGTGTCATCAACGTAGCGTAGCCACAGGCTCGGCCGAAGATCCGCTGTGAGTAGGGAGGAAGACTCGAACTCCTCCATGAAGATGTCGGCTAGGACCGGGGATAAAGGAGATCCCATGGAGGTCCCAGCCGTTTGCTCGTAGAACTTGCCTTGCCACTGAAAACAACTGGAAGAAATACATGTTAGTAACAGATCATGAATTTGGTCGGGGGACAGGTCTGTGCGTTCAGCGAGAGTGGTATCATGTTCAAGTCTTTCCTTAGCTAGTTTGCAGGCCTCGCCTGTGGGAACATTGGTGAAGAGTGAGACGACGTCAAAACTGACAAGCAAGTCAGTGGGTTGGACAGTGAGGTTTCTGGTGATGCTGACAAACTGGGAAGAGTTGGACACATGGTGTGGTGTCTGACCCACCAAGGGTCTGAGGATTTTGGCTAAGTGTTGGGCTGTGTGGTAAGTGGGGGAACCTCGAGAGGCAACTATGGGGCGCAGAGGGATCTCAGGTTTGTGAATCTTTGGTTGACCAAAGAACCTGGGACAGATCGAACTGGAGGGTCTGAGTCGTCTGTAGAGGGGGGTGGATAATGCATCTGCTCGATGCAAGAGGAGAAGTTGGCTGGCAACTCGCTTCTCGATGGCGGGGATGGGGTTCTTGGGGAGTGGGCGGTATGAACCAGAAGAAAGTATGTCTTTTACCTTGTTGCTGTAGTCCTCCCTGTCCATGACGACGGTGGCGTTGCCCTTGTCCGCTGTGAGGATGTGGATGGAGTTGTCTCGGCGAAGGTCACTGACAGCGAACCGCTCTTTCTTAGAGTTTAGGCACTCTCCTGAAGACGGTCAGAGCATACTGACCGGAACGTCGAGTTTATACCTCTGGTTCTTTTCAGAACCATTCTCTTAGTTGAGAAATTATTCGCACATGGTGTTTCCGCAAACCTTTCATTATTGATCAAAAGGTTGTGCAAGGTTTTTCACGGTTTTCTTTAGAAAGTGTTATATCCACTAAGCTGAAACTGCAACAGATTTATTTTTTAAACATTGATTGTAATTGTGTACAAAGTCCATGGCAAGAAGTGATTATTTTAAAACAGAAGTGGAATGTTTCTCAATTCAAAGTTTATATTTTTTTTGCAACAAATTTGCAGTTACTGAGTAACACTGGGGTTACATACCATGAAGAAAGTGGCATCGGTATACTGCACGCTACCCAAATCATAGATTTATGAATGGAATTTACATTACAATTATTCCTGTTTGTTCTTGAAATCGTAATTCCTTCAAGGGTCAAGATAAGTGCCTTCTCTTCATCTTGACGGCGCGATACAACGCCTGCATCCTGGAGTACGTGAAAGATGGCGACAACGAAGAAATTGTGACTAAAGCTCATGGCAATGTACAGGTCAGTAGTATAGGAGGAGCGTCTGCAACCCCTCATTCCTCACACTGTGAACTCTGAAATGTTTTGAAAACACTTCGGTTTGAATAAAAAGTCTGAAATTTGTATTACAACAATGAGGATATCTTGACTACATTGCAGTGTACAGATTAGTAGTATAGGAGGAGTGTCCACAACTCCTCATTCCTTGCACTGAGAACTCTAAAATGTCTAGAAAACACTTGGTTTGAAGAAAAAGTCTGAAGATTTGTATAATGATTGTGAATTCCAGTTCTGCCAGTGAATGGGCACTTACAATGTATGTGCAGATTTTAACCCTAACCCAGCTAAAAGGCAATAGAAAGCAACAATGATACCAAAGTTGTTACATACTTTTGCATTTAGCAGTCAAGTCTCCTCGTGCCTCGCAACTTGGTACATTTAGCAGGGTAACTGCTCAAAGTGCCAAGGCTGATATGACTAAATCCACTGTTGCAGTTGTTGCATAAAACATGGTTCACATTTCAACTGTGTCTAATTTGTTGCAGTTAGCAGGGTTACCCATTTTTGTCCAAAACAGATTTCAGAATTGTTTTTAAAGTTTCGTCTAATCAAACAAAATAGCTCACGCTTGGCTAGTACAATATTTCAATAGAACCCTGTATTGACAATATTTCCTCCACATGTGTCTTATTGTTTGTTGACATAATAGTCAGCCCAGAAAAGTACATAAAAATATTGAATACCGTAATGTTTTTTTGTGTGACTGTACAAGCCTAGCTCACACCTTTCAACAACTTCAAATTCTCAAGGATATTGTTGAATTTGTCATTGAGTGTTTATTTTGTCTAGGATCGTATTGGTAGACCATCAGAGACTGGTCTGATCGGCATCGTGGATCCTGAATGCCGCGTCATTGGATTGCGTCTTTACGATGGCCTCTTCAAAGTGGTGCCACTCGACAGAGACAACAAAGAATTGAAAGCTTTCAATATCAGGTACTCATTCCTCCAAATTAGAGGATGTTTTTTTTTAACATCATGTTCATATACCCACAAATTTGTTTCATTTAATAATAAATGCCCTGTTTTCTCACTTATAGACTGGAAGAGTTGAATGTAATCGACGTGCAGTTTCTTCATGGGTGCCAAGTACCAACCATTGTATTTGTCCATCAGGTAAGAGTGCATTGGTTTTGCAGATTCATGGAAAAAAGGAACATTGCACAACAAATTGCATGGTAGATCTTCTAAAAGAGGTCTTTAGCCATTAAAGGGAAGATACAACATTTGCAAACATCAAAAAAACGAAATGATCAAATGATAACGAAATATCTTACTTGATTGTTAGGAAATGACAGTCTAAAGCATCCTGTAAAATCGTGGCTCCTGATGTGCTAACATTTTCAAGAAAAACTGTATTTTTCCAACGCTGGTCGGCCGACCAGCGTTGGAAAAAACTAACTTTTTTCAAAAACTGCTCCTAGCTTTTCATATTTAGCTATTCCGCATTTTCTTTGCAATTGATTACAAACCTGTGAATGGGTACAAGCCAGCTAGACTGATTCTTTGACCTTACAATTCCCCAAAGTCTACAAATTGCTCTGTTAAATCTTAAGTTGGGTCAGGGAACCAGACTACAAGAACATGATTGGTTTTTCCTGCACCTACAAGCCCAAAACATGAAACAAGTCAGTTTAACAATATTTGCTATAATATACTTATCCTCCAAATTCATTTATTTCTGAAAACTGCAGCAATAGCAAATGTTGTACATTCCCTTTAATTGACTGATCTGTTAATGCAGTTGTCCTCCAAGAGTGATAATGAATAGTAAACTACATGTACCTAACCAACAACTAGGGCCAAAAAAAAAGGTCTCCGGTTTTTGGTATGCGCGCGTTGCCGTAGCCATTCACGTCGGCAAAATGAAAAAGGTGTTTTTTTTCAATGTAATAAGATGATGTCTAAAAACTGCAAAGCTCACTGGTTTGACTGGAATCCTGCTGCTGCACAATTTTAACATGTTTTTAGATGGGGTTATGATCGAGTATAAGCTTTATGTGGCCTCTGGACTCCCATGTATTTTAAACTAAATTTAGTCGGGCACCATTTGCAGTCATCAGCTGACATTTGAAGAAAAAAAGTAAAAAAAAAAAAAAAGAAGCCGCGTCGCCGCACCACTTTTGGGGCAAGCTCTATACTAGAAACTGGAGACTTTTTTTTGGGGGGGGGCCTAAGAAATTGTTTTTAAAATTATTTTATAAAGTCATTCTTAAAAAAAAAAGTCATTCTTAAAGCTACAGTCCATCATTTGCAGCTATCCAAAAATTAACTTGCAAAATTATTGTTGAAAAGCATACTTTCTTAAAGATAATAATGGGACTAAACTCCCTGTGAAATAATTGTTTCTGGCAAGCTGTTATGTAGAAGAAAACAATCGTTGGAAATTTCCCATAGTTGTTCATTTTTAATTCGGCGAAGCGTTGACACAACGCAGGCGCAGGCACGGTTGCTATAGTTCATCGGTTCAGTGCGCGATATCAGTGCGCCAAGTCATGAATAATTCAGTAGCTCCGATCGGGCCAGTATGTTAAATCTTGAGCATTGTTGCTATTTAGTCAACCAGTTACATGTACATCAAAGCATTTTGAAAAATGGTTGTCGTCGAGCTACCACACAGTAGCCTAGTGGATAGTGAGATGAGCTATGGATACTAAGATCCCTGGTTCGAATCCACGTCGTCGCTGCTCATTTTCATTGACTATTTTTCTTCTCCAATTTTATCGTTGTGATAATTTTAAAATTTGCGTCCCAAATGCTGAATTCGGCCGCAATTCCAAACATAACTTAGCAACTTTTGATTTGAACTCAAGATCCTAGAATATTGTTTTCTCGGAATGTACAGCATTCACTGAGCTGAAACTGCATCGGGTTAGTTGTTCAGCACCCTTCTCTAGATTTTGAGCACTTTTGCTGCTTCAAATGGACATAATACACAAATTACACATGATGGACTCTACCTTTTATGAAACCTGAGTGACAAATTACAAAGTACCAAGTTAAACAGGGACAGGAAAATGTGTCAAAATATGGACCCTAAATTTATAGAATGACCCATACTGCAGGTGGTATGAAAACACAAGCGTACACATACACTCTTGTTTTACTATACTCCTGAGGACAATGCTTTGTGTTTCCCTTTGTCCCTGTAATATACAACACTCTCCCATAGACTAAGCAGTAGCACACGGACCTACTACAGAGGATCGTTTGGAAGAAAAGACCCAACTCCCGAGGACTGAAAGGATCTGTTGTTCTCCCTTTGCGTGTCGGTCCTCGGGGGTTATGTAGCAGACATACATGTATACCTCAAATTTCAGGGGAAACTGTCAGAGTCCACTCATCCCTGAAATTAGCATTGAGAAACAAGTTAACTTTTCTTTATTTTCTTCCACTTTTTATCCATGTTCCAGGACCCCCATGGCAGACACGTGAAAACCTATGAGATCAACCTGAGAGAGAAGGAGTTCAACAAGGGGCCCTGGAAGCAGGATAACGTTGAGACAGAAGCCAGTATGGTAGTCACTGTGCCCAAACCGTGTGGTGGCGCCCTCATCATCGGACAAGAGTCCATCACGTACCACAATGGGGATAAATACGTCGCTATCGCACCACCGAGCATAAAGGTAAATTTGTGTGGAGTGCTGTGGCCTCGTGGTTAAGGGCACTGGATTCGTGGTCTGCGGGTAAAGCTGCAGGTCGTGGGTTCGAGTCCAGCCTGGGGTCATGGTGCGTGCGCCCTTGGGCAAGGCAGTTTGTCACTCATTGCTTCTCCCCACCCAGGAGTAAATGGGTACCTGTGAGGGCAGAGATGGTTATTGTGATTGAATAAGCTACCTTGCGCCTAACAGGCTGCATCGAGCTGTGTACTCCCCAGGGAGCTGAGATGGTGTTTGGAATGTTTAATTGGCCCAATGATCAGGGGCAGTAATAATGTTAAGTGCTTTGATCATAGTTAAAAGCGCTATATAAGAACCCGTTATTATTATTATTGTTATATTTCCATGAATGATAAAACCATCACATTTTGAGCACATCTTTCAACATAAGCTGGGGCTGCATAAAAATGCATATACTTGTGTCAGGCATTCTGGCAAAAATAAAACAGAAGTGGGCACAGGCCGTAGCAGTGTTGTAGGACTTGAGTCCAGGACTCGGACTCGAGTAACATTTTTCGTGACTCGGACTTGACTCGAGTCACATTGGAAAATGACTCGGACTCGGACTTGATCATTGGACTCAAGCTTGGTGACTTGTGACTCAAAAAAACCTAACATATAGGGATGGGAAAGAATCATTGAGGAATAATGTTTGGATAATAAAACATGGAGGGAAGGGATGGAGGAGGTTTTTTTTAGGGATGGGAATTAAAAGGAAAACACATTTTGGGTCTAAAAATTAAACATGTACACACACAAGGTAAACTATATACACTAGGATTTACTTAAAAGACAGAATGGATGATTAAAAAATAATTTAAAAGAAATTTGATTAGTTTGGTAACAACTAAGAACAAGTGACTCTTGACTCGGACTCTAGGCTTGTGACTTGGACTCGGACTCGAGGCTTGTGACTCGAGACTCGGACTCGATGCTTGTGACTCGAGACTCGGACTCGAGGCTTGTGACTTGAGACTCGGACACTCGAGGCTTGTGACACGAGACTCGGACTCGATGCTTGTGACTCGAGGCTTGTGACTCGAGACTTGGACTCGAGGCTTGTGACTTGAGACTCGGACTCGAGGCTTGTGACTCGAGACTCGGACTCGGACTTGAGGCTTGTGACTTGAGACTCGGAGTAACATTTTTTGTGACTCGGACTCGACTTGAGTCACATTGGAAAATGACTCTGACTCGGACTCGACCATGATCACTGGACTCGAGGCTTGTGACTCGAGACTCGGACTCGTTGCTTATGACTCGGACTCGTTGCTTGTGACTCGAGACTCGGACTCGAGGCTTGTGACTTGAGACTCAGACTCGAGGCTTGTGACTCGAGACTCGGACTCAGACTCGAGGCTTGTGACTTGAGACTCGGACTCGAGGCTTGTGACTCGAGACTCGGACTCAGACTCGAGGCTTGTGACTTGAGACTCGGACTCGAGGCTTGTGACTCGAGACTCGGACTCAGACTCGAGGCTTGTGACTCGAGACTCAAACTCGAGGCTTGTGACTCGAGACTCGGACTCAGACTCGAGGCTTGTGACTTGAGACTCGGACTCGAACTCGAGGCTTGTGACTTGAGACTCGGACTCGAGGCTTGTGACTCGAGACTCAAACTCGAGGCTTGTGACTCGAGACTCGGACTCAGACTCGAGGCTTGTGACTCGAGACTCGGACTCAGACTCGAGGCTTGTGACTTGAGACTCGGACTCGAACTCGAGGCTTGTGACTCGAGACTCGGACTCGAGGCTTGTAACTCGATACTCGGACTCGAACTCGAGGCTTGTGACTCGAGACTCAAACTCGAGGCTTGTGACTTGAGACTCGGACTCGAACTCGAGGCTTGTGACTCGAGACTCGGACTCGAGGCTTGTAACTCGAGACTTGGACTCAAGGCTTGTGACTCGAGACTCGGACTTGAGGGTTGTGACTCGGACTCGGACTTGATGTTGGTGACTCGACTACAACACTGGGTCGTAGTGAAGAAAAATGCAAAAATCTAAAAAAAAATTAATTAGTTTGGTTAACAACTAAGAACAAGTGACTCGTGACTCGAGGCTTGTGACTGGAGACTCGCTCTCAGACTTGAGGCTTGTGACTTGAGACTCGGACTCGGACTCGAGGCTATACCTGTGGTTCTTTTTAGAACCTTTCTCTTAGTTGAGAAATTATTCGCACATGGTGTTTCCGCAAACCTTTCATTATTCAAAAATCTAAAAGCAGACAACAATTGTTGGTTCATCTCAGGCAAGTACTCTGGTTTGCCACGGTCGGCTAGACTCTGACGGATCTCGCTATCTCCTGGGTGACATGGCTGGAAGACTGTTCCTGTTGCATCTTGAGAAGGAAGAATCTATGGACGGCGTTCTCATCGTCAAAGATCTCAAAGTGGAACTACTGGGAGAGGTAAGATGTAGTGATGGGCCAGAAGTTCAAAATATAACTGTAATAGGGCTTAGCCAAATATATACAGAATATTTTAATATTCTATCATCCATTGAATATCCGAATGGCATGTTTTGATTCAAATTTTCAAAACATATGAGTAGTCCCGAGGACATGATTTAGAACATCTGGTTCCCTGACCCCACGTAAGATGAAATGAATCAATTTGTAGACGTTTGGAAATTGTAAGGTCAGCAGTCTTTCATTTTTAATGAGCGTGATAGCGCAGGGGCTTCTTCTGCGCTCCTCGACTGTCTCCAAGGAGCGCCAAAAATAGCCCTCAAAAATCCAAAAGAGGGTTCATCAAACACGGGCAGTTTAAAAATAAGAAGTGATAAAAACGCCAGGGATTTTAAAGGGAATGTACAACATTTGCTTTTGCTGCAATTTTTAGAAATAAATGGATTTGGAAGATTGGTATGTTATAGCAGATATTGTTACACTGACTTGTTTCACGTTTTGGGCTTTTCGAAAACCAAGAAGTCTCGTAGTCTGGTTCCCTGACCCCACTTAAGATGAAACGGAACAATTTATAGACTTTGGGAAATTGTAAGGTCTAAGAATCAGTCTAGCAGGCTTAATAACTTAACTATGAAAATTAAGGAGTGCTCAGTTTTTTAAAAAGCCAGTTTTTTTTCCAAAGCTTGTTGGCCGATCAGCGTTGGGAAAAATACAAGTTTTCTTGAAAATGTCAGCACACCAAGAGCCAGGATTTTACAGGATTCTTTAGACTGACATTCCCTAACAATCCATTAGGGTATTTCGTGATAATTTGATCATTTCGTTTTTTGATGTTTGCAAATATTGTATCTTTCCTTTAAGTCTTTAGCTACACGTTTTATTTGTATGTATTAATGCTCAAACTCACGTTTATTCCGCTGGATTTGCTGAACGAACACCAAGCTCTTACGTACTGTCAAAGATCGTATGCGTGAACAGAAGGCCGGCTGTATACATGTACGTGCAATATCTGCATATCGCATACCGCATCATGTATGAAAAAACATGGGTCCAACGCTGGTCGGCTGACCAGTGTTGGAAATTGAATGAAAAAACACCAGTTTTCTTGAAAATGACAGCACACCAGGTGCCATGATTTCACAGGATGCTTTAGACTGTCATTCACTGACAGTCCAGTAAAGAATTTCATAATAATTTGGTACTTTTGTTTGTTGATGTTTGCAAGTGTTGTTTATTCCCTGTAAGTTTCTTATTGATTTTGGAAGATGCATTGTGTTAATGTCTTAAATTGAATGTTGTGTCGTTGATGCCTCCATAAATGTAGGCCAAGATTATACTAGATATCATCCACCCTGCTTCTTATGTCATTGGCATAGCCTCAACGTATGTATTAACAGTGATTGTTGGAAAATTGTGAAGGATTGAGGAATTGATCATCCCTCCTCAAAACATACATGCATGCAAGATATAACGGAAGATTTTGGAGGTTTGAGGCAGTATTTTTCATGGTGGCAGTTGGAAGATTTTAAAGAATGCACCCGAAGATGTATGATGTGGCTGATGACATACTTTCCTATGTAATTGTGAGAATGAACTTAAGTGTGGGATTCAAACTTAAGGCGGTTGCTTTTCATTTAAAACAGTTTTTGTATTTATCTGTTGATCATACAAGTTTGATTTATTGAATGCCTTGTTTTTTGTTTTTCAATAAGACATCCATTGCAGAGTGCCTGACGTATCTTGATAACGGCGTGATATTCATTGGTTCGAGGCTCGGAGACTCACAGCTAGTCCGGGTAAATATCATTCTCAAACTTGGTTTCTGACGGTTCGAAGATGGTTTGGGTATATGTTGTGGTTTAGTTAAAGTACACCGATTCATTAAGTAACCCTCCTGCTGTTTGAACAGCCACAGACAGTCCAAATAAATCAATCCTCTTCCCCTGCCATGCCCATTACTCAGGCTGGTCAATAAGGCCAAAAAAATAAATAAGTCGGTCTCTGGTCAGCGCGCGCGTCGATTTTAATCATGCGCGTCGATCTTTTTTTTTTCAAAAATGTTCCGCGGTAGCTCCAACAGCGCCCTCTATTTCAATTTTTTTTAACAAAGAGCACCAAGGAATAAGATAAGAAATTGCACCAAGGCAAATGATCGAAAGCACCAAGGCAAATTATGGAGGACACCAATTTACATGAGGACACCAAAAAAGCAAAATAGTACCCCACATTGTCTGTACAATCCAAGCTTGAAAAAAAAAAAAAAAAGCAAAAAAAAAAAAAAAGCCGTGTGGCCGTGTCAATTCCGGAACTTTGGTCTGACCAGAGACCGAATGTTTTTTTTTTTTTGGCCTAACAGACATTTTGTAGTTTGGCTCTGATCCTCCGACTAATTTAAACTATGCTCTTCTTCTGAACTGTTCATTTTGCTCATTTGTGATTTGAATCTTGTGATCTTATAACTTTGCAGTTGACTGTAGATCCAGATGAGCATGGCTGCTACGTGCAACCCATGGAGACATTTACAAATCTTGGCCCCATCGTAGACATGGCGGTGGTTGACCTAGACAGACAGGGTCAAGGACAGGTAGGCTACGACCCCCTCCTCCCCAAACAACCCCACCAGCAAGACCCACCCACCTGGCAACACCTGTTGCAAGACTAAGAGGTCCCCCTAAAAGCATCTGCTGAGTGATTGTGCTCTAAAACAAACTCTGTTTGCTTAATTGTATAGTTTAATACTCTGACATTTTTCGGTCCAAACATGTCATATTTCACAAGTTCTTCATTCGAACATAGCGAAAGTTAATAATAAGCAGGACAAGTTCTTGTCAGAACTAAATATCTACTGAGTGACAGTTAACAATTGTTGACTAGTGGGATATGACATTTTAACACCCAAGAGTATGCGCCCCTTGGGTGTTCAAAATGTTATATCCCACATCACAGCAGTCAACAATTGTTTTTTTATACCTCTGTCTTGGATTCTTTTGATTTTGACGTGAAAATCACGAAAACAAACGGCAGTAAACACAACAATCAAGACAATCGAACGTCAACTCACATGCATGTTGCGTGCTCGAAACAGCTGATCGTCTCCTAGTTAACTGCTCCCACTCATGTGTGGAAACATGGTGAAAATAGCGTGGGTACCAACGATACAAGCGTTTCACACCGTACGTGCCGTATACGTACAAAGTCATAGCACATATCACACAGGGAGTGTGCCATGACTTTTTATAAACTTAACACGTGATCGTTCTAGGCCAATGAAAATACAGTACTTAAGACAGAGGTATATATTATTATTTTCACATGGCGTTATCGCAAACCGAAACGATAGCGATTTACTGTATTTTTGTTTCCGTCCCTTTTCCCTCATGAAGCTCGTAACCTGTTCCGGTTCATACAAAGAGGGCAGTCTTCGCATCATCAGGAATGGGATTGGCATCCATGAGCATGCTAGCATTGATCTGCCAGGGATCAAGGGTTTATGGCCGCTCAGGGTGGACCATGGATCGCAATTTGATGACACGCTGGTGCTTTCGTTCGTGGGACAGACAAGGTTTGTACTTTGATGCTTTTGGTTTTCCCCTTACTGACCGACTTTTAAATGCACTGTTTTCCTGGTGCTGTGCTAGAACTTGTGAAAACTATTCCCACGCTCGCAAGGGTCGGATTTGCACCTAAGACCTTGTGCTTACTAGTGCAGATGTCATAACTACACAACCACGGACAGTTTTGTCATTCCTGGGATTTTGAAGTCCTAATGTGTGAGGCGTTACTGATACATGTATGTGGACTTTTTAAAGACATGTAGGAACTTTTGCAATTACCTGGAAAAGTATCTACAGATTTAACCCTATTCCCTCCTCAATCATCCAAAGGCCAGGCAGTTTTGGAGGATTGAGGCTGAATGCAACATACAATTTTTGGAGGATTATGGAGGATTGAGCACACATGGTGTTTGAAGAAGAGGAGGATTTTAGAGGATTGAGGATGAATGCATTTTGAGAGACGGGACTGTAGGAAAAATTTGAAGGATTGAAGCAGTGGGTTCCTTCATTTGAACCTTATTGCACAGTTTTGGAGGATTTTGGAGGATTGAGAATGGTTCCTAGCAAAAGGGGCCTGGGGGTTAGGGTCAATGAGAAAACATTACTCGAAGTGAAGAAAGTGTTCACAGATGAATACATCAGTAAATGGGCATAACTTTACCCCACAGAGTATCAACGAGTGTCAGTAGAGTCAATCAGTAGCAAAACTCAGTGGTCAGTGCTTTACCATATTGATGCTAAGAATGAAAATTATGTCCCGATTGCTGAATAGGGATTGTATTACGAGAGGGCATAGCTACGAGATAAAAAAAATTAAATGGGCATAGTTTTTGTCTGTTTTCCCAAATGTTCACGTACAGTATCTACTGAGCTGAGCTGAACTGATTAGTTGTTTATTCAACTTTCAAGTTTTGAGCAATGTTGTTGTTTCAAGCAAGAAAAGGCCCCCAGAGCAAAACATCATTTGTACCTTTCCGGACATGAAGCCTTGTAGTTGCTAGTTTCTTCTGATACAGTCGGTTATTCTTACGTCACCCGTCGTTTCTTTTTTTTCTTCCAGGGTGTTGATGCTGAATGGCGAGGAAGTTGAAGAGACAGAGATGCCAGGAATTGACGGCGATCAACAAACATTCTACTGCGGGAATGTCTACAACAACCAACTCATCCAGGTAGGAAGATGGCAGTTACGCGCTTCAAGATGGCAGCTTTGCAGCCATACCTGGAATTCTGTCTTTTTTCATTGGCAAAAAACTCTGACTTTCCATCCGTCAGAGAAATACACGCGATGTTTAATCGTCGCTCATGAGCCATTTAAGGAAAATTGGTTGTGCTAATGAGAATTTCCATATTCATGAGCAAAAGTGTGATGTCATTTCAGGCAGAAACCTCTACGTTACAGCTATTTTTTTCACAAAAAAAGTTACCAGAATGTTTGACATTTTGCTGTTGTCAATTTTTTTTCTTTGGTGATTGGTTGTTGTGTCAGTACATGGCAGGAAGCCAGTGAGCAAATATTTCTCACAAATGTTTTCAACGAGCAGATTTTTGGGTTTACATTTGAACGGAAAACCCCTTAAATTGAACAGTGTCTTCCTGAAATACATCACAGCAGCAGCGCCCTCTGTTGTCCGGAAAAGCATGGACTTTTTAAAAAAACTGTTCAAAAAAGTGCACTTTTGAATAAAATTAGCCAGAATGGGAAGTCAAATAGTTGCATAAAAGAGGAGTAGAAAGTTGCACAAAATGTGTTTCTCAGACAAATTAATTCCATGCACACTTTAAGTTTTCTGCAATGTCACCCGTAACGTCATGCTTCTCAGTTGCCGAGTTTGAAAGTAGACTCTGGGAACGAATTTCTTTTTTTTTAAAGATACGTTACATACTTGACTTACGTCAAACCTTTTTGCACTGACTATCGTCCATCATGATTTCCCTAGATCACTGCAGCGTCTGTTCGTCTGGTTAATGCCGTCACCAAACGCATGGTGAGCGAGTGGCGATCTCCATCCAGTAAGAACATCAGTGTAGCATCCTGCAACACGCGGCAAGCAGTGTGTGCTGTGGGGAAGGACATCTTCTACATAGAAATCCACGAAGGTGAACTCCGACAGATCAGGTAGGTAAACTGCATCGGGAACAACAGATCCATGCAAAATCATTTCATAAAATGTTATTGAGCAAATATTAAAGGGAATATTTAACATTTGCTTTTGCTGTAATTTTCAGAAAGGGATGGATTTGGAGGTTAGTATTTTATAGCAAATGTTGCTACACTGACTTGTTTGGAGTTTTGGGTTCGTAGATGCTGGAAAAACCAACAAAAACAATCATGTTCCTGTAGTCTGGTTCCCTGACCCCACTTGAGATAGAGCAATTTATAGATGTCGGGGAATTGTAAGGTCAGGGAACCAGTCTAGCTGGTTTGTAGCTGTTCATAGGTGTGTAATCGATTGCAAACAAATATGCGGACTAACTAAATATGGTAAATTGGGGGCAGTATTTGAAAAAAGCCAGTTTTTTCCAACGTTGGTCGGCCAACCAGCATTGGAAATAGATGGAAAAATACTACTTTTCTAGAAAATGACAGCACACCAGGTGCCATGATTTTACAGAATGCTTTACTGTCATTCACTAACTGTCCAGTAAGGTGTTTTATAATAATTTAGTAGTTTTGTTTTTTGATGTTGCAAATGTTGTATATTCCCTTTAAGTGTCTTGGGCAGCTACTAGGGCAAGGAACAAACCGTAACATTTTCTTGATTGCCATGGTCCAGTGATTTTGGTAGATTGGTATGTAGGTTTTGAAACGTAGACAGGGCTTCATTGTGCTTGTGTTCTTGGGCAAGGCACTTTACTACATTTGCCCTTCTCCACCATGGTAGACACCAGATTGCTTTTGTGAGCTGATGCATTAGAACTGATGTCATGGTCTGATAAACAGGGGTAATTGAAACCTTTTCGATTTTCAGATTTATTGATATTTGTTATGTGTGATATGTCTATTGCAACATGTTTAAAAGAAACAGTATAAAATCGTGGAAGAAAAGTGTTTTTAAGATAAACAATTGGCATCTTTCATTTTCACGAATACAAAACTGGAAACCTAAAAGGCCTTTTTTCAAAGTATTTTACTTTTTTGACATGTGAATGAATTGTGAACTTTAAACAGCCATAACCTGTTAAAGACATAGTCAATCATTTGTAATTTGTGCATTTTGTTCGTTTGAAGCAACAAAAGTGTTCAAAATCTAATGAAGGATACTGAACAACTAACCTGATGAAGTTTCAGCTAAGCTTCAGCTGTATATTCCGAGAAAAACAGCATTCTAGGATCTCAATTTCAAATCAAAAGTTACTGAATCATGTTTTGAATTGTTTTGAATTGCAGCTATACGCGACATGTGCGTCGTGCCAATGCTTGCTCACGCTTCACCGAATAACAAAAGGAACTACTATTTTAAATTTTCCTAAAAATTAAGACACACCGTTGGAAAGGCCTTCTTTTGTTGATTACTTCAAAATGACATCTTCCCAGAAAGAATAATTTCACAGGGAGTTTAGTTGCCTTACTATCTTTCAACCAAGTATGTTTTTCAACAATAATTACGCCAGTTACTTTTCGGATGGCTGCAAATGATGGACTATAGCTTGAACGGAATGTCCGATTGATGTGCAACAAACAGTATTGCAAGGAGAATATTATTCCCTTTCCTAATACCCACAAACCCTCATTTCAACCTCTGCCCAGTTCTGCCTCATTTTGACAGAATGCCTCACAATTTGAATTTAATGTTGCAGTACTGTGACTATGGAGCATGAGGTGGCATGCCTGGACATAACGCCCCTCAAGGAAGGCTCCGACATCGCTGAGCTCTGTGCTGTGGGTCTGTGGACGGACATCTCGGCAAGGATACTCAAAATCCCCAGCCTGGAATCAATGCACATTGAGATGCTGGGAGGAGGTAATAATAATAATAATAATAGTGAACATTATATAGCGCCAAAATCCGTCTAAAAAAGACGCTCAAGGCGCTTTACAAGTTTAAAAAATAAACTAATACTATAGCATTATATAAAAAAAAGAGAGTAACTGTAACTTTAAAATGTGTGAAAAAGTCAATACAAGGAATAAAAATGTCAAAGATAAAAATAGTAAAATAGAAAAAATTAATAAATGCACAATCCCAAAAATATAAAAGTAACCAAAAAATACACACATTATATACACATACAAATATTATACACGTACAAATTACCAACCCATAGAGACATTGACCGAAAGAATTGAAAATATATCAGGACAAGCAAAATGCTAGTGATGAAACCAAATACATATGACAGATATTACTTAGGAAAAAATATATACACCCCCTTTAAAAACAAAGAAAACTGAAATTTTTACAGTAAGGAATCATATGGGAAGAAACAAATCATATACATCTAAAGCATCTGAAAAATACAAAATACATACACATATATAAGCACTATACAAACACACATAACATTGATATGTTGTATATACAATTTGCCAATAAAAACAACTGGACACATCGAACGAATGGAATGATCATAACAGACAAGCAGATTTAGTCTGATCCCAAAATCAATGACAATTCTAATGTGACAAGTATTACTTAGCAAATAAAAGAGTGTAGAACATCACTTAATGAACACTTTGACCCCCCCCCCCCCCCGGGTATTTTGGCTAGAATCCCTGCCAAACGCAGCAACATGCAACACTTGTCTAAAAGTGACAAGCCTGCCCAGTGTAGCAAGATCCATCAGGCCAAAAGTCTCAAGGCCAAACTGCTTCGGAGTCCGTGGTCACCGAATCAGCAGGATACAACTGTGGCATTGTTCAATGGGACTAGCTCTCATTGTTTCAGAAGCGGCCGTTTATGCACTGGTGTTGATAGCTGAATGCATCAAAGTGCACCAGACTTTTCCACCTGATGCACTGTGTTGCGTCTGGCAGAGTTGGAGTTAAGATACACTCAAAATTGATTCGTTTTTTTAGTAGCAAACAGATCTGTACTTGTGTACATGTACTACATACACCCGAAGACCGACGCACAACATGAGAACAACAGATTCTTTGTGTCCTCGGGCGCTGCGTCTTTTGTTGAAAACAGGCCTCGATCGTGCTTTTATGTGCTTAGTCTACAGGAGAGTGTTATATTACAGGGACAAATGGAAACACAAAGCATTGTCCTCGAGGGTATAGTAAAACATGACTCTGTGAGTATGCTCAAGGTATTTGGGTTGCTACAGGAGGGTTGGTAGTCTGAGTATCACCCGTTTTCCACGGAGCCAAGTCCTAGATAACGTCTGACATGTCTAGACATGCAGATATATGCAAGCCGCGCGCCTGCCAATCGGAGTCGACTTTACTAAATCGTGACGTCATTTCATTCCCAAATCAGGACTAAATGGTTTGATTGGTCAATTCCAATGCAGTGTTTTTTAATGCAACAACAGCCAGGAGCATTATCACGTAACATAAAGAGCGAGTGACACCGGTGAATGTCCGACGGGTGAATGACCGAAGACCCGATATAGAAAGCGCCCACTGATTGGTTGAAATTTAGAGGTCAAGAGGCGGTTGTCTTGCCTAATTAATCAGCGAATCTGCTCACATATCAAAGGCCACGGCATTCGCCGTTGGACAAGAGGGTTGGGGGGGGGGGTTAAATTGGGGAGTCAAACCTGCATCAATCGTTTGCTGTAGGGACTAGTCGCAACATTTGTCTGATATGGTGCAAGATTGTCTGCTTTGAACAGCGCCACAGTAGTCAGAAGATGTCAACCTCCTCTGTCCCCAAACTTTTGATTTTACAGCGGCTGTCTGACTGGATACCTTTCAGCACAGAGGCTCCTTTGGGCAAAGGCTTCGTGTTACCCTGTTTGGGGTTGGGGCTTTATCCTTGCCCATTCCAACATCCTCGGATGATTAACCCTCCTGCTCTCTGAACAGTCACAGACAATCAAAAAAATCCTCCACTGCCCAGCCTTTTACACAGGCTAGTCACCAACAGTCAGATCATATTTCAAGCAAGCACTGTGACTAGTCAAATTTGGTCAAAAGACAAAAGCAGGCCAGCGGTAAGCACAGTCAAAGCATAGCTGTATCAAGTTACATAACAGTCACAGACTGTCTATCCTGCTTTGTGTAGGCTGGGAGCTCTTAACTGTTAAAAACAGTCACGTGACTGATTTCGACTGAATGGACAAGTTTGCGCAGAGTGTGTGCTTGCATAGGAGGGTTAAATTTTCTTTTTGATGTTCTCCATACCTTAACTTGAATGGGTATGCTTCAAGAGTTAAAGGGAATATACAACATTTGCAAACATCGAAAAATAAAACTACCAAGTTTTACGAAATACCTTACTAGGATGTTGGTAAATGACAGTCTCAAGCATCTTGTAAAATTATGGCACCTGGTGTGAAGTCATTTTCAAGAAAATGGTATTTTTGTAAACATTTCCAACGGTGGTCGGCCGACCAGCATTGGAAAAACCTAACTATTTTTCAACTACTGCTCCAAATTTACCATTTTTTCAGTCCAAATTTTGTTTGCTATTGGTTACATGTTCATGAACGGGTGCAGGCCAGCTAGACTGGTTCCCTTGCCTTACAATTTTCCATCATCTATAAATTGATCCATTTGATCTTTTGTGGAGTCAGGGAACCAGACTACTTGAACATTTTTGTTATTCTTGGTTTTTCCAACCTTTTCGAACACCAAACTTCAAAAAATGTCAGTGCAACAATATTTGATCTATTATACTAACCTCTCAAATAGTTCATTTCTGAAAATTACAGCAAAAGCCAATGATGTACATTCCCTTTAATTTGTAGTTGATGGCTATTTGTTACTTTCGTTTTTGTTTTCAGAAATCATCCCGCGTTCTGTCCTGCTGAGCGTGTTTGAGGGGCAGTGCTATGTGTTGTGTGCTCTAGGAGATGGGTCTCTCTTCTACTTCCAATTGAACACAGAGACAGGTAAAGCTAGTGTTCCTGTAAGGTGGGGGAAGGGGTGGCCTATGGGTAAGGTTTGTGACTCATGATCAGAGGAGCAGGGGTTTGAATCCAACTGCTGGTTATATAATGTGTCCTTGGGCAAGCCACTTTGCCTCTACTTGCCTCTCTCCACCAAGCGGTATAAATGAGGGGAAAATTCTTGCATCCTGACGCCACTTCCGCGATTGTGTACAAAGTCTATGGAGAGTCAAGAATTTTTTTTAAGTATTTCCTAACAAAATTGGAAATGTTTCTCAGTCCCAGATTCATGTCTTATCATCATTTTTGCAATGAATAACCTTTATTGACATGATATATGAAGAAACAAGTGGCGTCAGGTTGCAACATTTTTTTCCCTAAATGAGTACTGGCATTCCAGTCCTTCAACAGAAATGTGATGAAGGCATTCCTCTGCTCATCCATTGTTACTTCATGACCAGACTTGTGAACTGATCTGCAACATTGGTTTAGTGGTTTTCTGTAATGTTATTGTTTAGAAATGCCAGTGGAAGCTGGCTTTCTATGCTTTTAATAAACTTGAATTTGAATTTAGACTGGTAATTGACTCCACTACAACACATGTAGATGCAATTGTTCTAATGTAATGGCCACTATGCTTAAAGGTAGGGTAGAGCATTTGTCATTTTGTCATTTTTTTTTTTTTTGAAGCAACAAAATTCTCAAATTCTAAAGATGGGTGCTTAACAACTTACCTGATGAAGTTTTAGCTCTGTGAATGCTGTATATTCTGAGAAAACAATATTCTAGGATCTTGGTTTCAGTTCAAAAATTGCCGAGTCGTGTTTTAAATTGCGCCCGAAATCAGCGTCCGGGACAGGTTCTCATTCAGTCTATTGCAGCTACGCGAAGTCATTCACTGATCTGACGAATAATAGCAACCGCGTGCGGGTATGCGTTGTGTCAACACTTGTGCGCACCCATTCACGGATTCGCAAACCAACTACTAACGGAATTTTTCAAAAACGCGTCACTTGACGAATCGTTGGAAATGGCCTTCTTTTATTGTTTTCTTCAAAATGACAGCATGCTAGAAAGAATAATTTCACAGGGAGTTTTACCATAACCATCTTTAAACCAAGTAAACATTTCAACGATAATTTTGTCAGTTACTTTTTGGATAGCTGCAAATGATCTACTCTACTTTAACATGTTTTCTTCAGTCCTAGTAGGCCATTAGCCTCGGTCCAAAATTTTGGCCACTGGTATCAAATGAGGGGAATAATCGTCAAAGCGATTTTTGGCAAAGTATGCACCTCTAGAGTTGGAATATATGTGACAGCATTGCAACGGTGGCAGCCTTTTGGGTGTTATCACCCTTTTCCCCAAAAAATGTCCATCAAAATGCTTGTTACCACTCTAGGGGCGGTATACCTTGCGCATGCCCACTATAATCATTTATGCCCTGATTTGATACTGACGAAACCCCAGGCTGATGGCCAATAGGGAATCAGTTGCACTCCTGAACAAGCTAATTATTTGGTCCTTTTTTTTACGTTCAGGTTTCATGAGGGATCGTAAGAAGGTCATTCTTGGCACCCAGCCAACCGTTCTCAAGACTTTCAAATCCCACGCTACGGTCAACGTCTTTGCTTGCTCCGACCGGCCGACGGTCATCTACAGCAGCAACCACAAACTGGTCTTCTCCAACGTCAACTTGAAGGAGGTCAGCTACATGTGCCCTTTGAACTCTGAAGGGTACCAGGACAGGTTGGTTCCCAGTAGTTCTTATGGATCCTTCCTGCCCGTCAAACAGTGTGCATTGACCAATTAGATCATGACTTTTGGTCAGGTGACCATGAAAGCTAGGTCAAACTCAGTCACAAACACTATAATAGGGTGCAGACCAGTAAATCGGTCCGAAATTGCCTGCGCCGGCCAAATCACGATTTGCATGCCCTCAATATCTTTGGTATTTGAGCATGCTGTGGGCCATGAACTTGAGGGTTTGTAGAAAAATATGGGTGGAAGCCGTGCACAGGACTGTGAGCTTGCAGTTCTGTGTAATTTCGATGTAATTTGGACCCTAAAAGCACTCTATTTTGCAATGGAGTGTAGGCATCGTTTTTCAAAATGGCGATGGGCTTCAGGACTATTTTCAGGGGTGATCATCTTCAGATGGAAATTTCTCCTAAACGTCATCAGTTGACCCCCCGAAAATTGTAAAGAAAATGAAAGATGATGAAATAAGCTTTAATTTGATGTGTGTCTCGAACACCTTGGGGAGTTGTGAGTATTTTTCCCGAATTTTTGAAGTGGGAGCATTTACCATTGGGGTCTATGGAAGTTTATTTACTGATCTGCTACCATAAGAAATGTTCACCAATGGATGGTGGGCGGGACATGTAGTACATCAGATAGGTGATGGGATTGTGCCTTTGATGACACAAGCATGGAATTTGTCACAGTCAGAGTATGTCATGAGAAAGATATTTGGCTATAGGGCCAACGCAGATTTTTCCTTTAAAAAAATATAGGTAGAATTACAAGCAGTGGCAGCCATTTTGAAATATTTAATTTTTTTACTTTTTGCATTTTCTGCTACGAGCAAAATTTGACATAAAAGTAATCAGATTGACTTCAAACTAGGCAAGGACAAAGACCCAAAGGTTAGGTTGGCTCTAGACAAATTATGTCATGGTGATGTCATCAATGGTCTCATGACGTCATCTCAAAGGTGTGTAGAGAGTTTATATCTAGAGGACTCTCAGTCGGATTGGGTCGGAATTTGGTGTGTACATAGACTGAGCCGTGTTACAGAAAAAGGGTGATGTCATGATGATGTCATGATGTGTCATGAGACATCATCTTAAAGGTGCACATTTAAAGTCCTACATCTGGAGAAGTACAAGAACAGCTTAGGGACCGTGACCATTCAGCCCCGGTATGAAAAGGGCCCCCCAATAAGCTCGTCCCCTCCCAAGAAGTCCTTTCGTACCGTCCCAGCTACTGGCCCAGGAGCTGGTCCGGTTGCTAATCAGGAACTCCTCTATCCTGGGGTCTATTGTTTGCAAGTATTGACACATGTAATATATCCCAAAAGAAACATGCTTGTGGTTTTCATCTCTCAGCGCGAAACAATAGAACACTTTCGTCGGCACAGATTAAAACCCCTGCCAAGCGGTTTCGCACACAATGGGACCGTAAATTAAAAAGGCGTTTGGAAGGATTTTATCTTTAATCCGGTAAATCTGCTATTGTTCTGCTCTGGACGTTCTCTGTAGGGCAATAAATTGATGCGCCTGACTGACTTCAAAACTTCTGGTCAGAAAGGACCGTGTACCGGACGAGACTGGGCTGAAGACCGGACTGGCTCTGGACCGGACGAGGTACCAGGGGGCCCTTTTCATACCAGGGCTGAATGGTCACGGTCCCTTAATAAGTCATGAAACTATGTTCTTGCATATAATTTTCCTGACTGCATATGGACGAAAACAAAACATAAACTCATAAAAAAACATAATGCGGAAAAGTAGATGTTCTGTTCATCGAACAGATATAGATCTAGTTATTATTATGGGAGGAGTCAGCCATGGATGTCCACGTAACATATCAGTCTCGTTTCCCTCTCTACCTAGTCTTGCTCTGGCCAACGACACCACTCTCATGATCGGCACCATCGACGAGATCCAGAAGCTCCACATCCGCACCGTTCCCCTCGGCGAATCGCCCCACCGCATCGCCTACCAAGAAGCCACGCAGACCTTTGGTGTCATCACGACGCGCACGGAGCTCAAAGACGCTACGGGTCACGGAACGATGCAAGTACGGCAGTCTGCCAGCACGACGGCACTGAATATGTCTAGCAGTACCAACAGTAAGAGCATGCCTGGCCAGAGTGGGGCTGAGGGGTCACACTTTGGTGAAGAAATTGATCTTCATTCGCTGCTTATCATTGACCAGCATACATTTGAAGGTGAGTTCCTGAAACACAAACTGTCACCAAAAAAATGGATTTTAAGCTATTAGTTCTTGTACCACACCAAACCTCCCTGCCTGTTAGTCCCTGTTCCACCCCACACCGACCTGCCTGTTACTCCCTGTACTGCCCCTACCACCTTCGCACTTTTTTCATGGATTCATAAGAAGTTAAGACCAACTTTTGGTTGGTATACTTCTGTATCAGGAATGCCGAGTTGCTCAAACAATAGAAATCTTGTCAGTGAGGTAACTTAAGAAATACTTTACTTAGGAACTACAAATTTGGTTTGTGGGTTGCTCTTGGTAGTCTTAAGAAGCCTATTACTTTTTGGGGCCGACAGGTCAAAGGTCAAGGTCACTATTGCTAAAACTATAGAAATCTTGTCAGTGTGGTAGCTTGGGAAATACTTTACTTAGGAACTTCAAATTTGGGTTTTGGGTTGCTCTTGGTAGTCTTACGAAGCCTATTGCTTTTGGGGCCAACAGGGCAAAGGTCAAGGTCACTACAGCGGAATGCCGCTATAACGAACATCGTGGAATCCACAGAAAATGTTAGTAATAGTGATCGTTCGGTAAAGCGAGTTTAAGCTGCTGGTGCTCCAGTACTCACTTTTAAATAATTAGCGCCCTTCATAACTTCACCCTGCATGCCCTGGTAGTTACTGAAAGATGACTTCGAACATGTGCCGACTACTGAATTATGTAATTACACAGTTTTGAGCTTACTACCTGCAGCAATGGGTGGCTTTCCCCTTCTATGCCTGGGGGAAATAATAGCCACTCGTCGCTCTTCTGTTGACGGTTTTAAACAACAATGTTCGGTTGTTTTTGTACACAAAAATCAGGAGCCAAGGACGATGTTCGGTATAGCCGAATGTTTGGTATAGCGGTGTTCGGAGTAGCGACGTTCCACTGTATTGCTCAAACAATAGAAATCTTGTCAGTGCCGTAACTTAAAAAATACTTTACTTTTAGGAACTTCAAATTTGGTTTGTGGGTTGCTCTTGGTAGTCTTAAGAAGCCTATTGCTTTTGGGGCCGACAGGTCAAAGGTCAAGGTCACTATTGCGCAAACAATAGAAATCGTCCATTTTAGTTAGGTACATGTACACTGACAAGTGCCGGTCTGATAAACTGACAGTATAAAAACTGCCAGCATGCCAGGGGGATTGGGCAAGTTTAATTTGCAGTATTTTTGAATTTATATTTTGATGGTGAAAACCGTTTTTCCTTTTCCCTGTTTTATTTTCATTCTTTGACAGTTCTACATGCGCATCACTTTGTTCCCTATGAGTACGCCACCAGCATCGTATCCAGTAAACTTGGTAACGACCCCACGACCTATTACATTATCGGCACCGCCATGGTTTACCCAGAGGAGGCGGAGCCTAAAAAGGGGCGGATTGTAGTGTTCCAATACAGCGATGGTATGTTTCCTAAAAATACTGTAAAATTGTGACACGTATGGAACACCAAAGCTGCCTTCATCATTGTTTTTGGCAAATTCATCATTCCAGTCGGCAAATTCATTGATCTGTTCGGCAAATTCATCTTTCCAATCGGCAAATTCATCAATCTGTTTGGCAAATTCATCGTTCCTTTTGGCAAATTCATGATTTCTTCTGGCAAATTCATCAATCTGTTTGGCAAATTCATCTTTCCATGCGGCAAATTCAGCATTCCTTCGGCAATCAATCAGTCTTTTTTGAGGAGCGAATTCATGTCATTTGGCAAATTTGTTGTTGCATTCGACAAATTCATCATTCCTTTTGGTGAAGTTTTGTAAAGTACAGTCAGTCATTTTACCATTTTCTTACCAAATGGAATGCTGAATTTGCTGGAAGGAATGATGAATTTGCCGCATGGAATGATGAGTCTTATGAAGCAAGTGATAACGTTGACTGTGCAACCAGGTCATATCTCCTAAAAGGGGCGTATGTGAAATGCGAGTTTCAGAATGTCAAAGGTCGTATCTCACTTAAAATTACCTGGATGTACACACAATGTCAATGGACGTCGAGATACGACCTTGTTACACGGAGTGTATTCGCGCGAGATACGATTTTGTTGCAGAAGGAGTTATGACCTTAATGCACTGACGCGACCATATGACCCATTGAAGGCAGCTTTGGTGTTCCATAGTTACGTGATCCACCATGTTATATATACTTTTGCTCACTTGGGTAGTATTGAGTTAATACCCCTTCTATGCAAGCATAGATCCTGTGCAAAGTTGTTCTTTCAGTCAAAAGCAATCAAGTGACTGCTTTTAACAGTTACGAGCTCCTAGCCTACATAAAGCAGAATTGACTGGTTTTGATGTAACTTGATACAGCTATGCTTTGACTGTAGGTGATTGATGAGCCAGCTGTGCCTACCACTTGCCTACTTTTGTCTGTTGACTGAACTTGACTAGTCACAGTGCTTGCTTGAAATATGATCCAATTGTTGGTGACTAGCCTGTGTAAAAAGGCATGGCAGTGAAGAGGATTGATTTTTTTTGGACTGTCTGTGACTGTTCAGACAGCAGGAGGGGTAATCTGATTTTGATTTCTGATTCTCTACCTCCCAGGAAAACTGCAAGAAGTGACAGAGAAAGAAATCAAGGGTGCAGCGTACTCCATACTGGAGTTTAATGGCAAACTGCTGACTTCCATCAACAGTGTGGTAAATAACACTCGGGTTCAGCTTCAGAGATTTTACAGAGACGGCAGCCGAATGCCCTGGCTACAGCTTGCCATTACCCATGTGCTATAGGAGCAGCAGAATCCACTTCCCATAGGACATGTGTGTTATGGTCGGCCATGGTCAAGTAAACAGGGCTCCAACAGTCATGGAAACGATCCTGGAAAAACCTGGAATTTAAAGCTATCATGGAAAGTCATGGAAAAGTCATGGAATTTTGTCATTTTCATACAAAGAGTCATGAGAAGGGGCTATACCATTGTGATGCGTTTGTGGTAATTATAATGTGGTGCTTTGTATATAGCGCTTTATACCTGAGGTTTCAAGCGCTTTACATTTATTAGCCTTGATCATCAGGGGCCAATTTCACGGCGCTGCTAAGCACAAACATTTGCTTAACACAAAAAAAGTCTGGCTTATAAAAACAGGTAACTGGCCAAAACTCCATGTGATGTATATTGCTCGTGATTAGTATTCAGCTGTTGTTTGCTTAGCATGAGAATCGCATGGAGTTTTGGCTGGTAACCTGCTTTTACAAGCCAGACTTTTTTCGTGCTAAGCTAATTTTTGTGCTTAGCAGCGCCGTGAAATTGGGCCCAGGAATGAGACCATTTTTCTGCAACAGGTCGAGATCAGCGCAATTTGGTCTCTACCTTCACAGATACTCATTTATACTCCTGGGTGGAGAGAGACAATCATAGTAAAGTGCCTTGCCCAAGAACACGAGCACCATATTACCTGTCAGGGTTCGAACCCACGTACCACTGCACATGAGTCAAACACAAGGCTCAGTGGTGCTCAGCGAGTCTTGTCTCAAACTGGAAGGCTGAGAGGGAGTGGCGTCTCTTGCCTCTAGAGCAATATGCTCCTAGATGCCAAAACAGCACGGGGAATTTGTCACGGAAAGCCCTCTTTTTGTCCTAGAAAAGTTAAGGAATTTCATTTTAAGATTTCGATGGGAGCCCTGTGTCATTTGTATAATGGTAGAAATAAAACAGAACAGTTGAGTGTACATGTATGTATTTTGCAAGATAAAATGAAACATCTGTTTACATTTTTAGGTTCGGCTTTTTGAGTGGACACCAGAGAAAGAACTTCGGGTGGAATGTAGTCACTATAACAACATCCTTGCCTTGCATCTCAAGACCAAAGGAGATTTTGTATTAGTTGGAGATTTAATGAGATCGATCACACTTCTGGCTTATAAGCCCATGGAGGGGTGTTTAGAGGAGGTAGGTTGAATTTAGAATATATCCTGCTTTATTTGAGCAATATATGGCAACTTCCAGAGCATACAATTGATCACTGTTATGTATAATTGAACTTGAATCAAGGAGATGTAAATTCAGTGTTGGTTTTTTACGCTTGAAATTCAAACCAAGCAGCCAATGGTCCAATGGATACGGTGTTTGACTCGTGTGCCGTGGTACATGGGTTCGAATCCTGACCGTGGGAACATGGTGCTTGTGCTCTTGAGCAAGGCACTTAACCATTATTGCTTCGTCCTTCGGATGAGACGTTAAGCCGTAGGTCCCGTGTGTTGTGTAATGCACGTTAAAGAACCCAGTAACACTTGTCGCTAAGAGGAGGGGTTTGCCCCGGTGTTTCTGGCAGTGGCAGCAATTATGCGCCGCAGCACCTAGCAAAAAGGTGCTACATAATGGGTCTCATATGTTCATATACTTCATTTACCTGGCTTTGGTTGCATTCTCCCCCAGCGCTTTGTATTCTCTGGCAAAAAGCACTATATAAATACAGTTATTATTATTATTATTTAAATCTGGAAAGTTCAGAGGTCGAATTATAAGACATGTGCACTGAGCAGGAGGTAGTGGGTTTGAGTTCCGAGTCCTACCCGAGTATTGAATGTTTTCTTGCAAGCCCTCGGCAGTACTGAGTATACAATCCTTTTGAAATCACCTTGTAAAGGACAAAGCATTTATTAAATCAGCATACCACTGTGTTGGCTGTCTGCCAAGTCTTCAAAATGTTGGACCTTGTGTTACTTGCCATAAGCCCAATAACTGTACATGTTGTGTAGCCAGTGATCATGAATAAGAGTATGAAAATAATCCGGGAAATTATCAAGTGAAAGATTGCATGCTTTTAGAAATTGTTATAAAGATTTTGAAGATTTCATCCACTTTATTTTTCTCTTCCCATTTTGGCATTTTGGTGCTCAGATCGCCAGAGATTATAATCCCAACTGGATGTCAGCTGTTGAAATCCTGGATGATGACACCTTCCTCGGGGCTGAGAATTCATTCAATTTATTCACGTGTCAGAAAGACAGGTGCGTTTAACAAATTCGGAGTTGTTATGACTCCAGTCAATGACTCAACTTGGGCGCAGTGGCGGATCCAGGGGGGGGGGGGGCCAAAGGGGGCCATGGCCCCCCCCCCCAAAAAAAACGAAACCATGAGTACACCACCATCTTTTCCTCAAAAAAAATTGTTTAAAGTGGTCAGAAATTGCCTCAGATCGCACCACAGAGCATCTAGAATCCAAAAAAATTTTCGACCCACTCTTTGGGGGACCAAATTTTTTTTGGGCCCCCCCAAAAATTGTGTTCTGGATCCGCCCTTGCTTGGGCAACTCAAATTGAGTCTAGTTTGTATCCAAGACTGGATTTGCTTTTATTCTCCTAATACAGATCAGTTCCTCACAAGCGCAGTAAAGCTTCTGCAGCTGTAGAGGCGACTATAAACAAGATGAATCAAATCCAGTCTTAGGGACTTAGGCAGCACTACCCATGGAATTCTGAGCACACCTCACAAGCATGTAATAGCCTGAATACGGCGGGCATGAGGTATGCTCTGAATATCCTTGAATAATGGGTGATACTCTGGCTAGGAGCCAGGTTGGGATGCGAGGCAATCATCCCCGATTGGCTCCCACAGGAAAACACACATGAAAACAAAGCGTGACATCTTTATGTCTTGGGTCCATTGAATCAAGACTATAAAAAACTTACCAAGATTCCATGTTCATGGATTTGACTTACCTGATATAACATCATATCTTGAATGTTCCCTCGCAGTGCTGCCACAACGGACGAAGAGAGACAACATCTACAGGAAGTTGGTTTGTTTCATCTTGGCGAGTTTGTCAACGTCTTCAGACATGGCTCCCTCGTCATGCAGAACATCGGGGAGAGTACCATACCGACGCATGGCAGTGTTCTGTTTGGGACAGTCAATGGAACCGTTGGTAAGTATGACTATTATAATACAGTCTGTATCAAGTACAGTTTTGGAATATTGTTTGTTGAACATATGACTGGTTGTGTCCGGGATTGAATTTCATTCAGAATACCTGAGATTTTGCTAAAAAAAAATGTTACCTGACCAAAACAATTTTTCACTTCAAAAAAATCTGTATAAAATCAAATGACGACGTCATCATGACATCATGAACTTTTTTTAGTTAGACACGTTCCTGTCAATGTACATCTTAAGTTTGAACACAATCAAACTTGCAGTTTTCTTAATATGGCATTAGATAATGCAAATCAAGTGACACGTCATTTCGTTTAAGACATACTTTACTTTGGGGTCTTTGTCTGTGCCTGGTTTAAAGTCAATCTAATTATGTCAAATTTTACTAATAAAAAAACAACAACTAAAAAGTAAAAAAAAAGAAAAAAAAAAGCAAGAAGATCAGTTGATGATGTCATCAGGACATCATTTCGGATTTTGCATACTAATACACTACCTACCCATCAAGTTTCATGGCAATCGAGCCTACCCTTATACTATGCTTAACCCTTTCTTTACCATGGGCGACTTTTGTCGACAAGAAGAACCCCCCTGCTGGTTCCCATGGGCGACTTTAGTCGACCAGGAACCACACACAGAACACCCTCAACACAGATATATTCACTACTTTTCAGAAAGGCGGCATGTTGATGTGTTTGGCTGTCCATACAACAACCATATACCAGCTGAAAGAGCGTTTTCGGATCGTTCTAATGGTGTAGTGTATTCATAGTGTTGCCATTACAAAAAGATGAGAAAAGTGCTTCAAAAGTATCCACACACACATATTGAGGTATGGAGTGCCATTTGGTCATGTGGTGAAATGGCTTGCAGTTTGATAAATGGAACCAGATGAACAAACAGGCATACTTCATTTTTACATCACATACAAGAGTAAGGTTCAAGGAACAAACTTTACACACAACACATATGATTTAAATCACTCCTTGGCAGTGAAAATCTGGGTTGAAAAAAGCGAGTTTTGGACTTGTGGTCATTTTGTTCACGCTCTAGTGATTTCCGCATGACTGAGCAAACAGTTTGGTCCTGGGGAGAGCCAGGTCAATAAACAATGTGGTATTGAAAGGGTTAAAAGCCCCCAAACATATGTTTTACGTAGGCCTTTTTGTGTCTGTTTTGCAGGTCTGGTAACCCAGCTCTCGGAGGAGTTTTACAACTTCTTGCTGGTGGTTCAGAGCAAGCTGACTAGAGTCATCAAGAGTGTCGGCAAGATTGAGCACTCATTATATCCTTTGATACCAAGAACGTTTTTAATTTATAAGTTGAATAAAGAAATTGACTGGAGCGGGGTTTGAACCTACGACCTCCGGATTGCCGTTCCAGTGCTCTACCAACTGAGCTACCCAGCCCTATGTCGGCGGTTCCCTAGTTGTCAGTATCTTTGTTCAAGTGTGTGAAAGTGGGAAGCAATAAACCTGCAAATACAATGTAGCCACGGATCATACCCTAAGTCACGATGCTAGCAACATTAATGCTGCAAACCTGGGAAATAGCACAGATTTCAAATACTCAAATAAACCACAAGGGAAACTGACTAGGTGCATAATTCAACTTAAACAAAGAAATTGACTGGAGAGGGGTTCGAACCTCTGGGATATTGTACCAACGCAAATTTTTTTTGTAACAAGATCCTGGAAACTTGTTCATCAAAGGTTCAACATTTCTATATGGTTGACAGTTTTATATAATTTGTATTACCATATCAACAAGTACATAACTTAGTACATAACTTTTGCAATAATTAAAGTATTTTTCTTGACCGCTACTCACCTGGAGGTCATTCTACACCGATCGTAAGACAGAAACGGCAGAGAATTTCATCGACGGTGACTTGATTGAAAGCTTTCTGGATCTAAACAAAGACAAGATGGAAGAAGTTGTACAAGGATTACAGGTACAATTATACCTCCACCAAGATGAAATTTAGTTTTTGAAATTTCAAGTTGGATACAAATATTTCAAAAATGTGAGCAGTCTCGAAGAGATGATGAAAAACTTTCACGATGTTATTTTTAATCATATTCATAATGTACATGTAAGTTGCAAGCAAGGCAACTCACGAACCACTGACCTGTATTCCAAACCCACAGACACCCACCAGTACCTCCACTCCTCCAGCTGTCACCCCAGGCACTGCAAAACTGGCATAGCGTTTAGCCAGGCACTCGGACTCAGAAGAATTTGTTCTAATGATTCCGATTTCTCCCGCCATACACAGATACTGAGGAACAACTTGGTGGCCAGGGGTCACAGCTCTCGCCAAGTTCATCGTGCCATTGCCAGAGCTAAAGCTATCCCCAGAAATCTAGCTCTCACGGGAAAGGCCCCTGATGCCATGGCCAAACCCATGATTCCCTTGGTTACCACGTAGGGTGCTCATGAATGTGAACCCAGGAATCCCAGGTTCGCGAAAGGCACATTTGACTGGTCTTGGTCCAGTAATGTATTCTCCTATTTTACCTTATACATGTACATGTAATTGTTATTTTTCGTTGAACCTCATATCAACAGATCAACGACGGCGACATGAAACGAGACGCTACCGTCAACGACCTCATCAAGATTGTGGAAGAGCTGACGAGGATACACTGAGCAAGGTAACTGACGATCTGTACACCAAGTAGGTTTATTCTAGACTGAAAAATCGTTGAATCTTGTACAGACTAAAACACTGTTAATGTAATAAAATAACTTACCTGCTTGGAAGGGAGGGACACGAGTACTCACTTGTTGGCTCTGTCTCAGTGGCAGGCAAAAATAGGCGGTTTTTGCAGGCAGGTTCACAATTCTCAGTGCAACAAGTTCGTAACTCTATTCTGCAACAAAGTTGTATCTCACGCGAATACGCTCCATGCAACAAGGTCATATCTTGCGTACCTCGACGTCCATTGACTTTGAGTGTATATCCGGGTTATTTCAAGCCAGATACCCTTTGACATTGAAAACTCGCGTTTCACGTACATGACGTCACACACAATTTTAGGAGATACGACCTTGGTTAGAAAAGAAAAAATAAAGGAATCCTTCATGTTCAGAGTGAAAGCTACAGTCAGCGCCGAGGCACTGTCCCATCTTCCATGTCTTCAGGTCTTATTTATTCTAAATATCTGAGAAATTTCAACTAGAAAATGTTCACCTAAATCGCCTGTGCACATTCTACGGTGAAAATGGCGGGCGAGACACTGTTTGGACACATCACTAGCCTGCTAAAATAAATGCCTCCTCATCAACAAGATGAGGAAACAAAATCATGCATGTACATAAACTAAAAGTGAAATTCACACTCAGCGTTTTAAATCAATTAACTTAAGAATTGAGGTTGGTTATTCAGTTCTGGGCAAAACTAAAAAAAATCAGGGTTTCCAGCACTTGATGAAAACAAAATTCCCTGAGCTTTTCCTGATGTATCCCTGGGAAATTTGCAAAATAATTTCCAGCAGAAATATTGTTTGTGCTAACGAGGATGTTGGGACGTCTAGAGGTGGTTGCAGCAAAGCAACTAAGATACTTATTAATACACGGGCAACTTGTTGACAAGCGATGGCCTCCCTTCTCCCCTTATAGCCATCCTTTCCTCACCATATGCAACAGAGACGCACGTATGCAAATCTGGCAAAAACCTTTCACTTAGGCCAACAAAAAAAAAGTCTCCGGTTTCTGGTATGGAGCTTGCCCAAAAAATGGTGCGGCGACGCAGCTTTTTAATTTTTTTACCTGTTTTTTTTTGCTTCAAATGTCGGCTGATGACTGCAAATGGTGCCCGACTAAACTTAGTGCAAATATAATGGGAATCCAGAGAGGCCACATAAAGCTTATTCTCGATCATGACCCCATCTAAAAACACGTTAAAACTGTGCAGCAGCAGGATTCCAGTCAAACCAGTGAGTTTGGCGGCTTTGAGACATCATCTTTTATTGAAAAAAAACCTTTTGTATTTTGCCGACGCACATGGCTATGGCGACGCGCGCGCATACCAGAAACCGGAGATTTTTTTTTTTGGCCTTATGGGTCACAGTCAAATTCCATGAGTTTTCCCGGATTTTTGGTGTTTTTTTTTCACAAATTTTCTGAGTTTTTCCTCACTGGAAAAAATAAGGAAAATTTGCTTGTCAGGTTTCCCCTGATTTCCAGAGACGCTAGGAACCCTGAAAACAAGCATAAATTACAAAAGGAATCTGGGTAAAACGGCAAGCCTTTGTGTGATTTATAGTTGTTAAAATTGCCTTAATGCTTGTCAAGTACTGTCAAAGTTTTCAGCGTAACAGACATATAGATTGATCAAAGGAGTATCAATGTGTGTTGAAACCTGTGGTTCTAATTTACAATTTTGAAATTGTTATATTACTGTACTCTTTAGGCGGTTGATTTGTTCAATTAAATACATCTAGATACTTACCAAAACACACTTGAACACTTTCTTGCTTTGGAAATATGTTTTTCAATGCAAATGGCAAACGTTGTAAATCTTATAAATCTGCAAAATCTCCAAAAAAAAACAAAACAAGCTTACTAGCTTAAGAACTGTTTTAACATGTTTTGTTTGTAAGTTGATAACTCAAGTGAAATACTCTGCAGGTGGGAAATCCTGGTAACAAAAGTTCAGTTCAACAGTTTTGGTTAACCAACCAGTTTCATATACATGTGGAAAGCTAATCCTACTTAGGTAGCCATGGTAGGTTAAGCTTGGTTTTTACCCTGGTAATTTAGATCTAACTTTTGTTAGTTAACCAGAGATTAGTTAAACTTCTCAGTTAATCATGGTTAGACATCAATGTTCAGATAAAACTGTTTAAAAAAAATCTGTTTCACTTTTCCTTGTTTGATAATCCGCAGTCACAACTATGAAATAACTAAACCAAATTGGACCTGTATTTTGGAAACATGCCTGCTTGTAAAAATAAAAAAAATTAATAAATGTGTACGCAGAGGCCAGTTTCGAGTTCCATGAAGATCGTTTGTAAATACCACCATTTGTCTGTTTTTATATAATTAAAGTGATTGTTTTGTTCTAAAAGTTTAGTTTGTTAGGTTTCAAGTGTAAGAAAAATAAATAATGAAAATGTTTAAAGAACTCTCTGGTCCACGTTTATTTATAATTTTCTTTAATAAGTCTAACAACCCGGCCATATCCAGAAAGACAACCTAGCTGACAGAAATTCACTAATTTACTCAGCATGGTGGTAGTAGGTAGTACTTTCCATAGCAAGCGGTTGGTGATATCTCTGGGTGCTAGGGGGCTTTGCACCCCTTGATGTACCCCTGGGGTTACCCCTGGTACCCCCATGAGGGGTGCCACGGGTGCTGGGGTATACATGTAGGCTGGATGATCGCCCTCTTGCTTGGTACACTCTTGTTGGCTGTAACAATGACCAAAAATCAGCAACTCTCTCTCATGTGGAGAACATGAAAATCAATATTCATTCATTGCTTTTTATACCCAAGTGATTTATTGCTGCTTTATGAGATTTGATCCAAGAGTTGTAACAAGTCACTGATTTTTGTGACTCGAGTCATTTTAAAGAAGTCACTCGAGTCGAGTCGAGTCATTAGGTCAAGAAGGTCGAGTCGAGTCCTGTCGAGTCACAGTGTGTAGTCGAGTCAAGTATTTAGGTCGAGTCAAGTATTTAGCTCGAGTCAATTCGAGTCACAAATATTTGAACAGTATACAATAACTAAACATGAGAGAAAGTCATTTTTTGGCTTTTTAAATTTTACATTCGGGCTACTACATGTGGTGACACCACATTTGACTCTAAATGAAAATAAATAGGGGGTGCCAGCTGATCGCCATTCAACTAATGGGGACACTGATCAGACCATGTATGTATATGAACATTATTCACGAACATTCTGACGTTCAAATATTTTTTCCGCAAATTTTTGTTCCAGTGCAGACATTTGTATTGATGAGATCTTACTGGGATTCACTTACCGCATTTGTGTCGGGGATCTTGCGTTTGAGTTGCCTGCCGGTACTCGGCACTTGCCTGGTGCCCGTGTTGCGGACCAGCGTTCCCATCAGGCTCTTGTGTAGCTGCGATTTGTTCATCAGTGGGTTGTAAAGGTCACTGACCTCCAGCTGAGCCGGGTCAAATATTACATGTAGAACGTAGAGTTATATTTTTTTTAAAAGTACAGAGCGCACTCCCCATTCCACGCGCACACGTGGATGTGCCGACATGGACACGAACTCTCATTTCGACCTCTGCCAAGTTTTTCATTTGTGACCTGTTCTGTCAAAATCAGACTTTTCTGGGCATAAGGTCAAAAATGAGATTTTTGCATATTGTTAAAATATGTTTTTTTTTCCTTTTAATCGGTGGTTTAATTTTTGAAACCGGTCATTCCTGGGCAGAGTTATGCTATTTTGAAGGTCATTGTGTCAAAAAGTAGAAAACGGAGAAAAATGGCCACGAACGTCACAAAAGTTTCTTTAACTGATATGTACCTAAACAAATCATCAAAAAATACTATATTTTAAAGTCAAATTAGGGTTTCGAACTTTTATAGTGTATTTTAGACATGTTCAGAATTACAAATATGCAAACATTTGAAAATGGAAATGTTTGAGAAATAACATCGACCGCGTTTTTGGCGCTATCTCAATTTCAACCTCTGCCCAGAAGCATCTGCTTTTGACAGAACAGGTCACATTTTGTCAGAACGCCTCACAAACATTATGTCAAAATAAAACAAAATGACATGTACATGTAGCTCAATGCCAAAATTAACACAAGTCTCCCAAAGAAAACAAGATCATTCATACGCATACCCTTTCTAAATGAGCTCCAATCTTCTCCACGTAATCGGAGACTGGTAGGTCCTCGCGCCGTGAGCAGTCTGCGGGCAACATGAGCTCCTTGACCGCGATGGGCTTGAGGAGGAGGGACAGGGTTGGGGATGGGAGGAGGACAAAGTGGCCGTAGGGTCTTGGGGCCATGAACCCGGAAGGAGTAACATCATCGTCTAGTCTGGCTACCAAGGCCAAATTCTGGAATGACCACAACAAATTCAAGGCAGTAGTATCATTTGCTACTTGTGCATTTTTTTTTCATTTAAATTTTTCATGGGGCGCTGTGGTCCAATGGTTAGGATGTTTGACTTGTGTGCCGTGGTACATGGGTTCGAATCCTGACCATGGGAACATGGTGCTTGTGCTCTTGAGCAAGGCACTTTACCATTATTGCTTCGTCCTTAGGATGGGACGTAAAGCCGTAGGTCCCGTGTGTTGTGTAATGTACGTTAATGATCCCAGTATACACTTGTCATTAAGAGAAGGGGTTTGCCCCGGTGTTTCTGGCAGTGGCAGCAATATGCGCCGCAGCACCTAGCAAAAAGGTGCTACATAATGTGTCTCATATGTTCATATACTTCATTTACCTGTCTGTGGTTGCATTCTTCCCCAGCGCTTTGTATCCTTTGGAAAAGGCGCTATATAAATACGGTTATTATTATTATTTGTAACAGTGCTTAAAATCTTATACATCCATTACATTGTACATTTATGCATAGTTTGGGAACTTGGGGGAATTTGTTGGAAAAATCAGGAACTTTTCGTAACTCAGACTTCCGATACCTCAAAATATTTATCCATTCCATAGAGATTTGACTTATCAAGATTTCACTGTAGGTGCATGAAACAGTTAGCCTGTTGGATGTTTCAGCTCAGTGGAAACCATACATTTTGAGAAAACAGCGAAAACATATGCACATGTTTGGGGTCCCATAACTGGATTCATTAAATCACTAGGTACCTTTCCAGGTAGTTAAAGGGAATGTACAACATTTGCTTTTGCTGCAATTTTCAGAAATAAATGGATTTGGAGGATTAGTACATGTATGTTATATAACATATTGTTAAACTGACTTGTTTCATGTTTTGGGCTTGTAGATGCTGGAAAAACCAAGAAAACCTATCATGTTCTTCTAGTCTGGTTCCCTGACCCCACTTAAGATGAAACGAAGCAATTAATACACTTTGGGGAATTGTAAGGTCAGAGAATCAGTCTAGCAGGCTTGTACCCCTTCACAGGAGTGTGATCAATTGCAAAGAAAAGTCAGAATAACTAAATATGAAAAATTAAGAACAGTTTTTGAAAAAAAGCCAGTTTTCTCCAACGCTGGTCGGCCGACCAGCGTTGAAAAAATGCAGTTTTTCTTGAAAATGTCAGCCAACCAGGAGCCACGATTTTAAAGGATGCTTTAGACTGTCAATCCCTAACAATTCAGTACGGTATTTCGTGATAATTTGATCTTTTTCATTTTTTGATGTTTGCAAATGTTGTATTTTCCCTTTAAACATGATTCTAGAGCTATTTGGCTTTAGAGTGTAACAACCGATTTCACTTTTCATAGTGTAAAAAAAGTGTCTAAGTTGAGATACCGGTACAACAGATTATAAATGGCAAGGTGTTTTTCACCCATTCCAATGTGATTTACACAGTTAATGAAAATACCCATTGCATAAAAAATGCATGATTGGGTTGTACAAAATCTCTTTTACTTTCATGTGTTAATATAAAAATTAACAGGTTGAAGTGCTAGCTTCCTGTGTTAGGCCAAAAAAAAAAAATAGTCGGTCTCTGGTCAGACCAAAGTTCGGAATTGACGCGGGGATGTGGCTTTTTTTTTTTTTTTCCAAGCTTGGATTGTACAGACAAGGTGGGGTACTATTTTGCTTTTTTTGGTGTCCTCATGTACACTGGTGTCCTCCATAATTTGCCTTGGTGCTCTCGATCATTTGCCTTGGTGCAATTTCCCATTCCTTGGTGCTCTTTGGTAAAAAAAAGTGAGGAGGTGCGGCAATAGAGGGCACTGTTGGAGCTACCGCGGAACATTTTGGGAAAAAAGATTGACGCGCATGATTAAAATCGACGCGCGCGCTGACCAGAGACCGACTTATTTTTTTTTGGCCTTACCTATGGCAAATGACTACTAATTAAAAGCTTCATAAGTCTTGATAAAATGTTAAAACGAAAACAAGCAATTCATTTTGATGAGGTAATTTTTGGCGTCGATCAATGCACCATAATCATTGTACCTTTTCGTGCAGCAAGTGGCACAGTGCGTGGAAGTGCTGCTGGTTGGATTCCAACTCGTCCCAATCCAGCTTCCAACAGGAGGTCGGTCTGACAAGCAGCGGCATCCCAAAAACCTACAAATGATGTCATTGTAGTGCAAACTAAACATAACTTCGGGCCCTTCTACGCTATAAGGACTAAGCCTATGCTGACTTTGAACGATGTATGACAAAGATGAATTGCAAAAGTGAGGGGCTGAATTGACGTGCACAATGTCTATGGGATTTGCCAGGAAATAAAAAGAAAAAAAAAAAAAAATGAGAACAAAAAGAAAAGCTTTTCCGCAACTAAGCTGAAAAGCCAAAACAAAATTAGAACAAAAACAAAGGCTTTTCCGCAACTATGCGGAAAAGTCAATAATAATACAATTGTTCACGGTTCCCAGCATTTTATGAAAACAAAAGTCACCAAGTTTTCCCTGACATTTCCCTGGAAAATTTCCAAAATAATTTGGGGAAATATTTTCACTATACGAGGTTGTCATATCACACTGCGTAAACACTAAAAAGCCACCCTAGCCGGTCAGTCGATGGCCATAACTTGGACACAAGATGCACATACGCCAAACTGGCGAAAACCAGTTTCCCTTCAGGGTGATCACTGTCAAATTCTCTTGAGTTTTCCCTGATTTTTGGTGTGTTTTCCCAAATTCCTTGAGTTTTCCCTGACTGGAAAAATGGAATCTCATTTTCAAGGTTGTTCCTGATGTTCAGAGTGGTTGGGAGCCTTGCGGTCTTAGGAATTCCGTTGACAACAGCACACACAAGTGCTGTTGGTTGGTTTCTATCCTAGCTCGAGTCACTAGCTGAAATTATCTACTATCTGTTGCTCTTTAGAATGCCATGGTCCAGTGGTTACGGCGTTTGACTCTTGTACGATGGCACGTGGGTTCGAACCCTAGCAGGAACATGGTGTTTGAGCCCTTGGGCAAGACACTTAACTATAATTTGGGCGATTCACAATGCAGTGCGTCACCAAGAGTTTGCCAAGGAGAGTTAATTTTTTCCAGTGCATTTGTGGGAGATGATCGACAAATTTGCAGCACGTGACATTTGAAATTGTTAGTTTTTCCATTCAGTAGTTTCCTAAGTGTATGATTCAAGTATCTGTTTGCCCTTTTTAAAATTTTATCAATATGGTGTTTTTTTGTAAGGCGGCCGGCAGAACGCTATATGCCCAATCTATAACAAATTAGCTCAAGTTGTCTACTGACACCATTGATCTCCATTAGTAAGATGGGCCATGTTTTGTTGACCGTAAACTTGAAAAATGGACTCTCCACGGCAAACTGTTGGTGGCCCACTACATCGTGAATCTCCTGAATTGTCTCTCTCCACCCAGGAGTATGAATGGGTACCTGTGAGGGTAAAGGACCAAATGCGAGCTGATATCAGCTGTTGCGTGGTCTCGTAGCCTGATGAATGGGGAAATAATTGTGAAGCGCTTTGAGATTGTTGATACGATGGAAAGTGCAATATAAGCATTACAATGTATTTATGTTTGTCTTGATTCTTACCCCGAAAAATGTCTACTTACAATTGAATCACATATCCCCGCCACTTGTGCCATTTGGATTGTACGGAGCGTGATGATTGGTGCTGTGCTGGAGGTGGCTTTGCTGGAGGGTACCGGATTGGTGACTGGTTTGCCCGGAACAACACTCCCATGGATATCCTGCACACACACATGGGAGTTTAGTCAACATGCTGGGATTCGAACCTGTAACCTCTTATTTGCAAGCATAGAAATTTTAACAACTAGTTGTTTAAGATAAAGGTCAAGATTCCCACTCAATAATATTCACTACTAACTTTATAAGTGACCGGCTCCACAAAAAGGGTATCATGTCGCAGAAAAGTGAAATTGATAAATATACATGGTTGGAAAGCCGACAATGTAAGCTTTTATTTGGTATAACATGTAATAGAGCTCCATTGCCCCTCCAGTTCTGGAGATATGACGTATCTGCACAGTTCAAATTACACAACTGAGAAAACAGGCTTTGAAATAGATGGCTTTGTTGAACAGAATGATACGCACAAAATGGTTGTTTTGTTTCCACTTTCTTCATCAAAATCAACATTTCTGTGAATGAAACCTGAAACTGTAGGTATTAAAGATGTCTTTTGTGACAAAAGATGAAAATCACATTTTGACAAAATTTTCTCCCTCTCAATGTTGAGCGGGCCATTACACAATAATGCTCAGCGCAACTTAATACCCTTTTTGTGGAGCCAGTCACATACATTGTAGGCCCTATGTCAAAGTAGTTAATTTTCATGACTTTGCTTGGATTCGAACCTGCACCAACTTAAGTAAAGAAATGCCAACATTCATTCCATTTGTAAAAAGGTAGATGGCAAGATTTCATGCTCAATCGTCCACATTTTACTGAGGTGGAGTTTGTAACTTCTGTTTGAAAACTGTGTTGCATATGAAACTTGTGAGTACATTTGGGAGCACCGCTTCTGCTGCGGAAACTTGTTTATTAAGAAAACTTACAAATTGTGTTTGGAAAGGAAACAGGGACGGGTTGAGGAAGCGTTCTTGGAGGTCACATTTCAGCGTCAACCAATCGTCTCCAATAGCTGCAGAAAAAAAATGGTAGTTCCTCAGAAAGCAGGGATGTATTCTAAAATTGAACAGTGCAAATTGCACAATTTTGAGATCTTGTTTTGTTGTGCATTGTTTGCATTGCTCCTTGGTGCACCCTTTTGACTTGTATAGGGCTCGTTCAATGAAGGCCATCTCTGTAGGATAACTGCAACTGCGTAGTGTACGCAATCAAGCACGCACTGCGCAGTGTTGAAAATGTTCCAAACACGCGCTTGTTGCTCGAAATGTGTTCGCTATACGACGCAGCCGATGCGCGTTGTGCAAGTTGACGCTCAAAATGCCGATGCACGTGGATGGTCTGTAGGAAATGACATCATTTGAACGAGACATATAGCTGGTGGAACACTTGCCTCCTCTATTTAAGCCCCACCCGTTTTTAGGGACTGGTTTTCTCCATTATGCCTGTAAGCAGTATCGCAAAAACTTAGAATTTAAGATATGACTTATGATGGACCTTATAATATGACTTGTGATGGACTTTCTGATTTGACTTGAAATTTAGCTAAATAATTACATTTGTGATGGACCTTATGATTTGACTGGTGATGGACCTAATGATTCTGTGATGGACCTTATGACTTGATTTGTGATGGACCTTATGATTTAACTGATAACGGTACTTATGATTTGACTTGTGATGTACCTTATGATTTGTGATTTGACCTTTTGATTTGACTTGTGATGGACCTTATGATTTGACTTGTGATGGACCTTATGATTTGACTTGTGATGGACCTTATGATTTGACTTGTGATGGACCTTATGATTGGACTTGTGATGGACCTTATGATTTGACTTGTGATGGACCTTATGATTTGACTTGTGATGGACCTTATGATTTGACTTGTGATGGACCTTATGATTTGACTTGTGATGGCCCTTATGATTTGACTTGTGATGGACCTTATGATTTGACTTGTGATGGACCTTATGATTTGGCTTGTGATGGACCTTACGATTTGACTTGTGATGGACCTTACGATTTGACTTGTGATAGACCTTATGATTTGACTTGTGATGGACCTTATGGTTTGACTTATGACGGACCTTCTGATTTGACTTGTCATTTGACTTATGATAGATCTTATGATTTGACTTGTGATGAACCTTATGATTTGACTTGAAATTTAGCTAAATAATTACATTTGTGATGGACCTTATGATGTGACTGGTCCTTATGATATTGTGATGGACCTTATGACTTGACTTGTGATGGACCTTATGATTTGTGATTCGACCATATGAAAGGACTTGTGACTACAACTTTTAGTAATCGGTCCATACTGGGCCTTTATAATTTAAACTCTTCACTGAGTGATTCCACTTCACAGCACTAATCAGTTTTTTGCAGCGTCCGTTATTTACGACATACTTGTTGGAGGAAGTCGGAGGTGAAGATGTTCTCGATCCGTCCCAGAGTCATGAAGCCAGCCACGGAAAAAGTCTTGAAGGCTGATCTCATCTGCAAAGAGGATAGATACAAGTAAGTACGGACTTGAATCAGCTGAAACTCATCATTCATTGTTGCAGGATTCTAGTCGAGGAGACTGATGACGAAGTGGGCCCAATTTCTGGGCTCTGCTTACCGTTAGCGAAAAATCCCTGCTTACTATAGCAGAAAGTTCTTACGAGTGCAAGTACGAGTATTTGTACTTCCGAGTACGAGTCCGAGTACAAGTACTTGTATTTCCAAATACGGCCATACAGCAAATGGTTTATTGCGCGTAAATGGCCCAGGCCCAGTCAAATCGATATACAGACCCACTCACGGCTAGCTGTTAAATGTGTTTGTCCTGACATGCACAACAGAAAATCAGGAAACTTTGATTTCTCCACAAGCCAATCAACTATTTCAAACTGAAAGAATCGATAAAACAAGTCTCTGTAATATAGTCAAGCTGAACCATTCCCCCCCCCCCCCGAGTACTGCTATACGAGTACGAGTACTTTGATGATCGAGTACAATTTTGACAGTCAAGTACGAGTACTTTGCTGCCCGAGTACGAGTACCGTCATTTCGAGTACGAGTACTTTGACATTCGAGTACGAGTAGGAGTACGGTACTACAACACTGTTATTCATGTCCACCATGCAAGTCTCATTTACATGTTTTAAGTTTATTTTTAAGATGCTAGCCCTGATTACTTCTGGGGTTGCTCCAGTGGTAAAACATACATTTTCCCCCCATTTTTAAAAATTTCTATTTCTTTCTTTATTTCTTTTTTCTTTTGTGTGTACCTTGTTCTACTGAAGTAACCTCCACAGCACCTAGTGCTAGCGGGTCACTCCCCGGTGAGTGAGTTACAGGCGACCTAACTTCCGATTTGATGGATGGTGAACTGTCACTGTCGTCTAACATGATCGAGGGATCAAGGAACATGAGACCGCTGGGTCTGCTCTGTATTGTAACAACTTGGATCCGCTGTATGAAAGAATGGAGAAAAAAACTTTTAAAAAAAGAGAATTATGCTTAGGCTATATATAATCTCAAAGGGCTTTAATATAATTACCCAAGTGGTATATAGCACATTTATCTACCAACAAGGCACTCAGGGTGCCGGAAATTATTGTCTTTTGTTAGAGACAGGTAACTGAAGAACATGGGAAATATGAGAACCATTATGTAACACCTTTTTAAGGGTTTACATTAAGCAGCCACTGCCAGAAACACTGGGGCAAACCCCTTCTTTTTATCGAGAAGTGTTACTGGGTTCTTTAACTTGCATTGCGCAACACACTGGACCTACGGCTTTATGTCTTATCCGAAGGACGATGCAATAATGTCAAAGTGCCTTGCTCAAGAGCACAAGCATCATGTTCCCACGGTCAGGATTCGAACCCATGTACCACGGCACACGAGTCGAACACTGTAACCATTAGACCACATGCAGCACCCTTTGGGCTTTACAATACCCCCGTTCATCAGGCCACGAGACCACACGGCAGCCGATATCAGCACTCTTCCCGTCCTCTACCCTCACGGGTACGCATTCAGTTTCGTGGGTGGAGAGAGGCAATTGTAGTTAAGTGTCTTGCCCAAGGGCACAGACACAAGGTTCCAGGCAGGGTTGGAACCCAAGTATCAACGTTCATGAGTCCAACACCATAACCACTGACCCATGGCATTCTATCGCATTGAAACGTGGCATTTGTTTCAAAATTGTTTAATTACATACTGGTACTTGCATGCTGACACTTCCCAAGGTTAGGTTTTCAACATTCTTCTTTGGATTTTGAGTTTGGTTATCATTGGAAATAGGGGGAGCGTGTGGCCTAGTGGTTAGGGTTCGTGACTCATGATCAGAGGGTCCGGGGTTCGAATGCAGCCGCTGGTCATATATTGTGTCCTTGGGCAAGGTACTTCACCCCCACTTGCCCCTCTCCACCCAGGAGTATAAATGGGTACCGGCATTAGCTGGGGAGTAACCTGCGATGGACTAGCATCCCATCCAGGGGGAGTAGAAATATTCTCAGTCGTTTCATGCTACTGAAACCGGAGATAAACGCCGGCCTGATGGGCCACATTGGCTCGGGACAGACTTTACTTACTATCATTGGAAATGAACAAAATGCATGAAAACCAAATGATCCTACATGCTGTTAAAGAGACATGCTACTCACTCGTAGTGATGTTAGATCCATCTCGGGTAGAATCTCGCTGATCTGTTTGGTTACTGATGTCCCTTGACGGCATGTCAGGATGGTGACTTCTAGCTGGGCACTAAATCCGGTCATCTGGGGAATTCAACAAACAAAGGTATTTCATGATGACTCTCTTTTCCAGGCAGTGCATTGGCGTAAATCTGTGCCTGCGGGTGGGAGGGGGGATGGAGGATGACCAAAATCAAAAAATTTCCCCGGCCATGGAAATTGGAAAAGTGGGGAGGGGGGGGGGGGGGGGGGCTGGACACCACATTACACTAGGGGGCACTCTTCAGGATATAGATGTGATATATTCAACATGTATAGTTGGGCTTACATCAAAACAGCGCATTTTAAAAACTTTTGTACTTTGTTTCTCCAGTTTTCAGTGCTATAGACCGTTATCAGGTTGCAACCATCATGATTTTTTCCCATTCAAAGCAACGTATACCCAAAGCGACGCTAGAAGAAAAAATAGTCTGGTTCCTTTTTGCACAAAAAATTATCATTTAGTACTGTTATGGGTACAGGGAACAAGACTGAAATGGTGGCAGCATGATAAAGGTCTGTTGAATACATTTTTGTTGTTGGGATGTTCGAAAAATACCTTAATATAAAAAAAAAGGAAAAAAAAGTGTATTTTCAGAGAGTTGAAAACATCTCAAGTTAAAAAACTGTAGCCTTTTCTGTTTAAAGCAATAGTCCATCATTTGCAGCCATCCGAAAAAGTAACTGGTGTATTATTGTTGAAAAACATACTTGGTTGAAAGATAGTAAGTGGACTAAGCTCCCTGTGAAATTAATCTTTCTGGCAAGCTATCATTTTGAAGTAATCAACGAAAGAAGGCCTTTCCAACGGTGCGTCTTAAGACGCACCGTAGGAAAATTTAAATTAGTAGCAGCGCACGCAAGCATTGGCACGACGCACAGGCGCGCGCGGTTGCTATAATTCATCGGATCAGTGCGCGACATCGCATATATAGCTGCAATTCAAAACAATTCAAAACATGATTCAGCAACTTTTGATTTGAAATTGAGATCCTAGAATGCTGTTTTTCTCGGAATATACAGCTGAAGCTGAGCTGAAACTTCATCAGGTTAGTTGTTCAGTATCCTTCATTAAATTTTGAACACTTTTGTTGCTTCAAACGAACAAAATGCACAAACTACAAATGATGGACTCTATCTTTAAATAAAACATAATAAGGAAAAGAAACCACTTCAGACCGGATAAAGTAAAAAAGTCCAAATGAATATTTCCTACCTGTCGAAGTGTCTGAGCCTGCCGTCGGAACTGCAGGGTCGCCTCTCGTAGTGCCTGCCCTAGATTATCTCCTGGCTCTCTCATCATAAACCCATCTATGGGGAATGACTTCAGCTCCTGCAGGGCGTTGTACAGCCTCTGAAAGTTGCCTTTGACGTGTTGCAGTGGGAGAAGATTCTATATTAAATCGAAGGAGTTATAAAATCAGGAGTGCTGTGGCCTCGTGGTTAAGGGCACTGATTCGTGGTCTGTGGGTAAAGCTGCAGGTCGTGGGTTCGAGTCCTGGCGGGGTCATGGTGCGTGTGCCCTTGAGCAAGGCACTTTGTCACTCATTGCTTCTCTCCACCCAGGAGTAAATGGGTACCTACATGTATGAGGGCAGTGATGGTTATTGTGATTGAATTAGCTTCCTTGTGCCTAACAGGCAGCATCAAGCTGTATACTCCCCAGGGAGCTGAGATGGTATATGGAATGTTTAATTGGCCCAATGATTAGGGGTAATAATAATGTAAAGCGCTTTGATCTTAGTTAAAAGCGCTGTATAAGAACCTGTTATTATTATTATTATAACAATAACAGGTACAGTTGTGTATCCGAGATTTTGCTGACAGGGTGGCCAAGGGGACACTCTGCCTTGGAAGGTGCCAGTAGCCAGGATTTTTTTTTGGTCAGCCCGCCGTTTCGAATAAAAAATGTGGGGGGGGGGGGGAATGGACACCATCTCACTATCAGAGGCACTACTGAAAGCTGACGATATAGGGGGTGCTCTTCTTTGCAGCAAGTAAACAAAACTATGAAACACCTTTTTCTTGTGTTTCCTTTCTTTTTAATACTCTTCTATGGAGGGGGGGGGGTGTACCCATGACAATATAGGTGGTGCTCTTCATGAAACACCTTTCCTTAAATTGTTTCCTTCATTGTACTTTTCTGAGGGGGGGGGGGGGGGGAGGGAGGGGGTGTCTCTGGGCGCAATTCAAAACATGACTTGCCAACTTTTGAATTGAAATCAAGATCCTAGAATATTGCTTTTCTTGGAATATACAGCATTCACTGAGCTAAAAGTTCATCAGATCAGTTGTTCAGCAACCTTCGTTAGATTTTGAGCATTTTGTTGCTTGAAAAAAATGCACAATGATACTCTACGTATCCTCTTTTAGCTCAAATCAATTGGTGTTCTCATGCACTACAGGCAGTGCACCAGCGCCTTCACTGGATCAAGATGATACTGCAGGTACATGTTAACTTGTACCTTTGCATCTAATCTTTAATTTTGAGACTGCACACTTACCTCTGCGTGTGTGCCCAGGGCATAAAGACCAAAGTAGGGGATGCGCGACGGGCCAGCCATGCTGCAGACTACAGCAAACAATTCCTCCAAAGATTTGTGGATATTGTTACACATACCCGCTGTGAGGGGCGGGGAGAAGTCAACTAGTAAGATACGAGCTGCATGAGGAGAGAAAATGGCACACGACTAATCAAAATTTACTTGGAGGGGGTTAGTGGAGATTAAAAGTCACGCAGTGGCTATCGTTACAGCAGTCGACTGTCTGGTCCCCTGATCTGACATTGACAATATTCATTTCAACGTCAAGATTTTATGCTCTTGGAACCAGACTTTCAACCTAATGGATCTTGGATTTTATTTCCCTTAAAAAAAAACCCCAAAGCCACAGATCACTAGGGAAAAAAATTAAATCTATTCTATTATAAAACGTACCATTTGATTAAAAACAAGTCATGCAAGTAGGGCCTATAGTTAGCCCTGGTGGACTCCCTTTCCTCCCTATGTTACGGAGGGAGTCGTATGGCAATGAAGACTTCGTCCAACCTGGGCTAGGCATATAGTATAAGCCCTTAAGAAAGTATTAAAAGAGTCCCCCCCCCCCCAAAAAATCTCTGGTTGGAAGGGTAGGCCTAGTTATAAATGGTGATATATATTTGCTGCTTACGATAGCCACCAACGTTAATACGTTTAAAAAAAGTCCCTTCCCTGCTAGCCCCACTAGTGTGGCCGTCGGTATGCTGCGCTCAGAGGTTCAGCGCAGCATACCGACGGCCACACTAGTGGGGCTACTTCCCTGCATGAAATGATGAACAAACAGACACGGAAAATGCTGAAAATAGGCGAACAGACTCTATCAGAAACAAAAATAAATTAGGCTAGCAATTAGAATTGTGTTTTGCAAGAAAACATTTGCTTAATCAGGCACGGATCCAGAGAGGGGGTTTGGGGGGTCGAAAACATATATACTAGCTACTAACACTTATTCTTATCAACAGTCATAGAAATAAGCCAGACCTTAGCATTAGACATGATTTAACAGCATTTGTTAGTGTTACACCATGAAACTGAAAATAACCATGAAAACATGGCTGCCGAAACGTGTTTGCTTTTGACAGTTTTGAGCTTCAAATAAGCGCCACAAAAAACACATGATATATTGTAGAGAAGTCTATTCGTTTCTTTTTATACCTGGCTGACGTGCAAACACGACCCTTGTTGGTTGCTTGTCCATTTTTGATGTCCAACAACACTGTACTCTGAAGGCCAAAAATCAAATGCCAAAATGATGCAGGAACAACATGACAGCACATTTCCAGCTGAAATTTTTTGAGGCAGGCACACATGAATATTCATCAAAAAGTTTACTATGAATATTCACTTCTCTTTTTTACACACGGCTTCGTGACTGGCCCATTTGTTGACCTTCATTTGCCGCGCGCGCGCGCGCCGAGTGCTCCAGTTCGGTCAAAGGTCAACCCGAATACCAACAACAAGCCCGAACATGTGAGAAGTTGCATTTTTTATGAACACGAAATTGTCTATTTTCTAGTCTATACTCTCCAAGATTTGACTGATTGGTTGAAGTAGTAGGTGAAGTATGTAGGGTTTGGATATCTGTTCAGATAGGAACTTATCTTTTGTGAATTGCTGTAAAGACAGAACAATATTTGCGTCGACAGGTCGATGTTGTTCTTGCCAGTTCCAGGAAATACACAGCATGTATTTCGTGAAAAAAGTTTATTAACGCTTGAAACTATGGCGTATCGTGTGTTTACGGATAAAAATTGAAATAAATTTTGAGAGTGTCATTTATGTACACTCGTTTCCGTATTATTGTGATGGGCGGGGATTTTTCGTTTTTTTTTCCCCTTGGGGCCAGGGGGGGGGGGGGGGGGGTAAATGGGCCCGTCTCGCATTTTTTTCTCAGTCAGGTGTAGTCCGAGTAACTTGGACCCAACTTATCGCCTTTTTAAAAATTTGGACATGGTCTGGCGATAGTAGGGTCCAAGCCCATTCCTCGACCTAGACAACACAGTCACTGACAGTCCCAAAAACCAACATTTTCCAACAAAAAACATCAGATTTCACCTTCAAAACGGCCTCCAAATTACTAGATATGTCACCTGAGGTACAAGTAGACATAGATGATTAAGATGGTTGTACTTAAGTTTACTTACGATCCGGAAAAAAAGTGAAATTTTCCGTTCAATTCTGGAGACCCCCTCTGCCTAGGTTGTCGTTGTTGTGCTCACGTTCAAAACTGCATGATAATGGCGTCTGACCTCGACCTCATGCAAATGTGGTGCGGTGCGCTTGCGCATAATGCACTGCATCATACACGGCAGATTCCCCTGCGCCGTGCCGACGACTGTTTCCTGATGTAGAGCGCTGTGTAAGTTCGCGGTACGCTTGGGAGTCGCGCTGGCTAGCCAGGCGTACCGCGAACTTACACAGCGCTCTACATCAGGAAACAGTCGTCGGCGCGGCGCAGGGGAATCTGCCGTGTATGCTGCATTATGTGCATTATGCGCAAGCGCGCCGCACCACATTTGCATGAGGTCGAGGTCAGACGCCATTATCATGCAGTTTTGAACGTGAGCACAACAACGACAACCTAGGCAGAGGGGGTCTCCAGAATTGAACGGAAAATTTCACTTTTTTTCCGGATCGTAAGTAAACTTAAGTACAACCATCTTAATCATCTATGTCTACTTGTACCTCAGGTGACATATCTAGTAATTTGGAGGCCGTTTTGAAGGTGAAATCTGATGTTTTTTGTTGGAAAATGTTGGTTTTTGGGACTGTCAGTGACTGTGTTGTCTAGGTCGAGGAATGGGCTTGGACCCTACTATCGCCAGACCATGTCCAAATTTTTAAAAAGGCGATAAGTTGGGTCCAAGTTACTCGGACTAAGTCAGGTGCATTCTTAAGCCGTATGACATGGCCGTCAGGTCGTATAGTGCTCGCATCTGTCTACTCATGCTTGTGTACATAAGCCACTTTATTTAAGAAAGGAATTACTGCATACTGCGCATGCGCTCTCAAGATTCAACGCTTTACTTTTGTGGATAAACAGTTTGCCATACACGAGAAACATCATTCATAGCGGGGTACCAACTAAACCCGTGAACGTGGCTATATACATAGCCATGCTTCAATCTATAATAAAAACACTCTATTGTGATCGAGTGACTGTTCTAGCCGAATTTCGGCTACATTTGACAGAATATTTGCATACAAAAATCAGTTGTACAGAAAATCCAGCAGAATATTTTTTTCGGCAGAATTATGTAGATAAAGGACAATGAAAAAGAGTGGAGAAATATGGGCACATTTGTTTTGAAAACCCTGAAACAAACCCTTACACAATGGAACAGCAACATATACTGGGTGATTGGCAGACTTTTGAAGTGGATTTTACACACTAGCACTAAGTAGCAGAATTTTACTTGGTATTACGGTCATCCTGCCATGTAAGATGGTTAGTCGGGTACCCACTTGTGATACTCCTACCGTTTTGCGCTTGCGGAACTCGAGGTACCGGTACCAGAGTGTCATGCCTGTCTTTGATTTTCTGATCATTTTGAAAACACTCGTTGTGACAAAGTTGTGCCGTATTTTACTTCGAATTTCTTGACAATGACAGATCCAACACTCGTGTAAATTCACAGGAGGGTCATTCTATAAATTTGGGGTCCAAAGTGTGACATTTACCCGTCCCTGTTACCTTGGTACTTTGTAATTTGCCATTCAAGCATCATTAAAAGTGACTTCAAATGATTGTTTATTTGTTGGGTAGGTAGTTTGCTATTCATAATCACTCTTGGAGGATGACTGCATTAAGGAGTGCATCAAAATTATACAATCATAGATGTCAGATGTAACAGGGACGGGAAAAAAAGTGGACCCCAAATTTATAGAATGACCCAGGAAGCCTAACAAGTAAGTGATTTATCTATTGGCAAAATTGTGCGTGGTTATATGTAGCGGATCAAAAGGGGTGTCGGACGCTTCGCCCCATTTCCACGTCGCCCCATGTCACTTCGCCCCTAACCACTTCGCCCCATCCCCACTTCGCCCCATCCGCACTTCGCCCCATCCCCACTTCGCCCCATGTAGATTGGTTCCTCCAAGAGTGAAATTAGGATGTCAAAGGTATTGTCGTTCTCAGATAAGTGGGAGACGGGTTGGTATAGCCGGGTTAGGAACAAAGTTGGATCTTTTACTTCAAGCTTTTTTTCTCGGTAGGGGAGAGTGATAGCTTGAGAGGTTGGTTATGAATTGTTTATTTGGTCAATGTTGGTGGGCTAATTCTTTCCGTTGGTTAGCAATTAGTGAATCTGTTGGAATTGTTTTTAAGCCAATAAAATAGATGAGGATTTTTTTTTTACATGTAACAGCTGGGGCGAAGTGGGGATGGGGCGAAGTGGGGATGGGGCGAAGTGGGAATGGGGCGAAGTGGGAATGGGGCGAAGTGGGAATGGGGCGAAGTGGGAATGGGGCGAAGTGGGAATGGGGCGAAGTGGGGATGGGGCGAAGTGGGGATGGGGCGAAGTGGGGATGGGGCGAAGTGGGAATGGGGCGAAGTGGGGATGGGGCGAAGTGGGGATGGGGCGAAGTGGGGATGGGGCGAAGTGGGGATGGGGCGAAGTGGTTAGGGGCGAAGTGACATGGGGCGACGTGGAAATGGGGCGCAGTGTCCGACATTCATCAAAAGATATAATGATTTCGCTTGTATTTATGCGAGGGAAGCGAGTGGTGTTGTATACAATGCCACGCTTACGGGACCAACAAACTGATGGTTCATAATTTTCATGAAAGCAAGAAGCAAAGTATTTATCATGTTATGATTAAATATTGCTGTGTTCCAGACCTCTAGGCAGCATGAGCAACTGGGGTAATTGGGGGACATCCTTCGGCTATGCAGACGGCAGTGGTGATGAGGACGAGGATGGGGATGCGGGGTACCAGACCGCCTTTAGCACTAAGGACGGTCTCATCTTCCTGGTGGACTGCGGCGAGTCTATGTTTCAGAAGGCGGAGCCTGACGAGGACAGCCATTTCCAGCTTTGCGTCAAAGTTTGTATTTTGTCAGGCTAAGGCTAGCATTTTACACACGTGCCTATGGAAAGAGGCTGAATCGACTTCCCATATGGACAGATGAAGCTGCGGAGCACACTGGTCCAATGGTCACAGTGTTCAACTCGTGCCGTGGTACATGGGTTCGAACCCTGATGCAGCACATGGTGCTTTAGTCCGAAAATTTTGGACTCTCAATACTCTGTATGAGAGTCCCAAAACTTAAGGTATTGAAAACATGCAAAACAAGAAAATAGACTGGCACCTAAAACGGTTACACCTCTATGTTCCGACACCCCTATGTTCCGACTGCACATATTGCTATTCCTAACCCTAACCCTAACCCTAACCCTAACCGGGAGTAACACAATCTAGGTTGTCGGAACATAGGGGTGTCGGAACATAGAGCAGTCACCCCTAAAACAACCAGTCAACAGAGCTTCAGTACTGCATCAATCAACCATGCCAAAAGAATTTAAGAAACATGTGGCATGAAGCGGGAACTAGTCTCAATTTACTACACATTTCTCCATAGTCAAGCCACCAGACTATTGACACCGAAAAGAAGTCAGTCTTTTCAAATAGTTGGACCATGGTTGGACATGTACCAGTCTAGTGTTTAGCCCCATTTTGAAATCACTTGACTGCCCTCTCATGTGCAAAATATTGAAGAAAAGTCTCCTTTAAAAATTGAATTGAGTCTGCAAACTTGGTTGGTGAAATACTGAGGACATTTTCTTTGCCCCAGTGGAATTTTTTGAGAAATGTGCTGGCTAAACTGTGAGTAAAGTGGGCCTGATTTAGTTTTGCATGTTTCAGAGCACTCCAGAACCCTGTCTGATGGTACTTGTGTTCTTGGGCAAGACACTTTACTACAATTGCCTCTCTCCACCCAGGAGTATAAACATGTAGTATTATGGGGTACATATGTGAAGGTAGATTAATTGCAGCTTTTCAGAACAAAACTGGTCTCATGGCCTGATCAACTAGGGTAATAATTCGTTGGTTGCACCACGAACCGACGTATCGCATTTTTTTTGTGTTTCAAGAAAAACCGATTTAAAGTTGGTCATTATGTTGTAGGTTCATTCCATATAGTCTCTGTGTAAGAATTCAAGCTGTTTCGTTTTTGCTAGTAAATTATAGATTGAACTTTATTGTATGCAATCCGTGTGCATCTGAGTTGCTAAGTTTTTGAGAAATTCTGCTCCAAAGTTATTTGTCACTTCGTGAAACAGATTTTTGTCATGTTTATCGTATGTCATACAACGCGCGTAATAGTGGCCGTGTGCCAGATACAGAGATACGTCGGTTCGTGAAACGCTTAATTCCAATTTTCATGTCGACGCTGCTTTGTGACGTCATAGCACTATGGGAATTAGCGTGTAAAGCGGCGTATCGGTATACGCCACTTTGTGGTGCAGCATTCTTCATTTTCTAGAGATACGCCGCACAATCTAATTAGCGTTCTTAGTTAATTAGAAGTCCGATCGGAATAAAACTTTCTGAGAATGAGCACTTTGATGAAATAATAACGTTAATGACAAAAACTCAATTTGGCAAAAAATCGAGATACGCCGGTTCGTGGTGCGACCGACGAATTGTGAAGTGCTTTGAGACCTTTGGTATAAAGCGCTGTATAAGTGTCACATTATTATTATTATTAATTTGAATGCGATCAAGGTTTTTCCTGAAGTGTGATTGGGTACAAACCCGACGTTGTAATGTAGTCAAATCCAACACCAGTCCATCACATGTCCAGTCACCAGCAACAGTGCATCGCATTCTGCGCATGTGTGAGAAATAACAAATGTGTATTGGTGCTGTGTGTCTATTATGTGACACACGCGCAACATGTACTGTACATTGAATGGACACAGCTAGAAATACGTATGTGTATGCCACAAAAAGTCTGCCACATCCAATGCAAGAACGAGGTTTTTTTTGTGTCTTTTCTTGTGAACGGTAAGGCATTAGATTAATAAGGGAATAAATGTGTGCTCCGGAGGTTTTTATCACTCTGTTTAAGACCACATAGAGTCTGGGTGCTGATAATTACCCGAGCCGGAGGCGAGGGTAATTATCAGCACCCAGACTCTAAGTGGTCTTAAACAGAGTGATAAATACCGACCGAGCACATGTTTATTCCCATTCATAAATACCATTTCGGTAAAAAAAAAAAAAATCATATAATTCGTTCAAAACATCCCGATTTTGTTCAACAAATTCACTGTATGCTTTTTGAAACATCCCTCTTGCAAAATAATGGAGTGTTCAGCTGGCGAGTAAGATGTAAACAACCCTTTTATGGAGATTGACGCGCGCGTATCATGTTCTGCGCGATGTCGCGCAGAACGTGCGTTGCGTTTTGAATTTAGAACTGTACAATTCTGACTCCCTGGTAGTGTTGCGCATGCCCACGTGAGGATTGTGAACGTTCAACCAATGAAACGATTAGAGGCACTGGATTTTTAGGAGTCCACATTTTATTGTGACACTGGAAAAGTGTTTAAGACCAGCTAGCCATGTCTTTATCATCCGTTTAAGACCGGCCACCTGACGGGCTCTCGACCAATAGGAATGCGTAAACTGTCTTAGGTATTTATGAATTTTGCTTAATAACTACAGATCACAGCCAATTATAACACTTGGGCTAACATCCGCCATAACGAAACACTATGTTTACGTGGGCTACTCGAAACGGTAACTATGATTGCACTGAGTTGACCCCTGAGTGATGTCATGACTTCAGCGTACTGGCACCTGATTTTTCTACTCGTTATTTTTTGGCAGTGTGCCCGCAGTGTGTTGACCAATAAGATCATCAGCAGTGACAAGGATATGTTGGGAGTTGTCCTCTTTGGAACGGAGAAGAACAAAAACAGCGGGAACTTTGAACACGTCTACGTACTTCAGGTGAATTTTTGAATTTTCTCTGCATTTATAAACCAACATTCATTTATTGTTGAAGACCCTTTATGTAGTTTGGTGTCTTTGTGCTTGCTTGTACTGGAGGGTCAGCCTAGTTGATCTCTTTGTACCTACCTGCATGACTGTTTGACTGACTGACTGACTAACTGACTGACTGACCACCGTCATTTGTGAAGAGAGCCGGGCAGTGCTATCATATAGGATTACCAAACATGAGTTTTCGAGACTTTTGTCTGAAATCAGACTTTTTGAATCTGAGAGAAAGACATTATTATCTTTGAAAGATATGGATCTTTTAAACATTTCATCCATTTTCAGACTTGTTTGTAAATTGACCATCTCATCCCAAGATTACCGTGTAATATTTACTAATGAATTGGCCAGATCCTCCCCATTGTGTAGACCAGGGCCCAATTTTGTGGCGCTGCTAAGCACACGATTTTCTGCTAACGGTGCCTCCTTCTATTTCATTGAGTCCATAAGCAGTAAGCACAGCAAAGGCACGCTTACGTCAGAGGAAATAATTGCTTAAATCAGTGACGTAACAACAGAAATCTCCATGTGGGCGCGACCTTTAACACATCTGCGCAGTGAAATAGTGCTTAAGGTTAGCGCATTTTTCTGCTATGCTAAGCACAACCTTTCTGTTAACTGTTAAGCCGCTGTGAAACTTTGACCTGGTACATGAGAAGAATTTTAGTAAATACTTGAGCCATTTTCATGATTTTGAATCATTTTATTAGAATTGTGTGCACTCAAGATCCAACTTTACTAGTCTTGTCTTTGAATTTTCTGTCACCTTATTCCGGGGTTTCAATTTCACTTCACAGGATCTTGACAATCCCAGCGCTGCACGAATTCTGGAACTTGAAAGCTTGTTAGAGGGTATGTAACATGTTTTCCAATGTTTTTAAGCTCTGGCCGGAGTTTCTACATGTACATGTCACTTGTTGGTCTTTCTGTCTGTCCGTTAATTCCCGAAAATTGACAAAAAGTATGGTGTTCCATATGTGCCATCCGCGTCGCATTTTTCGGCGTCGCACTTTTAAGCTCTGGCAGGGATATATAATATTCTAATATGCGGTATATTCAGACAGCCCTATATTTAACCAATAACACACATAAAAAACTTTTTCTCATATACTTTATTTAGGCCAAAAAAAAAATTCTCCGGTTTCTGGTATGCGCGCGCGTCGTCGTAGCCATGCGCATCGGCAAAATGAAAACGTTTTTTTTTTCAATGAAAGATGATGTCTCAAAACCGCCAAACTCACTGGTTTGACTGGAATCCTGCTGCTGCACAATTTTAACGTGTTTTTAGATTGGGTTATGGTCGAGAATAAGGTTTATGTGACCTCTCTGGACTCCCATATATTTGCACTAAGTTTAGTCGGGCACCATTTGCAGTCATCAGCCGACATTTGAAGCAAAAAAATCAGGTAAAAAAAAAAAAAAAAAGCCGCGTCGCTGCACCACTTTTTGGGCAAGCTCCATACCAGAAACCGGAGACTTTTTTTTTTGGCCTTAAATGTTGTTTTTTGCCTAATGTGGTAATTACACAAATTGAATGTGGTGCCAGATGTTTTCTTTTTACTGTAGAATTAAGTTTATAATTTGGTTTATTTTATTTCCTTTTCAAGATGATTATGACTTCAAGGCCAATTTTGGCCATAATGCCGGCTTCTCACTCAGCGATGCACTTTGGACATGCTCCAATATGTTTTCACAGAGGTAAAATATGTCTAAACTAATATCTGTGAATTTCTATAATAAAAAAGATCAGTATTTGAATTCCAAGAGCATATTTTTTTTCTTATAGAAGGGAACTTTTGCCAGGGTAACACTTAAATGTTCATTAAAATCTTGACATCAGATTTTGGACATGTTCACGTTTGTTGTTTTATTTTATTAACACATTTTTCTTTAACACAACTAAACAGGAATAGTTGGGGGTTTAAAAAACGCCTTTAAATACAAAAACCTTTACTCCAGTGTGTGTGTGCAAACTTGAGGTCACATACTGAGGGCGCTGTACCATCTGACCATTAACTATTGGCCAAGTTTGGGCAAGGACCATTAGTCGACTAGTGGTTGATTTGTGAGGTACCTTACGCCTGCGCACTGATAGCAACATGCGAACGTCTCTAGTCAAACGCTGGTCAAAAATGTCATCGCAAAACTTGTAGATCCTAGCTCTCTGCTAGCGTTATGAATGTGCGCGGCTATTGGTTACCAGCGATGCGACCAGCCCCATTAGGTTGGTTCCAAATAGTCGACTAGCGTAGTCAACCACCGTCGACTAGACAGAGTTCGGGCAAGCTTTAGTCGAACTATGGTTAACCATTGGTCAACTATAGTCCTTGCGCAAACTTGGCCCTTGTTACAATAACTGTACAAAATGGTGATATAACCAGGTAGTTTACTGAGCAGCATACATATCCCGTACCTGCACCATTTCTAACGGTCCTGATATGTCATGTTTAGGCCAAAAAAAAAAATATTCGGTCTCTGGTCAGACCAAAGTTCCGGAATTGACGCGGCCACGTGGCTTTTTTTTTTTTTTTTTTTTTTTTTCTTCAAGCTTGGATTGTACAGACAAGGTGGGGTACTATTTTGCTTTCTTGGTGTCCTCATGTACATTGGTGTCCTCCATAATTTGCCTTGGTGCTTTCGATCATTTGCCTTGGTGCAATTTCCCATTCCTTGGTGCTCTTTGGTAAAAAAAAATTGAGGAGGTGCGGAAATAGAGGGCGCTGTTGGAGCTACCGCGGAACATTTTGGAACAAAAAAAGATCGACGTGCATGATTAAAATCGACGCGCGCGCTGACCAGAGACCGACTTTTTTTTTTTGGCCTTACATAGCTAGTTTTTCTTTTTTTTTCTTTTGGTCAAGCACCCAGAAAATTGGTCACAAGAGAGTTCTACTGTTCACCAACAATGACGACCCCCACGCTAACGACCTCGCGGCCCAACGGCAAGCCAAGACCAAGGCTAAAGATCTGCATGAGATTGGCATCGACATTGAACTCATGCATCTGGCTCAACCAGGCAAAGACTTCGACCATTCCAAGTTTTATCAGGTATGGACTCCTGCACGAATGCTAGATTGCGCGTTGTGACCACTACCAAAAACCGAAACAGGCAGGACAGACTTCTTGGGGGTACACGCATACTGAAATTTGTATCCTTGTGGAGACTTTCTTTGTTCTCTTGTAGTAAAGTTTTCGAGTTTGAAAGAGTAGTTTTAAAATGCTTTTACTTTTTATAACCAGAATTAATTTCCTTGGCTGAAAATCGGACTTAATATCCCTTTTCTAAAACTCTTCCATTTGCGACAAATCAACCCACCTTGGAAATTCCTAGTTTTTGAGTAAAATCCATATATCTATTTCGTAAAAACCTTATGGAGATGTATTCATCTATAGAAATTGCCCTGTGGAGACGTATACAATCTTTTGTTCCCTATTGTGTGCATGTCTCCAGAGGGCACGGTGTATCAGATCCGGTTAACGCGTGTGTGCCAGAAACCAGTGTAGCGTCTTCACGTGAATGTCGGGCATTGTCGGCAGTGCACTGAGATTCTCACTCCCAGTGGTCTCCCCCAACTTTCACTTTGTAACTGTTGTGGAAATACTTGGGCACAGATTCCATTTGAAATACATTTTGATTCAATAACACTGTCATGGCGGCGTCATGGAACTTTTAGTTCTGTTGCCGTGTACCAAGTGATGATGTACTATACAGTAAACCCCGGCTAAGTCGGCACTCTCGGGACCCGAGAATTTGTGACGACTTACCCGAATGCCGACATCTGCTGTAAATCGTCATTTTGCCGACTTACATGAATGGCCTTTTTTGCACACATGACTCATTGCACTACTTGGCTTCGATTTACCCTGGTTTATCTCCTTAATGCTTGAGTTGAATCCAGCAAATTAATCCTCGAATTGTATCATCACGTTTGGGGTATTGTGGAGACCACGTGTGCAAAATAGTAATACATATGTACGTGCACAGTAACAAAGTATTAAATGCTTGCGTGGTCCGGTATACCACGCACACATTGACTGCAGCACTAGTCATTCAATAAGACGACCCCAAACTGGACAGAGTGCATGTGTACAGCCTAGAGGGGGTACTGGTATTGATATGCTCACGATGCATATGCCATGTATGCAGTAGGAAACCCTTTTGCAACACCAATGCATGCAGCGATCACGGGCCGTGACACTTCTTGCCAACCGCAGTACGGGAAGTCGATGCCAATGCGTGATTTTTTAAATGCCGGCTTACACAAAGGATTTTATAATGCTTTTTATGGAAAGGGGACCGAAAGTAACACGACGACCTGAGCGAAATGGCGACTTACAAAAGCCGACTTGGAAATGAGAAAAATCAATGGAAATTTACGGACAATCAGGACTTTAGTCAGACGGCCGACTTGAGCAATATGACGACTTGTACGATATCGACTTAGCCGGAGTTTACTGTACTTCTCTTTATGCATGTCTGCTGTATACTTGTTGCTCGTTCAGTGCACCACTCTGATGCTTTTTGTGGTGCTCAGTTGTCTTGTGTCAAACTGGAAGGCTGAAAGGGAGTGGTGTCTCTTGCACCAGGAGCATTAGGCTCCTAAGATGCCTATTATAAACCTTAAAGGGACACTGCGTATGTTTATCGGAAAGAACATTTAAAAGTGGGATATAGACATCCACACAACTATCCTTTAAAAATTGGGGTTTTTGTGTCATTCCTGTATTATGCGTGCGAGAACAACATTTTTCGGGTCCACTTTTGCGACCCCAAAAAGTCAAGCTGTTTGGATGCTAGTTGCGATTTCATCCGTAAAGTGTTCGCCTTTTGCGGACGTCAAAGAAACCACATTTTGTGTATTGATGATTGGTCACCGCTGTTCGCTGTACGTATATGGTGCTGTATACGTACGTTATATTAAAAAGACACACAACGTGTACATCGTACATTGACTGAACGACAGGAAAAACGTATTCGTGCTCCGTCATGTCCGATGTAAACAACCGGGGTTTTTTGTCTTTTTTTTCCGGGAACGTTAAGACATTACCCGGTAGGTTGGTTTCCTTTCAACCAGATATTTGAAATAGGATAAGTAAACAATGCAAGACACGGAACAACCCTTATTTTATTCTGGGAAAGTCATGGAAAAGTTGGGGCATTTCCTTTTAAGATTCCTGTGGTAAACACTTTATCAGCAAAACCAAAACACATACATGTTTCTTTTTTCAGGACATTGTGTTTTCACCAGACGACGAAGATCTTGGCGTCCTGCCAGACCCAGCCGAGAAGTTTGAGGAGTTGCTCAATCGAGTCCGGGCCAAGGACCACAAGAAACGCTCGCTGGGAAGACTGAATTTTAACCTTGGCCAAGGGTTGGATCTCGGAGTAGGAGTGTGAGTTGGTCTTACTATCTATCTGTTTGTCTGATCTTGAGCGTTTCTCCCCTCACTCATTCCTTGTTTCCATAATTTGATGTGTCTCATCCAGTCATGTGTTGCTGAAAATTGCCCAGCCGACTCATACATGTACTTGAAAAGGTTTAAGTTAATGCGGTAAGGTTATCTTATTAATTATTGTTTCTTCTACATGTATCTTGTCCAATACAGTTATAATCTTGTACGACAACAGACCAAACCATACCCAGTCAAGCTGTACAAGAAAACCAACGAACAACTCAAAAGCAAGTCACGCATGTTCTGTGAGGTAGGTCAAGATGTGTTTTGTGCTGCTAGGAAATACTCAATTAAAGAAGAGAAGTAATTACTGTGGAATTTTAATCTGGCTTTTATTCAGATGCATGTTCACTTATAATATTCACTGCCAACAAAACAACTTCCCAGCTTGATCATTGGCAATGACCAGTAGTGAAAAACTATGAGACTTCGGGAAAAAACTTCTTGACTGGCCGTGACAAAATTTACAATTGGTTATATTTTCTTAGGGCCACCATGTTTTTGTAATACAACAACGGGTTACCGTGAAGACCGGATAAACGTTTGTACAAGTCAGTCTAAAAAAAGTTTACACTTTTTCAGACACAGATTTCACAAAACTGGGGAGACATGTTGAAATTGTTTCAAGATATTCTTTGACTGCATGTACAAGATCTTGGGGGTACATGGAGAAAACAGTGCTGAAAATAAATCTGTAATAGAGAAATGGAGGTCATTTACAGAAAAAAGTCACAAATCAGTTTGTCCACACGCGTGGATGAGATGGCTATTGTAATTGCAGTTCCTTTGTGCTATTGTTTTGACCATGCCTCGTAGACTTGCGTGTGCACAAACTGGTTTTTGACAATTCTGTGAATGGCTGCCATTTCTTAATTAAGGCCTTGTTCTCAACGCCGTTTTCACCATATGTACATGTCACACCGAGACCTTGTACTTTACATATATCTGAAAACAGTTTCAACTTGTCTCCCCAATTTTGAGAAATCTGCATCTGAAAAAGTGTACAACTTTTTTTTTTTGGACCACCTGCAGAAGGCACCTGCTGAATGGTCAGGATCTGGATGTCACGTTGCAGTCTTGTTTTGCATAACTAATCGCCGAATCTACTTGCAAGTCATAGACCCTTGTTGGCTGTGCTGATTGAGTAAAGAGCCTTGGTCATGGCTAGAGTATGGGGGGGGGGGGGACGAACCTGTGTTCACAGGAACGGAGTGCCCATCTCTCTTTCATTAGCGATTGGGCCAGACTCATATGCTGCTGTGGGGGGATCGCCACACCTCCTCCACAGCGAGTCTGTTACCTTCCCAGCATTGAATAATGCCAGTACCCATTTAACACCTGGGTTGAGAGGAGTAATTGAGGTGAAGCGCCTTACTCAAGGGCACAACACGCATGGCCATGGCGGGGCTCGAACCCACAACCTCACGATCGTGAATCCTGTGCTCTGCCGCAAGGCCACACGTGCCCACGATTAGTTATGCAAAACAAGCCAGAGTATGAGTATGAGCGTTTCACCTCTGCAATTTAAGCTCAGCATGTTGCTCTCATGCATCAGGATACCGGAGAACTACTCATGCCGACAGACATTAAGAAATATCAGATGTACGGAGGAAGGAACATCGTCTTTGAAAAAGAAGAAATTACTGAAATGAAGAACTTTGGCGAATCAGGTTTGTAATGGATGTACTTGTATGAGTGTTTTTTTTTTCACCCTAACATCCTAGCCATTACTGGTTACGTACAGGCATGCAACTTTTCCTCGGATCAGCTGATTTCCTCGTTCTTCACTTCACACTTGTGCCATTCAAAACTGAAAAACACTGTACAAAGTCTTGTAAAGATTGGAGTTTCCTCGTTTTTAGTTTCTTCCAAGTTGCATGCCTGTACATATACATCTATTTAGTCCGAAGTCCCATTGGTTCGACGTCCCATCGTATCGGGACGTATAGACCAACAGGACGTGTAGACCAAATGGACGTTGGACCAATGGGACGTACATGTAAGACTAAAGCCCGGTTCATACTTCGCGCGAATGCGAATGTGAAGTGAATTTGACGTCTTGAAACTTTCGCTGCGAAATTCACCCGAGTTGAAATATGTTCAACTTTTACGAATTCGCAGCGCAAATACTTGCCATCACATCACAAATTCGCGTTTGCTTTCGCTTTCGCGCCGAGTATGAACCGGGCTTAATGGGATATCGGCCTATAGAGATGTCCCAGTCAATACTTTGGGATAAAGAACTGAGTACTTCAGAATACGAAGAGTGTTGTGCAGACTTATATTTCATACTACCGTTTACAAGTAGTAGTATTTTATAGCTTAAGGTGAGGTTAGGTTAAAGAAGCTCTAGAGTAGGGGGGATGTGGGGGTTCAAGAGCAGAGGGTTCGGTAAAGACACAATTTTCCCGTCTTCTGCATCCTTTTCCTAATATTCTCTCCCCCCTTAGATGTAACTCTCCTCATTTCGCTCGGTTGTTGTTTTGTTACAGAGATGTTGATGCCGTAAGTTTTTTTGATAAGAGCTTTTTTCTTGAGACAATCTTTGAGCCACTGTTTTTCGATCTCGTGTGTTACGTCTTCATTTACATTTTGATTATTTTCTACGTCCCTAGCGTTTGACCTGATATCTTCTTTCATGCGATGAAACTTGCTGAATTGGCTGTTTATCAACGTGAATTCTTCATGAGTAAATAATGTCCCCATCATTTCACAGCTTATGAAATAAGGTCACCTATGGTTTTAGCTTGAGGGTCATACCATGTACCATTTAGAAGAAAAGTAAGGCATACGCATGGTTAGAAAAAAAGAAAAAAGACAAATGAAGAAAGAAATAATCGAACCATTTTAAAAGAGTGATCGGGTCGTACACACATTGTAGAAGGACACATGGTGCTGTAGTAGTCTCGTAGAATCTCCCAGGATTTTTAGGTCAACTTTCATGCCCTATTCTTAAGCATAAATGGGGTTTTGCAGTCATTGGGAATGCATGCGTTTGATTATTGTGCTGTTTTGTGCAAACTTAAAGATAGTTTGACCAATTGTTTGCTTATTGTTGTTTGTGGCAGGTTTAGTTCTGATGGGTTTTAAGCCTCGCTCTTCCCTCAAGCGATATTTCCACATCCGCCCCTCCCAGTTTCTCTTCCCCGACGAAAGTGTGGTCAAGGGAAGCACCTCCCTGTTTTCCGCCTTGCTCCAGCGTTGCCTGGCGAGGGACGTGGTTGCAATCTGTCGTTTCATCCCGCGCAAGAACTCCACGCCATTCTTTGTCGCACTCTGTGCCCAGGTAATATACAGCCCGTCCCAAATACCCATACTGTTTTAGTTCTAGCATCGGTGCGGAAACGCGTACCGCCGTTATTTTTAAACAATTTCAAAACTTGGAATCTGAACTTTATCCCCGGCAAGTATTGGTTTGATATTTAATAAGAGATTTAAAATCATTCGTGTTATTAATAAAGACATGTCGAAAACAAACTCAACCAATTTCAAGAAAAATCGATGATGCGGCACATCAGATGCAAAATCGAGTCACACTTTCAGACCGCTTTCTGAATAGGTACATACTTGCACGTAAACTTGAACTTGAACTTGATACGAAGGACAGTATTGTGAAATCAATCATTTTAAGAAGTAGTCTATGTGCAATAATAAAGAATAGGAAACACACCAAGTAGAAGTCAACAAGATCATCATATCATGAACATGATGAGCCATTCCCACATTAGAAAAAAGTGTGCATGATCCATAGAGCTATATTAAATTACTAGAGCGCTAACTTTGTGTACAAAGTAATGCCTGCTGGGCGCATCCATGTTTGTGCACAAGCCTATGGAGACCTAGAAATTTTGTACGGCTTTTGTACGGCTATTTGGATATCTGCGTTTGTATTCCATACCGGTGCGTTATCGAAGCCAATACGCCCAAAACCGAAACGCACGATCAGCAAATGAGCGTGTCATTTTACTCTACGCAAACAGCGCAATGCGTGCGCGTATTCGCTGCAAATGCTTTTTGTCATCACGTTGTTTGAACCGTCAATGACCCACTTAAGTTGTTTGCGTATGTTCTACTTGCGCGTTGCATGTAGAATACACTTTCAAAATTCAATCCATCTAATTTCATTGTGTTCTACAAACACGCACATGAATTCAAAATGTCTGCGCCCAGGACGGCTTCAAAGCATCTCCGTGCGCAGAATGACGAGTTAGCGCTCTAGTAATTTAATATAGCTCTATGGCATGATCTGTCTTCCTTTTTGAGTTTGGAGCCATTACTCTCTTTTAATTAAGCTGTTGAACAATAATTTCATCAGTTCCTTTTTGGATAGCTGCAACTGATCTACTCTACCTGTAACGGCACATGGTTTAAATGTCAGCTAAGGCAGTTCATTCCAAAGTCAGACTTGCGATATTCAATATCATTTCTAATTCATCCCTTATCTCTGATATTACATGTTGTTGTTGTATTTCATTATCGAAATTTGAATTTCCTTTTTTTAGGAGGAGGAGTTGGATGAGCACAATGTTCAGGTCACGCCTCCCGGATTCCATCTCATCTACTTACCCAACTCCGAGGACATCAGGAAACTGACCCTCCCTGAACAACCCAGAGGTAGTTATAGCACCTTTCATACCAAACTGAATTGACCATGGTAGATTCAACCCAGAGGTAGTTAGCACCTTTCATACCAAACTGAATTGACCCATGGTAGATTCAACCCAGAGGTAGTTAGCACCTTTCATACCAAACTGTATTGACCCATGGTAGATTCAACCCAGCGGTAGTTAGCGCCTTTCATACCAAACTGAATTGACCCATGGTAGATTCAACCCAGAGGTAGTTAGCACCTTTCATACCAAACTGTATTGACCCATGGTAGATTCAACCCAGAGGTAGTTAGCACCTTTCATACCAAACTGAATTGACCCATGGTAGATTCAACCCAGAGGTAGTTAGCACCTTTCATACCAAACTGAATTGACCCATGGTAGATTCAACCCAGAGGTAGTTAGCACCTTTCATACCAAACTGTATTGACCCATGGTAGATTCAACCCAGCGGTAGTTAGCGCCTTTCATACCAAACTGAATTGACCCATGGTAGATTCAACCCAGAGGTAGTTAGCACCTTTCATACCAAACTGTATTGACCCATGGTAGATTCAACCCAGAGGTAGTTAGCACCTTTCATACCAAACTGAATTGACCCATGGTAGATTCAACCCAGAGGTAGTTAGCACCTTTCATACCAAACTGAATTGACCCATGTTAGATTCAACCCAGAGGTAGTTAGCACCTTTCATACCAAACTGAATTGACCCATGGTAGATTCAACCCAGAGGTAGTTAGCACCTTTCATACCAAACTGAATTGACCCATGGTAGATTTAACCCAGAGGTAGTTAGCACCTTTCATACCAAACTGTATTGACCCATGGTAGATTCAACCCAGAGGTAGTTAGCACCTTTCATACCAAACTGAATTGACCCATGGTAGATTCAACCCAGAGGTAGTTAGCACCTTTCATACCAAACTGAATTGACCCATGGTAGATTCAACCCAGAGGTAGTTAGCACCTTTCATACCAAACTGAATTGACCCATGGTAGATTCAACCCAGAGGTAGTTAGCACCTTTCATACCAAACTGAATTGACCCATGGTAGATTCAACCCAGAGGTAGTTAGCACCTTTCATACCAAACTGTATTGACCCATGGTAGATTCAACCCAGAGGTAGTTAGCACCTTTCATACCAAACTGAATTGACCCATGGTAGATTCAACCCAGAGGTAGTTAGCACCTTTCATACCAAACTGAATTGACCCATGGTAGATTCAACCCAGAGGTAGTTAGCACCTTTCATACCAAATTGAATTGACCCATGGTAGATTCAACCCAGAGGTAGTTAGCACCTTTCATACCAAACTGAATTGGCCCATGGTAGATTCAACCCAGAGGTAGTTAGCACCTTTCATACCAAACTGAATTGACCCATAGTAGATTCATTGAGCAAGCTAATGGCCCGTGACCATTCAGCCCTGGTATGAAAAGGGCCCTCTGGTAAGCTCGTCCCCTCACAAGAAGTCCTTTCGTACCGTCCCAGCTACCGGCCCAGGAGCTGGTCCGGTTGCTAATCAGGAACTCCTCTATCCTGGGGTCTATTGTTTGCAAGTATTGACACAAGTAATATATCCCAGAAGAAACCCGCTTGTGGTTTTCATCTCTCAGCGCGAAACAATAGAACACTTTCGTCGGCACAGATCAAAACCCTTGCCTTGTGGTTTCGCGTACAATGGGACCGTGAATTAAAAAGGCGTTTGGAAGGATTGTATCTTTAATCCGGTAAATCTGCTATTGTTCTGCTCTGGACATTCTCTGAAGAGCAATAAATTGATGCGCCTGACTGATTTCAAAACTTCTGGTCAGACAGGACCATATACCGGACGAGACTGGGCTGAAGACCGGACTGGCTTTGGACCGGACGAGGTACCGGGGGGCCCTTTTCATACCAGGGCTGAATGGTCACGGTCCCTAAGGGCATGTGCAGAAACTGAAATCATCCAGGCGTCGTGATTGTAGAACCAAGCAATAGACTCATCAAACTTCGCTTGTACCCCTGCCCTGAAACAGGATGCTTGGATACTTGGAAGAACCAACCAAGAACCAAACCAATAAAAGTCAAAATCCAGTCTCGGACCGAGACTTGGTTAAGAAATTGTGCAAATGTATGTTAAGTGTTTTGGGTTTTTTTTGTTGGCAGCGAATGTTGATCAGATCGACAAAGCCAAAGAGGTCATCAAGAAGCTGCAGTTCAAATTTAAGAGCGAGAATTTTGAGAACCCAGTCCTGCAGACACACTACCGCAACCTGGAAGCTCTAGCCCTCGATCGGGACAAACCAGAAGACATCGTAGATCATACAGGTCAGGGGTCAACAGTGGTTGATTTGTTTGTCAGTTTGTTACTCAGAATATGAAAGAAGGGGTCAGGGGTCATCAGTGTTTTGTTTGTCAGTTTGTTAGTCAGAATATGAATGAAGGGGTCAAGGGTCATCAGTGTTTTGTTTGTTCGTCAGTTACTCGGAATATGAATGAAGGGGTCAGGGGTCATCAGTCACCAGTGTTTTGTTTGTCAGTTTGTTACTCAGAATATGAATCAAGGGGTCAGGGGTCATCAGTGGGAGTTTGTTAGTCAGACTGAGGATGAAGAGGTCAGGGGTCATCAGTGGTTCATTTGTTTGTCATTTCGTTGCTCAGATTGAGGATGAAGGGGTCAGGGGTCATCAGTGGTTCATTTGTTACTCAGAATATGAATGAAGGGGTCAGGGGTCATCAGTGTTTTATTTGTCAGTTTGTTACTCAGAGTATGAATGTGGGTTCAGAGGTCATCACTGGTTGGTTAGTTAGCTTGATTGATTTTGACTGAACGTCTTGTCTCCTCCTTAGCCCCTGACTTTGCCATGATTACCAAGCGGGCTGGGGACAAGATCGAAGAATTCAAGGACTTGGTTTTCCCCGATGGGTATGTGCCTGGTGCCAAGCAACGTAAGGTATGCCCAGCCATTGTTCTTCTTCTAGATGCTAGACTATTGCTTTGATGGTGTTGTGATGTATTGTTTTGATTTTTTTTTTATTAATAACATACATGTAGAGCTCTGCCCTCATTTGGATTTATCCAAATATTGTCGTGTGCCAAGGAAAAGGACGTTAGCAGCCCAAGAATGAAAAAAAAAAAAAAAAAACCTTTGCAGGTATTCTAGGTTAAAAGTTCTTTGCTCCCATTTCTAAATTAAAATTTCCATTCAGCTGAAATTTGACTTGTGGAATTTGTTAATATTTGATATAATATTGTGCCTTTTTCTTTCAACGCATTACTTAATTTTGAATTGATTTCGATTTTTATGCTAAGGACCTTTTACCGGGAACTCCCCCTACGTTAAACGCGCGCTTAAGCGACATGACACATCATGACCTTCTTTTGCCAGGAATAAACTTGGCATTACCTACCCACTTCAATTGGACCGTGTTAACGTACTTGGAACATATTTTGTTACATTATCCCTGCTATGCCCAGTGCAGTTGGCAGAGAATTATCAGACCTTTCAAAACATTTTGAATTTGCCTGACTAAAAGGGTTTTGAAAGGTGAAATAGTGCTGGAACTTTGAAACTTTTCGAAAGGTTTCGGAAGGTGAAGCAACTCTGTGGGCAAATTCAGTAAGTTGCCTTTCAATACCTTTCGAAAGGAATTGAAAGGTGTGGTAGTGCAGTAACAATAAATTCTGGAGGATTTTAAAAGGTCCTGCATTTTTTGTCCTCCAATTTGCCAGAATCCAGATTTTGAGGGGTTTTGAATGGTCAAACCACAGGAGAGTTAAAGTATTACATTATAGTATTACACGCTAATGTCCTTTTGCCGTGGACAAATAATGAAAAACCTCCTTCTGTCTTTTTCATACTGTTTATTACGTCAGAATGACGTAACCCCTTCAGACAAAATGTATATCAAATGAAAGCTATTTCCATGCTCTATCGATGACCCACAAATCCGAATTTGACCTTTTTACCCATTTTTTTGCCTATCAAGGTGTGCAATATCCGTTGTGATATTCAGAGCCTTAAAGGGGCACTAGGTCCTAAAATCCCTGAAAATGTTATGATTTGGATTGTTTACTTAGCCTATTTCAAACATCTGGTTGAAAGGAAACCAACCTAATGTCTTACTGTTCCCGAGAAAAGACGAAAAAACCCCGCTTGTTTACATCGGACATGACAGTACGAATACGTTTTTCATGTCGCTCTCATGTACACTATACACGTTGTGTGTCTCGGGAACAGCGCGCGGTGACCAATCACCAATGCAAAAAATGGTGGTTTTCTTCAATGTCCGCAAAAGGCGAACACTTTACGCGTACGAATGAAATCACAACTAGCATCCAAACAGCTCGAATTTATGGGGTCGCAAAAATGGACCCCTAAATTCGTTCTTGCACGCATAATACAGGAATAACACAAAAACGCCCAGTTTAGAAAGGATAGTTGTGTGGATGTTTATATCCGACTTTTAAAAGTTATTTCCGATTATCATCATCTCGTTCAAAGCGCGTTTTGTAGCCCAATTGGGCTGTTCCAGGACCTAGTGTCCCTTTAACAAAGACTGCCAACAAAGGGCTATATAACTCAGTTGGTAGAGTGCAGCAGTTTGGTAGTCTTTAAGCCACAGGTCCACATTCTATTATTATTACAAAATGTAACTAAAGGGCGAGTAAAAAAACACAAACCCCAAAAATTATATTTCATATTTAAAAAAATATTTAGCACCAAACATGATAATGACTGGTAAGCCAATTTCATAAGCTACTTTCAGATGAAAGCAATTACTGAAATTGCTCAATCCGTTCAAAGAATATCACCGTTTAAACGCAATTACCCTAAAACCTCTTTCTTCCAAAAATGCGGTTTCGAGAATCGTTGTCACAATTTTCTTCAAACATCCCCAGCAATAAAAACCTATTCAACAAAGTCCTTTTGAAGGCCCGTCTTTTAAAAAAAATAGGATTTTATAAATCATATTGTTTGCCTAACCATGGTTGTTAATATAGATATTGTGCACTACCGTTGTTGACAGTTGTTGAAAACAAGTATTCTGCGTCCTTTTCTTTGTTGTTCCAAACAATTAGAATACACAATAAACTACTTTTTTTGATGAAACAGGTTTTAGGGTCATTGCGTTTAAATGGTGATATCCGTTGAACAGATTTTAGCAATTTCAGTAATTTTTTTCATCTGAAAGTAGCTTATGAAATTGGCTTTCCGGTCATTATTTTTGCTGCTACATATTTTCTTAAATATGAAATATATTTTTTGGGGTTCGGGTTCCGCTTTTTTGACTCGCCCTGTACTTTAGTTCTCTCTGAAAAGAAAGCCAATATCTGCTCCAGAACATTTTGAATCGTGCTGAGTTGATGCCACGTTGGATGCTTTGCAGTTACCCGAAAAAGTATCTATCGATTTATTGTCAGAAACTATGCTCAAGCTGAAGATAGGCTGGTATCAAACACCCTGTGAAATTATTCTGCCTTGAAGGCGGTTTCAAAATCGGGTGTACACGGGCACATTTTGTACATGCCTTAGCAAAGGAATCCAGTTACGAGACCAACAAATTGTGACCTGTTCTGTCAAAAGCAGACGCTTCTGGGCAGAGGTTGAAATTGAGATAGGGCCAAAAAAAAATGCTGTGGGGGTAATTTTTGTCGATTTTCAAATGTTTGCATATTTGTAATCCTGAACATGTCTAAAATATACTATAAAAGTTTGAAACCCTAATTTGAACTAAAGGCCTACTATTTTTGATGATTTTGATAAGTTATATCAGTTTAAGAAATAACTGTATTGTGACGTTCGTGGCCATTTTCTCCGTTTTCTACTTTTCGACACAATGAACTTCAAAATAGCATAACTCTGCCCAGGAATGACCGGTTTCAAAAATTAAACCACCTATTAAAAGGAAAAAGACATATGTTAACAATATGTAAAAATATCATTTTTGGCCTTATGCCCAGAAAAGTCTGATTTTGACAGAACAGGTCACAATTGTTCTTACGTTTTCTCTGTGTCGTCTGAGCTGTTGTGCACCCTGCATAAGGTTGTTGCTTCTTTGACAAAAAATTTGAAAAGAAAAGAACAGCTCAATAACAGGCAAATGATCCTAAACAGGGTAAGTCAAAAAAACGAAACCCAAATGTCAGGACTATTGTTTTATTGAAGTTCTGCATGTAGCACTTTCAAAATCTAGGATATGAAAGCCCAATTCATAAGCTTTCATTTAAATCCCTCATGCACTTTTCAAGTTACGGAACTTTAAACACAACCACCATTTTAAAGTTCTGTCCAGGGATCACAAATAAGGTGTACGTTCTTTCAGCAAAACGAAAACAATTCACACACATCCCTATGTGATTTGTTTTCGTTTTGCTGAAAGAACACTGAACTTTTTTGTTATCCGTGGACAGAACCTTAAAACAGTGGTTGTGTTTAAAATTCCGTAACTTGAAAAGTATCTGAGTGAGTTGAATGATTCTTGTACTAAACGAAAGTGTAGGAATGGGGCTTTCATATCCTAGATTTTGAAAGTGCTACCGGTACATGCAGATCTTCACTGAAACAATGGTCCCAACATTTGGGTTTCTTTTTTTTTTGCTCACCCTGTATGTACATTTAAAGAGGTTGTGGATATGATCGAAGACATTACCGTCATTTTTTGGGTATATGTAACCTAAGGTGTGATGAAATAAAAACGACTATTGTTTCTGTCATGAAATGAGTACAAAGATAACTTTTGAGACCTATTTTTCAGGTCCTGTTTCGTCCCGAACGTGCAATTTGTGTAAAGGTCGTCGTTGCGGGCAGCAAACAAAACACACTAAATCGTGACGTAATTAACAGGACTCGTTTATGCTAATCTGCATCGGGAGCCCTGTTTATTACGTCACGATTTACTATGTTTTGTTTGCTGCCCGCAACGACGACTTTTACACAAATTGCATCTTCGGGTCGAAACAGGCATGACAGGACTTGAAAACAGCTCTCAAAAGTACCTTTTATACTCATTTTATGACAGAAACAATAGTCGTTTTTATTTCATCACACCTTAGGCTACATACATGTATACCCGAAAAATGACGGAAATGTCTTCGAGCATTCCACAACCTCTTTAAAGGAAGCTTGGACCAGTTAGCACAAGTTTTAACCATATAATTGGTTGATCTTGTTACATAAGGTTGGGGGTGATTCCAGCAGAGCAAAGCCAACAGTCGATGTGGATATGAACCAGTATGCCCAACAGGGAAAGGTAATGTGAATTTATCAGAGATTTAGGAACTGGTGTAGGGCGCAGTTAGACAGGTGACTACAACAGACAGATGGAAACATGCACAGGTGGTCACAATGAACAGGTGTTCAAAATGGACAGGTGGTCATAATGGACAGGTGGTCATAATGGACAGGTGGTCATAATGGACAGGTGGTCATAATGGACAGATGGTCATAATGGACAGGTGGTCATAATGGACAGGTGGTCATAATGGACAGGTGGTCATAATGGACAGGTGGTCATAATGGACAGGTGGTCATAATGGACAGGTGGTCATAATGGACAGGTGGTCATAATGGACAGGTGGTCATAATGGACAGGTGGTCATAATGGACAGGTGGTCATAATGGACAGGTGGTCATAATGGACAGGTGGTCATAATGGACAGGTGGTCATAATGGACAGGTGGTCATAATGGACAGGTGGTCATAATGGACAGGTGGTCATAATGGACAGGTGGTCATAATGGACAGGTGGTCATAATGGACAGGTGGTCATAATGGACAGGTGGTCATAATGGACAGGTGGTCATAATGGACAGGTGGTCATAATGGACAGGTGGTCATAATGGACAGGTGGTCATAATGGACAGGTGGTCATAATGGACAGGTGGTCATAATGGACAGGTGGTCATAATGGACAGGTGGTCATAATGGACAGGTGGTCATAATGGACAGGTGGTCATAATGGACAGGTGGTCATAATGGACAGGTGGTCATAATGGACAGGTGGTCATAATGGACAGGTGGTCATAATGGACAGGTGGTCATAATGGACAGGTGTCCGCAATGGACAGATGGTCACAATGAACTGGTGGTCACAATGGACAGGTGGCTTCAATGAACTGGTGTCCACAGTGGACAGATGTCCACAGGGACATGTGTTTGTAATAGACAGGTGTCTGCAATGGACAGATGGTCACAATGGACAGATGGTCACAATGAACTGGTGGTCACAATTGCTAGGTGTCCCCAATGGACAGGTGGTCACAATGAACAGTTGGTCACAATGGACAGATGTCTGCACTGGACAGGTGGCCACAATGACAGGCGGTTACAATGGACAGGTGGTCACAATGGACACATGTCAACAATGAACAGGTGGTCACAAAGAGCAGATGGTCACAATGGACTGGTGTGCACAATGGACAGGTGGCCACAATGAACATGAAGTCACAATGGACAGATGGCCTGAATGGACAGGTGTGCACAATGGACAGGTGGCCACAATGAACATGAAGTCACAATGGACAGATGGCCTGAATGGACAGGTTGACACATTCAGAAGACGTGTTAATGAACAGATGGATGCAACACACAGGTTGGCAATTTAGACACGTGGCTGCAACGGTTAGATTGACATGAGGACAGGTAACCTCATGAATGCAACTAACAACTGTTCACAGTAAGTAAGTTCGGTACGGAAACTACGCATGTGCACAATGATACGGGTCACGGGTCATTGGGGATAATCGAAGGCTCAAGTACGCGCACGTACCCGGGTGCACGACGCTCGCATGTTAATTTGCTTATCACCGTTTGCGAGTTAGCCACGCCCCTTAGACAACCCTATGGAGTTTTTGTACACTTAGTTTTGTTTGTCTCAGATTTTGTGCGTTCCGCGTCCATTTGTATATCATGTAATTGGACAATATTTCACAATCTACGTTGACGCAATTTTAACACGATTCTACCGCGATAGGTCAATTACAAGCGGAATAGGCGTATGTGTAGCATCACATATCATCATGTCAGCGATTTAATTCCGCATGACCTTTGACATGGCTACTTCATGAGATACCAATCTGGCTTATTGGCCAGTGTCTGTCTTAAGCAGGTGAAATAGTAATTACGGTTCCCTGAATTTTTTTTTTCTCAGCTGGGTAAGTTGACCGTTGCTGTCCTGAAGGAATTCTGCTCCAAGAACGGTCTCTCCACTGCGGGCAAGAAAAACGATCTCATCAAGACCGTCTCAGGTCACTTTGGTGTTTGAATCCCGACCTATGACCTCGCCAGGCCTTAACACTTCCAACTACTGTTCATCTCTGTTTTCTTTATAGTCTGGTGGCATATGGTCGGAATTGTGACCGACTGGTCCAAATCACCAAACATGGCAGATGGATTCTTGTAGCCCTAAAGAAGATATTTCGAAGGGGTGACATCTAAAACAAATTGGGGAAGGGTGCCTAATTTGCATAAATCGTTAATACCTGCCGTGTAATATATTTGATTCCCATATTGGGTACGTTTTTATTTTATAATTTTTTGAAAAGTATATTCTGGGAATTCCACTTACATATCCTTACTTAAATAATATTTCATAAAAGCATAACAGAGACTAGACGATTACGAGGACATAATAATTAATAAAGATAAAAAAATGGCTACCATTATACCCTAAAGTTGTGTGAATTTACCTTTTTAGATACCATCAAGTTGTCTGGCCAAACATCAGTATTGATGAATATCATGAACGAAGTTCATCGGGCTGGTGAAATTTCAACTTAAATGAATTTTCTATAAACACAGGCAATTACTAACGTAGTTTCGTTTACATTGCAACTAGTTTCACTAGTCATCCTCAGAACGAAGCACCACCAGTCGGTTGGTGGCGCTGTTGCCCGTTACAGCCACTAGGGATACATACCTGCAAATAAATTCCCATAGACACTAGTGCTAAATGCCCATACTTCAAAATTCTTTTAAAAATACTCAAAACTCTCACAGGTATTCAAGCTGCACAGAAAAATGATGATCAATGTGTCATCTTGCATTTTCTGTTCAATTTTTGGTGGGTTGACCATTGACTTTTCGAGATATTTTCACGCAAAGAAGACGACTTCTATTTTCTCCAAAGCGGAAAAGTAGCCATCTTGAAAAACGATCCCTCCACAACATGGCAAAATAGCGCCACTTTCAAGCCCAATAGCATCCAAAATGCTCAGAATTGGAAGCCCCAAGTCCGGGCCAGAGGTTCATTACCATATCTCTTCAATTCCCCAATTTTACGGCGCTCAGAACTCTCTAATATAAAATATTTTGAGTGTATAACTTCTATTCATGAGCTTGGCGGATCAATTTACCGGTGTGCACCCCTAGATGGTGGTCTGGCCGCTTGTGTCCTCCCCCGGGGTGATACTTGGGGTATGAGGGGGTCCCACATGTGTGACAGTTCATACCCTCCCTCATCTCTGTTAAGAGTTGATCGTCATCTCCTTATCCATAGACTTTCCCGTATCCAACATCTAAATACCCCAAGTACCACCCCAGGGGAGGACACAAGCGGCCAGACCACCATCTAGTGGCCGCAACAGGCAACAGCGCCACCAACCGACTGGTGGTGCTTTGTTCTGAGGATGACTAGTAAAACTAGTCGAAACGTAAACGAAACTACGTAAAGTAATTGGCTGTGTTTATAGAAAATTCATTTACACAATCAGGGAAATCCCCCAAAATAAGAGATAATTGTTGGTTATCAACATTATGTCTACATCAAAACGTTTTCTTAGCAATAATTTCGGGAATTTCCGTGAACTTGTTCAAGTGTCCCTCTTTTTAGGCAACCCTTCACCTACTTTTAAGTCCAATTTACGGACACCTCGTTTCCCCCCCCCCCATTTTTGTTTTTTGGGCTTAATATCACAATGTTGTAATTTTTCACATGAAGTTAATCATTTTCCATAAAGTTTTGTTAGGGTAACTGTGCCAGTAAACAACTTGGTGAATTTGAAGCTCATGAGTACTGATGAGGTTTGGCAAGACTACTTGATGATATCTGGAGACAAGGTAAATGCGCGCAACTTTAGGGTATAATAGTAGCCGAGCAGTTAGAGCGTGGAGCTACGGAGTGGAAGGTTGGCGGTTCGAATCCCATTTGGACCAAGAACTGAAAAACTCTCTCTGACGACCCAGCAGTAAAATGGGTACCTGGTTCGTTCAGGGAAGGTAAGACGGCGAGAGGAGAGGACTGGGCCCCGCCACTCATATGCCGCGCCCAAGACACGGTGGACCTAACATCCCACTGCCCCTACGGCCAGTAATGGCTATTGGTACCTTTACCTTTTTACCTTAAGTAGCCATTGTGGATCGTTACTATATCCTCATAATTATTCAGTCACTTATCTGCTTAGAAAATGTTATTCCAGTAAGAATGTATAAGTAGAATCACCAAAAAAAAACTAAAATGGGAACAAATATATTACACTGCAGGTTTTTACGATTTATGCAAATTAAGCACCCTTTCCCAAAAAATTTCAGGTGTCACCCCTTCAAAATATCTTCTCTAGTTCATCTAGGGCTAACAGAATCTACCATATCTGGCAAGTTTGGTGCTTTGGACCAGTCGGTCACGATCTTGTCAAAAATTGGGTCTGAGCCACCTGACTATATCATTTTGCACACCCCCTAGGGAGTTAGGGTTAACATTGGTTTAGCTGGTCAGATCAGTACGAAGTAAGGGAGAAACATGTATTTTTAATTTAGTTCCTTATGAAAAACTCCAACATAAAAGTTTTGAAAATATTTGAAATGATCATGAAATTTTATTAATTTTTATTCATTCTTAAGTCAACCACTTTGAATCTTGTGATAAATAGTTCATAGTATCAGGTTTCATTTAAAATGGTAAAATGAGTCAATTTGGACTATTCGTCACCGACACCACGAAGTAACACTCTACCGTGTTAAACCATATTTGTTTCGATTTTCAGTTTTTTGGATTTTTAAACATTATTCATCAAGGCCTACCATTGCACGAAGTTTCAAAGCTTCAAGAGCTTTACTTTAATAATTACGCTAAGTATCCATGGCAACTTTTGCGCAAAAGTGACAATTTTCGTTTTCACGAAGTAACACTCAAGTTCCATTTACCATTGCAATGCATGGCGCGCACTCTGCTCATAAGTGAGCAAAAACGTTTTCACGAAGTAACACTCTTCTTGTAATAAGTTGTATGAGCGCGCGCGCGCTGACCTGAAGTTGCACTTTCCTCGTGTTGAATACATTGAAGAGTGTTACTTCGTGAAAACGAAAATTTACAGTTTCGCAGCCTTTTCAATTTCACAAACTAACACTCATCTTTTTTCTCTTATTTCTTGTCTATTTAATACACAAACGGGTGAAAAACAGCAGATTTAATAAATTCAATTCATCAAGTGTCCACAACGAGAAACCCAACTGAAAATACTCTGTCGTTTTGACGCAAAGTGTTGTTTTAGAAGGCGTTCAACTTTAGTAACGGTTTTCTCCGATTGCTAGTGTTACTGGTATGTAGATGGGTGTTACTTCGTGGTGTCGGTGACGGTTTGTTTAGAGTCCCAGAGATGGTATAGATCATGGTTTGTTTGGTACTTTCAAATAATTGATCTGACAAATAAAAGTGCTGCAATCGATTGCACTACATTACATTCCTTCACGGTTTCTGTCGATTTTCAAGATTCTTGAGTCGAATATCATAGCAAAATATTGGACGCAATATCATTTCAATGCAATGTGCTTTTCGAGCATCAATAAGTTCGTTTACATCGCAAATGGACATAAGTCGGCGTGGTAAGCAGTGTATATGTAGCGCGCCTTTTTTTCGGAACGATTGATGACGACAAAATACGGAGTGTCATACCTCTAGTTTACCTCTAGGGTTTGACCGCTAGTGGTCGCTCCTAGAGGAAGTGCCTTTAGGGGCGACCACAAGTGGACGCCCCTAGCGGACGATTTTGGGTAAAATCAGTCAAAAATAATGATTCCCCCCCCAAAAAAAAAAATTCGATGATTTGTGCCCAAATCTTTCAAATATCTGGTGCTTGAATGATGATTGATGCTCCTCTTACCTTTCAAGAATTTCTGCACAATTTGAACAAAAGTGGTCGCCCATAGAGAAAGTGCCTCTAGGGGCGACCACAAGTGGTCACCCCTAGCGGAAGAGGTTTGGGTAAAATCAGTCAACAATAATGATTTTTCCCCCTAAAAATCGATGATTTTTGCTCAAATCTTTAAAATAGTGGGTGTTTGAATGATGATTAATGCTCCTCTTGCCTTTAAAAGAATTTCTGGATAGGTTGAAGAAAATTCATTTTCTGGCCAAATTTCATTAAAAAAAAAAGTGAGGGTTACCCTTGTGTTTTTTTTTTTTTTTTTAATTTTGGCTAAAAAATAAAATCGCTTTAAATTTGCTTTAAAAATGCCTAAAGGACCTGGAACACATCCCAATTCGATTTATGGACAGATATGCTTTTCAAAATGAAATTTCGACGAGAATTTGTGGGTGAAATTGGTCAAAAATAATGATTAGTTTTCCACTAAATATCAATGATTTTTGCAAAATCTTCAATATATTGGGTGTTTGAATGTTGATTGCTGCTCCTCTTGCCTTTAAAAGAATTTCTGCATAGTTTGAAGAAGATTCATTTTTTTTGCCAAATTGCATAAAAAAAGTAAGACTTACTTTCCCCTTGTATTTTTTTTTCAATTTTGGCCAAAAAATGAAATCGCTTCAAGTTTGCTGGAAAGATGCCCAAAGGACCACTGAACGCATTCCAATTCGTTTTCTGGACAGATGTGCTTTTCAAAAAATAAAATCCCGAAAATTTGGGGTTCGGAAATCAGTCCTTTTCAAATTAAACTTCGACGAAAATTTTGGGTGAAATCTGATTTCTCTAGAAATCCATTATTTTTGGCCCAAATCTTCAATATATTGCTTGTTTGAATGTTGATTGATGCTCCTTTAGCCTTTTAAAAAATGTTTGCATAGTTTGAAGAAAAGTCATTTTTTGGTCAAATTTCATTAAAAAAAAAGGTAATGCATGGTCGGGCAAATGATTCCCCGTCAACTGTTAAGAATTGTTTCGATAAATCGATAACTACTTTTAAATGTTCTTTTCGATTAACCCCATGCGTACGGGAAACGGTCATGGCCGCGGCCGCTCATTGGAATGCAGTTGCCAGCTGTGGTATGCCGTGGCACACGGCTAGTGGGTAGTTCCACAGCTGCTGCTTTTGTGCAGTCCCGCTACCACACAAAGGCTGTGCAGTCATGCGGGCCACTTGCTCTATGTGTGGAGGAATGTCCCCATTACACCCCATCCTTAAGCTGTTAAGGGGTTCATCATTTCGTTCAAAGTGCGTTTTGTAGGTTGTGACTCTTCCAGGACGCAGTGGCCCTTTAAAAAAGAAGAAGAAGCGAATGTATCTAGCCCGCGCCGAGGCATGTACCATTATTGATTTAAAATCTTACATTTCTGCCTTTAATCACGAACAATGATCTGAAATGTGTTCTGTGGCCTTTTAGATATTGGTATGTCTGTAACACGATAATAATCATTTTGACAATCAGATTTGCAGATTTAGCGGGTTTTGTGCATAACATTCGGCAGAATTGACCAAAAAACGCCAAAAGTATGCGTTTCTCTTAAGAAAAATGTAAACAAGTTAGATTTTATGTTTCAAAACAACAGTTTCAAATAAAATGAACGAAAATACACACACCAAAATCATTATCTTCGTCTTACAGTTTACTATAAAAAGTAATTCAATGCGCCTGTTATCAATCTGTCTCCTGCTTTGTGGCATTAAAAGTGTACACGGTCAACAAGTACCGAAAAACATAAAGTTTACTCTCTGAAATTAAACAATTTGGTACACAAGTGTAAACTACACTTAATTTTCGTGCAATGTTAACGCATTTTGTGTAAAAAAAACCTAAAGATCATTATACTTAAGTGAATTACATTCAAATTCTGAATTTATTGCCTGTACTGGAATAGAAGGATGCAAATTGACAACCCTTCAATCGAATCTCAAAATAGAAGTATGGGAATTAACAGCCCTACGTTCAATCTATATAGAAGGATGTGAATTGACAACCCTCCATTCAATGTAAGAATGGAAAGATATGAACTGTCTCCCCTTCATGGACAAATACTGCACCAAATGAAAAGCTGTGTGTCATTAAAACGCAATTATCGTAATTGCTATGAGCTGTCGCTACTGAATAACGGTACCAAAAAAATAATAAAAAATACAATTTTAGCCGCCGGCGGTTCCTTTAGTCAAGGCTGCGTAGAAGCTAATAGCGCGGGAGGGTTGCTTTGAAGGTGAAGACAGTTTCTAATTGAAGGGAATAGACAACCACTTTACATTATTAGTTGATTAATGCCTCACCAGTAATTACCTCTTCTTCTTTTTTTATTAAGAACCCACCAATCAATCATTGATCTGATGCATGACCTTGGCCCCGTGTATGCATTTGGTAATTATCCAATTAGAAGCGCTCGACTGTGTCCGTGAACAAATTCTTAACTATAAGCTATGGAAAGCCAGCCTGGTTCGATCTTAAGCAATCTGTACTCCGTCGATGCATGCGCGTTGGATTGTGCGCGCCACATGTTTTACATTTGTACGCTGGTATAATACCCGTTTATTGCCGGTATAAACTTACAAAGCTTAAAACCTCTCAAGTAGAATATGGAAGACGTGTTTGTCATCAGAATTGCTGCCATCACTGTGGCTTCTCTTGCAATGGTTGGCGTATGCCAAGCCGCATGCACCCCGTGCCCGTTTCAATGGATGGAGCATCAGCATCATTGCTATCGCTACTTTCCTGTTAATCTCTCGTATGATGAAGCTGAGGCGTACTGTCAGCGTTATTCAAAGCAAGGCGGGTCAGGTGGTCTTACAATGGTCAATTCCCTGAAGGAGACGATGTTTTTGATTGACTACGTTGGAGCAATCCTAAATGGAACAACACAGTTCGGTAATACCACCAGCTTTGTGCGGTTGCCTAAGGGACCGCAGGAAACATTCGGTAAGTTAGGCTATACCAATGCAATGGCTTTGGAATTTAGTCGCTGTACGGCATGCACCCAGCGGCGTCGGTATAGGTGGATGGGGTCCTCCTAGCCCATGTTGGACTCCTCTGTTGTTGACACGCGACGGAGTCCAGGGTATAAACTGCTGTTGCCCTGGCGATTATAATTATTACAATCTTTGTTTTCATATTTTTTTTTATGATGGAGGAAGTTGATTTTTTTGTTTAAATATGCATTGTGTCCAGAATGACAAAGATGCTTAGTTTAGAAAAAGTAAACTTATCCGTCGGCGACGTGTTTACCGAAAATAAATCGCAGATCCACGCCTTCGTCGTTACAATGTAATGACTTATATTACCTTAATTTAGGAAAATTAATGTATACATTTATGCATAATTTACTCCCGTCCTGTTTTAATACTTGTTTTACATTAGCATCTAACATTCATGTATATAACATTCGAAGTAGTGCTAGGGGAAATGTGTTCGTTCAATTTAACAGAACGTCAATGTCAAAAAATAGTGTTATTCATCGAGGCACCTTGTACTGGAATAGTAAAGATGATTCTCTTAAATCATTACCCACACTATCGGTCTTTGCCAACAATTCAAAAACTAATTTTTTTGAATCATATTCATAAATTGAAATGTTATTTTTTTGTGCATTGATATTTAGGCCTTGTCTCACACTTGTCCTGTCTGCCTCACGTAGTGTTTTGTTTGTCCCTAAATACAGTACTTTGGTTTGTCCACAGGTAAGGGCACAAAAGCGTTCTGCTTAACCTTATATCTAAATGTTGTCATTTAATTTAACACTATATTATTAATTACTGTGTACCTAACTATCAAATATTATTACTAGTGACATTTTCGATGATTGTACACAAATGTTATGAATGGCATCATTGAAATAAATGTTACTACTACTAATAAGGAAACGCGGAGAACTCGACGTTGATGCCGCACGGGAACAGCGTTCCAAGGTGGAATATCAGACGCTGCTCCCGCTCGCGTAATTTTTATTCCTAGGAGGGTTAGGGGCAATGTCATGAATAATTCATGTTTATCCATGAGAACGGACAATGACATCAACAGCATTGTTGTTAGTTAATCAACTAGTTACAATACATTAAAGCATTTTAAAAGAACAGTTGTCGTCGAGCTACCACACAGTAGCCTAGTGGATAGCGAGATGAGCTTATGGATACAAAGATCCCTGGTTCGAATCCACTTCGTCGCTGTTCATTTTCATCAGCTATTTTTCTTCTCCAAATTTATCACTGAGATAATTTTAAATTAAGGGGGAATAGAACGAGAAGCTAAGTCTTGCAATGATTCAAAGGAAAAACTGAATTATTCATGACATTGCCCCTAACCCTCCTAGGAAAAAAAAATACGCCTCCCGCTCCTTCCACATTTCCTCAGTCTGCGCGGTTGCCAAGACACATAAGACGTGCATACTCTCTAAATTCCAAAGAGTGATATTAGGGACTAGACGTTTTAGAGTGAAAATCACTCTCATTTTAGATTGAAATCTGGAAACAAAAAGAACCACTTCAGTCGAAGCTCCTGTGAAAACTCGATCTTTACGATTGAAGGAATTTCACTTTAAAACGTCTAGTCCCTAGTTTCCGACTCTGGGAGTGAATCTTCACTCGAATGGAGTGAATGTTCATTCTTTGGATTAAGAGAGTATGTCTTCAATTGTGTGGGGTTGGGTAGGGAAACGTTGCCCAACAGGTGACAATGTTCTTTCCTTTCATGCTTCCTAAGGTCTCCACGAACCGGTCTCCCAAACGCCGTTAGTCTCACCAATGTACAGAGCTTTTTGCACTGTTGGCAGATGATGGCATACACGAAGTTGCTGGTGATGCAGGGTAGTGGGAGCGTCCTTTTGGGTCTACAATAGGTTAAAGAAGGGTCCACATACTGGCATTTCATGCAGCGCGTACGGTGGCAAGGTTCTGTTTTGCCGGGGTGGACCCTGGGGTGTAGGACGATTGATGAGGCGTTGATCGAACCAGTTGATCGGTGACGGATTTATCGCGACGGAAGGCACGTATCGGTGCGATATCTTTGAAGATGCTACTGGTCAGGGGGTCTTGTTGCAGGGATTTCTACCGAGGTTGGTTACGACGAAAGCGTGCAACTGCGATATGTTTTCGATAAACACGTCATCGCCCACGGACATTAGTTACTTTTTCTAAACCAATCATTTTTGTAATTCTGGCCACAAGGAATGTGTAAAAGAAATGTCAGCTTCCTCCGTCAGGTAAAAGATGAACACATACAAATTGTCGTGATTTTTTTTTCTCGCCATGTCAGCAGAAGTTCATAACCGTCAGGTGTAAGGCAATGAAGACCTGAAAAATGAACCACTTCAGTCGAAGCTCGAGTGAAAACTCGATCTTTCCACTCCAATGTGAATCTTCACTCGAATGGAGTGATTTTTTTCACTCTTTGGAATTTAGAGAGTAGAGTCCTCCCTTCCCATCGTTCTTTTTTTTGGCAAAATAGTCGCCCTGTCAGCAAAAATTCCACAGTTTGATTTTACTGCTGCTGAGTGACCTAATAAAAAAATCCATGGATACCTTACTGAACAGAGTATAGCCCGTCGTCAAATTTGTTATAATTCCCTTCCCATGTACCATTCAGCAATCACCGCAGTCATGACTCTTTCAGCAGTAAATTCACACTATTCAGTTTGTGTTCAGAGCTTCCGTGCATTAAACACTCAATACAATGACATGGAACAATTTGTCATCACTGAAGTAAAAAAAAAAAGTTCCCTTTTTTTTTCTTTCCAGAGAGTTACGACATGATCTACCACAATACACTGGGTTCCAATGCTGAGACAAGTGGTCACTTCACATCATGCGATGCGTATGATTCTCCTGTTGCGATCAATAAGAGTGAGATTGGCACAGGCGTCTACAACATGGTTCCTTCCCCCGAAGTGGTCGAGCAGAAATGCTCGATTTACACCGGAGAGGGTGCCTACATCGACCTGGGCGATTTCGCTGGGACCTGCGTCTCTGATCCTGTCGTGTGTGCCTCAGAAAGCGTGACCTGGTAACTATGGCTCAAGATCAACTCGTCGACAAGTTTCACCAGTGATAGGTATTTTGTTTCAGTGGGAGGACGTACTTGGAGAGGACGGGGCATCACCTTCCTGTACAGGAACTCGGAGAACAAATTCTTGTTCGGAGCTCGGAGTGAATCGTGGACATACTATCTGAAGTACGAGACGAATAAGATTCCGATGGATAGATGGTTCCACCTGGCCGCTACTGTGGATCTGTCACCAACAAATGCACTTGTCTTGTACCTGGACGGCAAGGAGCTTGGCAGTTACGATGATGAAACAGAAAGGATTTCGCCAAATGATGGATGCACCAAGCTGATTTTAGGCAACGCCAATCCATGCTATGAGCATGGGATCATATCATCATCTCTGACATCCGGAGGTTCAGCAGCCTACAGCAATCTAATGGTATTTGATCATCTCCTCACCAAGGAACAGATAGCCAACCTCTACGCCTGCGGGTCACTTGGTGAGTATGATTTTTTTTTAATATGGATTGGAGACGGCTTAGTATATTCTGGAGTACACTAAACCTAAATGTACAGATGGATACTCCATCATCTCTATTTCACATTGCTTAAATAAGCCCCCTCTGCAGTATGCATAAGATGTACTATATACTGTAGAATGGTCCAAGAACCATGCATGGCAAATGCACACGTCCTGTGTACTAATCTGCCCCACACGTGAACAAAAACAATTGGCGAAAACCTAATTTGTTTTTGATATAGTGCCTGAAATCTTTTTTGATAACGGAAAATGGATTTGAAATCATTTAATTCTATAAACTCGTTGAACGTCTCTTCAGATTGGGACCTAAAAATTCGCAGCCTCGATATCGATAGCACCTACAAATACAGCGGAAGTCTTCGCTATGTTTGCACGGCAAGCGCCTCTACTGGACCCACTATTTACTGGAGCGTGTACCACCATGAGCGAGCGCAGTGGCAGGACCTGGGCCGAAACTCCACCGAGGAAGGCTGTGAGATTACCCCGACCAGTTTCTCACCGTGCGTGGTGCAGTCTGCCCTGGTCATCGATCAGGGACACGGACCCATCGCTGAGGGCGACATCATCAGCTGCACGGCAAACTCTGGCTCAAGGAACGCTTCTTTATCTATCCGCCAAGGTACAGCCGGAAAAAAAAGATACATAAAACACAACACGACAAAACTAATGACAATCAAAAGGGGACGTATCAATATTTTGATATTTGCCGTTTTTATTTGATTGTGTACCTTACATGGGAAATGCAAACTGGTGTGGGTCAAGTAATGATTAAAAGCATGTCAGAGTGTTAAAATGACTTCGAAATGTGACATAATGCCTAAAACTTTTTGCATTTTGTTTTGTATGATTTTCAGGAAAGGAAGCAACAATTGGTTTGTACAGTAGCCATGAAAACGCAGGTAAATTTCCCCTGATAAAAGTTGTTTAGCCGAAAAGAGGATAATTATTGATAACTTTAAATTTTGAAACCCTTGCAAATAAGTTTTTTTCTCCATTTTTCATCCTTTTAAAGCATTGTTCGTTGCCAACACTGGGCAAGAATACCACAAACGTTTTGACAGAAGTGGAGAGGAATGGGAGAACGGCAGTCATCCGTTCATTTGCACGAAAGCTCGTCGCGACATGTAGATTTATGGGCTGCTTTTCTTTGTTGTTCACCTTAGTTCTGCATATATACGCAATCTTTTAATGGCTTATCTGCACGTAAAAAAAGATGACTCTACGTTGCACCAATTACCCGCGAAACTGACAGATTTTCAAGCGCTCTCATCGGCCAATTTATGTGTGACAACTTACAGGGGGAGTCGAAATAGTGCTACGTGATTGGTTGTCAAGCAAGGTTGTGACGCTCTTCACAGTGCAGTGTTAGGTCAATGTTGGACGGGCAGCGGGCGGCGTAGTCTGGTTTCCAGACCAAAAGATTCCGACTATTCTTGATGAATCTTAGGTCAGGTAGCCTCCGGTAATACAATGTATTACAATTTACATCACGTGACTAAAACGGGAGGAATTCCTCCTTTTTCCGAAACTGTCCGAAGTTTGCCGAATTCATTTCGTAGACAATCGGATAGTGTCCGAGTATTTCCGAGTATAATGTAGGTTTTATTAACTGCTAATTGCTTATTAAAAACTTTAAAAAACTAGTTGATAATTAATATCCATTGCTTTTATTTAGAAAACTTGAAATTCAACGACGATTTTGCACTTGGATCGTATACGAGGGGCGAACTTTTTGCTGCGTCATGCACTAGTTTGAATTTGACGACCGTTACCGGCATTTTCCAAAACGCGGCGTGGTCTCAATTCGGCTCCGCCTGCTAACAGTGCTGTTTGGGTGTCCAACTTTGAAGATTCCAGGTTAAAATTAGTCAATTTTTTTTACAGAAGTATTAAACTGTATATCATAACTGTATGATATATGAAGCAAGTGATTTATTTTTTAAAAAAATTATCGGAACATTAAAAGCTTTATGTGATAAAGCGAGTTCGGAAACGAAGTCGAGCTTTGAAAAAGGGCCGTCAATATCGTCATGTTTATTTTTAGCCACGGAGGCTGCCTGACCTACAATTTAGACGTGTAGACGTCGGGGGAAATTGTCAGGTCGGGGAACCAGACTACGGGCGGCGCTACGGGGGGGCATGGGGGCATTGCCCCCTCCCAGTTTTGTCTTTGTCCCCCCCCCCCCCCCCCCCCCCCCCCCCAGTTTGCCCCCCACCAGTTTTCCATGAACACACTATCGACAAGTCGATAAATTATGTTTATTTTATTCGCCGTTAAGATTCATAAAATTTGGGGCCAATGAAAGCACTAAAACATCGGTACTTTGGACAAAACACGCCACACCAGCATTTATACAGCCGTAGACAGTGCGCTGCCAACGTCTATGTGCATTTTGTTATACATTTTGTTATACACCACTCTGCAGTTTGATACATTTCTCATTCATAAAAACGCCGCCTAGTGGCTTATTTCCGGCCAATTGACAATGGTACGCGCGCGCGTACACGGGCTTGAGATTTTTCTTGACGCCCCCTCCCCCAAAATTATTTCCTTGCCCAAATCTCCCCCTCCCCAAAATCTTAGAGTCTGGCACCGCCACTGTGGACGGGTCAAGGGTCACCCACAATTCTTTGCCTTGATCCCAATCTTTTGCGTTACAAGGAAAGAATGCAAAGTATTTAATGACATTTGTAAATTTTTTAATGTCGATTGTGATTTCAAATTCCTGTTTATTACACGATCAAGATGAGTTGCTGCTTATTACACGAGTTTGAAAAAGTGTATTGTTGATAATTTTATGTATTAATTCATCTCGATCTTACCAATTATTCACATTTAAAAAACTTCTATTGTAGAAGGACTTAGTTGTCGCCTTTAAATATTTGCCAATAATTTATTGCACTTCAAAAACCACATTTTTACCCACATAAAGGGTGTATCAATTAAATTATCAGATTTATTATTGTCGTCAATTTTTAATTCTCGTCAATTTTTCAATTATCTAGCGAATATAAAAAACTTTATTAATAATAATGAGTAATTTATCGCACTTAAAAATTTGCCAGTACAAAAGGGTGTATAAATTAAATTATAAGATTTGTAATTGTCAAACCTTCATTCTCGTCAATATTGTCGTTATCTAGCGATGTAATACACCTTATTGATAATAATTGATAATTTATCGCACTTACAAAAAAAAAGCCTCTAAAAAGGATGTATCAATTAAATAATAAAATGTATAATTGTCGATTTTGAATTCTCGTAAATTTTTCAGTTAAGGTCTCTCCACTGCATGCCAAAAAAACCCCGATCTCATATAGACCATCTTGGGCCACTTTGGTGTTGGGGGGGGGGGGGGGGGGGGGGCGTATGGGGAGGGGCTGCACGCCCCCCCCCTCAAAAAATCCGCCGCCCCAAGTCACCCCCCCCCCAACTGGAAATTTGACAACGGGGAAAAATGCACAGTCCTATAAATTACCTTAATAAGCAGATTAAATAAAGTGCCTTTTTCCAACGATTTTGTGGTTCTATTTGTGAGCAAAACCTTGTTTTTTCGCGAGTGGCTTTTTATTTGAATAGCGGTAACCATTTACCATGATATCGGTTTTGAACAGCGCCCCCATGGTAAGATGGTGTCCAGTCCCCCCCCCCCCCCCCCACACACACACGTTTGTTTATAGTGTAAATCGAGGATTTTCTTTTGTTCCTCTTCCCTTTTTCCTTTGTTTGTACTTCAACATTTTCGCAACAGCTCTCATTGGTTTTGTACACGTCTTCTAATCGAGGTCGTCCTCGATTTGGTTCTTGTCCTCGATTCACCGATGATGTTGCACGTGTGAGTCATCGATTTACACCATAAACAAACCCGCTTTACACAGGCATGGAAGTTGGGTACTTCATTTGTTCTCGCCAACTTTTACGCCGTGTTGACACAAGACATTGTTGAGGGAGAGAAAAACTATATTTTGTCTCAACCTTCTGTCATGTTTGTCTATTTTTTGTGATAAATCACTTGGCCACCGTTCAATTTAATGCATTATTTAAGTTTTGAGATATCGTGTCCAGCATGACTATCGTTTCCGTGCAAAAAGTGTGAAAAATGGTCTGTTTGGACTGGGACTGGGACTACATACTCTAGCCAAGTATTTCTCCGCGTTAACACAAGACACTGTTGAAGGAGAGAAAAACATTATTTAGTCTAAAGCTCCTGTCTAGTTTGTCTATTTTTCATGATAAATTACCTGGCCACCGTTCAATTCAATGCATTACTTAATTTTTGAGATATCGTGTCCAGCAGGACTATCGTTTCCGAGCAAAAAGTGTGGAAAATGGTCTGTTTGGATTGGGTCTGCACTCTCGCCAAGTTTTGGTCCGCGTTTACACAAGACAATGTTGAGGGAGAGAACAACAATATTTTGTCTAAATCTTCTGTCTAGTTTGTCTATTTTTTATGATAAATCACCTGGCCACCGTTCAATTCAATGCATTACTTAATTTTTGAGATATCGTGTCCAGCAGGACTATCGTTTCCGAGCAAAAAGTGTGGAAAATGGTCTGTTTGGATTGGGTCTGCACTCTCGCCAAGTTTTGGTCCGCGTTGACACAAGACAATGTTGAGGGAGAGAACAACAATATTTTGTCTAAATCTTCTGTCTAGTTTGTCTATTTTTTATGATAAATCACCTGGCCACCGTTCAATTTAATGCATTACTCAATTTTTGAGATAGTTTGTCGACTATGACTATCGTATTTGAGCAAAAAGTGTGGAAAATGGTCTGTTTGGACTGGGACTGCACTCTCGCCAAGTTTTTCTCCGCGTTTACACAAGACGTTGTTGAGGGAGAGAACAACAATATTTTGTCTTAATATTCGGTGTATTTTGTCTATTTTTCAAGAAAAATCACCTGGCCATCGTTCAATTTATTGCATTTAATCACGAAAACTTCATTCCGAATTTTAGTCTCTTTTGACACTCTTTGTTGAGACGATAACTCAAGAACAACATATTGCATTGGTTTCAAATTGCGAACTATTATTAACCATAACATTTGACACAACCCGTTTAAAAATTGGCGTGAAACGTGGAAAAAATACATTTAATATGATTTAAAGAAAATAAGCCTAAGCGATTCAATTACGAGCAATTCATTCCAAATTTTAGTCTCTTTTGACACTCTTTGTTGAGATGATAACTCAAGAACAACATAATGCATTGGTTTCAAATTGCGAACGATTATTAACCATAACCCTTGACACAACCCGTTTGAAAATTGACGTGAACCGTGGAAGAATACATTTAATATGATTAAAGGAAAGAAGTGCTTAGAAGTACGAAAAATTCATTTCTACAAGAGGGCGCCCTACACAACCGCTGGTCAGCACCGTAAACACTATTGAACAAAAATACAACACTGTAAGTTTGTTGAGACGATAACTCAAGAACAACATATCACATTGGATTGAAATTGCGAACGATTATTAACCATAACATTTGTCACAACCCGTTTGAAAATTGACGTGAACCGTGGAAGAATACATTTAATATCATTTAAAGAAAATGGGCCTAAGCGTTTAATTTAATTACGAAAACTTCACTCCGAATTTTATTCTCTTTTGACACTCTTTGTTGAGACGATAACTCAAGAACAACGTATTGCATTGGTTTGAAATTGCGAACGGTTATTAATCATAACATTTGACACAACCCGTTTGAAAATTGGCGTGAACCGTGGAAGAATACATTTGATATGATTAAAGAAAAGAAGTGCTTAGAATTACGAAATATTCATTCCGAATCTGAGTCTATTTTAATTTAAAAAAAAAATGAAGCACTCTTTTGGAGACAGTAACTCTAGAAAAACATTTTTTTCTGAAACGAAACTTTGTTCGATAATAAGTCGTGATGTAATGACAGAAAAAGTGGAAATCGACCAGAACCGTGATAACCAACGGCCAACAGTGCATGTGCCAGATTTTGCTACCCTCTATGATTTTTCCCTTAAAGAGGGCGCCCTACACAACCACTGGTCAGCACGCGGCCACAATTTTTGAGATAGTTTGTCGACCATAACTATCGTTTTTGAGCAAAAAGTGTGGAAAATGGTCTGTTTGGACTGGGACTGCACTCTCGCCAAGTTTTTCTCCGTGTTTACACAAGACACTCTTGAGGGAGAGAACAAAAATATTTGTCTAAATCTTTTGTCTAGTTTGTCTATTTCTAATGATAAATAACCTGGCCACCGTTCAATTTAATGCATTACTTAATTTTTGAGATAGTTTTTCGACCATGACTATCGTTTTTGAGCAAAAAGTGTGGAAAATGGCCTATTTGGACTGGGACTGCACTCTCGCCAAGTCTTTCTCCGCGTTTACACAAGAAACTGTTGAGGGAGAGAACAAC